TTCGGGTCTTTATATCAGCCAAAACGAGAGAGGCATCGTACTGTTACAATGGCATAGTTCAAGTTTGGGTGCAAAAACACCACCTTTCCTGGAATGTCCATAGATTCGGCGAAAATGAGGTATATGTCACAAACATCGTTAGGTACGAATCTGCGGGATACTAAAACATATCCATTTTCAGCATCAATAACAACACCATATCCTGTGTCCTTTCTATATGGAAAACTGTCCACAGGAATTGGACAGAAAGTTCTAACTTGAACAAATGATCTTGAGAGTGACGCACATCCTTTTTTCTTCTCCAGAGGAATAGGAATGTCAACAAACTTAGCATGACATGGCTTGATGGGCAAGGGTTCTAAAGGTTTATCTTGTAAAGATTTAAAGTCCCAAAGACCTGTCTCATCATTTCTAGTAGCAATACGGAACTCAGATTGCCAATGTCTCTCAATATAGGCAACATGAAGGTTTTTGGTATGCAAGTCCGACAAGTGACGGTACGTAATAGTGACCTTTTGGCGGTCAGGAATTCCTTTCATCACTTCAATGAAAGCATCCAAATTGGGTGTTGGCTTATCGTCAATCTTGTCTAACAACCATCCACTCTTATCGTGCATAGAGAAATCAAAAGTACCTGAAGCATCGTTGATGAAGACACCTTTTCACCGGAATACCATAACATCTTGCTAATTGATAAGAAAGATCGTTGAAAGATGCTCCAGCGACATCCACAAAGCGATTTGGGGTAATTGCATGCAAATCACCAACTGTGATGTCTATTTTCAACTCACTACCGCCTCTTTGTACCACGAACTCTAAAGTTTTACCAACGTTTTCATCCAAAATCTCGTCAACCTTAATAAAGGTTGAAATAGGTTCGCCATTAATGGAAATTAAAGTGTCACCTTCTTTAATCAACTCATGCGCAGGTCCCTCTGGCAAAACGAGATCAACCACTAACAAGCCAGACTTGTCAGGAAAAAGCTCTCTGGCCTTTGTTTCAGCCTCAGGAGTCAATCCAAGCCTTCTGCATTCTTCGAAAGGACGCAACATCCATTCCACTTGGATATCACCTCTAGTGATAGTTTGAGCGCTTTGGATGCATCTCAACGCCCTGAGGGGTCTAGAAACGGGAAGAAAGAAGTCAGTTGAAGCCTCCGTAGATCCACCGGCTTGCAAAGCCACAGCTTGACCATATTCGTTGACAACAGGCGATCCTGAAGATCCACCAGAAGCGCTTGCTGCAGCTTGGATATACTCAGTGTTGAAGTCATTATATGTCAAGGCACCGTAGAAGGGAGCGTTTCTATCCAAACGCGAGATGAAGCCAGCCAAAATAGAAAGCTTCTCGCCAGCATCATTACCCACGACACGAATCTCAGTGCCGACTTTAGCCAAATCGGGCCGAAGCTCAAGCTCCGAAATCGACATGTGTTTGATCTCTTTCGTGTCAAATTGCAAAAAGCCGAAATCATGGATTGGATCTCTGTAGATGGGCTTGACTACCGCCTCTTCGTGGTTGTCGAACACAGCGTAACCAGAAAAAGGTCCTGGCCCCACCACATGACGATTCGTCAAAATGATACCTCTTTGTGCATCGACAACAAAACCTGTGGCTTCACTTGTGAGGCACAATTCTGTATCGAAGTTCGTGATATTCGTGAAGTGCACAGATACAACGCTCTTGATAACGTTTGTGATGGTTTCACTCCATCGGCTCGAATTGTTGGCACCCGGAACGTCGAAAACTGGATAAGTGCCATCAGAAGCATATTCAGAATCGCTATCAGAGAGAACAGCCTGCTTTTTTGCTGCACGTTCAGCTGTTCCGTTGGACGCTTTTCTCTTGAGATCGTGCATGAAAAAAAGAAAAGTACTGGAGAAGTTGCGTTCTATGTAGGTAGCGATGGATTGAGTAGTACATCACAGGAACTGAAAAATTCATGGACTGCACATAGATCAAACGTATGGCCATAGCTAGATAATGTAGGCCCCAGTTTTGCCAGGTTTTAGACTAAACAAAAGATAGATATTTGTTTTAATATATACAATACTAAAGTAGCTGCTATATCCGGGGAAAAATATTAATATGAACTCTCGAATTGATTGCCATTAGCCTCATGTCTATCCTTTCAATTTATTTCGCTACTTGAAGCCAAACGAAATGTTTGGTATCTTAAATTTTCAGGTCACCTCTATCAGGATTGTATTATTCATCATTAAGTCAAGTATGTATTTTTACCACATGCATTATTGCCCAAAACGCTATAATATTTTATCTTTGAGTCCATAGAAAAGCTGTCTGACAAGAGAGATGGCTCAATATATCTTTCCGAAGGTCCCGTTGACAATTCAAGCCGAGAGCTTCTCAAGCAACCGCGACGTCCATGTATTATAATAACTCTCTTGAGATGGTTTGTCAAACATCACAGAAGGAGTGATCATAGAACCTAAACTTTCATAGAGTTCCCAACCCCGCCCTAACTTGGCCTGGACCTCACGTTCTCGAGATGTATCTTCGACAGACCAATCGTTATGCACATACTTCAATTCTAAGTCAACTACCCACGGTTCTCCTCGTACAGACTCCTCAATGATGTTGAGCCACATTACCATGTTCCATTTCATAAGTCCACCTTTCTGGTATTGAAAAAGTTGATCTTGAAGCTCTGTTTTCTTCCCTATCGTTGAGTCAAGAAGCTTATGGTTTATACGCACATATGCGACATATATAAGCCCGCATGCTAAGAGCCATTCATTCTTTTTGGCAAATTTGTGTTTCTCCGCCGTGAAACATTCGACAATCTGCGGCGTGATGCTTGCAGGTATGTAGAAGTTGTTGGCAAACGATATAAAGTCAGCAATAGTCAAGTGCCGAATATATCTTGGAGTACCCGGCGAAGCAGCTGTTGGAGAAGAAAGACCCGATTTGGATGGTGATTTGCGTGGCGTGCGAAATGGACTCTTGGGGTTCAGGCCTTTCTTTTCAATTGGATTGAAGGGCGAGTCGGCGTTTCGTAGTTCAGATATCTTTGCTTCGGTGGACTCCTCAGCCAACGCCTGGAGTTTTTTTAGGGGTGAACCTACCTTAGGTTGAGCCAATCTCTTGTTAGGCAGCGAGACTGGGGTGTAAGGTCTCTTCCTGGGTGTAGTATGAGGAGAGTTGATTCCTCCCACAACTTTGTCCTGTAGATCGTCCAAAAGCTTTTCAACATGTCTAGGCTGGAGCGGAATTCGTTGTTGCAGCGGATCAGGTAAGTTGAAACGGTCCTGGCATCGTTCCACCGCCAAGTATGTACAAAGATGGAAACGTGCCACATCCGCCTTATTCGGAAGTACGGGCAATTTTTGCAAACTGAGATGGTATAAAGATTCAATATAAGACACCAATTGTGCTGGATACTCTCCCAGGTAAGTGGGAAGAATGTCTTTGAGTGACTGGCTCAACTGCTGCTTGTTCATGATGTATTTTAAACCCACAGGGAAGAAATGGAACCAAATAAGAGACCCAAACACACAATAGTGGCAATGAAACGAATCTTATTACGGTATAAGACCAATTTATGTTAGAAGTACCGGAGGCTTGTTCGACAAGATTAACGGTTAGTAAATGAGGTTCATGCGAGAAAACGCGAATGAGTATTAGGCTGAGCAAACAAACCGGACATTTGTGGAACAAAACGGAAACAGTATATAAACAGCGCTGAATCGGAATCTTGGGTCGTCTTTAAGATTTTATTCCCGTAATATCGGAAAAATCACTGTTCAAATGCCTGTGAATACATTAGACCTATGACCACTGTAAAGCCACTACCTAAGCTAAACCCGTGCATTCGCGGTGTGCACACTACCCGCACTGGCCAACCAGAGTAAAAGTAAAGGTAAAGGGAAAGATTAGAAAACGGCGCTCCATCCAAATATTCCGCAAATGTTGACGAGAAACATAGTCAGAGCCTCTACGCGCCAACTCAGCAGTTTCACCGCACTCAGACAAAAGGATGTGGCATTCGGAGATGTTCCAGTCAAGCAAAATGAGCTTGTTTCTGGCGCTCCAAAGGAAATGACTACGTCTCGTGTGGTTAGAATTTACCAAGAGGCCAAGCCAGCAACACAATCAGGACACCACAATGGCCACTTTTGGAAGTTGGACTGGGATGTTTTGGGAGGTGCCCACCGTTGGGAAAATGATTTGATTGGTTACCAGTCCAGTGGTGACTACATGCAAGGAACCATCATGAAATTCGACAACAAGGAGGCTGCCATCAGATTTGCTGAGGGCCAGGGCTGGTCTTACTATGTTAAGGAACCTAACCAGAGACACTTTAGAAAGAAGGAATACGCCATGAACTTTTTTCACTCTGCGGGTCCTTTGAAGCACATCAGAACCAAGTAGGGTATACTTATAGCATAATGCAAGGAGAAAGAGTTAACCAGAGATCATAAGAGAAGAAAAAGTTAGATTGTAAATGATTTAAAGACTAGAAGTAAAAGTAATCCCGCTTCATTGTTGAAATCGTGGTAGGACTAGGAGTGAACTAAAGTTTGTAGCAACGACTTGCATAATTTTCAATCAAGCGGGTTATTACACATGAACAGCAGTCATCAATTGTCCCAATCTACCATGAAGAGCATATCATGTTTTCACTGATATATTTCGTCTTTTTCATTATCATCTCAACTAGAATTCTATGTGCACGGCATGTAGTATGCGAAATGTGCGTTTCCTCGTTGTGCGCTAAACTAAAACCATCCACCTTTTCCGAGTATTATCCACTTGAATTCGAGAGGTACTTGGGCTTGAAGGGTTATATCTGTCTGTGAGTCAGTCTTGCTAGTTTCATTTTGTCAATCTTCTTCATTCCCTTTCGACATTCGTAATCACAACAGTGTCTCATGTCCTACAACCGATATCGACAGAAGAAGTTTCTGTCAGGTGGTTACCTGGGCGGCCATAAATCATACTCGCGTTACCGTCTGAACTATGAAACCGAGCGATACACTGCAAATGATGCTCATGCTAAGACGGCGGACTTACGTTTTTCGTCCAAAGATCTCGATGGACTGGCACCTTCGCTGAATCTCCATTCTCCAGCGGACTCCAATTCACTGGCGTCTCGAAGTTTTCTGAAAGATCCAGATACGGCAATGACAACACCTATCCTGTCAATAACCCGTGGCACAGAAAGCACGAGGCTACCCGATAACTCTAAGGCATTGTTACCAAATGGTACTGATATTCTCTCGGGGAAGAACATAGCAGACGAAAAGTTCGATATCCAGATGCACCACAAACTGTATCTTGATACAAGGTACGCGGCTACTAAGGCAGACTCACTGAAGAATTACCGTGTACTATACGATCCAGAATGTGATAAATCGCTATCCAAAGCAGAACGCAAATCGAAACACCGCAAGCTACGCTTTCAATCTGAGATCTCATCAGAGAAACCGCCATCAGATCCCCGTATCAAGTTGGGTATTCAAAACTACCTCACCAAGCCTAACAAAGCGTCCAAGAAGGTTCCATTCAAACATTTACCACAACCACGATTCCTTTATGACAAGAACTCCTTAAGACAGCCGCCGCTGACTGAATTGGTGGTATGGGATCTTCCTACTTCCATCAATGAAACATACTTCGTGAGCTTTTTCGAATCATTTGGAGACACTATTAAGAATGTGAAATTTATTAATGATCCCATTAATGCTGCTCCTTTGGGAATTGCTACCTTCCTCTTTCCAAGGATCTTTAGAGAAAGCTCTGCGAAGTGCTAAAAATTTGCTCAGAGCGGTCAAAGCAGAGGCTCCGAAAATTGATGGAGTAGATTTAAGGTCGCTTTAAATGATAATGAAGAGAAACTATTGAACTCAAAAATTCACATTGCGCAAGAGCGGCTAAGGCTTGAAAGACTAAAGAGAGAAAAGGAGGAAAAGTTGCTTCAAAAGCAAAAAAAGCAAAAAGAGATTGACGATGAGAAACAGAAGCCTAGAGAGGAAAAACAGCCCAACGACCCACCCGTTTCAAAACTTAACACCACCACTATGTCTATAAAACACAGGAACAAGGTGATCAAAGGCATTTTTCTCCCTCAAGACCTTACGAAGTATGTCAAAGACAGACCATTCATCTACATCAATGACAAGTACGTTCCTACGAAAAAGATATCGTCACAAGAGGTAAAGAAAAAGCTAATGAAGTATGACTGGACGCGTGTATTGCTCGACAAAACAGGTTTTTTTGTCGTATTTAATACTTTGAAGGAATGTGAACGATGTTTTTATAACGAGGATGGTGTTCGCTTCTTTGAGTATACAATGTACATGGAGCTCTGTGTACCTGAGAAGTTTGTTGGTGATGAGAATGTTAAGGTGTCTAAATCATCCGATACAAAAGGACACGATGTTGTGGATGAGACAGTCAACATGTTGATAAAAGAACTTCAGGCGTACTTAAGCAAGGATATTCGAGAGCGTATAATTGCACCGTGTTCTTGACCTACTTAGCCATGACCATTATCCTGAGGTGGTTAATGAGTTGAAGGAAAAGGAGAAACAAAAGGAAATCAAGAAGGAGCAGTTGCAGCTGCACAACAAGAGCACGCAAATGAAAGATACCTATTCATTTTTGAATGGGAAGAGCAAGTTACAAGATACACAAAATCATGTATTGCATCTTCCTAGTTTCACAAAGAAACATGGTTCCGACACAAGTGATAGGAAGCGGAAGCGGAATCTTTTTCCGATGCAGCATGCGCTTAATTATGATGACCGTGAATCTGATGATTCAGACGAGGAAGACTCAAGTAGATCTGCTACTCCTGTTCCAGCAACAAAGAGGGAAGCCGATAGGTTTAATGATGAAGAAAATGTGAGTTACAAGCGTTCAAAGCTTAGAGAAAGCTTTTTGTACAATGAATATTCCGATGAAGAAATGCTGGAGGACGGACAAGAAGAACCAGAGGAGGGCAAGGTGGCTGAAGATAATGTTGCTGAGCCCAAGAGCGAGCTTGACATGATGTACGAACCTATTGCAAACGAGCTTCCGCAAACTGTGTTCGAAGAAATTGAGCCTCAGGCTGGCCGTGTCTATGACTTACAGAGATTGCAGGAAGTTCTCAGGGACGATGAGGACCTCCAGTTTGCTCGCGAGATCTTGTCCTCAGTGGAACCTGCAACTGTTAAACATCCTGAATATTGGGCCTGGAAGCAAAGGCAAATGGTTTTACAATCTCGCTCATCCGAGGTGGATAATGAAGAAGAAGCCATGGGTTTGTTGAGTGAACACTTGGAATGTGCTAGCGGATCCTTTAAGAGTCAGGGCTTCAGGAAAATCGCTGATGCTGACAAGATTGAATACTTACCTCACCGACGCAAGATTCACAAACCACTAGAAACCGTCCAACATGATTCCAAGGAAACCAATAGCGCTAATGGAGTCGGATCCGCGGGCGGTAATAGCTTGCAAAGTTCTCGTGTCAACAGAGCTAATAATAGACGGTTTGCCGCAGATATCAGTGCCCAAAAGCAAATTTTGAGTACGGAATCTGATATTTTGAATCTCAATGCTTTAACAAAACGAAAGAAGCCAGTTTCATACGCGCGTTCTGCTATTCATAACTGGGGACTTTATGCATTGGAACCAATTGCGGCAAAGGAAATGATTATCGAGTATGTGGGAGAAAGCATCCGTCAGCAAGTGGCTGAGCACAGAGAAAAGAGTTATTTGCGCACGGGCATTGGGTCGTCGTATCTCTTCCGTATTGATGAAAATACAGTGATTGATGCTACAAAGAAGGGAGGGATTGCTAGATTTATTAACCATTGTTGCAATCCAAGTTGTACAGCTAAAATCATCAAGGTGGATGGTAAGAAGAGAATCGTCATATATGCATTGCGTGACATTGAAGCGAATGAAGAACTTACTTACGATTATAAGTTTGAAAGAGAAACGAACGATGCTGAGAGAATTCGCTGTCTCTGTGGAGCACCGGGATGTAAAGGCTATTTGAATTAGGCCTTGAAAATCTATATGGGGAAGAAGTATAATTTAATGCGGTAATATAAATATTATGACAAACGTCAGATGAATCGTGGAAGCTTTAAAGAGAAATGTGTCACAATGCATGATCTCATTTCCATACAGTCCAGGCCGTAGTACAATTGACGACTTTTAGTACTTCCAATAATTTGTCCACCATCCTTCTGAGTAGCAACTTGGACTTAAGCTCAGTCAGCGGTTGATTACTTAGAGAATACCGGTATTCTAGGTTTAAAACCATCTTTAACCGGTGTAGTATACGCGCATTCGCATTATAGTGATGCGACGCGTAAGCAGATGGTCAGAATTCTAAGTACTCCTACAGTCATGCTTCGACGGGTGAAGCCTTTCTTTCTTAGGCGATTTCACGCCTCTGCATTACATCAATTGGCTCGGGCTGCTCTGAGACCGATCAGAGCGACCTCAGCTTGCGATGAGAAGTGTCTAAGCATTAGACAAGGGCCGGAGGAGAATAGCGTGAGGAGTTTCATCTCTGAGTCTCTCGAAGACCGAAGGAAGCAACCCGACAAAGGCTTAAAGAAGGAAGCAACCCACGAGCCAGACGCAGAAAATGATTTATCGGACGCTCGAAGTTCAAATGTGGACTCACTCGACTCAACATCATTCCCAACTGGTCCACCAAGCTGGGATCGTGGAGGCAAAACAAAGAAAAATGCATTGACACCATTGCTTGCGGCGATGCGCAAGCTCATTGATGCCAACAAAGGCTGTGTCTGTCTTGTTCAAGTTGGAAGTTTCTACGAGCTTTACTTCGAACAGGCCACCAATATCGCACCAAAATTAGGTATCAAAGTGGCTCTTCGACGTACATCAAACCACACAGTGCCAATGGCGGGCTTTCCTGTGAGCCAGCTTCAGAAATTTGTGCGGGTTTTGGTGCACGAGCTTCGGCTTAATGTCGCCATAGTGGACCAATATCCGGGCGCTGCGGATGCGCTCTTGCATCGTCGAGTATCAAGAATCGTCACACCAGGGACGCTAGTAGATGAGTCATTTCTCAACTATTCGCAAAACAACTATTTGGCTGCCATCTACATTCCACCTAACATGGCATCTTTGCCCGATCTGGAGCTCAGCATCGGGCTTGCATGGATTGACATCTCTGTGGGTGATTTTTACGTACAGCAAACCACTATGGGCGAATTGGCAGGAGACTTGAAGCGTATAGCTCCCAGCGAAGTTATCTTACCAAAGGAGTACCTGCCCAGTAATGCAGATGCGTCTTGGATCGGGGAGATGGGAGATTTGCGCAAATACTTCGTGCGCTATCACAAGACCGCATATCGTGATTTGAAACTGCAACTTCGGGCAGATCGTCAAGCTGCACGGAAGGCACTTGAATCCTTCTCTGTGCGTGAGGAGGCAGCCGTGAACATGATCCTTTCATACGTGTCAGTCAATTTGCCTGACCGAAATTTACTGCTTGACGTGCCAACCCATTACGCTAGCGATAAATATCTTCATATGGACTCACGTACTCGAGATGCACTAGAACTTACGTCGCGTACTACATTTGGCTCACATCTGGTAGTGGGATCTTTACTCCAGACAATTCGGCGAACTACCACGCCTTCAGGCTTTAGACTACTTACACAGTGGATCAAGTCGCCGATTCTTGATATCAATGAACTTCGACGCCGACAAATGTACGTGAGTTTGTTTCGAAGGCATCATCTCTTGCAACTCGAGGTGCGGGGAGTTTTGGCTAGACTTGGCGATTTTGTACGGGCATTGCAGCGTTTGGCTTTGAGAACGGGGTTGCCTGCTCTTCATTTGCAGACTGTGGGCGAAGGTTTGATCAAATTAAACCAAATACGGGATATCTTCGAGAACCACAGAAAAGCATTCAGCGAACAGGAAGCCGAACTCGTGCAACTGTTTTTAAACGATTTTCGTGTCCCTATTGACATAGCAAACGAGATTCTCGGTACATTGAACATTGAGCACATGCACAATCAACACAGTCAACACACTGAAGGTATTGACATTGAGAGTAAAGATAATGAAGCTGAAAACATTGAGATATATGCGAATGCAAAAAAAGACGAGAATTACTCGAATGAGGAACTGTGCGTTTTCGCTATTCGAAGAGACCATGATCCTCGGCTTCTTTCCCTCCACGCAGAGGTAGAGAGTTTGCAACAAGAGGAACAATCATTGCTTAATAATGTTCGGACAACAGTGACCTTATTAGATCCTAAGGCAACTGTAATGCGAAAGGACCAATGTGGACGATACTTCAACGTGATTCAGAATCTCGTGTCGTCCCAAGTTTACGGAAGAAATAAGCAAAATGTTTGCGGAGCATGACGTACGCGAGAAGCGCAAGGCCCTGCTTCTTTACAAACCACAAAGTTGGGCAAACCTTCAGGACAAACGATCAAGCTGTCTTCACGACATTGAAAACCTAGAGAAAGAAATCATTAATGGGCTACGCCTGAAAGTGTTAGAACAGACTAGCTTAATACGCCACACAAGCAGATGTGCAGACTTTTTGGATGTCACGTCTTCGTTCGCCGTCCTTGCAGAAGAAAATGATTTCGTAGCTCCACTGTTTGTGAAATCTCCGAATTTAAACATTGTCGCGGGCCGTCATGCTGTCGTAGAGGCAGGTCTTCGTGAAAATGGACAAATGTTTCATCCAAATGATACTCGACTCAATTCTAGAGAAAATGTATGGGTGATTTCAGGACCAAACATGGGAGGCAAGAGTACTTTTTTGCGCCAAAATGCCATTATTGCCATTCTTGCCCAGATAGGCTCTTTTGTACCCGCTTCTAAAGTTAGTATGGGAATAGTGGATCGTATTTTTACCCGTGTTGGTGCAGCTGACGATCTTTACAGTGATTTGAGTACGTTTATGGTTGAAATGATCGAGACTAGTAATATCTTGAAGAATGCCACACCACGCTCCCTTGCAATAGTGGATGAGATTGGCCGGGGAACAAGTGGTAAAGAAGGTTTGGCTATCGCTTACGCAACTCTAATGTCCCTTGTGAAAAAGAATAAATGTCGTACGTTGTTTGCGACACATTTTGGACGTGAAATCAAAGATCTATTGGAAGCAGATAAGGTTGATCAATCGAGTATACGTTTTCGCAAAACAAAGATAGTCGAACAAAAAGACCAGGAAACATCTGTTCCAACCATTCTGTTCGATTATGCATTAGAGGATGGTATCAGTGACCGGTCTTACGCGTTTGAGGTAGCTCGACTCGCTGGGTTTCCGTCATATGCGTTAGAATATGCAAACAGGGCACTTATACATCTCGACAATGGTTTTACGAAAAGATAGTCGAAGCAACCCGAATTCTATTTAAATTTGGTGTCTAATTACCAGGAGGCTCCTGGCCCTGTTGATGCTGATTTTGTGTGAGACGGTTAGCAACTAATTGTTGCAATTGATGTAATGCACTGGGTTCTGAAGTTGCCTGGGCCCATTGCGCCTGGGAATAATTGCTTTGGTTGGTACCTTGTTGTTGGTACTGAGCGTAATACGGCTGGGATGCATGCTGTGTCTGAAGCGACAGGGGAGTTAGCTGGGCATGCTGTAATTGCATTTGTTGCTGTTGTTGAAACGAGGTCTGCGGTTGAAATTGGGCATGCAATTGCAGCAGAGCCTGTTGATGCTGTTGATATTGAGGCTGCTGCTGAAATTGCATAGCATTTTGATAGGGCATATTTTGATACTGAGGTGCATTTGAATATCCCGGTTGTGGATAGAACTGGTTTTGTGCTTGCTGATATGGGTATGGTTGACCGTATGGATTGGGTTGTACTTGGTTTATTGGAACACCATATGGGTTCAGAACGTTTTCTGTAGACTGAACGTATGGCTTTACATGAGGAGAAGTACCATGATGGTGGTACTGTGCACCATACTGGGGCGTTGATGGGAGTGTCGCTGGCGTCAGATTTGACGCAAATCCATAAGAAACAAATTTTTGGTCACTATTCGTTTGATGTTTCTTCTTCGCAGGTTCGCCAGTTCCTTGGTCATTTTTCCTTTGTTTTTGCTTCTTCTTCTTCTTTTTCTCTTGTTTAGCCGCTAATTCTTGCTCATCATCCGAGAACTCTTGTTCTTCTTCAGGAAGTTCTTCATCATGGCAGTTTGAGGCATCCGTCCCTTTTGCTTTCTTGATTGCATCCGTATACAAAAATTGGGAGTCTGGAACCACATAAAACACTTTGGCACCTTTTTTGTCCTTGAACTTTTCAAACTCTTCATCAGTATTGAACTTGATTCTATAATTAGGTGCTTGCAACCGACCAAAAGTCTCGAATAAGGGACCAATGACCTGTCTGTCTTCCAAACACAATACACTATTCTCTTTGAGGACCCTAAACTCGCCAGAAATATTAGCTTTGATGATGATATTCTTCTCAACTAGGGATGTAATAGTTCCAACAAGTTCTAGAGGTGCATTCTCAGCCACTTTATAGTCAGAAGGCAAAGTTGGTGCAGCTTCATCGCTAACTTCATTTTTAGACAAGATTGGACCACTGCTTCCTTCCTCTTCCTCCTCAAGTTCGTCAATGATCTCTTCATTATTGTTCGTCTCTTCATCGTCGGATGAATCACTGGAATCAGACAGACTGGAGTCAGACAGACTAGAATCAGACAGACTAGAGACACTATCAGAATCTGAATCAGAACTGCTATCATCCAAGCTGATTTCATCATCCGAAAACTTCTCTACCGTCTCTTGTGTCTGACCCTCAAGAAAATCTTTCACTTTACCTGCGTGTGCTTCTTCCGAGACTTCATCGTTTCCCTTATCTTGGGACGAATTATCTTCTGCATTAGTGATAGGTGTTAAATCATTCGTATTTTCATTCACGTTGTCCTGTCCACGTTTCATATGATCATGTCCAGGTGTATTCTCGTTAGCGATACTTTCAACTTCATTGCCAGAATTTGCATCTGATTCCTGTGCGGTATCAACTGGTTCTGCACTCAAAGTCTCTTTGGAGGAAGAATCACCAATTTGTACGGATCCCTGGATTGTTTGAATCGCAGTTACTTTCTCACTAGTTGTTTCCACATCCCCACAGATGGCCTGATCTTGTTCGTTCGGTGTAAGTTCATTAGTTGGCATGGTGGGCTTTACCAAATCTGATTCCAGTTCCAAACCCGATGGAAACTTTATTTCTTGACTGTTATCCATGTGAGCTATCCTCTTCCCGTTTTGATATGAGAAGATGTACAAGATCAGATGAGCATCGCATCACCTCGTAAGAAGCGCCGTGGTGTACGGGTGTCTTTACAATCCACAAATTCTATGATATTGAATTTGGTGGCTTTCTCTTCCCTTTCCATCAGGATTGATGGTTCTTCAAAATGACAAAGGCACTACAACCTCTAATAAGAAAAATCGAATTTCAGGCCGACCTCCTTCATGACGTCATATCTTTGTCAACTAACAACTCACCGCGAAATAATCTAAAAAAAAGGTTTGAAGGGGGAGAATTTGTCGGTCTCCTGCCGATTATTGAATTTGGATAGCTCCAGACCGCATCACCGAGGCGTATCGAAACTACATTACGATGTCAGAGTCACCAACTACACGGTTTGTAGAAGAGTATAGAAAATAAAATGAAAAGGAGAGCTCATTCTTCTCCATTCAACGAAATGAGACAACACATAGCGGTTGAATGCAACATTTTGGTCTCAAAACAAGGAGAAGCTACCATTGTCCGCCAATATTTTGAAAAGTCTGATCAACACCATACCGTAGTCACCATTGGCTATGTGCCGGTCGCTTATTAGCGCAATTCCTTTGCGCTACAATCGCCGGGCTGAAGTAGCAAGCGTACAAGAATGACGAAGTTATTCATTCAGTGGGTTAGATTTCCCGAAGAATTCGGCTCCATCCAGCATCCAACAGCAATATAACATGAGCTAATCATGTAACAAGCTTCCAAAGAGTTTCATGTACGTAGTGTATGTAGCGCGACGTCAATGCTGGGCTACAAGTGCCGCGGCTATTTCGTGCTGGATTCTGTCCCGTATCCGTCGCACAAGAAAAACAACATAAATCTCTCGTCTCCGCCCCTTTTATCATCTCTCTTTCTTTCTTCTCTTCAACGTCTGTTCCCTACTTTTCGGTTTAACCTGTCATTCCTTTATCTTTTTCCCTGCCTCCGTGCAATTACGCTCCTTAGATAAACCTTGAAGGTATGTTCAAATTTGATTTAACTGACTCTATTGCCTCATGAGAAGAACGTGTTTTGTTCCACTTTTCTTCACTTTGCACGCTTGTTTTCAAAGTTGTTTTCAAACGGGCCCATGTCTGCCCTTGTTCTTTTTCTATACTTCAGATACACGCTTTCTACGTCGAAATCTACACTGGTTTCGGTACTGAGACAAGAATGTTTTCTGTGTGGTGAAATTGAAATTTGTCTTAGGCTGCTTTGCAGTGTTTGGCGCGAAAATGGTGGGCTGGATGTGACTGCATCAGTCGCGGTCCGAAGCATTTTCGCTTCTCCTTGGCGGCTACTTGTTTCGTTTTTGCTTCCAGCAGAATTCCAAACGGGGGACCTCGACCAGCCGAACGTTGTATACAGGAGTGTTTTGACACTAGCGCTCCTGCGTTGTGTATTTGGTGCGCGCTCACCGTGTCTTTTGTTTACGGTCGCGCATTTGAATTTACCTGCAAGGCACAGCCCAAGACAAGTGTACCTGAATCAAGCAATTAATACTCAGCATTCGCATGTATGAAAATTATACTAACACAGTCTAGTAATGAAATTCAGCCAGAATATACTCGCTACTGTGTTTGTGGCATTGTCCACTCTTGCTGCTGCCGCTCCGGCGAGCAAGAGGGATGACGATGACTGCTCTTCTACTAGGGTTCATCTTCATCACAAGCATAAGAGAGAGGTCGTTTACGAATATGCCTATGTGACTGTTACGGTCAATGGCCAAGGCTCCGAAGTCTCTGCCACTCAGACGACCACTTCCACTGGAACTGACGATGCTCCAGTGGACTCGACTTCGACATTGGAGTTTACTTTCACGCCAAGCTCTTCTGTCGCTGCCCAAGCTTCGAGCGCTGCTGCTGCCTCCTCGGCGGTGGCATACTCGTCTGCTGCTGCCTCTTCCCCCGCACAAGCCTCGTCTGCTGCTGCCTCTTCCCCTGCACAAGCTTCATCTGCGCAAGCCTCTTCCGCTGCAGCATCTTCTCAGGGCGGTGCTTCTTCTGTGGCATCAAGCTCGCAGTCTACTGGTACATACACCACCTCCTCGTCCAACGGAATTAGCGGCGATTTGCAAAGCTACCAAGATCCAACGGAAGAGTTCCAAGACGGTGTTCTTTCTTGTGATGAGTTCCCATCTGGCCAAGGTGTTATTGCTCTTGACCACATGGGCTTCGGTGGCTGGTCCGGTATTTACAACTCTGACACTTCTACCGGTGGTTCTTGCAAAGAGGGCTCTTACTGTTCTTACGCTTGTCAATCTGGTATGTCCAAAACCCAATGGCCTTCGAACCAACCTTCGAATGGTGTTTCGGTCGGTGGCTTGCAATGTAAGAATGGCAAGTTGTACAGATCTAACCCTAACTCCAAGTACTTGTGTGAATGGGGTGTTGACAAAGCCGTTGTTGTGAGCAAATTGTCTCAGGACGTTGCAATCTGCAGAACCGACTACCCTGGTACTGAAAACATGGACATCCCAACCGTGGCTCTGGCCGGTCAAACAACTGTTCTTACTACTGTTGACCAAGATAGCTATTTCCAATGGCAAGGCAAGAAGACATCGGCTCAGTACTACGTTAACAATGCTGGTGTTTCTTGGGAAGACGGCTGCACCTGGGGTAGCGCTGGATCTGGTATTGGCAACTGGGCACCATTGAACTTTGGTGCAGGATACACTGGTGGAATTGGCTACCTCTCTTTGATTCCAAACCCAAATAACTACGATGCTGCTAACTTTAACGTCAAGATCACTTCTTATAACGGCGGTACAGTTAACGGTGAGTGCGTCTACGAAAATGGCTCGTACAACGGTAACGGATCCGATGGATGTACCGTTGCTGTCACTTCTGGCCAAGCGCAATTCGTTCTTTACAATTAAGATTGTTTTCATATATTACCCAGATTTTGTTTGAATGCGCAATGTGTGATAGTGTAACTATGCTTGAACGCTACATGTAGTATAGCCATGAATTATGTACACTCTAGTGTCACGTCAAGAGGAAGTGACCGATTTTGTTGCGTGACTAGGCTTACAAGTAAGTTGTAACTTCTAGTAAGTTGTAACTTCTCAGAGCAAACACCTACATTGCAAGCAGTGCTCTTCTCGGCAGTACCCGAATACTGAATCGGATAAATTGCGCACCAATGATGAGAAAAAAATATTGAGAAGAAAAAAGCAACGGCACTTGGTGTAAAAAAGAAATTTATTTGGCGCACAGACTATCTAATACGGCATTCATGCGAAAAAAAAATTTCACAAGAAAGCCGTGAGCGACTGAGCACACGTGACCATAGGCCAATGGAAAACGTAGGGCAATTTTCAATAGCTTTCAGGGGTCAGAAAAGTACGGATGCTAGAAATAGAATTGGTTCCACATTTTTATCAAGTATTTCCGGAGGGTCCAGGCAAGTGATATGGATCATAGAATACTAAAAAAAAGGAAGAAAATAATCAAGAAAATTGGTTCAAGAGATAACAAAAAGATACAGAACGAAAAAAAAAAAAAAAAGAAAGTGCAATGAAGGGAGCATGCGCAGGTGACTTAAGTAAGAGAAGTTAGAAATAAAATGGGGGCAAGACCTCCCTTCTGTAGCTGGGGGGTTGTCTATAACCAGAATCGGTTATCTTATCTCAGATAAGAAAGCAGCATATTCCATCTTGACGCTAAAGGCAGTAGTAATCGAGCACCAAAAATAATGCGGAGAAAATTGTAGCTAAGCGCAAGTAGCAGCGATGAGACGGCATTGTCGAGCGGCGAAATGAGAAAAACGGTACACCCTGCAGCAAAAGCAAACGGCGTTTAGGGCGATTTTCGCTCGGTCGCGCACGAGCTGCAGACAATCATGTATGCATCATTCATTCGATGCAGACGCCCAAGATAAGAAAATTTGTCATTCAGTATAAAGTATGGTAAATTGCCGCCTTAGGTTTCGGTGCACACGAGCAAAACTTCATCGCTATGTCTGATATCGAAAAAGCTGTGGAAACCCCAAAGGATGTTCTGTATGTCAGAGACACAGACGACTTGTCAATCATTTCCAAAGGAGGTGACAATGAGGTGAAGAGAAACTTGAAGGCCAGACACATTTCTATGATTGCTCTTGGAGGAACCATTGGTACTGGTCTTTTCATTTCTACCAAAAACGCTCTTCAAGCAGGTCCTGTTTTGGCCCTTATTGCATACCTTTTCATTACCACTTTGGCTTGGGGTGTTACTCAGGCTTTGGGTGAAATGGCCACTTTTATCCCCGTGTCTGGATCCTTTACACAGTTCTCTGCCCGTTTCTGTTCTCCAGCTTTGGGTGTCGCTAACGGATGGAACTACTGGTTTTCTTGGGCTATCACTTTTGCCCTTGAGATTTCTGTTGTTGGCCAGGTTATCCAGTACTGGACGCACAAGGTGCCTTTGGCTGCATGGATTACCATTTTCTTCGTTTTAATTACGATTTCCAATATGTTTCCCGTCAAGTTCTACGGTGAATTTGAATTTTGGATTGCCTCGGTCAAGATCATTGCTGTGGTTGGCTGGTTAATTTACGCTCTTTGTATGGTTTGCGGAGCTGGCAAGACTGGACCTGTTGGTTTTAGATACTGGAGAAACCCTGGAGCTTGGGGTGACGGTGCCGGGTATGTGCACAACAAGAACACTGACCGCTTTTTAGCCTGGTTGTCCTCATTAATCTCAGCTTTGTTCACATTCCAAGGTGTTGAATTGGTGGGTATTTCTTGTGGTGAATCTGCCAACCCAAGAAAGACAGTTCCATCTGCCATTAAGAAGGTGATTTGGCGTATCATGATCTTTTACGTCGGTTGTATGTTCTTCATGGGCTTGTTGATTCCTTACAATGACCCTAAATTGACTGACGACTCTGCTTTTGCTGCCTCGTCACCATTTATTGTTGCCATCAAAAACTCGGGTACCCCAGCCTTGGCTGATATTTTTAACGCTGTCATTTTGATTGCTATTATCTCTGCTGGTAATTCTAACGTTTATTCTGGCTCTAGAATTTTATACGGTTTGGCTCAAGCCGGTGCTGCTCCAAAATTTTTCATGAGAACAACCGTTCATGGTATTCCATACATTGCAGTTTTGTTCACCGCCGCCTTTGGATCTTTAGGTTACATGGTATTGTCTAACAGTGGCAACACTGTTTTCAACTGGTTGTTGAACATCACAGCTGTTTCTGGTTTGATTGCATGGGTCAACATTTCCTTTTCTCATATGAGATTTGTGCAAATCTTGAAGTCTAGAGATATCAGCAGAGACTCTTTGCCATACAAGGCCAAATGGATGCCATACGTTTCATATTACTGTTTCTACTTTGGCTTCGCTCTTGTTTTTGTGCAAGGTTATTCTTGTTTCTATGGGATCACTGCATCATCCTTCTTCACGGCATACATTTCGGTGATCTTGTTTGCCTTCACTTGGATTTGTGCTCACTTTTATTTTAACGGTTTTACCAAGCATGCATTCTCTTGGAACTCGATTTTGCTCCCATTGGACGAATGTGACATCGACACTGGTGTGAGGGAAATTGAAGATGCGGTTTGGGATGACGAAGCTCCAACTACTTTGTGGGGCAAGTTTTGGGCATTTATGTCTTAGCATATTGGGTTTGTTAAGACATTATCACAGGTGAATAATGTTATATAATTTTCGGCATAAACATAATACTTAGATATATCACATGTAAGTCACGGACTCAAAAATCGTAAAATATACTTTGTGCTTTGGAAATATAATCAATTTCTTCGCATATACGGTGTATTATTTTCAGTCCTATCTCCATCCATGTCAGAAGAGATAACGAAGTCTTCTCCTCAAGGGAATGCAACAGAAGGGTCACAGGCTACAAGAAAGCAGATTGATGTGAAGCTTTTAGACCAACAGTTAGCTGATCTCGATTCTGACGATTTAGATTCTGATGATGAACTTCACTTTGGAGGATGTCACTGTTGTGCAGGTCTGGTGGGCACTATCAACAATATGAAATAAACGGTATCCATATTAAGTCCATGACTCTGTAGACATCTTGTATTCGTATTACCCTATCATGTTTATAGTTCCACACTTACAGATGTTTTTCATGTTAGGGACATACAATGCGATGCGCAATTACTAGTTGTTAGTCATCGATTTAAGGAAAGGGAGACAAACATCTACTTAACATAGGGCTAATCGCTACAATGTTTTCGGAAGAGGTGATAGCTTACTTGAATGTGCTCTTAGAAAGAATAATAATAAACAAAAAAGAAGCACCATTAATACACTCTCCGAGTTTACGTCATGCACTTCGAATACATCACCAAATGTTCCAAGAACAAACATGATTGACGCAACGTGCTTTTGAAATATGCATTTCGATTAATTCTGAGCGAGCCAATAGACACCAATGGATAAACGGAATCGTATTGATGTTAAAATCGTCTTAGCGGAATTTCTCGCTGTGAGCTACTTTGAATACTAACCTCGCTTTCCCTTGCTTTTCTCAAATGGAGATAAAACTGCCTATCTAGCAAACTCGCTATGAATTACCAAATCAATGACACAAGGCAATAAGGATAAATGGCTTGGCGTAGTGCTTCTTGATTAGTCAAATAAACGTACCGAATTTATCCATTATTACACAATTTTCCCTATATCTGTAACTTCATTCAATTTTTCATTTCTTCCGCCCACTTCTCCTAACAGCCTGGCGAGTACTTCTTCTAGCTTTGGGTTCTTCTTTAGCAGCAGAAGGTTCCTCCTCTTGTACTTCAGATCGCGTCCTTCTTTTTGATGTTGCGGGAGGAGTATTAGCACGCAGATGGCGCTTTTTCTGTGGCAATGTCTCTGGTGCATCAAGTTTTGCTATCGACCTTGTTCTTTTACGCAGAGCGGTGTCACTGTCGTTTTGCTTTTTTAATGCTTTCGCTTTACCGCGTGAAGCACCTTTCTCCTTTTTGGTTGATAAGAGCTCGTCCCCTTCTAGTTTCGCTAATTCCGCGTCATCACCTTCTACATCACTAAGTTCAGATGAGTAATCACCTGGTTCCAGAGTGTCACTGATGTCGTCCTTAGCCGATTTTTCTTCCTTGGGTTTCTCTCGAGATTTCTCTCGAGACTTTTCGTCCAGCCCACTTTTCTCTGGCTTCTCGTATTTCTCTTCCTTGGGTGGCTTTTCTTCTTTCTTACTTGGCTTTTCATCTCTGGCGTTGTGTCTTTCTTTCTCCACTTCTTCTTTTGACTCTCCTGTTATCTTATTCATTGTACCTTCCTTTTCTTTGCTATGTTGGATCTTTTCCGCACCGTTATTCGGTTCAACACTTGATCTATTTGTCTTTCTTCTCGTAGATCTTTCTTCTGTGGATGGAGTAGCCGAGCCCTCTTCACTTTCGCTTTCTTCTTCGATCTCATCAACCTTAGCTAGGTTATAATGCTGGGATAGCTTGGACCATATTTGATCGGCGGTAAACTTCCCTGAATCTTCAACTCCTTCATTGATATGCACGACTATTTGGGCCATATTTTCGTCCTTTTTCTGCCCAGCCGGTTTATAGTCACATACAAGACTAAAGAGTTTTATCTCTTGATCAATTGTCCAATCACGAGCTGCACTCATTGTTCTGGTGATACTTTCGAATGTTCGAATCCCAACCCTATCGCGTAAAGAAGGCGTAGGTCAATAAAGAAACGAAGAAACAGGTTTCACCTACCCCTTCGATATAGCCTGAGTAGCGTAGTACTCGACGGTGATCTGCGCCTGCACAAAATTGAGAACCATTGTAATATGTCAACAAGACGTGTGCCAGCTACGTTAGATACTGCAATTAAAGGGCTGAAAATATCGATTAGAAAATGTGATGTCTTTGCAAACTAGGCATCAGTATTGATATTTTCATGCCAAAACCTTACTGCCAAGTCAACTCTTCTAGTATGGTTCGCGCACGCTATTTTTCACCACTTTTTCACTGGAGCGCATGTAGAACTAAGCCAACCACCCATGCCCAGAAAAGCGACAAACTTGTACTCCACGGCCAGGGGTCGTGTTCGTGCATCTATGAACAAGTATAACTTGTTCAACTTGTACAAAAAACCCCAAATCAGATATCAGGGCAAGTCTCTTTTCCAGCAAAAGTGGACTGCAAAACAGGAAACCCGAGCCTATCATGGAGAACATTTAACAGAGCGCAGATGGAAAACTTTATTTAATCCTAGCTTGGAATCTGTTGCCCAGTTAGATGCTTCCTTGAAGGGTGTGGATGTGGCACCAACGCCTATGCCTTTGCAAACTTTTGCCGCATTGGAGAAAAGGCTTGAGTTTGCCTTGTTTCGTTCCATGTTTGCATCTTCTGTTAGACAAGCCCGTGAATTCATCAAGAATGGCCATGTCAAGGTTAATGGTGTGACTATAAAACATCCAGCTTTTCCCTTGAAGTCAGGCGATATTTTCAGCGTTAACCCAGAAAAGGTAATGCTTGCCATGGGTAGAGTTAAGCCAAGTGTTGCAGAAGCTATAAAGGTGGACAAGAAGCAGATTGGAGTTTGGAATAAATACGTCAGTGCAGCAAAACAGAATCCCAAGGACGTATGGGATTTGCAACAAAATAAGCCGCAATCCTTAAACACCTTGAACGAAAATGTTCAATTGAGTCGTCTCGAGTCCGTCAAGAAGTTCAACAAAGACGTGGAGCGTAAAATGCTTGCGGAGCAAAAGCAAACTACTCGCGAGAACCTCTTGTCGAAGATCTTGTCCGCCATCGAAGGAAAGGATGTGGATATCCTTGAACCTTCTGCTTTCAGTAAAATCGTTGGAGGAAAGGACTCCGCCAAATGTCTTGAAATTGCCAAAATTTTGTCTCGGGCTGAAAGTCCTTTAATTGCGGCTCATTCTCCAGAGAAATGCAAGGAGTATATTTCAACCAAAAGTACCGAGTTTGACTCTAAAGAAGCAGCTAAAACTGCAGCCAGTGTCAAGAAGATTTTGTCTGAACTAGTATCTCTGCAGTTGGAGTATCTTCGTGTCAAGGGTGAGCAACTGATGTTACCTGAGGACACGAAGACCATTCCATTCTCCACATCTTTTGGCAAGAACTTGAAGCCTCATCCTCCTTTGGACAAGGATTCTGTACTCGAGGACGAAAAACTGGCAAAAGTCCACCTTCCGTGGCAAAAGGGATTGTTTGGACGCCAGGATCCTTCCAAGCCTTATTTCACCCCATGGACCCCTAGACCTTTTATCGGAGCATTTGCGATTATGCCCCACCACATCGAGGTGTCGTTTGAGACGTGCCACGCTGTCTACTTAAATGACCCTGTCGCCAGACCAGGCCATTCGGAGGTAATCTCTCCTTTCCCAGACCACGTGCATGAGAGAGCATACATGTACTATGTGAGAAAAGGATTGTAACTTGTACATAGTCAACGATATCACAATTTTCGATGGTGTAGCTTCTCGGGCTTCGAAGTGGATATTAACTTCATAGAAGATATCAGCTCGCAAGGTTCAGCTTAGGCATCTTGTGAGGATTTTGGTAAAAAAAAAAATGCTAAATAAATTAAATGTATTCATGTGGTTCACAAAAAAAAAAAAAAAAAAAAAAAAAAAAAAAGAGAACGAACAAGAACGAACGAACGACGAACCGTATATCTGTATGAATGAATACAGCTGGATGAAAATGTACATTGGTTCAATTTTTGGCGTTGCCAAATCTGCTCTTGGCTACTCTGTTCAGTCCCAAAGCTGCGATCGAAGTCTGTCTCACTGCGAATGCCTCGAATATCCAGCAAGCTTGTTCGACAGGCTCGCGCTATATCGCCTCGCCTTGCGCCTCTCTTACGAGCCACGGGATCATTGGAGCGTGCCCATAGTGAACTTAAGTGGATCGAAAACGAACTTCCACGCCACAAGTGGACGAACGCTGTGAACAGAAGAGCATGCCTTGAGCCGCTTCAATACATCTTGGGAAGTCAGCCGTTTGGTCTGTTGGATATTCTCTGTGGCCGAGGAGTTTTGATTCCACGCTGGGAAACTGAGGAATGGGCCACAGCTGTAGCTTCTATCATCAAGGAATTCGAGTCTCCGAGAATATTAGATGCTTGCACAGGCACAGGTTGCATTCCGCTTCTTCTCAAGCACGAACTACCGCACGCGAAGGTCCAAGCATTCGACTTTTCAGAAGATGCACTTCGTTTGGCAGGTCTTAACAAAGAGAAATTTGATATCGATGTGTCTTTTCATTATGGCGATGTATTTGACTCAAATATGAAGTTTGACCATCCCTTTGATCTCGTCACCGCTAATCCACCCTACATTCCAATAAACGACTACGAGCGGCCTATGCTTCTAAGTGGTCCAGAAAAATCTGTGCGACTATACGAACCTCGACTGGCTTTGGTAGGCCACCTCGAGTTTTATCATGCCTTAGTTGACAATATAGTACGCGCGCTGCAGTGTAGCGGAATCATTTTTGAGTTAGGCTATGAAGAACAAGCTCAAGCAACCGCTGAAAAGTTAGGTACGGCCTGGTTGTGTGGGCGATATAACGACTCTGCTGGGCGCTTGCGATGCGTGGTGGGATGGAAGAAAGGCACACCTATGCAGACTCTAGCGAACCTTGTAAACGGAGGAACCCTCTAAGGTACATAATGAAGATAATTCTAACTTGTGCTTTGCGAAAGGATAGTCCAGCTGCGCAATTTATTTATCATGAGACAATGTACTTGTGGTCAGAACTAGAGTATAAAGCTAGTGCACATTTGAGTCGTTTCGTATAATATGCACGGAAGTGGTGCCCAAAAGGCAATGAAGTATTAGCCTTATTCGGAGGCTCTAGAAAGTATGAAATAAAACAATGCTTGCACAGTTAGTTCTCAATTTTATATGAACCCTTGGCGGGTTAAAGAAATCCTGAAGCACAATACGTCAGTATAATAGCCACGAACTTTTGCTTCGTATGACATGGTATTCAGAAATCAGCTATTTAAAGTGTTATTGATGTACGACATTAAGCTTTATTACTCCATGTCAACATCTGGAATGTCTGTCTCTATTTGCTCCTCCTTTTTCTCTGTTTCTAACTTATTATTGATATGCTGATCCTCCTCTTTCTTCTGATCTGTGTTTTGAATTGTCTTCTCTTCTTCTTTTATTTCTTCTTCTTTGATCTTTTCTGCTTCTTCTTTCTTCTCCACCTTATCAACCTTTTCTTCATGTTTAGGCTTCTTCCGTGTCCCCTTACCCACAGCCTGGATATTTCCACCAGCTGGAAAAACACGTGTGCCAGCCAAAATATAGCCTCCATATCCTCTCAGTGTCATAAGCGGATGCAATCTTCCCTTAATTGTTTGATAGATACGGGCTCGGGTCTCAAAAAATTGAAGGTGCCAACACCCGTTTGTCCTTACTAAGTTCATGCTGTGTCTCTAAGAGCATTTCCTTAAACTGGCTGTAGAATACCACTGGCCGAGAACCACCGATGGCAGAAATAACAGGGTCCAAAAAGGATGGAATACTGAGTGTAGATACAGCCACAAGTGCATCAAAGTTACCTTTGGAGATAACCTCCAAGTTTTCATTGATTTCTGCCGCTCTCTTCAGTCTTCTCTGGTACTGGAGTTGTTTCGTTGGCCTTAGTGCTGCAAGTTCTTCCTCTGTAAGTGCATCCCAATGGATCTTCTCATTTTCTGGCTCCAAAAACTGAAGCCAACTCACAGTCTTGATCATCTTCTGTTGATATTCTTCGGAATAATCCGAGTGTCGCAATGAGGCAAGGTTAGCATGCTCATTTTCATGAATAAGCATAATAGATCCTTGTCCCTGCATTCTCTCCAACATAGCATATACCACAACTCCTGCAGTGTCATCGATCACCAAATAGTTTCCGCCTGGGCGAATATTCGCATGACTGAGAAGCAAACCTAATGTTTCCTCGCTCATATCCAATACTTTTTGAATGTCTTTGTCGATGTAGTATTGTAAGACTTGGGACGGACCAACATACTCCACTTGAAAACGACGCAAAAACTTTTGTTGTTTACGGCGCAAGTACTTTTGTTGTGAGAATAGAGTTTTCTTGTCAAAGGCATCATGGCCAGCGATGATCTTCTCGATGATTTTCTGCCCAATGTCAGACGAAGCCCCTGACTGCTTTAGCTCATTGATTTGCTTGCTGTCGAGTTTCTGGATTTTCGAGCCGATATTGATTATATCTTGATTGCTCTCAGCGCTCACTTCGAAAAACTTGGTGAGTTGATCTTTAGTCATCTCATCATCCATTTCGTTCTCCAATACTTCTTCTGTATGAGTCATTGACTTTATAGGAACTGCGAGCTGGTCTTCTGAAATTTCAAATGTCGTACCAAATGGATGTCCCAATATACTTGACACTTTGAATGCTCCGAACTTCCCTAAAGATATGACCCCGTCTTCTTTTAAATAGGCGATCTTAACACCTTCTGATGGCAACTTTATGAAGGCATGCTGATTTGCCAGAATTGTTGACTTGCTTTTCTGGGGCAACATTTTTTTTCCGTATTCACACTAAGACTTTTTGGGTTGTTGCCAGGAAAGTGTATACTCGCTCGGTATAGATTGACACCTTCTCTGAGTTTCGTGCGTGCGAATTTTCTCATCTCATCGCATTTTTTTCTGTTATCGACTATTGATCATATCAACCAAAAATGGGTAGAAGGGCCAAAAATAAGCAAGGTATGCCACCTACGTTGGATGAATTCAACGAACTGAAGCAAAAAGGCTCTGGCAAGGTAAACAAGAATGATAAAAGAAAGAGGTCTGAGGAAGCTCCAGCCAAAAGTAAGAGAGCGAAAAACATCAAGAAACAAAAGGATGACATTGAAGAGCATCCAGAAGGTCTTCCTCAAGTTGACCTCGAAGAATTGGCGTCAGCCAAGAAGTCCCTTTTCGATGAGGATGATGAAGAGGATGTTGGTAATGAAGAGTTTGAGAATCTCGATGACTTAGAAGACGATGAGTTGGTTGATTCTGATGAGGAGGCCAGGGTCCAACCAATGTTTTCAGACGATGATGATGACGAAGACTTGGAAGGTTTAAATGCAGCGAATATGGAAGCATATTCGAAGCAGCTTGATGACGATGAAGAATTGGAAGCTGAGGAAGCTGAATTGGAATTAACTCAAGGCGCACCACAGCCTAGAGCAAAGGTTTTGCCTACTGAGGAGGAAGAGGCGATGATGGCTGAGCACCCAACCGATGTCACCTCGGTAAGAACAAGAATGATTGAAATCGTTAAAGTTTTGGAAAACTTTAAGGAGTTGGCTGAGGAGGGGAAATCTAGAGCTGATTATACCTCGAGGTTGTTAAAGGACATTTGTGAGTACTTTGGATACTCCGAGTTTTTGGCCGAGAAGCTTTTTAATTTGTTCTCTCCTTCTGAGGCCATGGAGTTTTTCGAGGCTAACGAAGTAGCAAGACCAATCACCATTAGAACAAATACATTGAAGACTAGAAGAAGAGATTTGGCCCAGACTTTAGTCAACAGGGGTGTGAATTTGCAACCCATTGGAGCTTGGACAAAGGTTGGTTTGCAAATCTTTGACTCGCAAGTGCCAATTGGTGCTACTCCAGAATACTTGGCAGGACACTATATTTTGCAAGCTGCTTCCTCGTTCTTGCCCGTTATGGCCTTAGATCCACAAGAAAATGAGCGTGTCTTGGATATGGCTGCCGCCCCAGGTGGTAAAACCACTTACATCTCTGCATTAATGAAGAACACAGGTTGCGTTTTTGCCAACGATGCCAACAAAGCCAGAACCAAGTCCTTGATCGCCAATATCCAACGTTTAGGATGTAAGAACACAATCGTCTGCCACTATGATGCTCGTGAATTTCCTAAAGTCATTGGAGGTTTCGACAGAGTCTTGTTGGATGCTCCATGTTCTGGTACTGGTGTCATTGCTAAAGATGAATCTGTCAAAGTCAGCCGTACTGAGAAAGATTTTATTCAAATCCCTCACTTACAAAAGCAGTTGTTATTGAGTGCTATTGACTCCGTTGATGCAAACTCGCCTACAGGTGGAGTTATCGTCTACTCCACGTGTTCTATTGCTGTGGATGAAAATGAGGCGGTCGTGGACTATGCCTTAAGAAAAAGACCAAATGTCAAGCTTGTTGAAACTGGTTTGCAAATTGGAAAAGAAGGTTTTACTTCTTATAGAGGAAAACGTTTCAACCCTAAAATCTCAATGACGAGACGTTACTACCCTCATACGTACAATGTGGATGGTTTCTATGTGGCTAAATTTAAGAAGATTGCTCCTTCCCCACATGACATCACAAAGGCAGGTGCTAAGGAGAAGGAATCTCTTGCTAGATCTGAGGCTGAAGAAGAAGGTATTATCCACGATGATTTCGCTGAGTTTGAAGAGGATGAAGACAAACCGTTCATCCGAAAAGTCGGTCAAGATAGGCATGAAGAAGAAGGGTATCAACCCAAACGCTAAAAAGCAATAGTGTATCATAGTAGGCATTTGATTACAAGATCCGAAACATACAGTTGTAATTGTACATTGTAAACTATAGTTTATCACAAGTCTCGAAGACACACGTTCCCGAGATTGTGCTCCTTAATGTACTCTGGGCCCATTTCTTCGTACTCCTCTTTCGTAACATAGCTATGGAACGCATCTTCAGATTGAGCCCATTTTTGCATACCCCTCCAAGGATCCACGATTGGGTCTGGAGACCTCGTCACATTGAAAGGCGTGCCACTTGGAAGGAACCCCATTACCTCGCTCTGTACTCGATCAACAAAATTGGGGAGTAGAGAACCACCCCCAGTAATGTACACGTTCTCTATCATGGCTCTCAGCTGACCACCGATGTTGAAGTTTCCATCAAAGCTGCGAAGAAGTATGTTCTGGATCACCTCTGGTATTCCCGCTTGATCAAGGCCAGCAATATACGGCTCAAAGTATATCTCCGGTACGCGTATGCGCTCCACATTAACATGGAGTTGATGATTACGACGTATGATTTCAGGATGATTAAGCAACTCATCAGGATCATGCCCTTCTGCTTGCATCGCTAAAGTCAAGTTTTGGCGGGGCCCATGAATAAACTTATGCAACACCAGATTCTCCCAGTCGAAAGACTCCGATACCGCAAAAGTATCTTCATGATGAAAGTTAGGATCGTGTTCCAATAATTCCAGCTCCAATTTCAAGATCTCATTATTTGTTTCAGTCTGCTCCTCCTCTAAAGCCGCGTTACTCGTGTCTCTGTAAGCATTCCAGTCATCATCGTTTGCACCGAAAGTGTCGTTGGGATCGTTATCAATAGTCACATTTACATTCCGCCGACGCTTTCTGCTCGCTGCTGTCGTTGAACTGGTCAGATCATTGGCCAAGTTCGCTATAGTCTTCATTCTCTGTTGGGCTGCCATCGACTTGCGGTCCTTCATAGCTTCCATAAGCTTGGAACGTTGCTTATATTCCGAGATAAGTTGCGCCAATTGAAGACGCTTTGTAAGGCACCAATCTTCCAAGTCCCGCTTTCTCCATTCTTCTTGTTCCTTTTGATACTGCAATCTAGCTTCTTCCTCTTTCTGCTTTTCCTCCTTGGCCCTCAAACGAGCTTCATAGTTACTTTTGAGAAGTTTCTGTCTGCGCTTTTCTTTGATCTGTTCTTCCGATAACTCTGAATCAGGAATTTCGGCCAAAGGCCATGCTGTCTCTGGATTGATGTCCTCTTCTGGTTCATCAAGATCTTGAGTGCGAGCCTTCTTGAGCGATTTCTCTAAACCATCAATGTATTTGGACAAATCAGCCATGCTCTCGAACTCTTCAGCTTGAACTCTGCGCTCGGCCTCAGATTTACTGAGTTTAGAAAGGGTTTCTCGAAGATTAGTGTAGTACTCGAACTCTTGTTCCTTTTGAATTAGTTTTTCTAACCTTTTCTTTTGGGCTTGTTCCTGAAGCCTTCTACCTTGTTCCTTACGTTTCTCTGCTTGTCGAGCCAATTCCTCCTCTGATTTCTTAGCTTTTTCCGGGACAATATCGACTGGAACCTGAATGACCACGTCGTTCTTTTCAAGATTTTCCATATTCAAGTACGTCGCCAACTCAGCAGTATAATCTTTCAGAACATACGCATGGTCTTGTATGATATTTGACGTGTGAAAAGTGGAGAGTCTCGACGGGAAATAAGGGTATTTCAATGCTAGCGTCTTTTGGAGAAACTGCAGAGCGGGATTTCCGCCCCAGTCAATTCGTTTACAGTTCAGAAGTATCCCTTTTCCTTGTAAGACAGGAATAACGTGTGTCAGCTCATTGCCGACACTTACGATTAAGCCATCTCTTTTCGTTGATCTGCCATAGAACGAGAATAAGGAATCGATACCCAACGCTACTTTAGGAGCCCGGTATGCCTCAAACAAAATCTCGTACATTCCTTTCCGTTGACTTAGTGGACACCCAACAGGCTCAGTCATAATGACTGGATTGTTAAGGCAGCCATTATTAGAAACGACACTCAAATGCTCGAGTGAATAGTCAAGAATGCTCTCCGCATAATCCCAATTTGCAATTAAGGCCCCATCAAATGGTGACTTTGCTCCAGCCTTAAGAGTGTTGAGGCTTATACCCTCTCTGTAAATATCGTTTCCAATAAGAGTCAACGTCTGGTTAGACTTGCGATCTCTGTGCTTTGCAACAAGAGTGGGGAACACATTCAGCGGGTTCTGGGAATTCGTTAGGCCAACACGAACATTGGCCGATCCAAAGTCGATAGCTATAGGAACATCTGGTTGATAATGCTGGTAGAAAGGTTCTGGCTCATTAGGAGGAACAGGTTCACGTAGTGGATAGAGCTTCTGTGGTGGAAGCTCAGTCCTTTGTGCAGACGGCATTTCTAGGATAATTAGTTACAGCAATATCCAAACAACGTGTTGGTAACTTCTGATGGAAAGTTCAGTGTATCTTCAGTGGTATTCCAAGTGCTGAAGGCCAAATTCTCGAACAGCTTTTAGTATACAGATACCCCCAAAAGCGAGCGCGCGAGAAATGGAAATACACCCGTGCCTCCTTGTCTCGATCATAACTCCGCGCCTTAAAGATTAAATATCGCCAGTTCAAGGTATTAATCCCCTGTCACCATGCCAGCGCAAAGTTCAACGGAAGAAAGTCAATTGAACGTGCAAGGGTACAACATTGTCACTATCCTCAAGAGATTGGAAGCTGCCACTTCGCGCTTGGAAGATATTACCATCTTCCAAGAAGAAGCCAGCAAGGCGCAAAAGAAGGCCACTAGCGAACCTAGTGAGACGGGTACTATTGCCGCTGCGCTCGTAAACGGTTCTGCTATTCCTTCTCCAGAGAAACAGGAAACCGCTGTCGAAGCAGCTCCAGTGGCGAAGTTCGTCACTGAGTTTGAGCTGTTCATTGCAGAAAATATTGATCCGTTCGTTGCCGCCTCGAAGCAGATTGACAGTATTGTGGGCGATGCAGCTGAAATTTTCCGTGATGCTTTTGCTGAGCAGGCTAAGTTCTTGGCACTTGTTGCTCAAACAAAGAAGCCGGATCCATCTGATACACAAATCATGGAGTGCTTAGGACCAATCAACAAGAAGATCGAAGAACTCACTGCGCTCAAAGACGCCAATCGTCGTTCAGATTTCTTCAACCATTTGAACACTGTTGCTGAAGGTGCTCCGGTTCTTGGTTGGGTGGTCACCGATACGCCAACGTCTTTCATTCCGGAGTTTAAGGATAGCGCCCAGTTCTGGGCCAACAGAATCATGAAGGAGTATAAGGATAAGGAACCAAAGCATGTGGAGTGGGTTCAGGCATTTTTAGCTATTTTCGATCAATTGCGTGCTTACGTCAAGGAGTACCATTTCAAGGGCCCATCTTGGAATGCCAACGGCAAGACTTTGAGCGAGTCTTTGTCCGCCGTAAAAGATGGTGCAGCCCCATCTGGCGCAGGCGCCTCAGCTCCTCCTCCGCCTCCTCCACCTCCTGCTCCACCTGCCAACTTATTTGAAGAGTCTTCAACCCCAGGCGGAATGAATGCCGTCTTTGCGGATTTGAACAAGGGCGAGAAAATCACATCTGGTCTTAAGAAGGTGGACAAGTCGCAAATGACACACAAGAATCCAGAATTGCGGAAGCTGGCTGTGGTTTCCAAGAAGCCTACACCTCCGAAGAAGCCTACTACCTTGTCAACTGCTATCCCAAAGAAAAAGCCTACACGTAAGGAATTGGTTGATGGCAGCAAGTGGATGATTGAGAACTTTACTTCAGCTGATGTGTCAGGACCCATTGTTATAGATACGGAGATGTCGCAGTCTGTTTTCATTGGTAACACCAGCGATGTCACTATTCAAATTACGGGTAAAGGAAATGCAGTTACCATTACTTCCACCAGAAACACTGCAGTGGTAATTGAGTCTTTGATCTCAGGCGTCGATGTCATCAAGTCGCAGAAATTTGGAATACAGATTACAGGTGTTGTGCCACTTGTTACTGTTGACAAGTCGGACGAAGGTAGCATCTACTTGTCCCAGAAGAGCATTGATGAGGACCTGCTGGTAGTGACATCAAATTCGACCGCCATCAACATCAACGTGCCTGAAAACGATGATTTCACGGAATTGTCTGTTCCCGAGCAATTGAAACACTCTATTAAGGATGGCAAGTTGGTGAGTGAGGTCATTGAACACGTCGGTTAATCAGGCGTATAAACGATTTAAATCGTCGAAAACATACTACAATTCATTCATGGAACGTAGAGCTCAATTGATGGCTTACTCATCGAAAACGAAACCTGGCATCACGTGCGCGCGAAATCCGTAGAATGTTCCACAAAGGGAAACAAAAAAAATCTCATCAAAGATAAAACCAGGTCAAACTTAAACCAGACACGTTTCCTTGCCCCCAGGCTAATAACCCAGCATATTTATTTCGATCATACACATATAATGGTCAAGGATTCCAAGTTTTACGATCTTTTGGGCGTTTCTCCTTCCGCTAGCGACAATGAGTTGAAAAAGGCTTACAGAAAAGCGGCGTTGAAATATCACCCAGATAAAAACCCATCTCCAGAAGCGGCAGAAAAATTTAAGGAGTTGTCGCATGCATATGAAGTGCTTTCTGATGAACAGAAGAGAGAGATCTATGACACCTACGGTGAAGAAGGTTTGAATGGTGGCGGTCCAGGAGGAATGGGTGGAATGGGCGCAGACGATATCTTCTCGCAGTTCTTCGGTGGTGGTTTCGGTGGTATGGGCGGTGGTGCCTCCAGAGGTCCTGCTAGAGGCAAGGACATCAAGCACTCTATTTCTTGCACGTTGGAAGAGTTGTACAAGGGCAGAACTGCCAAGTTGGCGTTGAACAAGACTGTCTTGTGTAAGTCATGTGAAGGCCGCGGTGGTAAAGAAGGAAAGATCAAACAATGTAGCTCTTGTCACGGTGCTGGTATGAAATTTGTCACCAGACAAATGGGCCCTATGATCCAAAGATTCCAAACTGTTTGTGACGTCTGTCAAGGTACGGGTGACATCTGTGATGCCAAGGACAGATGTACTGTTTGTAAGGGCAAGAAGACACAAGCTGAGCGCAAGATTTTGCAGGTACACATTGACCCCGGTATGAAGGATGGCCAAAGAATTGTCTTTAATGGAGAAGGTGACCAGGAACCAGGCGTTACGCCAGGTGATGTTGTTTTTGTTGTGGACGAGAAGCCTCACGAGAAGTTTACCAGAAAGGGCAATGACTTGTACTACGAATGTGAGGTAGACTTGTTGACTGCTTTGGCCGGCGGCGATGTTTCGTTCAAGCATGTTTCTGGTGACTACATTAAGTTTTCTATCGTCCCTGGTGAAGTTATTTCGCCAGGCGCCTTGCGTGTTATTGAGAAGCAAGGTATGCCAATCTACAGAAACAGTGACCACGGTAACTTGTTCATCAAGTTCTCAGTCAGCTTCCCAGAGGCTCACTTTGCGTCTGAGGAGAAATTGCAACAATTGGAGTCTATCTTGCCTCCAAGAAAAACATACACTATTCCAAAGGGCGCTGAAGTTGATGAGTGTGACTTGACCACCATTGACCCACGCAAACACCAACAAAACTCTAGACGTGACGCTTACGACTCTGATGATGAAGAGGGACACCAAGGTGGACCAGGTGTGCAATGCGCATCGCAGTAAAGAGCTTAGGTATGATGGTTGAATGAGATGATTGAAGGAGGTTTTCATTAGTGACACAGATGTTGCTATATGTTTGGTCAAGTGAACGCTGTTAATTGCAATATCCGCATTCTGTGTATGTGTGATGCGTTGAATCTGGCCTAATAATGTTTGCCATCAAACTATGCCCTTCATAAAGGTGTGGTGTCTATGATGTTCATATATTATAGCGTAAATGAAAGAAAATGTATTTCAGCTAGTTCTCTGAATAGCCATGAAGTAGTTGCCAATTTGGGGGCATTCTGTAAAACTCCACCCACATCCGGGGACGTAAATACAACCTCTTGAATCAGCAACCGTGAAAGATTGAGCATAATCGCTTTTCTTTATCCATTGGCGTATTTCCTGCTCATTAATATATTTTTCAAGTGTATGTGTTCCAACGGGAACAATTCTTAAAAGATGTTCGCCCATAAAGATTGTCGTGAACCAACTAATCAAGTCCCTGTTGATTGTGGATAAGAAAACCCAACCACCAACTTCAACTCTGTCAAATACTTCGGCCAAAACTTTGGATGGATATTGAACATGCTCGAGCATTTCAAAGACAGTAACGATATCATATTTCTCATCTCTGGGTAAATCCTCCACTGCTTTAAGCTCATAGCTCAATTTCAGGTTTAGTACTGGGTCCTTAGACTTATGAACACGCGCAGCCTCTAGAACATCCGAAGACAAGTCAATGCCTCTCACAGACTTCACAAATCTAAGTCTAGCTAATGACTCAGACAAAATTCCTCCTCCACAACCAACATCTAAAACATTAAGCTTATTTTTTTCCAAAATCTCGTCTCTTTTCTTCTCCTGCTCCTCGATAATCGTGCTTTTGATGGGACCGGGAAGCAAGTCCACATTGAATGCGGGGATGAAAGTTTCCTCGTCTTCGGATTCCACACCCTCATTAAGTTTCAAATGTGTCCGAACCATCTCATTGATGTAATCCATTCGGAGAAGATTCATCTTGTGAAGTATGCGCTGAGGTCCGTCAACATCCCACCATGAAGAAGCCAAGGCGTTGAAATGAGACATCTCATCGTCAGATGCAGCCGTAAATTTGGGGAACTCATGACACCGGCGTGCTGTAGAAGCGAGGGATCGGAAAATAACGGTCTTCTGAAAAATATGAGGGCAACGAATCATTGATAGATAGGAACACCTTGCTGAGATGTCTCGTTTAAAACAAGAGTGGTAAGTACTATTTTGTGCAGGTTATGGAAACAGATGTGACAAGCTGGCCATTGAAACAATTGCATTGTTCCCAAACTCACATTTCCGGTCATCTGCAAAGAATAAGTTAGTTGTGAACTACACATCAACCACTTTACCCACTAGTCGGTTATGATGTTCTCGCTTCATGGATCATCGAAGCCACGCCGTTATTTTGCACCTAAGCAATAATTCAATTTCATACTTGGAAATTTATTACGGGCCTCTATTGTTGACGATGAAACATTTTCGTAGGTTTCACATGGGTCATTGGTGATGAAGTGTGAGAGACTCTTGTCCATTTGGCGCGCTATTGACTTCCGTAGCTAACTTCCCGTCAAGCATGAAATTGTAGTGTCATTCAAACGTTGTTCTTTTTTCGTTAGGGAATACGTGTATAAATTGGCAAAAGTAAAACTCAAGAATACATTCTATTAACCAAATTTCCATTTCCCATTATCGCGGATTAAGTTTCAGGTTTGGAATCCATTCACACTTTTCCATGAAATTAGAGAGTGAGCAATAAAACTAACAAAAAAGTTGGCAAGAAAATTATGGAAGGAAAGTTATAGAAATTAAAGAGAAGAAAAGAAAAAAAAAGAATGGTAATGTTTTGTATTGCCCTATCCTAATTTTTAAAAATGGACAATACCAATGATTGAAAACAATCGAAGTGTTCCCGTGTCCCTGATACAACTCTTATGGCTGCATGTATCTATATACACACCTACAGTTTGATGTTAAACTCTTAAGCCCTACTCTTATTTACACCAGGATGAGCGATCAAGATAGCTTGGTTGCCACCAGGGCCAGAAGAGCTAATGCGGGTTCAAGATTGAAACAACTTATAGAGATCGAAGAGCAAAGCTCAGGGACAAGAAACATAGCATATAATGAGGATGATGAAAACGTTCAACTCTTGTTTCAAGAAGATGAAAATGATGAAGAATTTGAAGTACCAGCTGAGGAAGAGAGTGAAACAGAAGAGGGAGACGAAGAAGAGAACGATGAAGGGTCAAGAGAAATTCCGGATCTGAAAGATCAAGTGGAGAGTTCTGACGTAGAGGCCCATGTCAACTCGGATGAAATGCTCTCTGACTCTGATTTGTCGGCTTCTGATGAAGACGAATGTGAAGGTGAACGAGAGCTACAGAAGCAGGAGAAAGCTAAGAAGCGGAAGAAACAACTGTCGTCAATTATCCCTGCAATCAAAAAACCGAAGCTCACTAAAGCAAAGCCATCTCCTAAACCAGAAGTAAAGCATCTGGAACTATTACTTTTGAGTGAGAGAAGAGCGTCCGCCAGGAAGTCAGCGATAAGGAATAAACAGGAGCTTGTACAGAGATTGAAAGAAGACGAGTCCAGAAGAGCTGCCCTTGCACCTGTTGTGCGTGTTAAAGAAAAAGAATTGTCACAAGAGGAGAGGCTTGCGCAAGCCAAGGAAACAGAAAGAGCGAATATTATTTCGCTAAATCAATTTATGGAACAGGAAATTGTGAAGAAAGAGCGCCAGAAACTATTGTTTCAACAAAGGCGGCCCAAACTTCGAAATGTTATACGACTACTCTCCACAGAGTCTTATGTCACCCCACTTGATGAAGTGGAAGACAACAGACGTGTCAGAGATCTCTTTGAAAAGAAAAAACGTGGCAGAAGAAGAAAGAATGTATCTGAAGAGCCGGAAACACGAACATTGGGGGATATTGATACAGAATTGCCATATTACAAAAAAGAAATGGAGGAAAAAAGGATTAAAGAACAACAAGAAGAAGAGAGAAGGCGACAAGTAGAAGCCGCGAGAGCAGAGAGAAGGAAGAAACTTGAAGAAGAAAGAGAAGAAAGGAAACGAAAATTGGAAGAAGAAAGACTAGCACGAAAAAAAGCAAAAGAAGAAAGACTCAAGGAGTTTGAGGATGTAGATATCGATCATGAAGGAGGAAAACCCAATATTTCCGTTGATGGGGAAATCGATGAGGCGATGCCTCAACACGAAAATGACATAGGTTCTAGAGACGAAGATGATGAATCGGGGACTACAAATAATGGTGCACCCAATGAGCCAAATGCTGAAAAAACCTCCCACGTGCTTGAAAGTGAACTGGAAGAAAATCAAAGAAATCATAACGACGGGACGAATGCAGTAGAAACACAAAAGGACGAGCATCTCATAACCAAAGAACCAACTCATGCAAGTTCTCAAACTGAAAGTGCTGTTTCTACCGATAAAGAGAAATATGATACAGATACAATGCCACAGGTTGACGGTGTGGATGCCGAAACCGATTCGAAAGTGGAGGTAAAATCAGAGGAGCTTAATGATGTGTCACCACAACCAGGACTTGAAATAAAGTCAGAAGACTCCACAAGGATACACGAGAAAAAAGTTACATTTGTTGAGCCTGATGTCACAACTGAAGATCTTGTGGAGGATAGTGAAAAAATGGTTGATGATACTGAAAGTGAAATGAAAGCAACAGAAACTCCAGAAGAGGAAATTAAAACAGAAGTTGAAGAAGAGGAACCTGATGTATTTAGATCTTATCCAGAGTACCGAAAGCAAGCGGACGGTACAATCTTCCAAGGGCCCGTGCAACACGTTGCAAGGAATCTAATCTTCCTTCTTAATTTCGAAGAAGAGGAAAGGTGGGGGCTCACGGAAATGAAAATGAAAACAATTCTCTTTGGCGAAGATGCTAACCTTGGGCCTTCAAGAAGATTTAGAGAAGTTGAAACTATCCTTAAGAGCTCCTTGCGGTCAGATAATCCTTATGCTACCCCTAAAGAAGAAAAGGAGGATGAACTTTTCATCCCAGTCACTGATCTCACCGAAGATAGTGCTATGTTCGAAGTACTAATGAAATTGCCACGGCTTGACACTAAGGAGATCTTTGAGGAGGAGGAAATCGATGAGAACATGGAAGAAAGTACTGAAATCCGGATTCGTACAGAGGCGCCTACAGGTCTCTACCTTCCTAATGGAAACAAGAAACTTTGTCTTTTATCAGGGAAAGAGGTTCGTTATTTTGACCCATTTACGGGGATTCCTTACGAGAACAAAGACGTTTACCAAATCATTAAAACTATCGAACTGGGTGCAATTCCGTGGTACAGTATGAGCAGAGAGCAGAATACGTATGGACCTGTGGAGATTTATCTCAACAACAGAGAAAATCCTAGGCATGCGAAAGGAGTGCCAGAAGGATTTGATGGATTTTAGTTATCAAATATCTACAATATAGAGAGCTATTGAATAAATGAGCGACGCCCTTCATTTATTGATGCAATGTCTAGTGACTGTTGTGTTGAACATCTTTCTCATGAGCCAGTATCAAGTCAGGTTGGAACTGAGTAAGTTTAGCCCTGAGAACAGGAATTAAATGCTTCTTGATTTCCGAAGAGTGTTTCGAGTCAATAACGAATAAATACTCATCTTCATCTTGATCGTGAACGAATTCATCGAGAGTAATGGTACCTGAAATATCTTCCTCTTCAGTCTTATTAGTTCCTTCTACGGTAAACACAAGTTTCAAGTCAAAAAGACACAAAACCTTTCCTTTTCTCTGTGTGACATCACAATCACCAGAAACATTGTCAACGCTCTTAATACTCAAAACATACTCGTCATTTTCGAAAGATGTGTTGATCACGTTCTTCTTCAAGTAGTCTTTCGACCAAGGAAGACAGTTCTTGTCGACCCAATGCCTATAAAGTTAGTCAAAAGCTGAAGGTCACTCAAATACGTATGAACATACCAGTTGTTAGGGTTATGAACGACCATATTGGCTTCTTGAAAAGACGTACTTTCAACGCTAAAATATAGCTTGATTCGCAGAAGATGCTAGAACGATGATCGCCCACATTGTATTGCATACTACCAAATCCCTGCACCTAGATCCACTAATGTATTACACAATCTTTTATCTATTTATCTCGAAATCATTCGCTCCAGGTATAGGGACTCTTCCTTCGTAGTTCGGCCCCGTATTTATAGAATATAAAAGGGATTGGAATCAAAAGACAACCCAAAAGTGCGAGTAATGTCGTCGCCCAGTGAATATTCATTTTCTTGTACATTTGCAACGTGAACAAAGGAAACACTCCAGACATGGCAGAACGAACAAAGGAGTTGGTAGCCATAGCTGAAGCGGTATACTTTCTATAAGCTTCCACAGTATACGAAAAAATACCATTGAAAACCAAAATGGTGCCCATTCCATAAAAAAATGAACCAACAATAGGTGCAATCCAATGGCACTGAGGATATGAAGTCCATGCTATGATAAATAAACCAATAGGAATAATGAAAACCCCCGCAATAAGCGGGAGAAAGCGGTACTCTGTGCAATAATATCCATTTTTCTTAGTCAATTTTTCGAGGATATGGTCGAAAATGGGAGGAGATACGAATGCTGTGATTCCCAAACCCAATATCAAACCAACAAATGAGAGTCCTTGGTCTTGTAGACTAAAGCCATATACTGATTCGAAGATATAGGGAAAGGAAACGAAAAACATGTAAACGATTGCTAGTACAAAACCAGAGTAAAAACATAAAGCAAGGGTCATGTTGTCTCGAAATATCAAAAGTATAGGCCGCTTCGAGGACAATATTATACTCTCATAAATTGAAGCCTTATTGAGCTCTATGGGAGCAAACCATCTGTCATCCCCAGTTGTTTTTCTAAGTCTAATTGCCTTTTTCTTTAATAGCACGGGTTCGTATGTTTCGGGAATGAAGAAAATTACCGCAACCATTACAACTCCAGACCAAATGGCCATAATATAGAAGGTCCACCTGAAATTTAGATGCTCATTAACGAACCCTGAAATTAGGGGACCCAAGCCTGGCCCTATGAAAGGAGATGCAGAATACATAACTAAAGCTTGGTTTAAGGCTTTAGTTTGATCAGGTCTCCCCTTTGAATTCCGCTCCGTCTTGCGGAAAAGGTCACTGAAAGTACCACTCGCAACAGACAAAAAAGAAGCCCCGAAAAAACCACTAATGAATCGTGAAAAGAGTATAGAGCCAATGTTGTTTGAGAAAGCGGGAACGAACTGAAATGCAAATACCACAAATAATCCCAATGTGTATACAATTTTGCGCCCATGGAACTCCAGGATGGGAGATAAAAAGATACCACCCGTGCCTAGACCCCAAATGTAAAAGGATATACCAAGCGTTGATACTTCGTGGCTAATATGAAATTTTCTCATAATATGCCTAGAAGCTAAAGCCCAAACAGAGGATATTGATGTTATGCATACTGATCCCAATGAAATGAGGATAACGATTAGCCATTTGCGTGTTTCCGAAAGACGGAGTGCATCTTCTATATCATCGTCACTCCCATCAAAACGGACTTCAAATTCGTGTAGAGAACCAGATTCGGAACTGTTCTCCTTATTTACTGACATTAATACTAATATCAGGAGTATAATAGTGGATTAAGATCCACCCTATTATTCAATATGGAGCGGGGTTAACTGAGAAATCTAACATTGATAAGTTGCATTTTTGACACATTGATGTATGCACTCCAGAAACTCGATCGGCATTTGGCAACTGCGATGTCATAATAGCTATTGTTGTTGTACATCTACTCTAGCATCGCGATTAACTTGATCTGTCTGCCGTGATAAAGACTTATCGTAGAAGATTCTTGGGGAGAAGTTCCAAACTAGACATCAGTTGGCGGCAAGAAGGGTCATTTATATGACCATAATTAAAAACTTTAAAACGACCACGACGAACCTACAGGAATCTCATTAGCCAATTTCGCTTCGTTTTGCTATCTCTAGTTATTTATTCTGGCGCTGCAACAATATTAAATCATTTACTTGCGTGTGTCTGGACAATCAATTTCGAAAACCCTGGAACTGTAACATACAGGATGCTAATAATCTTCTCAATCCCAATAAGTTACTATGGATGACCTTTAATGTTAGGTAAAGGCATTTTCAAGCATAGGAGCAGAAGCGCTTATTATGAAAAATTTTGTCAAACTGATTTTACCCTAATATACTTTTATTACCGTGATGAATAGCTAGCGAAAGTAAAAGTCGCGTGTCATAAATACACAACCGAACGAAGTGTTAATTCCACTAGCGACCTACATCATCCATGCCCAATAGCATAGAGCTTTCGGACCTCAACAACAAACCCTTCTATGACTTCAACAAGACTGATGCCCATGAACTTCCCAAAAGAGCTTATCTCTACATTTTCTTCGAGATGATGTTCTCAATCATTCTCTGCACTGAGTATTCGGCAGTTGCACTGGTATACCCACTTCTAGCCCCGATTCTTTTGGGGTCTTCTACCGCTGCTTTGGCACAGCTGCTAAATCAGTATTGGAAGCACAAGTTTTCAGACAAGAAAGTCATCAAGTTCATTGTTTGGGGTGCTATCAATAGTTACTTCACCACGTTGTGGATTGATTTCCTAGTGCTCAATGTACCGAAAGCGAGTTCTCGAATCTTGCTAGATCAGCTAGTTGGTGCTCCGTTGTTCCAGTTGACGTTCACGGTATTGTCCAGTTTTGCAGACAGCGACATTCCCAATCCCAAGTTCACATCCCGTGCAACTTACTTTAGATCATTGAAATACAGCTACTGCTACTGGCCGTTTGTGAGCACGGCTATGTTTACGTTGATACCGCCGCGTTTTATGTTTATGAGCAATTGCTTGGCTAACTTTATTTGGAACATAATCTTAAGCAAGATAGCTTGAGTTCTTTATATTGACGTTACATAGAAATGAATCAGCGTTTGATGTTTTTCAATGGATCCATTTTGCGTCCACCTTTTCTCTTCTTATTCTTGTGCACTTTATTCTTTTTGAACGGAACAAATCCAAGGTCTTTTTGACCTCCACTTCTAGCGCTTGCAGGCAATAAATACTCAGGAACTCTTTTTAACTGCGACTGAACTCTGGAAGGATGTAATTCTTTGTCGTGTCTTAATGATGCCAAATCTTGCGGGTTTTCCTCGAAGAACCTCTTAAGCTTGTCACTGTTAAGTAACTCGTTCTTCAATTCCATCACCCTAGCTTCCCTAATGGCAACAAGTGTAATAGCTCTGAAAGCGTCTTCTGCTCTGTAACGGAATCCTTCAACTTGTTTCATATCAAACTGATATGGTTTGAGTTCGAAACCATTCTTTGATTGTTGTTTCTCTATTCTCTTCAAGATTTTGTCGTCTTTTTGCGGGCCGCCCAAACCAGCTACCCTGTGGCGGCCAACCTCTTTCTTAGGGATAACAAAAGATAGAGCCATACCGGCTTTGCCAGCTCTCGCTGTTCTTCCAACACGGTGAATATAGGCTCTTGATGTCGTCGGCAAGTCAAAATTAAGAACGCACGCAACATTACGGAAATCAACTCCCCTGGAAACACCATACTCCTTGTCCTTTTTCGCTTTGTTCTTATTCTTCTTGCTTTTCTTGTGAGAAGCTTCGCTCTCTTCAGTCACGTTCTCATTATTCTCAGTCTTTTCATCACTGTTACCTTGTTGTTCATTTTCAGCTACCTTCTTCGTAGTCCCTTCCTCCTCGTCCTCATCTTCTTCTTTGGTGAAATCATTTGTCTCATCTGTAGCAATCAACAAATTATACACTCCCTTGTTGAACTCATCGACGATATGCAATCTGGAATTGACAGGCAATTCACTGTTCAAAATACAGCATCGGATGCCAAATTGCTCTAGAAACAATTTTAATCTATAGCCACGGTCTATAGTATTAACAAAGATCAATGTCTTCCCCTTGATCAAGTTCAACTTAAAAATGACGTAAGACAATAAGAACTTATCAAATTCTGTGGTACGCGCGTAGTATTGAACCAAATTGGCCTTGGTCAAGTTTTGCTCATTAAGCCTTAAAACAGCTGGTCTTGAGCAAAACCGAGTTTTCAATTCCTCCAAGTCATCATTGATAGTTGCAGACATTAAAAAGGTCTGCAAATTGGTTTTAACAGGCAAATAACTCTCAAGCTGTTGCAAATCCTCCATGTAGCCATAAGACAACACTAAATCAACCTCATCAATTACCAAACTTCTTACTTTGGATAAATCAATCATGTTGGTGTTAACGTTTTGTTCCAAAACTTCAATCAATTTTGCTGGAGTAGAAACAATAATATCAGGTTTATTCACCAACAAGGACTTGAGAACTTGCTCTGATACATTTGAAGAGAGGTTTACTGCGCTGAATTTATGGTTGCAGTACACCAAAAGCAGCTCCAAAAACTGACACACTTGGCTGGAAAGTTCTCTCGTAGGAACAAGAATAATGCTTTTCACGCTTTTCTCATTGGAGTTTTCTGTAGATATGATATTCTGTAATATTGGAATACAGTATGCAGCTGTTTTGCCAGAGCCCGTACTAGACTTGGCTATGATATCTCTCTTTTCCTCTAAAGCAAGAGGAATAGCGCTCGACTGAATCAATGTGGGATATTTGAATCCAAGATGGTCAATAGCTTGTAGTAATCGGGGATCAAGATTAAATGATTCCCATTTAGAGGTATCATCAAGATAGGCTGCAGAGGCGGACTTATCCATATCGAAGAAGACGTTAGATTTTCAATAGATGGAACGAAGGAAAAACTAGAGATGGTCATCTGATAGTGTGCAGGAAATAAACATGTGATACCAAATTATCAAATAAATGATGATGCTCAAGGAGGATACAGTTAAATAACTTACCGTAAACCATGAAATAGAAGTGACTATGTCTAATGACCTTAGAGGTGAAATCTTCTAAAATTCTTGAACTTATATGACAAGTAATAAGACGTAAACAAGAAGGGCGTGTGGCGTAGTTGGTAGCGCGTCTGCCTTGCAAGCAGAAGGTCACCGGTTCGACTCCGGTCTCGTCCACTTTTTTTGACAAGTTCTTTTTTTAACTATAGTGAATATGATGAATAATGAATAAGTATTATCTACAGGGTTTATGTTTTAATGTAGAATATTCTAAATAGCTGTGTAATAAATATGCATGTGTCATTAAATTATCTTTACGAATCAGCCTCCTCTGGTTTATATGGTTTGATGATAGTTGAAGCTGTTGTTGTAGTCGGTTCCATATCTGTAGCGTCAACCGGCTTAGTTTCTGGGGGAATCCCTGACAGCATCTTCATTATGGGCAGAGCACGGTTAGCATGTAAAAAGTCCGAGGTACCTGCTGCCTCATTAGCCGCATCAGCTGCTTTCTGTGTTATTCCTGCTTTATCGAATCTCTTATTTAGCTCCGCAAGATCTCTCGCAGAGTTTGAACGATCATGCGCAAACGAAAACCTATGGAGTTGTCTTGGAAAGTTGATACTAGATCGCCTTGATTCAGGATCACGGACAATCGTAGCCTCGTGCTGCGCTTCAATATCTTTCTTTGTAGGTTGTCTTGATAATGTACGCTTAATCTGCTCCCCAATAAAGTTGGCACTAGGACGTTCAATCTCGCGACCGGAATACGTGGACACCATATCTTCATCCTCGTCCTCTTCACCGGAGACAATAGATTTCTCTCGCAGAGCAGGAGGGCCCATTCCAAGCACGGGGAAAACATTTGATGGCGACTGAACTAACCGCCTTTGTCTTTGACTGCGAGTAGTAGTGGCACGACTAAGCGTTCTGTCAAGATACTGGGAAGGCAGTCTGGAACTTCCTATCAGAGATAACTCACCATCATCTTGTTTCTCGGGAATTCTGTCCTGCTCAATTTCTGTGTCATCATCCTCCATATCTTCAGGGCGAACACGTACAACTCTGGAATCTTGATTCAATTCTGGTTGCTCGTCTCTCATTTCAAAACGTGGCAAATGTAAAGCCCTCTGGTCTCTTTCTACCACATACAAATGCAAGTACCAAGGTACTACTAATGCAAAGAAAGTACCTCCGATGATGTTTCCGAGCGCTCCCGGAAGGAAAAGTTTCCATGCTACCGTTCTCACGCTAATGCTATGATCATTAATTAAGCCACAAATGATCATATACATATCAGCAACAGAATGGGTGAACCCCATACTAACGAATGAGAATATGGGAAGCAACATCATTAGAAACTTGACGTGCAATGGTTTCGCCATGAGCTGTAGGTAGATCGCTAAGCAGACATAAAAGTTACCAGCCATGCCTTTAAGCAAAGTCTCTGTGAATGAAAAGTTCAATTTTTCTTTCAATATGTCAACAGATCCTTTGACGTATAACGGCTGGCTAGAGACTCCAGAATAATGGCAGATGATGTAGCATACGAATATATTGCCCACCAAGTTGAACCACCAGCTAACTAGCCAGGATATGAGAAGATCAACAATAGTCACCGCACCACGGGCAACTCCCACAGCAAAAAATAGGATGTTGGAATTGAATAAGTCAACACCAGTGATGACGACATAGAATAACCCAATAGGATATAGTATACCCTGAATCAAATTGATCATTCCGGGGTCTGATTCGTATATCTTAGGGCTATTGGCTTGAGCCAAGACAAAAAGCATACCTCCGGTGGAAAAAAATACGCCTCCCATGAAAGAGTTTATGATCAATGTATCAATCAGCAATCTAGCCTTCTTCATGGCTGTAGCCACAACTGCAAGAGCCGTTTCATGAGTGGTTAAGTATACTGAGTCGTTGAGCATCGCAACAGATTCATCAATAGTTGCAAACGGACGAAAACGGAAAGGTCAAACTATGAAAGAGGCAAGTGGGGTTGGTCTGGGAAGAAAAGAAGTGCAAGTGCATCTTCGCAATGGGATCGGTGCATTTGGCCTGCATACTCACAGCTGCCGGCATTTTTTACCCGTTTCTGCCTATCGTTCCGCTGACCACGGAGCAATTTCGCGCGGAAAAGCTGGGGAAAATCACAAATCACTCATGACGCTTGACAAAGAGTGTGGATGAGGAAAAATCAAATTCTGCCGCGTCACCATTCATAACCTCGTCTTGTTTACTATTAATCTTTATCTTAGACGCAGTATTAAGCGAGGCGTCAATCTTGGGCTCGTGACATTCTACCCCGCTTGACTTCTCTGCATTTGGTGTTTCCGCCGCATGAAGCTCTTCAGACTTGCCTGGAACTGAAAACAGGCCGATGGAACTTTCCGTAATCTTCTCACCCTGTAGACTCTGCGTGCCGCGGTTCAGGGATCCATTTTGATTTATCTTAGAGCCATTCTTCTCGATGGAATCATCTTTATCAACAGTGACTTCTTCGAAATCAACACCACTTTTAGTCGTTTCTGTAATCGTGCTTTCGAGTGCACCCCTCTTTCTTCGCGACCGTTTAGCCGCTCGCACCAAAGCATGGAACTCCTGTTTATATTTATCCATCCACACCAGCACAGAAAAGTCCTTATCTGTTATAGACTTGTGACTGATCAGATCCCCAAACACAGGATTTGGACTTGCAGCTGCAGAAAATGCTGAGTGCGATCTTTCCCATTGCTTGAGCTTTTGACGAAGCTCCAAGTCCAGTACTGGGCGGCTCGAGTCAAGATTCGAGTTGTGTAGCAAATAATAATGATTGTATCGCATTTCAAGCTGACTGCGTGTACCCAGAATAGAGAGATGAAGCTGTGCCAACTTTTCCTTGAGCTTTGGGGTCGAAAGAGAAGCGTAATCCATTTTTGGCATACGCCGTGCCTCGTGGTGGTGCTTATGGGCTTCGCTGAAGTAAAAATGCTCATGGTCGATTTCACGTTTCTTCCGAGGTTGAAAAAACAGCAGAATCTCAGTCCGACGCCGTTTAGGTCGCGTTGTACCACGAAGGCACTCATCCAAATGTTTTCTTTGGAGAAGATCGGCAGGCATGCGCTCATTGCAAACGGGACAAGAAACATTTTCGGTATCAGGTACCTCGATGACTCCAGAATCCTTTTCCTCTTGAAGCTTTTTCTTCTCCTTTTCGCTACTTGAAGAAACCATGTTGTCTCTGTGACCCACATTTTTTAATACACTATTGGTTTCATTCTGGGTTGATCTGATATCATCCTGTTCCTGTGATTGGGTTGCCAAGGCGATAAGAGCAGGACGGAGATCCTGGAAACATGAAACAATCTCTTCAAGTAAAATGACGCGTTTTAAGTTGCTTTCAAACTGCTCTGCCTTACATAGGGGACACAGGCTCTCGCTCAAAAGATGCTGGCGAATACACTGAGAGCAGAAAGTATGGTTGCACGATGTCATCACAGGAGCCCGTAGGAAATCTTTACATATCAAGCATCTCTGGAGGGAGTCAAGCTGTGCAAGTTTCGGAAGACGCGTGTTTTTCCAGTCAGAGGGATCAAAGTCAGCCATGCTGAGAGAAGTTGCGGTCAGTCTCGCCTCTACAATTTAGTGCGCGCTAGAGATTTTTATTCTGTGATATATCTACAACTCGTCGTGCAAATCAGTGTTCGCACTGTTTTTGGCCTCAGGCGAAGCAAGCTTTTCCTGTTGATAAATCTGTTGTGGCTGCTTCTCAGAAAGAGCAGATTCAGCCTCAGATTCTTGTAATTGTGTTCCAATAGGTGCTGGCGATACCGAAATAGGCGTAGGTTCTGAAGTGGGAGTAACAGTAGAGGCTTCTGTAGTTTCTGGTTCAGATTCTATAGTTTCTGACTCCGTTGAAAAGTCATCCTCGTTGGATGGTTCCACTCGACTGGATTCTAAGGCTTCTGGTTTTTCGATCTCCACTGTTATTTCTGCTGAAATTGCAGTCGATGATGTTTCAGTTGAGGCAGATTTTGGTGTTTGACTTTCTATGGATGCCGTAACAGATTCATCATCAAAATTTGTGGTCTTTATAGACATCATCTCTGCTGGTTCTATCTCAGTAGACTCTGTCTCAGTAGACTCTGTCTCAGTAGACTCTGTCTCAGTTGACTCTGTCTCACTTGGCTCTGTCTCAGTTGATTCTGTCGCATTTGATTCCTTACTTGATTCTGTCTCACTTGATTCTGTCTCACTTGATTTTGTCTCAGTTAATTCTGTCTCGGTTGTTTCCGTCTCAGGTGTTTCCGATATTTTTGTCTCGGCTGGTTTGCCAGTACTTGTCGCCGCAGGAGGCTCTGTAGTATTATCTGAAGAAAGGGACAAGGCAGTGTGCGTTAGTTGCTTCGTACTTTCACTCACACCTCCCATTGGTATGTCTGGAAAAGACTCAGCATCAAAACCCTCTGGTAAAGGAGAAGTAACGTTGTCAGAGCTCAATATTGGCTCAGACGTTTCAGTGGACCCTGTCCCATTGTCCCCTTCTGTTGCAGACTGCAAGGGCGCAATTGAAAGTTCGTCTCTAATTTGACTTTCCATAACTGATTCAGAAACAGGAATTGTTTCGGTTGTTACATCTTGAGTGGATAAAATGGTCTCATGTGAGTCTTTTGAATCCGACATCTCCGTTGGTACACCTTCATTGGTAGAAGAATGCTCAGGCTCCGATCCTCCAATATTTGCGTCGTCGTCATATACATCTTCATGAGAAGCAGAAAAAGTATAGGTTGATTCAGAAGAATCTTCAGCTGCGAGCACTTGAGGGACTTCCGATGCGGAATTTTCTGACACCTCGGATTTGTCAGAAACATTTAGACTCGATACAGAAGACTCAAGGATCTTCTCCACACCAATCGTACCTGATGGTGTTCCAGGAGCATCTACTACTGTAACTTGTCGAACAGCTTCCTTGATGATTGATTCTGTATCAATATTCTGCGATTTGGCAGTGATTTCATCCACATTTCTTGTGATTTCAACCACTATGTCTTCTTTAACAGTAGAAGCAGTTGTCGCAAAATCTGTGTTGATTCTAGTCTCGCTGGCCTTTTCAACTGGCGGCTCAGCTGAGGAAGTGTCGTGGGAGGATTCCATGGAGGGCACAATGGAAGGTTCAGTTGTCATAGTCTCAGTTAAGACGTTCTCTTTCACCCATTCTTGGGCCTCTTGTATGGTGGAGTCAACCTTGTTCTTCTCTAATTTCTCCTTCAAGAGCTCAAACCCTTCATTCGACTTGTCTTTGAGGAGTTCATAACCTATTCTTCCGTAGTGTTGGGCTTTATGATAGTAATCATCGCCATATTTTTGTGATAATTCGAGCCCAATTTTACCATAATGGCGAGCATAATGTTCAATGTGTACAAGGGCTTCACTCCCGTGCTTTTGGGACATCAGAAGGAATTGGTCGAGGTGACCTGATTCATGACTTTTTTGCAAAACAATTGCAAAAATAGCCACTAGAAAGGTGTAAAGCAAATATTGGAATAAAGTTCCAATAAGTGAATTACTAGATGCAATCTTTGGTGGAATAGTTACCACATTCAAAATATTCGATGCACTACCTGTGGCCAATCTCTTACCGTTTGGAGCAAAGCTCAATGACGTAATGGCAAACTTATGCAAATCAGGGAACGATTTCACTATTTTCAAGTCCAGAATTCTAATCAAGGAAACTGAACAGTCATTGCCAGCCACGGCGATAAGTTCCGTCGCTTTCGCGACATCGATGGCAACAATACCTTTCATTTTCTTAGAAATGAAGCGCTCCCTTGTAATTTTCTGTTTGGAAAAGTCGTATTCAAGCAACGCACACCCTTTTCCGCCGAGTAATGAGGCAGTAATAACCACTTTCTCTGGAGAGATAAATCTAACTTTCGACAAAATGTACTTCGCCAATGTTTTAGTAGTCGCCTTCGAAGCCTTTACAGAGGAGGCTAGAATAGCACCAGAAGATGAGGCTATATGCTCAATTCGAGAAGCGGTGATGAAGCACAATGATCTGCCTTCATCGAAAGGATTCAAGTGAAAGTCTTTGATTTCCGATGGTGTCTCCGGTTGAAAGCGCAAAACTAACTCCAAAGTCTTCGGGTTGAAGATGAAAATTTCCGATGGAACCTTCGATGTCATCATGGCGCCAAAGGTGCTTTCTGGAGACAAATGCACAATTCGAGGATACTCCCCAACACTTCCAGGCAGAACCGAGTCGTCAAATTGCACGGCGTCCAGAAACTGCAAATGTTCCTCATCGGTAAAAACATATTTTCTCAAGTTGTTGTTGATGTTCATGGTATTGATCAACTGAGTCGATTGATTGCATCCGACAAAAATGGCATAGCGAATGTTGTCATCATCGACACTTCTGCAAACGTCGACACACGTCGGGGAATCTTCATTGGAAGGCAATGTGATCTCTCTAAACTTCTGCAACCTTCTGCTTTTCTCGGGAGCATTGAAGCTACATTTGAGAGCAGTGATTTTGTTCGGAATACCATTGTTCCCTTCGCCACCACCTCCAACAGCTAACAATGTTTTGCTATTTATGAAGCGGAGGCCATATATTGGAAAGCCAACACTAATTTCCGCAGAGTTTTTCGATGTCATGCGTGTAGCAAATCTTTGCAAATAGTTATACCGTTGTCAGTTTTGATCAACACCCGATGTAAAACACCAGTACCCCTCGTGATCCGCCATGGATGTGATGAACGTCAGAATAATTCTACATATCATGTGAGTATATGAATAAGGAACCCCCTTAATCTTTAGCTAAAAATTATTTTCATTTGACAATAATAAACTATTGCAAGAAAGAAACGAAGTTTCTAAGATTCAAGTCATCATTTTATGTGTTTGCTACAGCATCAACGATTCTCAACCGCCAAAGCTTAAATAGTAAAAGAGAATTATGTGATACTTCTTTTGTGCTTCATCTACATAGCTTTGTCCATGTCATGTAACCGGTAACGCCCGACGGAAGTTACTATTTAACGACTAACTCGAACGTTGTTGCATACGCGGCATGAGAAATTTGCAATCGTAGATGTTAAACAATACGGAACTAAACACCGAACTGAAGTAAATGTGAAGTAAGCAAGAAATCTCTATGACATGAATCTTGTACATGGCTTCTCGGCGTTTTTAAATAGTGCTTGTGAATGATGGACGACAAGTATCACTTGACATGTATGCACGTGACCTACTCTTATCTGGACTGAGTCACTCCAGTTTATAAACCGACATTCCTTATGGGCGAAGTCAAGCCTCTACTTTCCATACTGTCTTACGTGGCGCACGGATATGTGGGGAACCGCGCAATGGTTTTTCCACTTCAGTATCATGGTTGGGACGTAGATACTGTCAATACCACGCATTACTCGAATCACCCGGGCTATGGCATGTTCAAGGGACAGAAAAGCAGCCCGGAACTAGTGGAGAGTATTTTTCAAGGACTTGGGAACATATTGGACATTTCTTCCTACTACAAAGTCATAGTGGTTGGTTATTGTCCTAGCGCTGCGGTCATGAACACAATCTATAAGGATTTGGAGCCTATAGTCCAAAAGGCGTCACCTAAGAGGCCTATATTGGTTGTAGACCCTGTGCTTGGGGATAATGGCAGACTATATGTGCCAGAAGAGCTTGTTCTTGCCCATAAAGACTTTCTAACCAAGGGTTTGGTTGATCTTACAACGCCCAATCAGTTTGAGCTTGAGCTTTTAACGGGGACCCATGTTTCCGATTTCACCTCCGCAAGGAAAGCATTGTTGCATTTCTATGACATGTACAAAGTCCCCAACGTTGTTCTCACATCGGTTCCTATCGACGGCAAGATGTACTGTGTGGGCTTTTCTCTGGCATCTCAAACTGTTTTCGCCTTGGAGTTTGAGCAAATCAATTGTAGCTTCAGTGGCTGCGGGGATCTATTCACGGCATTATTGACCAATGCATTTCACGAAAGTGGCTGTGTCTTGAATCCGATCGTGTTAGGATCTGTATTATATAAGCTTCACAAGGTCTTGCAGAACAGTTTCGAAGACGAATGGCAAAAAACTGGCCAACCGCCATCAATGGTGAAAGACATACGGATTGTATCCCTGCGCAAAGTTCTAGATGAGGCTGGAGGTCACAGTTGGCCAGTCAAATACATTTTAGAGTAGTGTTCGTGAACGTGATGTTGGTGGTGGATGGAACGTATGAAATAGAATAATGTATAATAGGTGCTGAGTATTCAAGGTAACTCATTAATTCGCTGTTCTAGTTATGTTTAAAATACCAACGTACATCATACTGGTGTACGGACAGTTGACTGTATTATATACATCAACCTGTGTGATGAGAAAAGCCACTGTGCACACTGATAAGCCTCACCTTCGTGATACTACAAATTCTTTATCATGCCTAATGAAAAGACACCACTAACGCTGCGGCTGCGGCGAAGAAGCAAAGATTGGTACCTATCTTGCGTTCTCTCAATTGGTACATGCCTAGGTTTTCTCCTTTGGTTTGTTTTCACTCAAGATAGGGGACAGGTTTTGAAACAACCCTTACTTGCCGCCACCCCACAAACGGACACACCAGAACACGAAATGACTGCCGAAGACATCCTACCTGTGGGGCTCTCACAAGAATTTAGTCTAAAGCACATCTTTCACCACGGATCCGGGAAGTACAATCGCGTTCATCGGCGCTTGGACATTACGCCAAAGTTTCTTGAACAGTATAGCGACCAGCTTGAAACGCCACTTACTCCAGATGAGGTGAAAGAATCCTCTTTACATGATGCTGTTAGTGCTATGGATTGGCCAAACTCTATGCGCGATGAAAATCCTTGGACAGTGCTGCTCCATGTTCGAGAACGAGCAAGGAGGGCCAAAGTGACTCGTCTTGCAGAGAGACATACACCAAATTTTCTTGATTCCTACTTGGAGTATGCGAGGAGCGTAAAAGGCAATCCAGCACGTTTGAACGCTATTGGACTTGAATGGGATCCGGAAACCGATATCCGTGTTCCAGATGTGAACGACCGAAACACTTTGGTCTCACTTGCCCTCGTGTCATCCAACGCGTATGTGAGGTTGCCTCAAAACGATGACGATAAGAAGAATCTGGATTGGATCGATGTAGGTGATCCATGGCTGCCAGAGGATGAACATGATGATCTCAACTTTGGATGGCTTGAAAATGGCTTGCGTGGACATATTTTTGTCAGTAACGACCTGAAAACAGTTATCATTGGCATCAAAGGAACCTCCGGAGCGGGCCTTCCTGGAGGAGGATCGGATGAAACTATGGCCAACGATAAGACAAATGATAACTTGTTATTTCTGTGTTGTTGTGCACGTGTTAGCTATTTGTGGACCACAGTGTGTGACTGTTACGAGAAGACTTATACATGCAATCAAGATTGCCTTGAACGTGAGCTTTTGAGACAAGACCGGTATTACCAGGCTACCTTGGATTTATATCGCAATGTTACGAAGTTGTATCCGCCAGAAACAACCGACATTTGGGTCACAGGCCACTCTCTTGGCGGTGCTTTGGCATCGCTTCTAGGTCGAACATACGGTCTTCCTGTGGTAGCATTTGAAGCTCCGGGAGAAATGTTGGCTACTAAGAGACTTCATCTTCCACAGGCGCCAGGAATTCCTAAACACTTGGAACATATCTGGCATATTGGAAACACCGCAGACCCAATCTTCATGGGAGTATGCAACGGTGCATCATCATCATGCTCCATGGCGGGTTATGCGATGGAAACGACATGTCATACGGGCCAAATTTGCGTCTACGATGTGGTCACAGATAAAGGCTGGCACGTCAACTTGTTGAATCATCGTATACACACAGTTATTGACGACATCATCTTGGCGTACAATGAAACTGCACCATGTGTGGAGCAGCCTCCCTGCCGAGATTGCTTCAATTGGCGTTTTACCAGCCATGATGATTCGGAACCTGATAAACCACTGCTCCCTAACCCGTTGAAACCACGGCCTACCACTTCTTCTACTACAGAGAAAACACAAGCGAATACTTTATCTTCGTCGAACATTGGACAGTCAACAAAGACGCAGACAAGCCTGAAACTGGGAAGTCCACCAAAGCCAACGGAAACAGAAAAACCTCAAAAATGTTTGAAGCGCACTTGGTATGGCTGGTGCAGTGAATGGGGAGATGACGAATGAACGAAAAACACCTAGTGGTTTTGGAATTTGTTGCACTCTTAGTTGAAATCTCATCAGTAGTCGGGTATTGTTGTATTTTTTTTTTTTTTTTTTTTGGGTTAAGATATCACATGGGAGCAAGAAGGAGAGAAAGAATAGCATTCCTGAGAAAGGTAGAAGCAAGAACAGGTGAAGTAAGTTGGGATTCCTACTTCTTTCAATCAGTTGCTTCCTAATTCTGACAAGCCAAGACATACATCATACGAATAAGATCCTCGGCAGAATTGGCGTTGAAACGAAAATCTGACTTAAGATATTGTGTTGTGTAATCATGCCATTGCCATTGTGTGGTGTGTGATTGCAAACACGCTTTAGGCAATACAGTTCGAATGGACCTGCGGATAACCCACTTTGTTCCAGTTTCCGTCTTCTATGCAAAGTGTTCTCTGCTCTGGCGAGACGGCCTGCACATGGCGCTTGCCTAATTGAGGTGGGTCATGTCAGCTGTGGGCAATTATGGGCCTTAACTGGAGAAAGGAAAACATGGTACCTGCACATAGAATTACTAGCAATTCTCATGACATTAAAAGGCGAGGCTGAAATGATTGAAAAAATCGTTAGAGAAGGTCAATTGGGCCCAAGTAAGCCCCAGTGATTGTGTATATGTCTTAAAGCTTGAATAAAGGAGTGTTATTAAGTATGGGTTAGCTTTTATGAAAGTGTTAAACCTAGAGCAACCATCTAGTCTTGGTTTGTCCTGCATAGTTCAAGTCGTAAGTCATTCCATTTTTAGCTAGTTAAACATTCCATCGCCGGGTGTATTTTTCTGTAAACTACTCCAGCTTTTCTTTCAGTATTTAATTTTCTATCTTCTTTTTGTTTTGGTTATTTTTTCGACAGTTAATTGACCCCTGTTGAAACTCCAACCAGTGCAACCTACTGTCTATTGGCTGAAAACACTCACTCAATAAACAAATATCGCTACTAACCCCCCTGGGATATCAGCACATCAAACATTTGTCTCCAGGCATCCAGTGCTTTCCTTGGTCCCTGAATATTCGCTATGAGAGTTATCAACACTGCTTTGAATTTGATTTTATTGGCGGGCACAACTTTGTTGCTCATTTTCTTGGTCTTGTCCGGATCCACTAACCACTTCCCATTCAACAGGTTTTACTGGGTGAGAGGTGACACCTCAAATATACCAGGAGCACCTGATGAATCGGCTTGGACCTTTTGGGGTGTTTGTGATTACCATGATTTTGGAAACTGTACTTCTGGCCCCGCTTATCCGATCTCCCCGGTGGATAATTTCCACACAAAAACGAATGTTCCACAGAAGTTTCGTTCCAATAGAGATCCTTTGTTCTACTTGTCCAGATTTTCTTTTGCCTTCATTTTGATTGCCTTGGCATTAACGGCGCTTGCTTTTATCATTGACTTGTTGGGATTCTGTTTCATCTTCATTGACAAGATTGTCATCGGTCTCGTCATGTTTGGGCTCTTTTTCATGTCCGGTGCCGCTGCTTTCCAGACTGCCGCCACTGTCATGGCAAAGAATGCTTTCAGTAATGGTCATTTGAAGAGTCACATTGGAGTCAAAAGCATGGCAATCTTGTGGGCTGCAGAAGCGTGTATGTTGATCATTTTCTTCAACACATGCGCTGCTAATATTGCCAACTCGTACAGGAAACATATTGAGAGAGTTAAGGCCGCACAAACACCACAAGAAGACTACTATGCTCCAGCTGAAACCCAACAAGAAGATGGACTTCCAATCGCAGATGAGTCATCTTTCACCCGTTCGACACCTTTGGAAAAAGAAGACAATCCAAGTGGTGGTATCCGCTTCTTCCGCATCAAGAGAAACCAAAAACCTTCTGACGAAGAGAGCGTTTGAGTACACAAAGACCACCTATTTCCCTTTTTTCGTTTAATTTTGTTTCGTGTTGCTATATCCTGATACCATTGGATACGTTTTTATTTGTATTATAAGGCAAGTTAATCCACAACGTGTAGACATTCGGCTAACGGTTAAACAAGAAGACGAAGCGCGCGGACTATAAGAGAAGATTGATTTCTCATAGAAAAAGTACGTTTCTTGTCTGGCAGCTTTGTATTTTAAATTACGTCGCAAGCATAACAGGGAATCATGACATCACAATATATTGCTCTCACCATATAGTAGGCGTGGCCCAAAGAAGTATGGAAGCATGCACAGAAGCTTGTTGCGACCGAGAAATTACAGTATGCAGAGGCTAGCTAAGAAAAGTTAATCTTCCGGCACATGTGGGGCAGGCATGGCTTAGGGGCTCATGTTGAGGCTATCGCAAATGAAGGCTGACGGAAAAGTAGGCGCTGTCTCCATTTTCATTCTGCCCGAGATACAAAGCGTATAAATGGAACGATAGAGTCAATATCCGTGATACCACATACATATCCGAGACCTCCTGCATTAGCAAAGCCCCTCCATACTGTACTTCTCCTCCTCAAGTAACCATCCTGTATTTTGGCATTACTTATCCACCCTCCCCGTTACCTAGAAACATTAACGGACAAATTTCCCCTTGCGAGCACAGCACCATGCCTTCGATGCCCGAACTGGAAAAGCATCGTCACCACATCAAGAACATTTTCCGTTCTCCGGCCGTGCGCCCGTCCTCGCCGATGGGGCTTGGCAAGCTTTTTCGTAAAGACCACCATGAACACCAAGAATCGAAGAAGGGACACGAGCATGCAGATAAGAAAAAGAGCCTTAGTAACCCAGGTTCGGAAGGGGACTATGGTGGACAAATTCCGCAAAAGGTTGTCCATCTGAGCTTGGCAGAGAAAAGCCAAGTTTCTCGTGCTGAAGAGAAAGTCGAGACTAGTGCCAATAATGACACAAATACCGAAGAGATTAATGCCAATGGCACTAGCGGGAAACCCGACGAAGTCGACCGAAACGGCCGCGAGTCGATATCGTCGGAACTGCGGCCTGTGCTGCGTCAGCTGCTGGTGGTTCTGCTCCACCGCAACGACACCAACTCACACTTGGCACGGCTGAACATGCGTACTCCACGCAAGCGGGCTGAAACATACTCGTTTGCGTCGCCGTTGCTGCTCACAGGCAAGGCTGCTGCACATGCGCCGCCAGAAAAGATCAAGTACAACCCGTACGGAATTAACAAGCTGTCGCTGAGCGAGAGCAAACGCAACACTTCGTTCTACTTGAAAGGAGGGTCAGAGGCTGAAAAAGTAGTGGCCAATCCTGTCGCCAATCCTAATGACTATTTGCCTGAAGACTTACAGCAGGACCACATCAACCTTTTTGATGACTTTGAGTTTGAAACAGACGAAAAGAAAGTTGGTGACGGGGGAAGCGGTGAAGTGCGCATAGTCAGCTGGAACGCCAACAAGAAAAAACTCTATGCGTTGAAGAAGTTCTCGCTTTTTGCCAAAGAGACAGACGAGGAGTTTTACAAACGCGCAGCTAAAGAGTACATCATTAGCCGCAAAGTTGCGGCACTGCGACATGTGGTGAACACGGTAGCCCTTTTGAGGGTTCAGTCGCACGGCCAGATGACACGAGGATGGGGAATGCTCATGAACTTGTGCGAAGGTGGCGATTTGTTTAGTCTGATTGTGCGGCTGGGTTGGCGGCGCACCCCTTTGAACGAACGTTACTGTGTGTTCAAGCAGATTGCCTATGGTTTGCGGTACTTACATGAGCATGATATTGTCCATCGCGACTTGAAGCCTGAAAATGTGCTTTTGGATAAGCATGGCGTGGCTAAACTTTGCGACTTTGGTGTTAGCGACTATGGGCACCAAGAGCCGGGGAATTTCGACTCGCCTTTGCACCTTTCTCACCTGTACGTTGGATCGCCTCCATACTCCCCGCCCGAAGTCATGCGCTTGAAGGAAATGCTGCATTCGGAGACCAAAAAACATCCGTACAATTCGTTTAAAATGGACCACTGGGGTTTGGGTATGCTTCTTTTCTGTGTCGTGTACGCGGGCGTGCCCTTCCAGCTGTCAAGTTCCAACGACCACAATTATCGTGACTACAAGTTTAGTCGTGAGCGGTACATTCTGCACAACCCATGCTTCAAGAACAACGACGATTACTCGAAAGGCCCTGGCTCGGAGTTCAAATGGGCTGCGCAATTCCACTCGTCTGGCGCGGCCCGTGTCGCATGGAAGTTGTGTGATCCTTCTGTCAATTCCCGTTATGACCTTGATGCTTTATTCCGCGACCCTTGGTTCGCTGAGTTGGAAATGTGCCTTTACGAACATCCGGATCAGCTCGTAGATCCGTTTGCGCCTGTTGAAAAAGCACAGCTGGGATCCTCATCTTACGTTAGTTCTAGGGCGCCATCTCGAAAGAATACTTTCACAGGCAGTAGCGAGAATGAAACAGGCTTACATACGCCGATCCGGAGCATGCTTGATATGGTGGAAGCTCCATCTGTTGAGGAACACAACGATAGTGCCGACAATTCATCTGTGAAATCAAGTTCTCTGCTTTCCCATGTACCGTTGAAAATTGCTCATGGAGAACATCATGGCAAGTTACCCTCCTGCGACAGCTTTAACAGTTCGGAATCGGCAACTCAGCTGCCGTCCGGCTCAGTGCACAAAGTGAGGTCAATGCTTGACTTTTCCTCGGAAAAGCCACTGTTACCTACTGTAAATGAGGTCAAACGGTGCGATCCTGTAATGGAAATGGCTGACTCAACCACTGACCGCACCAGAACAGGAACGCCTTCTTTACCTGTTGTGGATGAGGTTGCGTCTCATGACAATGAAGAAATTACATCGGAGCATGAAAGGGGCCATGAGACAGCCACCATTTCTAAGAATGGGACTGAATCTGAAAGTAAGCATGAGACCGATAGCGAAAATAACCAGACAGCGAGATCAGTACAAACTGCGCAGACTTCTAGTACACTTCAGAAGCCAGATGATACAAAACCAAAAACAGAGTCCCTGAAAGTGCCAAACTTTCTCCACGAAGAACCACTACATGCGTCCGACGATTTAAAGATAGACAGTAATGGCTGTTGCGAATTGGGCTACAAATTGCGCAAGCATCACCATTTGGAGATCAGTAACGTACAAATTGCAGGCTCGATTTCTAGAAGATAAATGTGACCCGTTTGGCGGTCCATATATTCTTGGTGGGAGCTTATCTCTTACCTAAATATACAATGTGGTACAGATGATTATGTATTCGTTATGAAACCCAAATTAGATTTTACGCTATTTAAGCCTCCAAAGAAACTCTACCCTTAGGGTTGGTGACCTTGACACCGAGAGACTTGGCCTTGGCAACAATCTCGACTCTGTTCTTGGAAGAAACGTTGTGGGCAATCTCAGCAGCGTAAGTCTTGGTGTGCATCAACAAAACATCCAAGTCCTGGACGTTCTTGACAACGAAGACTCTGTAACCAGATGGGTTCATGAACTTGGTCTTCTTGTTAGAACCGTAACCGATGTTTGGTTGTGGGATAGTACCTCTGAATCTTCTTCTGACACAAGAGTCAATACCCTTCTGCTTTCTCCAGTTCTCGGCGACTCTGGCGTATCTGTCAGAGTGGTGTCTCTTGAACTTCTTAGAGTACTTCTTGACAATCTTTGGAGTAGCCACTGTCATGTTAGTATTTGATGTTGATTATGAAGTTGACGATGAGTTATAATCCTTTGCACTTTCCTGAACTGTATCCGACGGGTATCGATATGAACCTGTAGGACCTAGAATCGTACATTGTTCGTTCAAGGATGCTAATGACGTTATTGGAAAGCTCGTTTGTAACTTCTTACATACTCTTGATTGTGATTGTTGGTATGAATGAAAAAGGGTGACAAGATCCTGTACTTAAATTTTTCGCAGAGGCAGAGGCAGAAGCTTCAAACGTAATGTGCAGGTGGAATGTCCGCGCAAGCCCGAAAAAAAAAGGGCGAAAGCCCTGTCATTGTTCACGTGATACACTGTTTCGATAACTACTTTCTTGTATGCCCTAGATATGCGTTTCAAGCAGACAATATATAAATTACTTCGGAGCCTCATAATTATTGTGGCAGGATAGACTTTGCTTGCGGATATACATCATCATTTAGTATTTGTGGTTCCCTTTCTTTTGATACGTTCAGCGCGCGAGGAGGTTCAGCTTACAGTATTTGCAGTAGGTATTTCAAGGTCGATTCCCACAATAAAAATGGAGGAGACGGGAGAAACGAAAAGAAACTACAATGTAGAATTACAAAGAGGTCAAAACTGTTGATGAAGTCAAAATGCTTGTGCTAGTAAGATAAGCATTTCAATGTAGACGACTGTTCAGATGCTTTTGAAACTGTCTCAGCAATTACAGTTATGTCTTAAGTATTACTACAAAGTATCTATCTCAACACAAATGGAGTTTGGTTTCCGTATGCAATAGTAAAATTTGCCAGTTCTCTCTTATCGAATGATGCGCATAGATGTTGTGAGTATCTCTCAACTGGAGCAACCGATACAAAACTGGGGTAATGTGCACCACCAGTGTTTTGCTTTCGGTAGTACACAGCTAGCAAACTATTTTCCCCATATACGCTATCAGAAACGACGAAGGCATAGGAATACGTCTGATGTATCCGTTATCAAGCTGGGGCTGTCATGCTCTCTTAGCTCTAATCGGATTGCGCCTCTTTTGGTTACTTGCTTTTCGAATATTCGGACTTTACTTGGGCTATATCTCCATCAACAATGGTATTCTGTTCAACGAAGTGTACTGGTACACAAAACATAGGAAGATATCAGCTTCAAGCGTACGGTTCCGGCTTTGGGGAAATTCCAAGAAGATTATCATTGCTGATTTGAAAGTACAACTATACTCTCAACCAAAAGGGAAACCACGACAACCCAAGCGCTTTATTTCAAGTGAGCCGTGCACTATATACCCCGAAAACAAACTTGCTGTTTACTTATACAGATTTGTACTCCGGCTCCTTCCTTCCGCTAATATTGATATCAAAAGGGGACAACTTGAAACAAAGAATGAAAACATTTCGTTTGCCCAACTACAGTTCGTTTTCATCAAGCACAGAAGCGCACATGAGCCAAACGTGTATCGTTTCGATGCGATGAGCAGCATCTATCAAGCTTCTGGTAAGCTCCATTCCTCTGGGTCCTCCATCCCAATGCTGCTGGGTTGTTGTGGACTTAAGGCATCATGCTCTATAAGTGCAACTACAGGTAAGGTTTCCCATTTTACGGCTCATATTCAAGTAGACGACTCCGAGATAGATGTCCTTCATGCTATCAAAGGGAGCATATTCCGTGCAAATAAGGCGACGGACGCGAACGAATCATCCACGAACAGCGCCAAAGATAGGCAAGTTATCGAGTCTGAGCTGAAGACACATACAACCCTTGAAGGGCATCTTGAAACGTTCTCCTCAATACATAAGAAATATTTTGGGGCTTTTCAGGAGTGTTCCATAAGCATAAGGAACACCCATTTCAAGGGTTTTCCATTATTTCCAGCTAATGATACTCAGGATTTAACCGATTACTTGAGTAAAGATGACGTGGATATTTCCGTGTCAGTATCTGTATCAACAATCGCTTTCAATATTGCCCGCATCACGAGTAAATCGGCTGGGTATGACGTGTTGTTCGATGCTACTACTGATAAACCGTTAGAAGTGAACACTTCTGTACTGATCCTCAAAGCTTTCTTTGTCTCAAAGCATTATGACAATAGCGGTGAAAAAGCTTACTATAAGAAGGACGAAATACTAGATATACCGAACTACAGTCTAGCTCTTAAAACGAATATTACAGACAGATTTGCGAACGGATATGGATTTGAGAAAGCTGTTCTGGAATTGATTTTTTCCTGTGGTAGTCCTGTTATTGATGTTACGGCAGATCAATTCGCTCTTTTGACTTACAATTATGTCGTAGCAAAGAAATTATTTACGCTCGGTCATTTGAAAAAGCAAAATGCTGCCCTGAGGTTTGATACATTCAAGAATACTGAATCAGATAGTGAGCTTGATGGAGATACTCAAGTTGCAGCTTCCGAACCCAGCACCCCACAGGTGGTCAAGTCAAAGTTTACCGATTCTCCTCAACTCAAAGAACTCAAAGTAGATCTATCTCCGTCAAGTTTCGAATCCTTTGAAACGCTGAAACCTAGAGACGAGTTTACTTTAAGGAAATCTGAGATAGTGTTTAACTCACCTTTCAATAAGATTATGGCACTTATCAACGAGTTCTACCCTAGATTGGATGTTAAGTTTACCATGGAGCAACCGCGAGTTATGATACGAAGTTTGAATGCGGATAAGAGCACTACAAAGATGCTCATGATTTCTTATTCGATGATCGTTTTGCATATCGCCACTACTTTGGACAATACTTATGTTGCGACATGCAATCTTTTGCACCCTTGCATCACGTTCAGTGAGAGATTTGGATGTCACCAGCATGTAGAGGACTTCTGTGGCTTGTCAGACCTCACGATCAACTGTAATATTCTGAGGGATTTCAAAGTAACTACTTCGTTGAATATTCAAGGAGTCTATATGAATTTGACTAAACCAGATGTTTTGAATGGTATTAGTCACATTATTGAGGAAACAACAAGAATAGTCAATCAAAACTTGACATCAGGATTGATCAACAAACGCTTCGATGCTGAGATTGTCCAAGAGCTAGACTTGGGAACAAAAGGTCAACGAAGGACTCAGACACCACACAAAGATGACTCTTTAGATATTATCTTCAGTGATTGTCCTATGTGGTTTGTCTCTGCTACTTTAAAAGTTACAGATGTCGATCTTCGACTCGGATCAATTTCTCCATTGCTTCCCCCGGAACTTATATCCAAACTTTCACAGGAATCTCAGTTTAACGAAAAATTTGTTGGTACAAACAGTATCTTGAATCTCAGTATAGATGAGATTATCTTCGCTCTACGAAGTGTCCCGGAGGTATCAGGTAGCGACTCTATGTTGGCGGTCTCATCGCTGGAAACCTTATCGAATGATGTAAATGACCACATCTTCTGGCAGATAGAGAGTACCATCCGGAATAATAAGATTTGTTTGTTAGAAAATCAGAAAAGACAACAACCAATCATGTATCTTCCTCAGTTATCGGTTCTCATTCAATCAGCAATTAAAGGACAACAGAAAGTTGTTGATTCGTCAGTTGAGGTAGACGAAGTGTTAGGTCATATTGATAGGCATAGCATATTCGTCATCATTGGACTGGTTTACCTTGTCCATCAGACCATTGTGACACCAATTAATCAACTTTGCAATAAATTGAGAAGAAATATGGAAAGTTTGCATCGGAATGATTCGAAGACTAAGAGGCTCTTTATTTCAGAGTTCCTTTCTTTCAAGGTTTCTTTACCCAAATTCAACTATGTTTTCTCTCTATCTGACGAATTCAAGTTATATTTACAACTTTTCCAACTCAACATTGGGGGTCAAGACAGTGGGATTACATTATCATCTAACTTTTTCCGCTTGTTGGTTAATTCCACTGAAGTGAAGGGTCACTGGAACAGGTTACTTTGTGCTGACTATCTACAGTTCAAAGTAAATGATTTAATGGGTATTCCTTCTTTCCTTTTTGATGCAAACTCCATCCGAATAATCCAGCCACACCAGTTTGCGGTCTACAGGTTATTTGATAACTTGGCCGTCTTTACAAAAGTTATTAAGCACTTACTTAAGTCCATGAAATTAGAGGAAAAGTCCCAAATTGTTTCCCCTAAAGAATCACCTCCTTTAAACATCCCTGTTATTAACATTAAGGCAAAGCAAATCTTCTTTTCTATTGAAGATGATCCTTTTGAGGCCGAGTTAGGAATGATTTATCAGCTAGGGCTCCAAGAGCAAAAAAAACGGTTAGAAATGATGGATGTACTTTACGGGAAGGCAAGAACACAGTATACTTCTGAGGAATCTTTGCTGCAAAAAATCACAGAAATACAGAAGATTATGGAGGGTCTGTGGATAAGGAAAGTGAAAGCTTACAAATCGCGGATTGCTCAAGAAATTATTGACAATCAGGATTTTTTGTTTGGAGCGGAAGTTCACATAAAGGAAGATAAATGTCACAATATTTTGCCTTATCTGAGAACTGCTCCACTATGTCACATGATATTATCTGGTGTCGATTTGGATCTTTCTAGTATCAACTTTCCCTTTGATGACATTCCACGTTTTGTACATGATAAAGGGCAAGGAGTTCCTGGAGATACCAAGTATAATCTTGTTATACCAGCGTATGTTGATCTATGTGTTCGTGAGTTGCGTATACACGCAAGAGATTATCCGTTACCACTCCTAAATCTCCCTGACTCTATGGATTCTAGAGGTAAGGGAAACTCCTTGAAATTGAAGGGAAACTTGATCATCAATGAAGCATTATCTCTTGAAGAAGAACATATTAGAAGGCTTGAAGTTCAGCTTACTAAAGCATCGTCTGGTTCTCAACCAAACAGCTTTGATAAATTGATTATTAGAAAATCGATGTCCACTGTCAAATTCTATACTGACCTCGATATTATGTTTGGCTCTAAATCTCCATCTCGCTTTGTGTGGGGACAGTCCTATCTGTTCGTCATACAACAAATTATGGCGAGCCTTGATCAATTCTCAAAGCCACCCGTGGATCCCTCCCCCAAACTAGGATTCTGGGATAAATTTCGGTATATTTTTCACGGAAATTGTGCAGTGAAGACTTCTGGAGATGCTTGCATTGAGTTTGCCTTTAAAGGCGATCGTGATCCTTATAATCTCTTTGAGAAAGCCAGCGGCTTCGTACTCAGTTTCCGTGACCGCGTTAAATGGAATGTAAACAGCAACGATGATTCTTTACAATTCTGCAAGGTAAATTCCAATAAGGTCCTTTGGTACATTCCTAACTATTTATCTGCACCTTTGGTTTGTTGGAGTAGAGAAAGTCACAAGTCTACGTATTTGCCAGAATTGAACCAGTTGGTGACATCATGCTTCGGTTACTACCTTAATCCTCAAAAGCGAAATGGGAAAATCAACGAAGAAAAAAGTGTACACAATGTATGTGCCAAGCGAGTTGTTGAGTTAAGTGGAGGTGTTGATTTCACTTTGGGATTTTTACTACAGAGACATGCCTCCGAAAGTGGGACTATTTCAAGCGATGGTAAGCTTCATTGGGAAATTAATCTCAATAACCCTGCGTACGTGAAAGAGGGCCATGACTCGTATAAGGGATTCAGGACGGATCGAGTTCATATGGCTATTACTTTAGTGGCCCACACTCAATCAAGCTACAACACTATTCATTTAAGTCCTGGAGTGTTTCAACAATTCTTCGCATGGTGGTCCTTATTCAAGAGTAACATGATGTTACAGGTTCGAAGAGGAAAATTGTTTCCTAACTCCAAAAAATCTACTAAGTTCTCTGAGCATCTTTTCACGAATAAGTTCTTGTTTCACATTAGAGATCTATTCTTAAGTCACATATATGATGATTCAGGGTATGATGTCGATGATAAAGTAAAGTTTATTGGAATGCGAGCGAAAGTTAGTGAATTTCTAGTTGATTTGCATCAACGAAAAGAAGAACGAATCGATGCACATAAAGATCTATCTCGCCACAAAAAGATTATGAAGATGAATTTCAATCAAGCAGAAGTGGCATTGTCGAAGATTGATTTACGCATGATGTGCACAGAATACTTCAAGGACATATATGAACATAATGACGACTTAGCGGAAACGGAAACACAGAAGTCAAAATGCGAGTACACGATATTTGACAAGGATTACCAATGGTTTGATGATAAAGATTACGTTGAGGCGTTTGCCCCATTAAGTGGAAGAAAGAGAGAAAAAATGGCTGCATTCCCGTTCATGTACTCCGAAAGGTTTGCCTTCATTAGACAAACCAAGTCACCCGACAATATCGATTGGGGTGCTGAACACACACATGATTGCATGTTAGGGAGCACAGACGTGGAAGCAACTGGTTTAAATATGTTTGAAGCTAGGATCTCAGAACTTCAAAAATTAAATGAGAGCTCTGACACTAGTTACGAGGATAGTCATCAAGTGAAGAGAGAAATCGAAGCATTGCAACAGATGAAACTGAACTTAAAGAAGGAGAAGAGGTCTTTCCTAAAATCAAGCACAATAGAGTTTGAGCAGCATCAAAATGAGAATTTTAACAACAAGTTCGTTCTCATTTCTATGTTACTTAAGTGGAATGAGAGCGTACGCAATTTATTTTTGAGATATATTTATTTCGTGGAATTTCGATCTAACATGCAAAAGTACCTCTCTTATGAGTTCATCACAATGCTCGAAGGATTAATAGATAGGAAAAACTCAAATGACGCAAACCTGTCTCTTCTATCTTCTGTTACAGACGGTGTTCCGAATGTTGAAAAATTGAGATCTTTCTTGAACGAGTTTCTGACATCACAGGACAGGATAGTTAACTTCGATAAAATTATTAGGAAGGTAAGCGAGGATGAGACCTTCGAAGAAAGTTTCAAAATTGAAGTTATAAATCCTCAAATTCAGTTGCATTCTGAGACAGTTGATAATTCTGTCGTTCTTGTGACAGCACCAGTATTGGAGTCAAAAATCCTCACAATCAACTCAAAGAAAGAAGATCTGCTAGTTACTTACAGCAAAGAACTAGAGACCAGATTCGGTATCCTTCTACACGATGAAAGTGTTTTGGTAGTTGACAAACGTGCCGTTAAAGCACAGAAGGCACCATGGGCCATCAAGTCTTATGGATCAAAAAGTGCATGGCCCCCTTTCTTGGGAATTGAAATATGCAAAAATAACTCTTTAGCACAAGACAACATCGTTTTGGTAAGACGAATGTCTATGATGTTGACATATGATAAAGTCAAAGCTTCAAACTCAAATATCGATCAGATTGAAGTAGCATCGGCTGGACTGGCGGAAGATATATTTGCTGAGGGTATGGACCGATTACGAGTTGATGTTCCAAAATTAGAAATCAACTGTACATCGCTGCAATATTTTTCGCTCTATGTGACTATTTTGAGCTTAATTTTATATTCGGAACCCAGGAGCGCTCGCATGGCTGAAAAACTTCGACAACTAAAGTTTACGATCGATTTTCAAGATTTCAGCGCACTTCATGATAGACTAGTGTCATTACATGCTTACCTTGATGTTGTGAACACTATAATCAACAACTATAGCTTCAGACATTCTACACGAATGAGTAATGAAGAACTCAATGATTACATCTTGTTGAGGAACGAAAAGACTGAAAATTCTGCAGAGATCTACTTAATGTTGAAAACTTTATTAACAGGAGACATTTTTGCAGATACTTCCGCTCAACCAATTGAGGATTGGAGGATTGCTGCAGATAGAATAATTTTGAATATTTTGACAGATGAACGCAAGCCGATTTTGAACTTATCAATCAACAATGGACGATACAAAAGAGTCACCAAAGAGGATGGATCTAATCATAACAGGGTCGAAATAAAGAGCTTAGAAGGACGAAGCTTAGTCGAGGGAGCTTACTACGATAAATTTTTGGAGCCTAGCTATCCTCCGGATGGAAATGATCTAGTCGCAGTGGAATGGTCTATGAAACGACCAATTGGAGGCATCAAGATTATCAATAATTTTAACATCAGTTCGCAACCGTTGAATGTCAAACTAGACGAAAAAACTGGAATGCAATTGATGAATTTTATTTTCCATATGGAGAATTCCTCTGATTATAGCGATAGTCCTGTGCTGAAAGCAATTGATATCATCCCCAATAATAAGGAACACGCTGGAGAAGGTTCCGGAGACAGTGATGAGGATAGTGACGAAGAGCGCAAGAAAGTTCGATTTAGGGACGGGTCCTCGTCAATGACAAAGAAAAAAACGCTTTCTTTTATTTCTGGGTCGGAGACTAATACAGAGGTTGGCCATGATGTGAATGAAATGATTAGTCGTTCCAAAAAATATTTGTCAGTTGTGTCCTTTGTATGTCAATCCTTCGAATTAACCATATCATTGAAAATGAAACATGGCTTCAAGAGATGGTTGAATGTTAACCAGTTTACATTGATTCTTCCGGAATGGCAAATTGAGAGAACTGTGACATCTATGCTTGGTGTAGTCGACGTCTTCAAAAAGTTGGTGATCAAGACTTTGCTTAGTTCCTCGGGTCTGCTTCTCGCTAACAAGATGAGAAGCCGCTCAGCGAACGATAGAAAAAGATTGAAAAAGGGGAGATAAAACTAAGATATGTATTCCCAAATATATGATTCATCCAATGTGTTGCCTTTTGATATCACTTCCGTTTTGTTGTCTTTTCTTTCTCTTTTTCTTGTAATCGTCATTCTCGCTCATGTCATCACCTCTCATTAAAGTGTGCTGGTCGTTGATTGCTAAATCAGCTGTATTAAAACCTGGAATGCCATTAATGGGCGTCTTGTCGAATTTAAAAGCTTGACTTAAAAGATCCCCATTTATTTCCTTTATGATATCTGGTTGGTGAGTCAAATTGGGATCTAAAAGTCCTCCATTGATTGGTTTTGGTCCAGGTATTTGATGCTTTCCTGGCAAATCCAGTATGTGATTCTTGTATGACTTCCGTAGCTTCACACTTTTGGATCCATCGCTATTTACCCTCGCAAGTGACTGTGCAACCGACTCTAGCCCGTACATGGATAGGAGATTGAGTAAGGGTGACGGGTTTGGTGGAGTATACTTTGCTAGATTGTTAGAAGTGATTAATCATCATGGAATGGGGAATACATACTATTCCGGTCTATTAGATAATAAGCTTCAATTCCCTGAGGGTCCTTCTCAGAATTAGTCATGTCACGATCAGAAAGATGTGGGTCGTTCTTTTTTAGAAATATGACTTACTTCCTGTGCGCGCGGATAACTATGCCTCGATAAACCTGGCTGGCGTATATTCGCGTACTGATGTAGAGGATATAAAGACGGCGTTATAAAAGTCTTAATATTCATAATATAGATATCTTTCATTAGACTCAATAGACATATCCCTTTAACTATACACATTTCCCAAGGTAATCGATTTAATGACAGTGTAATCATCTATTCCATGCAAGGAACCTTCGCGACCAAAACCAGATTCTTTTACACCTCCGAAGGGCATAGCACAGTCTGTGAAAATACCAGTGTTTACACTCACCATGCCGGTTTCTAAAGCCTCCGAAACTGTGTAAACGGTATTCAATGATTCGGAAAAAATGTAAGCAGCTAAGCCGAATCTTGACTTGTTACATTCTTCGATTACCTCCTCCTTCGTCTCAAATTTGGCAATCGCACCCAAAGGTCCAAATGTTTCTTCTTCGAGAACCTTCATGCCTGGAACAATGTCCTTCAAAACATATGGAGCGTAAAAGTGCTTGCCCAATTCAGGAAGGCGACCGCCTTTGACTACAACCTTTGCACCTTTCGAAACAGCGTCCTTGACATGATCTTCCACTTTTTCGATGGCCTTCGTATTGATCAAACAAGCGTGAGTTACTCCTTCCTCGAAACCGTTCCCGATTTTGAAGTTGCGGACCTTCTCTGCGAACTTTTCAACAAATTCATCGTAAACCTTAGACTGAACATAGAGCTTATTAGCACATACACATGTTTGGCCCAAGGAACGGAATTTCGAGGCAACCGCTTGTTCCACTGCAAGATCCAAATTCGCGTCACTGAAAACAATTACAGGTGCGTTACCTCCCAATTCCATCGATAACTTCTTGAGAGTTGATGAACACTGTTTCATCAACAACTTCCCCACAGGAGTCGAGCCTGTGAATGAGATTTTCTTAATTAAAGGTGACTCACAGAATTCCAAGCCACATTTTGGAGTGGACTCGACCGAAACAGTCACCACATTGAACACACCTTTAGGAAAACCTGCCTTGTCTGCTAAGTATGCCAACGCCAACGAGGAAAACGGAGTTTGTCCGTCTGGTTTCAAAATACAAGGACACCCGACAGCAAGGGCTGGTGCTGCCTTACGGGCACCCATGGCCAATGGAAAATTAAATGGACATAACAAGCCGACTGGCCCAACAGGCTGTCTGTAGGTTATCACTTTATTGTTGTGATTGGAAGGTTGGATAGTGTGACCATAATTTCTCTTCGCCTCTTCGGCAAACCACTCAAAGTATGACGCAGCATACTTCACCTCGCCGATCGCATCGGTTAAGCACTTTCCGTTCTCTAATGTAATCATGGCAGCCAAGTCATCAAGATTTTCCATCATAAGATTGTACAAGTTGCGCAACCAGCGAGACCGCTCGTTTGCACTGGTACTCTTATAGCTTTCGAATCGGTCACTTGTGAGTTGGATTGCATCAGCAATTTCTTGCGGGGTTTGGTCCGGAACTTCGTCGATTACCTCCTCAGTAGCAGGATCTAAAACTTTGAAAGTGGTGGTGGATTTGGACTCAAGCCAATCACCATTGATAAAAGGCCGTGGTCTGAAAAGATCGGGGTTCTTGAAAGTGTGAACCATTTGTGTCTAGTATACTTCCTCAAGTGTATTCTGGGGCTTCTTATATGTATGTAGCGGCCTTTAGCGCAATCCCCTAATTAGGCAGCAATTGGCGCATTTGCGCTAAAACATGTGTCCAGTGTCGCTCACTTTCTTAGAGTTGACGATAGAAAATCTCTAAGTAATTCATATCTTCGGATATAATTTCAATGTTTCCAATGTTAAAAGCATCAGAATCTAAAATGTTTTTTTTTTTGGAGTCCTTTCTCTTCTACGACTTCTTGTAAATTTAGCAATTCTCAGCAAAAAGGAATGGTTTCGCGCATTCACCCATTATGTAAATCGATGAAAAAAAAATAGGATTAACTTCAAATGCATTTAAATGACCGCATACTGGTAGCAAAACTTGTTCTGCCACAGAAGTGGCAAGTATGAATTTATGTTACCACTAAATACCCTTGTAGTCAGATAATTGGCATCAGAAGTCTAGATCACGGTTATCATTTCGTGTCGCGTCTAGTCGTGCACCCACCATCCAGCATGATAAACATTGTGCTTTGTTTATCAATTTGCAACACTAATGCTTTCACGTCTTTCACGTCAATTGGGCATCAAAGCCCCACAAATCGTTCCTATTCAATTAAGATTGTTTTCCCTGTCAACAATCGTCTCGGCTCTTACTGTCGATAAAGAAAAGAATAAAATCAAACAATTGAAGGCCACCTTGAAAAAGGAAAAGGATGTACTTGCAAAGTTGAAAGCACAGCACAAAAAAATCACCCAGAAGCACAAGGATCTCGTGCTGAAGAGAAAAGCTGAAGCTTCAGAGAAAAAGCTCATTAGCAAAGCACTTAAGCCATACAGAAAGATCACTGGTCTCAATGTGTTTATTAAGGAAAGAGTTGGAAATGGTGCAACAATTGCTACCATTGGCAAAGAGTGGTCTTATTTGACCGAGGCAGAGAAAGCCGATTTCCAGACTAAAGCAGATGCGCTTAACGAGGAGAACTTGAAGATCTGGAAACCAAAACCCACCCCACCAGCAAATATGTATGCTGCCTTCGTAAAAGAACACTGGGTAAATGACGGTCGTGACTTTGGCGAAGTTAGTAAGGAATTGGCTTCGAAGTGGAAAGAAATGTCTACGCTGGAAAAAGAAGCCTACGCCCCATCCCAAAGTGAAAAGGATGCGTATGCAAAAGAGTTGGAACAATGGAAAGAAAACAGAATAAAGCTTTACAAGGAAAAGCTCGAGTCCGCCTAGGTTTTGAATATGCACCTTAATAAAAAAATTTCATCTTTTAATTTGGAGACACTGCAAAATTATCATACTCGTGTCGGGCCACTTTCTTTAGAACACGCAGTAATTCCTCAGGAAGAATGGGTTTGGATATAAAATCAACCATTCCAGACATTAGACATCGCTCTCTATCTTCACCTGCAACATTTGCCGTCAATGCAACAATCATTGGCATATACTCCATCAGATTACGGGTACTTAAACTTTCACGCAAGTTTAGTGACGCAACAATTCCGTCTTTGCGGGGCATCTGTATATCCATCAAAATCACATCATACTTTTCTCCTTTAGATAACAAACTTTCACAAATTTCTAAAACCTCGACGCCATCTTTAGCATGGTCTGCTTTGTAGCCCAACTTTTTCAAGTGCTGGCTAGCTACTCTAAGGTTCACGGGATTATCTTCAGCAAGCAATATTCTCAAGGGATACATTTCTCCTAAAAGCTCCTTCTTCTTGGGCGTCGAATTGGGGAGTAAATCGGCTATCAGCTTTGAATGTCTCGTGCTCTTTCCCAGAGAAATGCTTCGAAGAATTGTTTCAACTTTCGTTCTTTTGATAGGTGTAAAAATGACTCCTCCAATTTGCATTTGTTCTAATACGTCAGTTTGATAAACCAGGCCAAAGCTGGTAACCAAGACAATCTTAGTCTTCAGTGATGATATCAGCTTTGTGTCAAATTCTGTGTCGTCTAAAATTGACTTTCCCACAAAGAGGAGGTCTGGTTCATCCGTGATTCTTAAATCGCCATCCTCCTTGATAATTACAGTAGTTCCAAAATATTCCAAAAATTCCCGAAGTGATTCTCTAGTCAATTTCTCCTTCAAAATTATTGTCACTTTAAAAGGATAGAAAGGTTTTTGAGTTTTTTTGTTAGGCACTTCAAAGGGACAGGAAAAACAAAAAGTACTCCCAACTCCTTCTTTGCTATCAAGCGAGATTTTCCCGTCCATTATGTGGGCCAATTTCAGCGAAATGGCAAGACCTAACCCGGCACCTCCATGAACACGTCGTGATGATCCATCCACTTGCGAGAAGGCACCAAAAACTTTTGACTTCAAGCCTTCTGGTATACCTATTCCAGTATCCTTAACAGAGATATGAAGCATATATCTATTTTCAGTAACTTTATCAGCACTTATGCAAATTTTGACATATCCCTCCAGTGTAAATTTAACGGCATTTCCGACCAAATTAATTATGATCTGTCTCACTCTTGTTGGATCTCCTATAACTCTGTCAATTTCCGGACACTGATTGAAGTAGACCAACTCTAAACCATTGTTGCTGGCTTGCTCGCTCGAGATTTGAATTGCACTCTCAACGGTTTCCACGATTGAAAATGGAGTACTATTCAAAGTGAAAGAACCATGCTCAATCTTACTGAAAGCCAATATACCGTCGATGATATTGAGTGTCACCAAAGATGAGTTTTTGATTGTCTCAACATACTCTTGTTGTGTAGACGTTAGTTCCGTATCGAGAAGGAATAGCGAGCAAGCAAATAAAGAATTAAAAGGAGTTCGAATTTCATGCGACATGTTCGCTAAAAAGCTTCCTTTTTCAGCTGTTGCATCCTCGGCAGCCTTTTTAGCTGCTTCTAGTTGCGAATAAATAAAGGCTTTAGTCAACGATACAGCTGCTTGAGCGCAGAGTAACTCAAGTAAATCAATAGTACTAGAGGCTAACAGGCGCTGACTGTTGGATGATCCTCTTTGTCCTATGTTTTTTTCCAAGTAAAGAACACCTAAAGTATTTGAGGTCTTAATCGGGATGCAAAGCACGGATGAGCATGGATTATGAACAAAATACTCATCTGAGCCAAATTGATGCTCAAAATACTCAGCATTGTGTTCTTTACTCATAGTCTCTCCTCTCATCAAACAATGTACAACGAATGTATAAGGAACTAGATCTGTTCTAGAGCTAAGAGGCTCACTCTCTATCTTGTAAAGGTTATTATAGGTAGCAATTGCTTGGATCAGGGACTCGTGTTCTTCATTGTTAAGTATGATCGCACCATAATCAAGCCCCGAAATTAAAAGTACACTTTCAAGTAGACTGGCATAAATGGAGTCTGCATTAGAGGATTCTGAAATCGCTAAACTGAGTTTAATGGCTTTACTTAACTCATTTTGGCTCGCTCCTTGATCATTGTCAGAAGTTGCTCCCTCGTTTCTAACGGCATTTGACCATTTGCCAGACGTTGTGTTAGATTGTCGATTGCTATCGTCTAGAATTACGTCATGTCTCTGCAGAGGCAGTTTAACGACATTTGCAATGTGTCGTGAATCCGAAAAATGTTTCGGTTCCAGCTCTATTTTCGCCACCCCTGCCCAGTTGAAGTTGTCAAACGAAGAAGGAAATTCTTTTTTGATGTTCTCTGCCATATCGTAAAATCTCATAGTGGAGTAGATTGAGTAAGCATTTTGTGCATAGTGATTAATCCTTTTCAACTTTTGGTTAGTTTTGAATAACCAAGAAGCACAAAGGTGATTCGCAATAGCTGAGTCTAGCCAGGAATTTTCCCGACCGGCGATCTCAATAGCATCTTCAAACGTATCTAGCAAGACTAGCGATGATTCATTCGGACGTGCTGTCCTGAGACAAGCGTCCAAAATGAGCGATTTTGCTTCAAAGTTAGCTGGACAAGCACTTGCACAAATATCAAAAGATTTGGCTATTTTAGCTGCGAGGAGTAATCCTTCCTCTCTAGATGATGAAGTATTCCAGCATAGGCAAATTACTGCGTGAAATTGATATTCAACGTAGAACGGGGTTATAGGAAGCTGCTTCAGAACATGAGATGCTCTCTTTAAGATAACCTCAGAAGCCTCATTGTGTTTTCCCGCTGAAGAGCACCATAGAACAGCCTGAGCTAGATAGATGAACTCCAAATCGTACCTTTTGAGGGATTTAAAATGGCTAAACTGAGTTTTGTAATCTTCAAATGGCATTTCACCAAACCAGAGTTTAATAGCATTCTGAAAAACCAAATTCTCATCATCTGTCTCGAAATTGACTTTGCGTCTCTTTATCAGTTTGAGATATCTTGAAGAGATACCTCCCAGTGAAAGACAAATGCTGATTTGTGACATAGTTACCATGAGAGACATGGCGGTGTCGCATGTTTCCACGATTCCAGTGCCAAATAAGCGATAGAGTGATTCAGGATCCGCATGCGTGCTAATATTTTCTTTGAAAATAGCCATGAACATGTTATAGGCTTCATTAATCTGCTCATTAACGTAAGAACTGAAGAGTTTGTCATCCCTCAGAATCGCAATAGCCACCTCGCCAAGTTCTTTGGTCTTCAATATGTTCCTGTTTTTGTTTCGTTGGGCAAAATAGTTTCCAAGATGGAGTAAAGGTACAATACATGAACTACTTGTTCCAAACTTAAGCATTAACAGGATCAATTGTGTCAAAAGGGCCAAACGAAGACTTGACAAACCAAGGACATAAGTTGGGCCTATTGCTTCCAGTATCAAATCAGCTATCAACAAAAATTTCTTGCTTGTTGCAGCTTGAAGGAGTTTCATGTTCCTTATATCCGCAATAGAGAATGGTGTCTTTCGAAAGAACTTTTCGGAAATTCTATTGCATTCTTTGAAATCAATTGAGACTTCAACGTCAAGAGATGCCAATACATCCAAGGTTTTCCTGAGACCTAATTTGAAATTTCTCAGTTGAAATAAGCATTTGATCTTGAGATATAAGAAAGTTGAACTTTCCTTTCCAAAAATTCTATCAGCCTCTTGAATAAGCGTGATACAAGTGTTATAACGCTTCAAAAGATAATTTATATGGCAAACAGTAAGCATATTTCTGATTTGCTTTTCTTGGTCGTCTGCTTTGATGAACTGAGCAGATGCTTCGAAAAATATGAGAGCAAGTTCAGCATTCGAGGACGAGATAGCAAACTTTCCCCCACTAATCAAGGCCTCGTAATAGATATCCGTCTCATCTTCTTTTGCAACAGCGCACGAATGAAGGAAATGGTTAGCCATTATCAAAAAATCGTTGATATTAGTATTGTGTTCGCCGGATAGTTTTTTGAAATACCGCAACCCACATAGTCTTCGAAGATTCTCCAATTCCCCTGAATCTTGCATCTCTTTCAAAAGATAAATCTGAATTAGGTCATGATCAAAATGGTAGCTTGATTCAGTCGCTAATTCCCATACAATGGAATCACTTATATCAAATGGAAAGTCATCCCTAGTAATCAAATGTAAAGGCACTTTGTAATAGATTCCAGAAGGAATTATCACCCTTGTTTCTAGACATAGTTGTATCAGTTCATAAACTTCAGTAAGCGATAAACCGCTAACAATTAATAGATCTGCAATTCGAAAGTTACCATTGGTACCTATTATTGAAGCAAACTTAAGAAGACTTCTAGCTGTGTTAGTAATGCAAAGCTCAAAAAAACTTGGCAAAATTACGGGAATATCAGCCAACAAACGAAGACTTTCTTTTTCCTCATTGAAATCAGCTTTCCCTATCGGGTGAAGTAAACGAACCCATCTGGTGAAGTACTCTAACTGAAGAAGGTTTCCCCCAGTAGCTTTGTGTATTTTCTCAATCGTCGAATCGTGTAAATTCAAGAATTTAGATCGGTCAACAAATTTGGAAAACTGTTTCAAATGTAATGGCTTCAAGCAAAACTCGTGATACAGGGCATTCTGGGACTGGAACAAAGATGCTAACCTAGAGAGTTCAACTTCATATTTGTCGTTGGTGGACTCTGGAGGGCTTGTCCTATAGGCACATAAGATGCTGATGCTGGTTGACGCATTTTCCAAAAGACAGTATTCCATGACTTCTTGCAAAAGCAAAACTTCTGTGAGTGAACACCAGTGCAAGTCATCCAATATGATGGTCAAGCCTCGATTGGCAACGATGCTATAGATCTTTTTTATGATATACTTGTACTTGAGCTCAATGTTCAAAGACCGTTCATCAAAATGTTTCACCTGAAGGTACGTGTGGTTTTTCCGAAGCAGTTCTTGATCTGTCTCATCTTCAGTGCTTCTTATACCTGCTGAAAACGAATACGATGCTTTGCTTCGCTTCTTGCTGAACAAATCACTGTAACGAGGACCCATTAAAATCTCCAAGTTGGGGATGGCATCAAACATCACACTGACATCGGTGTCGACTTCAGTTGCTAAAATGTGTCTCCACTCTGAAATTGTTTCTCTGGATGAAGCTAATATTTGTCCTATGATGGAATGAATTCCGTTGAGGAGGAAAGCGTACTTTGACACTTTCATATCTGTGCAGTTATAGTTCCAGTGAATCACGTAATTGAATTTAGATACTGCGAGTACTTTGAGAGCTTGAATAATCGTAGACTTACCTACACCTGACTCTCCCGTCACCATAAGGTACTGCAAGCCTTCATCATGCGCATTAAAACATTTCTGAATATCTCTTCGAACTTCATCCTCAATCTTAATGAAATTGGTGAGGAAAAAAGGCACTTTACCTATTTTTGTTTCATCAATAGTGACTGTTCTCAGGTCATGATTCAAGGAGTTTCGGCTAGTCAATGGAATATAGTCGTTGATTACGTCCTGTAAATCCTTCATTAAGCTGTTTCCGTCTTGGTATCTTTTTCCGGGATCTTTTTCTAAGCATTTCATGGTAATATCACTCAATTTCTGGTTGATCCACTGCGAGCCCAATATGACAGGTGCAATCGGTCTCTGTACAAATATCATCTTTTTCAAACGTGTCGGATTGTCTGATTGAAGAGGTAAACAACCGACCAAGAGCTCATAGAGAACAATACCAAGAGAGTAGAAATCTGCACGATAGTCAACAAGAGCTGTTATTTCGCCCAAATTCTCTGGTGACATGTAGGGAAGCAAATCAGAGATATCAGACAAATTGCTTTTGCGAAAACTCAGTGACGAGTCTTCTGCAGAAATGGTAAATGAGAAATCCCATCCTGTAATGGCCAAAGGAGATACTGATCCTTCCGCAATATTAGCTCGAAGAATATTGTGACTCGTGATTCCATTGTGTACAACACCAAGCTCGTGGCATGTCGTGATGACGTTGACAACATAAACGAGATCAGTCAAAATACTAATAACTGTTTGTGGTGATTTGGGACTCTGTGCTATGCGATTTGCCAATTCATCAAATGCAACGTTCTGACGCAACCGATCACGCAAAGGTGCATCGGACGCAGACAATTCGGAAAAAACAGAGCGTGCGCTGCCACTTCGGAGGGATGCTGTTTCCGTTCTGAAGTGCCTGCTTTTCTCATAGTAGTAGTCACGGATATTTTGGTAGCCATGATCTTCGTATATCATTGCCATACGACGCTGTTGTATGTTTTCCTTGGTGGGCTCAATATTGAGCACCTGATACGGATAAAGCACACCCAGTAAGCCTTTAGGAAGTGTGAGAGGTTGTTTCAACATATTACGTTGCGTTTTGTCTGTAACATGCACAGAGTCCGATCCAATGAATTGGTTGTGCAACTCGCTGTTTCCCCATAAGCGGTGTTTTGACGTCGGGTTTATTCCCGATGTCGCATGCCACTCATTTAGAAATCGGGCAACATGCGCAGATTCTAGGTAGTTGGGGGAAAGACGTATGACAACCCTGTTGGCAGTACCGTCCTGGGAAGCAAAAAAAAGCAAGCTGCTCAGTGTGTCAGATGCCACAGGTGAAAGAAGAGAGTAGCCCGGCACCACGTCAGGTGCCACCAGCAAGTAATCCGAGTATAAATCCTCATACTTCAGGTTTAATTTGTAAGAGTTCAAGTAGGAATTTTGATGTTCTTGGAAATTGATGTCTTTGGAATGCAGTTGGTGGGCCAATAGTGATTCCCGCGGCATGACCGTAGGATCGATCCGATCCTTGCCTAAGTCTGTGGGAGTGGTCTGGGACTGACCCGACAGCAGAATCCCCGTGGAGTCCACGGAAAGTACGTGAAGTCCCTCTTTCCGGGCCAGATTAGACGACTGGTGGGAACCCAGGCGAACCAGATGGACGGAGCCTGTATGAGAAAGACCGCTGCTGCGACGCGTCGAACACACCGACGGGGTTCGTGACGACATCGTGTCTGACATAGAAATAGGAGGCAGCAGTTCAGGACTCTGGAGAAGCGAAGAAGCTTTGAACAAGAGGCCACCGGAGTGCACAGGGTGGGGATGGTTCATGCGGCTCATGCGCAAAATGGCCCGCCCCGTGCGTGTTTACGAATCTTGGGGTGAAGTGCAGCCCAAGACTCAGCAGTCCACTGAGCTTCTTACGGTTCGTAGTGTTTATCGCATTACATTACATCACGTTTACCTGTTAGTCCCCGAGTAATAGGGCTTGCCAGATGCGGTAAGGAGATGAGAAACGTTTTTTGTTATGAGCCCGGGATAGAACGCCTGTTGTAGCAATGATAAATCTCCATTTGATGCAGGCTTGTAGAGAATGAAGATAAGTTACCATGGAATTGGCTGGCCATTAAACTATTCCCTTGATGAAGATGAAGTTTAAAAAAAACGTCATTGTATTAATTTTCTGTATCTATACATTTTTGTTTTGCGGCAATACCTGGGACATTTTTGAGTCATGTCTCACTTGCTGTACGCGGGTGTACTTTGATGCACTCTTAAATTGCCTTCCGGAAGTTTTCGTTTATGTACTATGCCGAAGAAAGAAATTAATGTTTCAAACGTGGAGCACAATTGTAAATCCACTTTTCAAGCGGACCAAAATCAGTAGTAGAACATTAAAACGATTAAGGCATATACACGCCAAAATGAGAGCTGCCCAATTCTAAGCCCATGTTAGAACTCGACCTACCAAATCGACTTCTATACCTTGTAAAAGGCTACTGTTACAGCAAAGGAGTTAGTATTAGTCAATTTTGCTCAATAACAAAAAGCCCTTGTTTTACGCAAACACTACTAATACATGTGTATTGAATCCAGTGTAAAAATCAATGATCCAGCAACCACTCATCTAATTGTGGTATGAGCCCCGACCACAAAGTTCTGATGGTGGCTTGCGGTCCGCCATCACTGGGAGATAAAGTTGTAGTAAAGAGTGTGGCACAGCAAAAGAAAATCATAGTTAAGCGGTAAGATTTTAGGTCTGTTGGCGGCGAGTGGCGGAATGAAAGAAAAGATTACAATATAGCGCACTTCTTGGATTTCTTGATCACTGGTGGCTCCAAGGCAGCAACAATAGCCTCGTCAAACACCGTCTTTAATCCTCTTTGCGTTAATGCAGAGCACTCCACGTACTTAACTGCCCTCAACTCCTTGGCCAATTTCTCTCCTTGATCAGTAGTTATAGGTGACAACTTTTGTCTGTGCAATCTCTGCAAAATGACCTCGTCATTTCTCAAGTCGATTTGCGTACCCACTATAAGGCACGGCACACCTGGACAGTGGTGGTGTACCTCGGGGAACCACTTCTCTTTGACGTTCTCGAACGAAGCGGGTGCTATCACCGAAAAACAAACCAAAAAAACATCTGTAGAAGGGTACGACAACGGCCTCAATCTATCATAATCTTCTTGACCAGCAGTGTCAAATAGGCCCAAGGTGAAGGGCTCGTCGCCAATCATTACCGTCACGGCATAGTTATCAAAAACAGTAGGAACATAGTCTGCGGGAAACTTAGAAGTGGTATACGAGATCAACAAACATGTTTTTCCGACCGCACCGTCTCCAACAACGACACACTTTATGGTTTGCATTTTTGGACGATGTGTGTCTTGTGTGATGAAGCCTTCTTTTATCGAGGGGTGTGTGTGTATTCCAGTCTAGTCAGCGGTGCCCAGAAACTCAGAACGCGGAATTTAGGAAACTTGAGAAGATTTAATGAGAGGTTTGATGATGGAGCCTCTTGTACTGACCAGCTTTAGATGAATAGGAGCGCCTGGCTTTGTTAGTTTGCTTGTTATTCCGCTCTCACAGTTTGGTGTGAGGAAAAAACTTTGGCTGTGTTCGCACCTCTCCACATTACATGCACGACGTACGCGACCCTTACCCGAAACATAGGGGCAACACCCACCCCAGAAGACGTTCGATTATGTGGATGACCTCGCAAATACACAAGAACTACATAAGATACAAATTAACTAATTAATAAACCGCTAAATACTGAAGGTATAGAGGAAGAAGTTCAATTCGTGGATATGGGCGCCTCGTTTTGCCCTCGAGGGGTTGAATAATTAGAGGCGTGCGAACCCGAAACGCGCACGTGATACCACATAGTAACTTCAAACCTCACAAGACTGATTCCCCAGACCACACTTACCTGCTGTAGTTACTTAATACCCATGAGACCATTGTCTCCCTGCATTATGTCCAAGTTGGCGATATCGCTGGGCAAGTTGTTCGTGTCGATTAGTTTGTTGGCAATCTGTCCTCCCGGATCTATCATCGAGAGGTCCTTGTCTACTTCATGATCTTCAAGAATGGCTGGTCCGCCGCCCAAGAAGTCGAGCATCATATGCATACCTCCGGCACCACCTGCGTATTCTTCGACATCGACTGGAAGTACTTGCGACACACCTTCCAAAAACCATACCTTGTCTTTCATCTCTGTGGTGAAGGACCGTAGTAATTTGTAGTAGGAGCGCATAATACGCATGGCTTTGACGTCGCCCAGCATCAACATTCCTAAGAAGTCTTTATCAAGCAAAGCTGGGAATGCAAAAATACGGAGAATGAAGTCTGCCTTGTACCGCTCCTTGTGAAGTTTGTTCAAGTATGCTAATGTAATCAAGTATGGTGAGTTGATGGCCACTGGGTAGAGGTCTGCGATGTCCGAATCGTGGCACTCCAAATTGGCAAAAAGCGACGGTTTGGCGCTTGACAACTGGCTCTTTTCATTGATTATATCGCCCAAGTCACCTAAATCCACACTGATAAACTTGTAAAACCGCAGCGCCTCCGTCAACGGCCATACTGCGGTCAAGATTGTTGCCGCACCCTTGACATGAAAAATCCACGCTGATGCCGGTAGGGATTTGGGTGATGTCAGTGACGGGACAGAAGCGTTTGCCAAAGAGTCCATGATTAGAATGAGTGCACTAGCCACCAATGCGTCAGTATTGTCACTGTTGATGTCCAAAATAGCTTCACGTAAAAGGCGGAGCGCATCGCCACGATGGGAAGTGACACACTGGTCCAATCCCTTTTCTGTACGCGATAAGTGTGTAGCACTGAAGGCTAATACCGCATGCATAAGAAAAGGATACTCAAATGCAAGCATGGGCACATCATGATTCCAGATGTCCGTGTCCGAGATACCTGCTCCCGTGATAGTGTTGGACACTTGTGTGGTGTAATGGTACATGAGCCGAAGGTCAAGCATGTTCAAACCTCCAGGATTTGAAGGCAGGGGGTTGTTCGGGATATTGGGAGGATCTTGAAGATACAGCCCACTTTCCGGGGCAGTTTTCTTCCTTGGAGAACCATCGAGGCCAATTGATGGTCCAAGAGTGGCACCTACATTTCCATTAAGTGTGCCATTTAAAGAGCCGTTGATGATACCATTGATGGTGCTGTTTAAGGACAGACCACTCAAATCTGGGGCTTTGCTTGACGGCCTAGCAGAGCCACTGAGCTCGGGTGATGCAGCGGAGTCCATTTCTGAGTTTTGACCAAAACTGAAACCCAGGGCGCCCAATGCGGAAAGATCAATCGGTAGTTGCGCAAGCGCTGCTAGGTTGCTCAAGTTGGCAAAGCCACCCAAGCTGCTAAGGTCACCCATGCTAGACAAGTTGTTCACTAAGTGGCTGAGGTTGATGTTATTCAAGTTACCAGCGTTCAAGAGGCCCAGACCCAATGCTGTCGCAGCCATTGAAGGAAGAAGCGGTTCTGCGTGCTTTGCTGTCGGACTGGGTGTTTTTGTAGGTGTCGTTTCCTGAACAGATGAATACAGGTCCTGTTCAAGTTTTGGTCGTTTGTGGTCGTTTTGATTCTCCTGGTTTTCAATGTATCCGCAAACCAACTTCATACGCACACAGTTGTTGCACAGGGGTTTTGTTTCATCACACTTCACACGTCTTTTTTTGCAGGTTGAGCAGCCGCTGCGGGATTTCAGATGGTACTTACGCTTGAAGCTAGAGTTCTTTCTGCTTTCAGACATGGCTAACACTGGAGTTGAATCGGTCAGTTATAGGAGAGGCCAAGTTGAATTACGGCCGCAAGAGAAAGCTCAGAATATTGCAAGCGTTTGTATTTCCAAAGAGCCTCTAGGCACGGATGACACGTATACTTGTATTATGTTGCACTTTAGGATGGCGATCACACCTTAAGGATGGGTATAGCCTCTATGTCGTATAGCTCGTATAAAACAAGTGCGTGTTTGTTGTACCAAGCCTCAGAAACTTTTTTTTTTTTTTTCGCGGCCTAGCGCCATCGCCTAGTATTTAATATGGGGAAGGCAACCACATCAACCTAACGGTCGCACAAACGCATAAGTTACAAGACGTTGTGCCCATACATAGCTTCATCTATAATCTGCGCGTATTCTATTAGTATTTTGTACAAGTATTTAGAACCATCTGCTTACATCTTATAGCATAACTTCTAACTATTAAAGGTACCCCTTCGGTGGATTTACAGAACTAAATACCGCTTCCTTCTGCCATTCTCGGACACCACTTTTTATTTTTGGCTTTCCAGTTTCCGTCTTGGTCGCGTTGCAGACGCTGGGCGCTAGTCAGATCTTGGCCCCTATCATACTTTACCTACAGGCCTGTTGGTGTATGTGCCGGTAAATCCTCTTTTAACGCATATACGAAAGCCCACTGGTTCATATGGGTCGATATAACCACGTGATCATACATGATGGTACTGTCTCTATGCTCATTCTTACTGAACCATCAGCAATTGATTCACCAATGCGCAAACAAAGCTTTGACCGCATGGCCAAATGGTTTTTTTTCAGTCTCGCCAAAACCAGACTCATACATGAATGGCGTAGTGTAAAGATGAGACACCAAACGTGACTCAGAACATGTTCGCAATGCGTATACAAATTGCTTTGAGGTAGCGTTGTTCGCCGTCTCTGTACTAGTAAGAAGCTAAATGGTTCCAATAAGTAAGGACGCTATTCGAACTAGTTTGTTTTCCCGTCAGCATATCGTTATGGCACCCTACACTCCTAGTAGTGACATTGTGATTTATTCTTAGGTCCTTTTTGGTTAGCCTAACCTTGTGCTTGCTTATAATCCATGCCTTAATTATGTACCTTTGCTCTCTTGCTTGTTTTGTCGGTCAGACGTTGGAAACATATTTTTGCGCCCATGCGGCACTATAGGCAAGTGAGATCAGACCTGCACCTAATTCAACCACTGACGACTAGTCCTTTCTAAGCTTAGTGATACACCATGAGCATTCAGATGACTTGGCCCAAGTTGGGCCGCATGTTGCTCTATGGAGGTGGAATAATCGGTACCGGTGTTTTATTATTCACCTATACTGTCCCAACCGATGAACAGTTGATTGCAGCTTTCTCGCCAGAGGTTAGGGCCAATTACGAGAAGAATAAGGCTTTAAGACAGAAAGAACAGGAGGAATTAATGAAGATCGTTCAAGAAACATCGAAGTCGAATGATCCGATCTGGAAAACTGGCAAAATTGCTTCTCCCTTCGAGAAAGAAACGAGGGGCGCAGATCCAAAGTTGGTCAATGCGACTCAGTTCTTTAAGGAGGAAGCGGACGCCAAGAAGAAAGCAGAGACGGAAAGAGCCGAAGCAGAGTTTTTGGAAACGGAGCGCTTGGTCTCTCAAGGTAAGAAATCCTGGTGGCAATGGCGCTAGGCTGTACATAGTCAAGGTATACTTAATCTGAAATTTGGTGATGATTTGTATTCTTTAGTAACTCTGAGGATGTATATATTGACAACAGTCTCTACTCATTACTTCCATCTGAAGCTGTTCTCAAATCCCAGGAGCCAGCTGGAGCCATTTACACCCGTTACTTTTTGGCTGTTGGCTGCATCGACTGCAGACACAATTCTAGAGATATTTGTATCTATCACCATTCCACCCTGGACAATTTCCTCCAAAACAGTTTGCAACACCTGCCATCCAAACACTAGATCAAGCTCACAAACGTTTGTAAAACATTTGTCTAGACATTCCACGAAAACCTGAATTAAGTCAAGGATACCAAGCTCTGATTCTTGGTCATCGACTATAAATACGAAATACAACGTAGCGTAATGACGGTAGATTACCTTGATATCTTCCAAATCTTCCAATAGTTTAGGGGGTGTGATAAAGGAACATTCCTGAGATGTCCGAACTGATATTAGCTGGTAAACTTGCTGAAGCAAAGTTCTCTGGGTAGTTACATCCAAAGGGGAATAGAACTTCATTAGCCGTGGAACTCCATCATGGTTGACTATTTGTTAGGCACTCATCAAGAAACGAATCATGAGGTTACATACATATTAGGACAGAATGAATCATGGTTCTTGTCCACCTAAAATTGTAGCACTATATGTATGTTTGGTGTACGGGCCTTTGATGGCCTTGTTCTTTGCATTAATGAAGAAGAAACATACGTGTGATGAAAAAAAAAAGTTTATACTCTGAATTTTTTAGGAAGAATAATGGTTCTTCAAAGATTTTGGTTTGGGTTTGGTTAGATTCTCCTCCTAAGCAAATCCAAAGCTTGACATTCTGAAAGGCCATGAAAATCCTGCATCATTTCAATCAGTAACTTATGGCCAGTATCACGACATACACGATGAATACCAAAGAAGAAGCCCAGCGCTTAGACTCCGAATTCTCATCACATAGAGATAAATTTGTGATTCCTACTTTTCAATCTTTGGGAATCTCTAACACGGAGTTCCGGCCATCCGATAGCTCGATTTACTTATGCGGCAACTCACTAGGATTGATGCCCCGGAGCACAAAAAAAGCTATTACAGATGAATTAGACGCTTGGGGTGAACGTGCGGTCGAATCTCACTTCAATCATCCGGGGAAAAATGCGTCAAAGACGCTGTGGGTCGACATTGATTTGCCATTAGTACCACTCTTGGCTCCTATAGTGGGAGCATTGAATAATGAAGTGGCAGTCATGGGTTCACTCACCGCAAATTTGAATGCTTTGCTCATGTCATTCTACAAGCCTAAGGGGACAAAAACCAAGATTTTATTCGAGAAACGAGCGTTTCCCTCAGACTATTACGCCTTTCTCAACATGGTGATGTTACATGGCTTTGATGAGTCACATTTGGTTCAAATAGAGGTTCCTGAAGGTGAAACTTTCTTAGAAACGGACTTGATTTTGCAACATATCGAAACCTACAAAGAGGAACTTGCACTCGTGTGCTTGCCAGGTATTCAGTACTATACGGGTCAATTCTTTGATATTGAGACAATTACTAAGGCAGCCCATTCGCATAACATAGTTGTTGGATGGGATTTAGCACATGCAGTTGGAAATGTGCCTCTTTCTTTACACGATTGGGGTGTGGATTTTGCAGCGTGGTGCTCGTATAAGTATTTGAACTCTGGTCCGGGTGCTATTGCCGGCATTTTCGTACACGAGAAACACACAAAGGAGAACTCCACATCCAACTTTACTCCACGACTTGCAGGCTGGTGGGGAAACAACGCGAGCGATAGATTCAAAATGTTGGAGATATTCGATCCGATGCAAACTGCCTTGTCCTACAGACAGTCTAATCCTAGTGTCATTGACTGCGTGGCGTTAAAAGCATCACTTGAAATTTTTCAAGAGGTTGGAGGAGTAAATGAGTTGAGAACAAAGAGCATTCAATTAACGAAGTTCATGGAGAGGCTTTTGACTTCCTCTCGCTTCTACTTACAGCCAGGTGCAGACAAAGCACAATTCGGATTTAAAATACTCACGCCATTGAAAGCAGAAGAAAGAGGCTGTCAGCTTTCCTTGTTATTTCAACCACATCACGACGACCCCGCTCACGATGTGATGGAGCAAGTTTTCCTGTATTTGCACAAGAATGCTATCATTTGTGATGAACGGAGACCAGATGTGATTAGACTTGCTCCGGTTCCTTTGTATAACAGCTTTCACGATGTCTATATCGCTATAAAGAGGTTGGAAGAGGCGTTGAATCATATTGAGAAGTGAAGAATGTTAAGCTTAAATGGTCATTAGTCATTTTAATCACACTGTAGTGTAGGCAGAGCATGTAAAACACATGAAGATGAGAGCATGGAAGCATACAAATAAATTTAAAAGTCTTCGTCATTATTAACTATATTTTCATTTCTATCAGAAGCCGCACTTACAAAGTGGAAGCAGTTCTGAAGTTCTTACCGGCGTACACAGCCTTGTCACCCAACTCTTCTTCAATTCTCAAGATTTGGTTCAACTTGGCCAATCTCTCAGATCTAGCTGGAGCACCAGTCTTGATTTGACCAGCTCTCAAACCAACAGACAAGTCAGCAATAGTGGTGTCCTCGGTCTCACCAGATCTGTGGGAAACCATAACACCCCAGCCAGCGGAGAAAGAGTCGTTAGCAGCCTTGATAGACTCAGACAAGGTACCGATTTGGTTGACCTTCAACAACAAAGCGTTACAAGCCTTCTTGTCAATAGCAGTCTTGATTCTCAATGGGTTGGTGACAGTCAAGTCATCACCGACAATTTGGATCTTGTCAGCGACCTTGCTGTGGAAGTGAACCCAGGCTTCCCAGTCGTCTTCAGCGAATGGGTCCTCGATAGAGACAATTGGGTATTCCTTGATCAACTCTTCGTACAAAGAGGCCAATTGCTCACCAGACAACCACTTGGATGGGTCAGAGTTAGGGTTCTTGAAGTCCAAGTCGTACTTGCCGTCCTTGTAGAACTCAGAAGAAGCAACATCCAAAGCAATGCCAACCTTGCCAGTGTAACCAGCCTTAGCAATAGCGTCGACAATCAAGTCCAAAGCTTCTCTTGGAGAACCAATGTCTGGAGCAACACCACCTTCGTCACCAACGTTACCGGCGGATTGGCCGTACTTCTTCTTGGTCAAAGACTTCAAGTTGTGGTAGACTTCAGAACCAATTCTCAAAGCCTCAGCGAAAGTTGGAGCGTCAGTTGGAACAATCATAAATTCTTGGAAAGCCAAAGCACCACCAGCGTGGGAACCACCGTTCAAGACGTTTTGGAATGGAACTGGCAAAACGTACTTGTCTTGCTTAGCACCAGAGATGTCAGCAATGTGCTTGTACAAAGAGACGTTCTTCTCGGCAGCAGCAGCCTTGGCAGCAGCCAAAGAGACACCCAAGATAGCGTTAGCACCCAACTTGGACTTGTTTGGGGTACCGTCCAAAGAGTTCAAAAATTCGTCAACCTTCTCTTGGTTGGTAACGTCAATGTTAGCCTTGACGAAAGCTGGAGCAATGATCTCGTTGACGTTGGCAACAGCCTTCAAGACACCCTTGCCCAACCACTTGGACTTGTCACCGTCTCTCAATTCCAAAGCCTCGTGGATACCGGTAGAGGCACCAGAAGGAACAATGGCTCTGAACAAACCCTTGTCGGTAGTCAAGTCGACTTCGACGGTTGGGTTTCCTCTGGAGTCGTAAACGTAACGGGAGAAGATCTTAGTGACGGCCATGATAATTGATAATGTGTGTTGGAATGATGTGAAAAAAGAGAAAGTAGAAGGGAGGTGCGCGATTGCCAATTATTTATAATGATGGGTGGACCACACAGGGCCGACCTTTTTTGTGTCAGGAGACCAACGTGAGGGCCGAAAAATCGCCTGACGCAAGAGACAGGAGAGCCTCCTTGGAGCATAAGACCCATGTGTTTACGCGCACCGAGTCAGGTGAAGCAAATTAAGCTTAGTTGCCTGCCTAGTTTTATTATCTCTTCAGCATCATAGCCTCATGTGTGCATGTTGGAAGACCCGGACATAGTCGGTTGGCCAACCTTTATTCGCATTTCTAGCACCTTCTTTGTTTCTCGCACCATAGCCTTCGGTCTCGGACTTTCGCATGCGCATACGCATCCTTTTCCGCCGGGCCACGTATGCGGCTCGGCGTCACCCGGAAAGTAACGGGTCCAAACCGTGCGGTAAAACTTCATATCAACTATGAATACCGGATCTTGATTCAAACCCGGGGTATTATACTTCGATTTGCCTTTCGTCTGGCTACAGTCGGTAAAGATACTACTGTGGTGGCTCCGTGTGCGTGCATAATGAACAGCAATAAGTATTGCATGAGGAACACGAGCCTCACAAGTGGGATGTTCTGGTCTGAGCCTGGCTCATACTCGCGCAATCATACATAACTATAGTGAGTTGAGAAATGTACTTTGCGTAATAAGGTTACAGTTACAACAGTAGTACTTCGCAAGGTTGAAATGCACAGAAGGAAACTTGTAAATCCTCTTTCGAAAGTGCAGTCCCCCGGGAAAGCAATAGATCCGGTAAGCTTGTGCTTGTAAGATATTCCATTTGGCCGAATTACGTTGGCTAGAGTAGCCAGTCGCACATTCATAATTTTTCCGCGTATCGGCACTATACAAAAGTGTAATTGATACACAATATACCAAAAAAATACATTACATATAGTTAGAGCCACTAAAAACATCAATATGACTAGCATTTGTCCTCTGAGTGAATCTACATACCTCTGCGGCATCCAATAAACCACTTTAGTCTCTCAAGTACTTCCCTGGCTCGACGGGGTCGAAAAGTGTAACGGATGCAGGCATAATGATGTATTGACGATCGCAAATATTCATTGAAGACAACGCAAAACAGCTATGAGCAAGAGCGAACCAACATTAGACCAGTATACACAGCTCAAAAACCAGCTCACGCAACAGATCCTCAAGAAGCAAGATCTAGACGCTCGGCTCCTGGCGCTAGAGGAGAGCATTTATGACAAGGAAACAGATTACTTCAACGAAAGCACATACGGCAATATCGTGAAAGGCTTTGACAACTTTGCTAAGTCACTTTCGGGGAGCTCCAGCAAGAAGAAGATGGTATATACAGAAGACGACCACATTTTTAGCATGTCTTCTGCGACGTTTGTTAAAGCTCTTCTGAAAAGGGAAGGCAGTGCAGCGCCAGATTTGGATGACTATGAAGATTCAGTTGATCCCAATGGCGGAAATAATGCTTCAGGAAAGGACAGTAATAGCGGGACGCCGGTAAGGAAAAGGAAAAGCCGATTTGACGAAAAATAGAAACATAACTGTACCTTACATTTGACTTTTTTCGTTGGTCATTAAGTTGTCAACTGCATCAAGAAAACATCTTCCGAATGCAGCGAGTGTGCAAAATTCTACAAAAGAGGTTACCGTGTCGCCTCCAGCGACAATGTCAATTATATACAAGGTTAATGCTAGGAAGGGGAACTCTAATCTTTCTTGGAGTAGTTATAGACCCATGGTTCATTGGCGGGATAATCGGTAGGCACTCGTAATTCCAATGGGAATCTTTTCTGTTCCTTTTTGTTCGCTTCAGCGTACAATTCTGGGCTTATCTCTTTCAACTCGTCCATCGCAGTTCTTATACTTTCAAATTGCTGCTTAAGCTGCGTGACTCTCTTTTCTTCTTGCTTTCTAGAAAAGAGCTTCCAGGCATTTGTAATTGTTTTATGTTTGATCAAGTCTTCAGGACATAACTTCAATAACTTTGGTTGTTTTCTTGAAGCGGAAAGAGCGGACAACTGGTTCACAACCTTTTGAGTAGATGGATTAACAACGGATTTCTTCTTTCCACGAATAAATACCTTGCTGATATTAGTGGCCCCAAGGCCAAGGCTTCGTGGGGAAAACATACTTCGCTTCAACAATGTTAAAACAATTTTTTGAAGAAAATGTGCGCTTGGAAAATTTTCGAAAACACCCGTACACCATAGAACTAGACATGGTCGGCACTCTTAATTTCAAGCATGTCTTGGTCATAGCTTGAAGAAGGAGAGAAAGGATGTACAAAGAATGAAGCGTTACATTGCAACATATGTATTAACTAAATAGGTTATGCTCCCACTTGTGGTACACCACGATAAACGAGCCTTTAAGCAAAACTCATGTTAAAAGACATATTCAAGGGTGCAACCTCGCGGGTCATAATCGATTAGAGACCAGCGCTAGCCATTTCGTGAGCCATCCATTTGTTAGTATCTTTCTGTGTTATGATGTTCTAATGGTGTCCTTCATACAAGATAATACATCACGTGGTAAGCTCGATAAATCTGTTCTACCCCACGAAAGAGCAATTAAGCACAATGCCCCTTTTTTCACGCCAAAAAGACAGCCTGAAAGACACCCCGAAAGACACTGCACCCACTGAACCACCTCCATACAGCGAAGTGGACCAAAATGCAGGTGAGAATAGCCAAGCTCCTACTTATGCGGGGAAATATGGCCCAAACGAATATCCTCCAGAGAAACCCCATACGTACGAACATTCAGATGGTGCAACTCACAGTAACGCAACATATACAATTCCTGCCAATGACATGTACGAAGTTAAGCCTCAGCAGGTGAATATTGCATACGAAACGGACGGAAAACATACACGTCCGGGATTCAAAGAATACTTGGAGAGCGATCATGAGAGGGTAAGTCTGGGTAACGGACCACTTCCAAGAGAAGCATTCGGAAAGAAAGGAGCACCATTGGAGCCAGGTAGAAAGAACAACAAAAGTGCAGGAGGCAGTACTTTTCCGGGCTCAGGTGGGACAACATACTTCAACGCTGCGAATAGGTAATAGCAATCTAAAGCACGGTTTCACCATTGTAGGTCCAGCCACCAAACTGTTTCTGCACAGATTCACTTAAAAAGTCATCAACAACAGAATCTTGTGGACGCTCGTTTGTAAAATCTTGATCGAAATTGGACGTATCCAAGAAGCCATTGACAGTGGGCTTGAATGGAGGCTGATAGCCTTTGTCCAACAATTTTTTCCAGTCGATGTCCTTGAAAAAAGCGTGGTTCTTAATTTGTTGTGCATCATCCAAACGCTTAGCTGGGTCTTTCTGTAACAACTTTATTAACAAGTCCTGGGCATCAGTGCCTTCCAAGAAAGGAGGAAACTTGAGCGGGTTCTGTAAAATCTTCTTGTACATAGTAGGAACATCAGAATCGAAGAAAGGCGGCAACCCAGTTAACATTTCGTACAACAAGGTACCCAAAGTCCACCAATCGACACTTCTTGTATACCCTTGGTTCAAGAGCAACTCCGGTGCCAAATATTCCGGAGTTCCACAGAAAGTATTTGTTTTATCCTCGTTGGTCATGTTGAGCTTGCACAAGCCAAAATCACACAAGGCAATATGGCCCTGATAATCAATCAAAATGTTCTCGGGCTTTAAGTCTCTGTAGATGACATTAAGTTCGTGCAAACTGTCAAGTGCCGCAAGCAATTCTGCAGTATAGAAACGCGAGCGGTCCATGGAAAACTTGCCCGATTTCTGCAAGTGGTAAAATAACTCCCCACCGTTGATGAATGCTAAAACAAGGTACAATTTTTCTGGAGACTGGAAGGAAAACTTCAAAGGCACCACAAACGGATTGTTGATACGTGCAAGCACTGTGCGCTCCGCCATTGTATGCGTAACTTCCATGCGAGATACAATATGGTGTTTGCGCAAGGATTTCAAAGCGTAGATTTGCTTGGTGTCTTTCTTCATCACCTGCATGACCTTGCCGAATGAGCCCTTGCCAATCACTTTAAGAAGATCAAAGTCTTCAATAGACAAGTGAGTTTTCAACTGTGGCTTAAAATCAATGCTCAACGATATCTCACCAATGGAGTCTGTTGCATCAAAACTGGTCTTGAATTGGAGATACTCATGATCAATTAAACGGATGGCCTTCAGGTGGCAGCGCAAATTCAACGGTAACTTGATCAGACCCACTTGTAAGTCGCCAAAGCTGTTGGTATTGGTAGTTGTGAATTTATCTGGGTGGTCTTGGCGCTCGTGCGCAGGCACTAATCTGTTGGGCAAACGGAGATACAAATTGACATTCAAGAAATTGGAGCTGGTTTGGGAGTGGGCCAGCATTTTGGTAACATCAAACGTCATTACACGGTCCCACTGACACGAGTCTACAGTTCCCTTGCGGGATTCAACCATGATCATGTTGTTGTCAAACTCCACTGTCATGAAAAGAAGAGGTTTCACCACGCGTTCACCATTACTTCCGGGAATGTCGATATTCAGTGGAAGATACAATGCAGCAGAGGAACCAGGAAGCGTTTCTGGCGCCCGTCCACCGGCAGATGCGTCTTCAGCTTCCGAGTGAGCCAAGTCCGACAAACGCTGAGACAAGCGTTGTGCCACGGTCGCATCGTTGGTGTTCTGGGCTAAGGCCTGTAAAATCTGCTTGTCGTTGTTGATACTGATGGGGAGTCCAACTTTCTGCGAGCGATACATTTTGACAATGAGCACACCTGGGTTGGACGGTAAGAAGGAGCGCAGCAGCGACCTCTCTATCTGGTCTGACTTCCGGCTCTCCGAGTCCAGAAGATCGAGCTTCAGCATATCAGGGATCAGCGAGGAAGTGCCCAGTTGAGTTGGCTTGAGCTCTTGCGAAGACGCTGGCGACGGCGCCTGTGCGGGCTCTTTTTCCGCTGACCCAAACTTGAATTTGTTCTTGAATTTGAGCATCCAGCGGTAAGGGTGTTAGATGTTGGCGATTAGGGAACAAGCGGGGAATGTTAGCTTTTTACTGGTGAGTCTGCAAGCGCGTGGGGACTAGGTGTTGGAACTTGAAAGTGGGAAGTGCCAGTTTTGGGGACCGGTGTATGTTAACAGGAGGCTTGTCTGTTGGTCAGCAGAATAGTCTCGCCATACAGGTCCGCACTGGCCGACGGATAATAGGGGCCGAGTAAAATACCAATGGGAGGGGCAAGGAGGGGAAAAGAGAAATGACTAAGGAAGGTGTCAATACATCTAGAATACGTTCAATTTAGTGCATTATCTCAACTTGTCGTTAATACAACCCTTTTGCCAGACGAGATTACGATTACACTGTGGCTTAGTACAGTGCCGCGGCCTTAAGTAATGCGGCTCAAAGGTGTACGGCGGAAGAAGCGGTGTCCCGAAACCGCCAGAACGGAGACTGTACATAGCCTATCTCTAAACTACTTCCATATAGAAATTCACATGAGAAGAAAAATCACCACGCTTTCTTCTTTTTCGAAGCACAGGGGTTATATTAGCACTAACGGACGCAGACGCTCTCTTCCCAGTGAAGGAAGACCGTCCCATTTTTCTCTATCGGCGCGCTTTTAGACTTCTGGGTTACATTTTGCCATCTGCAGGCTCAGAATGCACATTTGTACGTACTTGATGTGGCATCGCGTCCAACACGTTATAATCGGCGCGTTCGTTTCAGGCAGAGAACACAAAGAAAACTAACTGACGTAAGAGAACAAAGTAACGACACATATAAATGCAAGAGGATATACAAAACAGAAAACAACAGTAGTCGTCGATGCCATTGTTGAAGATTAGTTTGTATCTAGTAATGCATCGGCTCTTAATAATTGTCACTGGGCTTCGCCACCTTCTTTGATCCTTGTCTCAACCTTGACAGTGGAACATAATCTGGAGGATATCAACGTGATGTTAGCGTGGAGCCTGCACATATGCGTGTCTTGTTTGTTTACCCTCACTGTTTGTGTTCCTGCGGGTCCAGGAAAATAGCGGAAAAAAAAACTCCTAGAACCTTCAACACGCTTTGCCCATACACGTCTGCACCAAATTACAAACGCCAGTTTCTCTTTTTTTTTTTCTGTTCCCACCTCATCTTGTCTTGTTCGAACGCCTAAGCTGCTGAGTGTCTCATCACCTTCTCTTTATCCCCGACCCACTTCCATTCATTCTTTAACTCACCTCAGCGTGCACATTTCCCCTTGGCAATTCCCGTCTTTTTTTTTTTGTAATCTCCCGCGAAAAAAGAAAGCTTCCCGCCAGTCAGCATTTTAATTTGAGGCCGTGGCTACCATGACTTCTATTCTCAATCAGCAATCTACAGCCTTGCCGAGCCTTCCACTGCAGCTGAGCAATGTCGATAAGGTTGTCCAATCGGTGACAAACGCGACCAAGCGCTTGTCGCAAATCTCAACAAACACAAACAACTCTGCCAAGAAGAGAAAGGCCCAGAACAAGATTGGACCCTGGAAATTGGGTCGAACCTTAGGCCGTGGCTCAACTGGCCGTGTTCGCTTGGCCAAAAATGTCCGCACAGGAAAACTAGCGGCAGTTAAAATAGTTCCAAAGCTGAACTTCAAAAAGTTAGAAAACCCAAAATACAAAAATAATGATGCCACCCGACTTCCATATGGAATTGAGCGTGAAATCATTATTATGAAGTTGATTTCGCACCCCAATATTATGGGGTTGTACGATGTGTGGGAAAACAAGAACGACTTGTACTTGATCCTTGAGTATATTGAAGGTGGTGAATTATTTGACTACTTGATTAAAAGAGGCCGCTTACTGGAGGCAGAGGCCATCAATTACTTTAAGCAGATCATCCACGGCATTGGATACTTGCATCAGTTTAATATCTGCCATCGGGATCTAAAGCCAGAAAATTTATTGTTGGATTTCAACAAGAACATCAAAATTGCTGATTTTGGTATGGCTGCCCTTGAAGTTGACAAGAAACTTTTGGAGACCTCCTGCGGATCGCCTCACTATGCTTCACCCGAAATAGTTGCCGGCAAGAATTATCACGGCGCACCTTCTGATATTTGGTCCTGTGGTATCATCCTTTTCGCTTTGTTGACTGGTCACCTACCGTTTGACGATGAGAATATCCGTAAGTTGCTCATGAAAGTTCAGAACGGGAGATTCATCATGCCTAGTGATTTGTCATGGGAAGCGAAAGATTTGATATCTAGAATGTTACAGGTTAATCCTAATGATAGGATCTCCATTGAAGATATCTTGACTCATCCCTTGTTGACGAAGTATCCAAGTCCATCTGACGGCGAAGGTAACGAGTTGAGCGATTTGATTCTCCACTCCAACATCAAACCCATTCAATCCATGGACCATATCGACGCGGAAATCGTCAGGAACTTATGCATATTGTTTCATAATTGCCCCGAAGAGCAGATTATTAAATGCTTGTTATCCCCTAATAAGTCGCCAGAGAAGATGTTTTATTATTTGTTGATGAAGTACCGGAATGAACACTCCTACTCCTCAGGAAGCTATAATTATGTTGACGAAGACACTGACATCACTCCATCTGGATCTAAGCAGACCCTTCCAAGGTCAACTTCAGTTATAAAGACTACTGTCACTACTCAAACTGGAGAGCAATTGGTCACTGTTCAAAGAGTTTCTCGATCTACATCTTCATCCTCTTCAACATCCACGAAGAATAAGACCCTCTCCAATATAACAAATTCATCTTTTAGTGCTTCGAATGCGCACAAGAAGAAGACGTTGTTGAAAAACACAGTAATTTCTAGAAAGGGTTCTGTGAATTCCTTCAGAAATGTGAAGCAAAAGCCCCTTCAGCACCACTCACGCACACAAAATCTCCCTTTGAAAACGGAAGAGAGGAACGCCATTCTGAGAAAGTTGACTCCAGGCTTTATTGATCTTGACGCTGTCACTCTAGCAGATGATAAGACTTCAAACAACAAAGATACCCGTGAGGATTATCAACATGATGAAGAAAATAAAGAAAACGAGGTGAGATATGAGATGGATCCTTCAATAATGCAATTTGAAAAGGTTTGCCAAGACCTTTTTGGCTCCAATGTTGACACAAAGTCTATCTACAACTTATCGTTATCCCTAGACAAACGTAATGTCAGCACCGAGACCTTGAATAAATTGAAACTCCTCAATAGCCGCTTGAGCAAGACTTCATTAAACCTCCCGAAAGTACCGGAGTTACCTTCCGGGACTCCGCAAAGAACGTTAAGCAAAGCGGAAAGAACAGAGAAGAAGTTAGCCAAAGAAGTCCAAGAGCGAAACGATGCCCGTGAACGCACAATGAGAGAAAAGGAAGAACTTTCCGCCAAGTTGATTGCAGAAAAGAAGAGACAGTCACAGATTCTTCAAGAGAAGCTGAGAGAGGCTTTACGAAAAATTAATGACATTCAGTCACACCGCAATAGCTCCGCCCCTCTTCCAAGCCTGGTTCTTTCTTCATTAGATCCTAAAAGTAGCGTTAGTCCCCTCTTAAGGGCAAGGTCCTTACATCAACAATCGTTTCCATCAAAGGCATTGAATTCCAAAAATAGCAAAGTTTTACAAAAACTTGGAATTGATTTTAATAGCTTCTCATCGCCCAGCTCCTGCCGTTCCAGTACACTATTGAAGACATCCTCATCCCGGAATTTGGCTAACATTTTGTCTGATGATGCTCATTCCACCGTTAGAGTTGAAGCGAGTATTTTGAACGAAGCAGAAAAACTGCACGAGCTTGAAGCACCATCCGAAGATGCTGCGTCTATAGCATCAGCTAAAACAAAGGGGAGCTCTTACTCTCTTCAAAACTCAAAAAGAGAACCATCGCGTACAAACATGACCTATAGATCAATGCTTGACGCTATTGATGAGCGCGAATTGAAGGAAACATCCATAATATTGGAGGGCGACAGTGTCAATGAAGAAGGGAATACAACGACAAACTTTGCAAAGGCTTCTACAGATTCTAACGTTGGTCTCATACCCAACCCAAGGTTCTCCCGAATTACTTTCAATGGATTGCTCAACGAACCAGTGGCCACAGTAACTACTCATAAGGAGAGAGAGTCTAAAGCTGCCAGTAAGAAGGTGACTCGACAACTGTTGACTACAAAGAAGGGCAAGGGGCTTATCGAAAAGGCAAGCTCCAATGAATTTCCGGGACTAGGAATTAAGGTGCCCGTAGTAGACGAATCGGAACAGCATGATACTTCTGGCGATTACAGCAAGAACTTTGTGTCTATACCTTCTGTTGAAGATACATCCTCTCGTCTATCTTCCTTCCAAAGGGCAGCAATCAGCGACGAGAACGCGGATGATTCCTCCAACGGTACTTTAGGAGAAGACTTTGATCTATCAAAAGACCTAATCAATATGACTAATGAGTATGTGTCGGGAAATATTGACGCCCCAATGTCTTCATCGCATGTACCTAAATCAAGAGTTCTTGGAAGAGAAGCTTCTGGCGCACGCAAGGTTAGTGACAAGACTTCTCATGGATCCAGAGATACTCTTGTGGATGATGATCGCAAAGACTTAATTCTGTCCATGTACAAGTCGTATGAGACATTATACACTAGTCGAACAAATGCCCATGAGCATGAGAATGACGAACTTCGAACCAGTTTCAATGCCGATATCGCAAATGCTGGTGTGTTGGATACATCCTCATTGAGTGAAAACACTCATGTATCCTATGAAAGTCAAAATATATTCATGGTGGATGATAGCGAACCAAAGAAACAAAAGCAGAAGAAGGTGGACGATGCTGCTGATGAGACCGGCGAAGATCTTATCGTAGATGATCACAATCATGAAGCGGTAGGGATTGAGAAACAGGGTACTATTAAGAGCAGCTTACGAAGATCGCATGCATCAACTCAAATCTTCAGCACAATGAAAATGAGCGAGAAAATTAACACTGCAGAAATCAACTCACCAAACCCATCTGTGGTTCGCCATGAAAAATCCAAACCAGTGGTAGACGAGGAAAAGCCAAATGTTTTCCGTCGGATTAGTTTGAAGCCGAAGAGAGAAGCTCCGAAGGCACCAGAAGTTCAAGTGTGGGACGAAGAAAAGCTTAAGGGCCATAATAGATTTTCAGGAATTTCGGTCCGCTCCAATGCTAAAAAGTTCATTGCTCCTAGAGATAAGGATAGCCCCAGTGTTGGGGGATGGTTCAGAAAGTTTTTCCAATCTTTTACCAGAGGAAATCGTAATGATGTTCGTGAAGCAGATGCGAAGTCAAGTCGACGTGACGTATACATCATAGAAACCTCAGTGGTAGCCCATGATCTCATGAGGATTATTAGAAACCAGATGAAGATGAAAGAAATCGAAGGTTCCGTGTCACATGTGGAAATCGATGAGGAATTCGCATTGATCAGTGGAGTAATTCCTTCCAAGTTTGCACGAGGACGCAAATTGCACTTCAAAATCGAGATAATTGATTTGGTTAACTCGTCATCCTTACACTTACTCAAGATCAAAGGTTCAAGAACTGGTTTCAAGAACTTGATCGAAGTTGTGAGCTTTGTAATCAAACAAGAGGAAGAGGCCAATGATTTGCGAAGGTCTTCGGGCTACAAATTTGATGGTCATAAAGCATAAATATCAAGGCATAAATTCAAGCACTTATTAGCATATGTAGAGAAGAGTATGTCGCTCAAATGATCTTCATGAATTGAGAACTTATAACTACAAGTATCTAGAAGTTGAGAGTAAGTAAAAAGAACACAGCTGAGGGCGTATCTAGATCCAAAAATTTCACAAACATCATGAAAACTGACACGACATTATCAACACGGTAGCTAGCATGATTCATCGAGCTTGTTTAAGTGGTTGATGATACGCTAAATACAAATGATCGTTCATGGTCCAAAACTGAGCGTACACTAGGGAAGCTCGGGAAGGAAACAAAAATTTAAGCAGATGGAGGCACCGAGACGAGAAGAGTGCAAAAACGAAGAAAATACTTAACAGGGAACAGAATTCGTAACTTGGTAAAGTAAAGACCTTGGAGCCATTTTTAAAATGCGAAGCTGAAAGCCAATAGCTTTTCGAAAGTTTCATGATACACTTTGTTTATGCACAAAGAATAACACTAGACAAGCACTGGGAAGAAAATTTGAGACAGCATATGGTGGAGATGTCACAATGAAATGGATATCCCTTGCATAAGCAATCGGTAATTGAGATAATGCTCACCCATTCTTTCATTACTACAAAGGGTTTTTCGATACCCCACTTATTAAACGATGTTATGCGTCGCAGTAAAAACTCAACGAACTTCTTTCGAGAAAAAATTGTGGGACAGAACATTTGTAAGTGTAAGAAATGAAGTTGCAACTACTTTGCATAGACAGTTTTCTCGAAATAGTAACATGACCGCGCTGTGACAGCTTTGAATAGGTAGTTTCCCGTACAACTTACTACTACCAACGTGAGCTATATTTCTGAAAGCTTGAATAGCATCAAAACAATGCCAATAACAATATCACGCGCATGTCTTCGAAAAGACCGACGTATGCGTTGTAGTAAGAGTGGAAAATCAATTACAGTAGTAGCCTTGAGAATGATGCGCGGATGCATCATACACAGTCTCAACATCTAGTGTTCGCGTTCACATTATCGGCTTTTATATTCCAACACATGAGCGGAACTATTGTGCGGGCACTCGGCTGGGACGATGGCTACACACAACGTTTCCTAGCAATCAACCCGTTGGGCGATGAGGTGAATCTCTACCAGACTGCAGGGGAGCACGACATTACGAAGGTTCACTCATATAGTGGCATTGACCATATCCAGTGCATGTCCTACCTGCGACGCCATGTTGGATGGACTGGGGTCGGGACATTGGATGGATCTGTACATGTGTTTGATATGGCTGGCGGAGGCGGGTCAGTGCGGCTACATGTGCGGCAAAGCCGGCCGTGCAATGCTGTGACCTTCAATGATGGCACATTAGTTGCAGCCTCCTTCGACAAGAGTAGACACGATAGTCTGTTGCAAGTGTGGGATATGGCGCGGCATGCTCGCGTCTTTGGTGCAGATTCCGATGGCGGCGGACGGGCGGCACACGGGTTTTTGGCCAACGAGGCCACGGTGCTGGCGGCGTTCGACCGTGCAGACCCGGGCGGCATGCTTTTGATGGCCGGAGGCTACAAACTGTTGCGCGAGTATGACATGCGCGACCCTGGTGGGGCGCCTGTTTTCCAGGTGGCCACCCGCTGCACGCTGGGGCTTGCATTTGATCATTTCCTGCCCCACGTTTTTCTGTCAGTGGCCGAGGATGGCCTGGTGGCGATATGGGACCGACGCCGGCTCACCTCAGGCGGGCATGCTGCGCCTGCTTTACATTTTGCCAAGTTAGTTGCTGCGCTGGTGCGGCGTGGCCACGCACCTTGCATGCGGCACCTGACAGTGCGCCGCGGTGAGTTTGCGGCAGTGTTCAACGGTAATCTCATTCGGCGATGGAACACAGGCTGTGTGCCCAAGATGGACGAAGCCTCGGCGCCCACCTTTTTGCCGCCGGCATCTTCGTTGTCTACTCTGTCAGCATCTGTTGTTGCCAGCTTAAAAGCGCAAGCGGCCGAGATGTACGCGCCGTCTGAAGAGCTGATGTTCGTGGCGCTTGTGCTTGACTGCAAAACCGAGTGGCCGCGAGTGGCATCATTCGACTACCTGCCCGACACGACGCTGCGCACGTCAACGTCATTTGTGTGCTTGCGCGAAAAGGGCCTGGTTTTTCGCATGCCTGTAGTGGAAAGCATCGAAGCATTGGACTTTGACCCGCACAATGGCTTCGCGCTAGCTGGGCCAGAGGGCACGCATTCACACACAGTGCCGCCGCTTCCGCAGTCATCTACCAGCCCACACTCGCCCCGCTCGTCTCGCTCACGCTTGCTGACACCCGATTCTTCTGGCGTCCGTGCACATTCGCCGGCATCATCGCATTCGTCGTCGCCACCAGCAGCACCTCTTAGGCATATGTGGGCGCTCGATGATGTTTTACGCAGCGACGTATGTTCAGCCGCACGGGCGCGCGCAGAAGCCGACTATGGAGCGGACTGCGACGCCAATGCAGTGGTGGTGGCCACAGATGAGGCGGCCGGCGCATCACTGCTGCTTCGCCATACATGGCAGTGGCTTCTGCTTGCCAAGCGCCTGTTGGACAAGGGAACAATGGTGCGTGATGGCGTGGACTTGGGTTATGTTGGAGTATTGGCGGTATGGGAAGGAGCAGAGGAGCTACAAGGCCAGACACGTGACGCACACGGCGGAACTGTTGAAGAAGCACGGTTTGCAAGCGCAGTACGCGCCATTGTAGCAGCCAAGGGCGACAAGAGCGCAGGCATCAGTGTCTCTGAGACTGCGCACCGCGCACAGCGCCAACTCTGCCTTCTCGTGTGCGGATGGTACCTTGCAGCGAACGAGCTAGACGCGCAAATCGACCAGTTGGCGCGCGACGGCCATGTGGAGAAGGCGGCAGCATGGGCTGTGTTCCACGGCGATGTTGCGCGAGCCATTGACATTCTCGCCCATGCTAAACACGAGCAACTTCAGGTTATATCTACTGCGGTTGCCGGATACCTCGCTTACAAAGACTCCCGCGTCAACTCACCGTGGAATGATCAGTGTCGTAAATTGGCGCTGGACTTGGACCATCCATACTTGCGTGCCATATTCGCATTTATCGCCGATAATGACTGGTGGGATGTTTTGGACGAACACGCGTTGCCGTTGCGCGAGCGACTTGGCATCGCCATCCGTTTCCTCTCCGATAAGGACTTACATGTCTATTTACACCGTGTAGCAGACACGGTAGTGGCACGTGGAGAACTCGAGGGCCTAATATTGACAGGACTTACTCCGCGGGGCGTGGATCTTCTTCAACTGTATGTGGACCGCACATCCGACGTGCAAACAGCTGCCTTGATGGCCGCGCACGCGGTGCCGCGCTATTTCCGTGACTCTCGTGTCGACCATTGGACTGACTGTTACCGGCTGTTGCTCAATCTGTGGGGAATGTTTCGCACCCGTGCACGCTTCGATGTGGCACGCACTCGCTTGGCCCGCACATCATGGGGTTCCCCTGCGCTCCGCCCGCCGCCGCGCCTGGTGTACCTCCAGTGTCAGCGCTGCAACAAGAACATGTTCTCGGGAAAAGCGCCTAAAGCGCGCGCTCCGATGCACAAACAGTTAGCACGACTCAGTCTAAAAGGAACAGATCTTCCAGTAACACTGTGCCCTCATTGTGGTGCGTCTTTGCCACGATGTGCCATTTGTCTACTCACTCTCGGAACCTCAGTGCCAGGCGTGGTGCGCGACCTGGATGCTGCGGGCGATACTGGAGCCAGCCATTTCGGCAATAAGTTCAGTTTTTGCCTCACATGTAACCACGGCTACCATGCCCACCACGCAGAGGAGTGGTTCAGCAAACATTACGTGTGCCCAGTTCCAGACTGCAACTGTCGCTGTAATAGCAAATAATTTATGCCACATGTATCAGCAAGACGGTTTATCCACAAAACAAGCCAAAATTAGAAGATATATACCATTAGAGTATCACTTTCATACAACTATTAGTCGCAACAGATGATAGACACAAACGATGACATCTTCCTCCTTTTTGTAGATTGGAAAAAAGCCGCCATGGAAGTTTTCGCCAAACTTAATTTCAGTAGCAAGTACATTTAAACTTTTTCTATTGCGCTTGAGATGCATGTAATTCCAAATAGTTCATCGTAAACTCTCGAACATCCTTTTTCAATACCTAAACCATTATTATAATCTGCGTTTTTCTACAAGGCTTATCTTCCTTACTCTTAGCAATGGAAGTTTCATATCCCAGACATAGAATTAATAATAACCCCAGATAATTTTCCTGAAGATATGTTAACTTGGCGTCAAAGGCGGATTCAATGCCCCAGACATTTCGGGCAAACGAGTACTATTGCCATATGGATCGATAACCTGGTACTTCACATTGCGAGTTTATCTCTCAAACTAGGGTGACGGCACACGTGACCTACCTCAGCCTTCGCGCAACGCCGCACTGGGAAACTTTGTCAACACCTGATCTGTCCCTTTTTCCCAAGACATTAGTAACTGCCAATGTCCCAGTCCAAAGACAAGGTCTTGGCCGATATTCGCGGTAAGATTGAAAGAGAAAACAAACTCATCCAGGGTTTTCAGGCAGTGAGGAAGAATACATCCAATCAAGAGGTGATTCAAAGATGCAACAACCAAATCAGAGAGACCCAGACCAACATCGAGTATCTCCGAGACACCTTGGATAAGCTCTCTATGCAGCAGGATACTGTGGAGACTTCGGGAGATGAACGTCAAAGGCACCGCGGCTCGTCCGTGCTGAAACCTTTGTACTCTAGATTTGATCTTATCAAGTACAATTGTCCATCTTTGGGCCACAAGATCCAATACATGCTCCAACAACTCCAGTTTAAGTTGCAAGTTGAGAACCAGTATCGCGAGGCAAACGAGAAAATATCGCATTTGTACTTAATGGATGGCGACAAGCCCTCTTCAAATGCAGCCGAAGGCGGTAAGTTGGACTCTGATTACCGTATCCAACTTCTCAACAAATCTTTGAGAAAGTACCAGGGCATGCACGTCAACGTTGAAGAGATTAACCGTGACTTGGAGATTATGAATATCCCCAAATTTGCCCGTAAATCGTTAACTGGTCGTATCACAATCAATGTTGTCTGTATTCGTGATATTGACCATATTGCGCTGCCAATGTCTCACAAGAGGGCAGAGTCGTTTGTCTCTTTCAAGATTGATGATGTGGAAAAAGCGCGTACCAGTGACTCACGCACTGGCAAATTCAATGAAGACTTTGTTATTGAAGTTGACAAGGCTCACGAAATGGAAATTGCGGTCTACGACAAGTCCAACAACCAGCGCATACCAGTGGCCTTAACCTGGATTTTACTTTCGGATATTGCTGAAGAGATCCGTAAAAAGAAAGTTGCCAACGAACAAGTCACAGAGGGTTGGATGCCAGCCTCCAGTATTTCTCTGCCTTCTCATGGTTCTGCTCATGCAAATATGACACTGGCAAATACTCCAAATATAGAAGGAGTCATGGATACTGCTAGTTCAAGCTCGAATAAGAGCCCCAAGAATGTTCAGATTAGCTCATGGGTCAACCTTGAACCCGTAGGACAGATTCTCATCAACTTATCCTTTGAAAAATCTCAGGCCCTAGGCCACGCAACTTTCATGGATGCTCTTGGACGTCATGGCGCGATTCGTCAAAAGAAGGAAGAAGTTTATGAACAACATGGTCATCAGTTTGTGCAAAAGCAGTTTTACAATATTATGTGCTGTGCACTTTGCGGAGAATTCTTGCGTTACACGGGGTTCCAATGCCAAGACTGCCGTTTCCTATGTCATAAAAAGTGCTACCAAAAAGTTGTGACTAAATGTATATCAACTTCAGGAACGACTCTGAATGACGAAGCTAAGTTGAATCACCGTATTCCTCACCGTTTTGAACCCGTGTCTAACCGTGGAACAAAATGGTGCTGTCACTGTGGCCATATATTGCCATGGGGAAGAAAGAATGTTCGCAAGTGTTCCGAATGTGGAGTTATGTGTCATTCTCAATGTACCCATTTGGTTCCAGATTTTTGCGGCATGTCGATGGAAATGGCGAATAAAATCTTGGCCACTATAAAATCAACAAAGCAAGCTCCTCGAATTGCACAACAACCGAAGAGCTCATCACTGGCCCCAGAGGTTCCTCCTAAATCCGCATCAGTGTCGCCACAGAAACCAAGGCAAACAGGTTACGAAACTCTGTACTCTAATGCTCAAGCCGAATTCCCGCAAACTCAGGATCCGAGGGTAAGAGGAGCTTACAACAATGTTGCTGAGTATGAGGACGAAACCCATGCTACAAAATTGCCTACAACAATCAGAAATGAATTTCAACCCGCAGTGGATTCTCCATACACGAGACATGCAACTAGACGGCCACCTCCGCAGCAAGAAGTTGAAGAGCTCATGCCATCACAGGATGTAGATGATATTCTGACACGTCATGACTACACATTTGTCTCAAACAGATCTGACGATTTTGAGCATGTTCCACAGAGGACACCAATCGATCATCCCCAGAATAATCCATTTGATATTGATCAAGAGCAGCAAACTGTATTTGATAATTTTGATTATCACAATCAGTCGCTGGCTATCACACAAGTCTCTTCAGCGCAAGAAAATGTTTTTATGGAACCACCTCACGAAGCTCAGATACGTCAACAGGAAGAACACCATAGCAGCCATCGCACGCACAGATCGAAGCGCCGGAGAAGAATTGGATTGGATGACTTTCAATTCCTTGCTGTTTTGGGTAAAGGAAACTTTGGTAAAGTCATGTTAGCTGAATCCAGGACAACCCAAAAGTTATGTGCGATCAAGGTGTTAAAGAAAGATTTTATTGTGGAGAACGAGGAAGCTGAAAGTGTTAAAACTGAGAAACGTGTCTATTTGACAGCGAACAAGGAAATGCACCCATTCTTGTTGAATTTGCACTGCTGTTTTCAAACAGAGAATAGAATCTATTTCGTCATGGAGTATATTTCGGGAGGTGACTTGATGTGGCACATTCAGAAATCGCGCTTCTCTGCTAAAAGAGCTAAATTCTATGCTTGTGAAGTCTTGTTGGCTTTGAAGTACTTCCACGATAATGGCATCGTCTACCGTGATTTGAAATTGGACAATATTTTATTAACCACTGAGGGTCATATCAAGATTGCGGATTATGGTTTGTGTAAAGAGAACATGTGGTATAAGAGTACAACAGGCACATTCTGCGGTACACCACAGTTCATGGCACCCGAGATCATTGCTGGTAAACCGTATGATCGTTCCGTTGATTGGTGGGCTTTCGGTGTGCTCATGTTTCAAATGTTATTATGCCAAAGTCCTTTCAAAGGAGAAGATGAAGATGATATTTTCAATGCTATTGAACATGACGACGTGAGATATCCAATCAGCATGCCTCGGCAGACTGTTCTTGTATTGCAGGCATTGTTGACCAAGGATCCTGCCGAACGACTTGGTAGTAGTGAGAGAGATGCTTTAGACATCATGGAGCACCCCTACTTCCAAGATGTTAATTTTGATGATGTACTTAACAGAAGAATTCAACCACCATACTTGCCAGAACTCACAAGTGAACATGATTACTCGAATTTTGATCAAGAGTTCACGTCTGAGACACCAAGATTGACTCCAGTGGAAACTGTCTTGACATCAGAAATGCAAGAGCAATTTCGCGGATTCTCTCACATTGCTGATGATGCTCCTGTCTGATTCTTCAGACAAAGAGCTCGACTAGGCGTTCCACTGTTCTACGACATCACAGGTAAAAAATTGAAATGCAAATCTTTATTTTGGGTTAATGCAGGTGTTGAGTAATGCTAAAAGAATTAATTACATAATAATGCAACAGCCGGATTTCGCTTTGCGACTTTCGGTCCCCTTGGAAATATTTTTAGACCTAGAAACGACCGCAGTTTCCCTTGACGAATAGGCAGGAGAGCCTGTGCTATGCGGAAGCTTTTCCTGGCTGTCAGTGCTGTTGGTATCTTGAGGACTTCCACATTCGTGAGCTTCCTGGATTGTCTCACACGGAGGTTCTGCAACAATGGTAGAATCTATAAGCGCAGCTTCGGTGCATGGAGTAGTCGAGGCTTTGGAGGAACTGTCTTTAGAACAGTCTGCACTATATTGGGAAAGACGTTCATCCAAACCATACTGCTCTGACCTCATCTTCAATGCTTCTTGCACTAGAAGATGAAATATATTATTAACCTCATCATCTGATCTTAAGGATACCTCAGCAAACTTAAGAGCTCCGAAACGGACAGCTAATTCCTGGCCCTCCGAGTACAGAACTTGGTACTCTGAATGAATATCGAGCTTTAATCCCGCAACCACAAATGGAGGAAGTTGGTGATTTCTCATTACCATCACGCCTTCCATCATATACTCCAATGCTTCAAACGAATCCCTATTATCCAAGGCATAGACAAACATTATAGTCTGTGCATTACATACTTGGCGGGATTTGTGGGATGCATAGGATTCGGCACTGGAAGATGCATCTAGAATCGTAATTTCTTCGAATGTTGAAGAAACAGATGATGCACATGTAGTCAGTTTCAGAAGCCAGTTCATGTCTACCATTTTGGCATGAAGTTCATCGGTGTTTTCATGTGTCTCAGCTGGGGCCAATAGGCCCAAAAACTTGTATATGAGAGAAGTTTTTCCAACATTTTTACCTCCCATCACAAGTATATCATATTGAGTATTGAGTGTAGTGATGCCATCTAGCACCTTGTGTGTTGCACTCATACTCTTCAGTAGAAGATAACTCAATGAATGGCGGCCGCAAATTAGCGCCTAAAAAAAAAAAAAAAAGGTGAAGAAAATGGAACTTGAGAAGTGTTCAAGGTGAGATTAAAAGTTTTTATTTAATTTTTTTTTTTTTTCAGTTGTCTGTAGCGGCGTTATGTGGAGGCATGTCATGGATGGTTCGATACATGAACGAGCAACGTTTTTTATGCAGCCATGCAGGCATGAGCAACAGCGCATCCTTCTCTATTCGCATCATATCCTCGAAAACTACTATGTTATTGCTGTTGAAAAGGCCCATCTCAACCAACAGTAACCCAACAGAAATTTCAATCTCTAAAAGCAAGAACTTATTAGTTCGCTAGACACATGGATGTGTGTCTTGGCTTGAGACTGATACGTAAAATATGTGTCTCTGCATTTAAAAGGGTCTCGAGAAAAAAAGAAAGAAAAAAAGAAATTCAATGGCGGTTACAAACTCATAAAGCAACAACAAGACAATGGAAATGAGCGCGAAGTTAAGATATCGGTGAATTTGTAATTCCGTGATTACACTTCGAACCTTAATGCTTCGGTCTCGACAGGGCGGGAGTCTGCATGCTGGATTTACCGAAGGCAACATTGGCTTCTTCGCATGAGGCTAGCTCTGTAAGATCAAGCCCCAAAAGGACCAATGTTACATCTTCGTAGTCTAGACCCAAGCACAATACAGATTGACAGCCCAATGGCTTACTTAAAGGCTATCGTAGCGAGTCGCAAACTTAAAATGCTTTGCATGCATACGTAGTAGTAGTGCTCATCACCACTATATTGAACTCGTAATATACATTTACTCTTCGTCAGAGTCTAAGTACTGCGCGTAATCGTCCACAGAAGCGAAAACAGGCAAGCCCAGCAATTTTGGCTTCTTGGCTTTCTTGTTATCACCTGATTCCAGAGAACGCTTCTTATCTTCCATTGCTTCATCGCTCTCATATTCATCATCCTCATTGACGTTGAACATGTCTTCTGCATCGCTAACAGCATCCAACTCTTCATTTGCTTCTTCTAAATCTAAACCGTCAGCTTCGTCAAAGTCTTCAGCGTCAAAGTCTTCACCATCAAAATCAGCAGTCTGTAGCTCGTCCTCATCATCATCGCCGAGACTCATATCCGAAAAGTCTCCCTCGTCCAAATCAGAGAATCCGCCATCATCTGAGAGGCCCTCTACATCAGGTTTCAGCTTGACCAATGCATCCCAAACCTCATCATCGGACATTTCATTAGCATCATCATCATCATCAGTGCGAGCTTTCTTGGCAACATTCCTGTTTCTTATCTTACCCAGATTGGATGTGAAGTATTGGTAGAAAAACTTTTCATCTGGTTTAACTTGGGCTGCTTTCATATTCAACCAATTAATTGTGTTTGCGGGAACATCTGTGCTCTTAATATTCGTGGCTCTCACCAACAAAGAACCAGTATGGGTACCGCCCAACGGTTGCATGATAGACGAACCTTTGGTAGAGGCCTTCGACTTGGCATTTTTGTAAACAAATCTGTCCAAAAAGTGGGCCAAAGTGTACAAGCCCAAATCTGGTTTAGGTTGTGATTTGCCTTCAAGTAAAGATTCCGCGTAGAGAGAAACAGTGGGGTGATAGTGGTTGATAAATTGTGAAATTTCCCAAAGACAAGTTTTATCAGCATTTGCAAATTCAGGATTTCTTTTTCTGGGGTCATAAACTCTGAGCTTATCACCGGACTCATTCAACTCGAGCTTTTCGTCGGGTCTTGCACCTTCGGCTTCCAAGAGTTCTAGTATTTGAGGATGTGTTTTGCTCAATTCCATAAGCAAGTAGAGCATACCTGTAACCGGACCAATACTAACCCAATGCATGCAAACCTGTAATATTCTCTTCACAAAGGCCAAGATTCTAGGAACATTGTTAATGTCATTTTTCAATGACTTGAACAACAAGTTCAAATAAATACCTTGCTTCGAGGAGTTGACCAACCGTGGATCCAACAAAGATTCATAAAGAGTTCTGTAAAAGCGGCTAGTATCCAAATCCTGCTGAGTAACAATGTGTTGTACCAAGACTAACGCTTGCACAGATGTGTTGAAATTGGTGGAGTGGGTAATTTTATACAATGTGTCCAAATGCTTCATATAAATATCAGATGGCAAGTCCGAGTATGGGAAAGCACGATTCAAACCAGTAAGGAGAGCCGAGAATAATCTCGAGCTTCTCTCCTCCACAACTTCTTCTTCTGTTTTTTCAACAACCTTGACAGATTTACCTCCTTTCTTTCCTTTCTTGAAAGATTTACGGTTGTTTTTTCTGCCCCTCTCACTTACACCTAACGTTTTATCCTCCTTTTTGTCCTTGAGAGCAGGGTCGGATTCAACCAATATCATTTCAAACAATGAGAAATAAGTTTTAATTAATGAGTTGGCTAACTCTGGTTCCTTCGACGTTAAAATGGTTTGGTTGAGCGTCAAAGTAGTGTAATATTGGGCATGATGGTCTTTAGACTTCTGAAGGACCATGTCAGTAACAGCATCCACGACAATTTTTTTCATGGCTGGATGAGCCTGCTCCAATTGAAGAATTTGATAAGACGTCTTAGCTGCGACCTTTTTCTCAATATCACCGAGTTTATTCACTCCTAATCTGAGCAAATTTGCTTCTTGCTCCGGTTTAGCTTTCAACAAATCAAATATATGCGAAACGGTGTTCATACGAACATGCAAAATAGGATCATGCGACAAGCGTTCTAAAACTTGGATAAGTTTGAAGTAACTTTTTTTCAAATGGTCCTCAAAATAGTAGAGAGCAAGTTTTGTGTCACTTAATGACGTCGAGAGAGGTTGTTTTGCAAAAGAGACAAGCTTCCTGTCAGGCAAAATACCGTTGAGGAGCAAATCTTTCATTGCTTCTACAGCCTGCAAAGCAGCTGTTCTCGATTTCTTCTCACAGTATCCCAAGAGCGTGTCAAATGCCTTCATGTTATGAATAGGAGCCTCTTGAACCATTAAGGTCAAAGCAGAAATTTTATCATTCAAGGTACCATCAGAAAGAATTTGAGACAAAAACTTCTTTTGCGAGTTGTTGGAAGTGAATTCTTCCAAGTAAGTTTTGCTCTCTTTCTCAACAAAATTTTGGGCCCTTTCCATGAGCCTTTCCAAGCCGAACCTGTCCATCTTTTCAGGGTGTTCGACATTCTCAGTTTCAATGTTATACCAGTCAACCCTAAGTTCAAGAACTAACTTTTCGCTATTCACAGAGTTTAAGGACGTATCCTTCTTTGTGTCCTTTGAAATCTTCTTCAAGTTCACTTCGTTGATTTCGACTTCATTTTCTTCTTCCTGCTCCTCACTTTCGCTTTCTGATTCTTCTTTGCTGTCCACAATGGCATCTTTTCCTTCAACACTCTTTTCGATCAAATCTTCTTCTTCTTCCTCCTCCTCGGCCTCTTCATCCTTTAAAGCATCATCGTTAACAGTCGGAACTTCATTTGGAAAGCCAAGAGTTTTCATGAATTTTGAAAGGTCATTATTGAGGCTCTCATCAACTTGAGATTCACCAAACTCAGTTTCACTTTGCTCATCGTCTACTCCTCTCAACAACTCCAAGTCCTCTTCACTGGCACCAAGTGCCAAAGCCTCCCTTTTGAGGATATTTTCCATGGAATCAGTTTCGGAATTTCCAGAGCCTTCATGAATATCTTTTTTGTGTCCGTCTGGCTTGGCTTTGTGTTTCTTTTCATTTCTATCTTTACCTTTCTGTTGACGGTTGTCAGACTTGCCATTCTTACCTGACTCTTTAAGATTGGTATCACGCTTCTTTTTGTTTTCCTTTTTTGAAGGCTTAGCAGAGAGCTTTGAAGAAACCTTGTCCTTCAAAGCAGACAAGCTAAGTTTAGTCCCATCCATAGTTAGTGAAAGAGTTAGTCTACATACAATGAAAAAAGATTATTGAGATGGATGTCACGTGCAAAGATCCACATTACCACGTGACTAAAGAATGATTACATAATACCAACCGGCTTTCAACGAACAGATTGGCTCACACTTTACTCCAAGTGTTCATGTCGATTTGTCGATTCCAAGAAAGAGAGTCTAGGAATCACTGAAAAAAATTTAGGGATCACTTGATTTACATTCCGCGATTAAAGACAGTAGAGGGAATTGCGGCTCTTTGTATCGAACCATAAGTCGTCGCGAAGAAGGAACTGGAACATATGCATCATGCCATTTTCGATCTTTTTAGCTCCCACACTTTAAAAGCGTATTTTGCAGGGATTTTTAATGAACATCATTTATTGCATATAAGCTTCTAGTCCGCGGGGATATCTGGAGAATGTAACACATATGTTCTGCCATTACCACTTCTTGTCAAGATAATACAGATGGAATACTTTCAAAAGATCAGGCATTTAAGATAGTTGCATCTTCAGGGACATGACATTAGACACTAGCAATAATCAAGGTGACCTGTTTTCTCGTCACTCGTTTCTTTTACTGATATGCATGCCCCGCGGAAAATCTATACTGTATGAACATGAGGATTGCGTCACCTGCTACTTTCTGCAATTGGAGTTGGAGGAACTCAAAATAAGGTTACGCTGTGTCATAGGTGCTCTATCATTACCCGTGGTCGGAAGACTTGACTTTACAGGAGCGTGATACCACTCCAATTTTCACTTCAACTCAGGAAATATTTTGAACATTGCTTCGGCATGTCAAAGCTTGCCGTGCGGAAAAATCGCGGAGGCGTTTTTCCGGTATGCAGTCAAAATCTTCCGGTGCCGTCATTACTTAAAAGCTTGGAGTTTCCATACGAAGCGTAAAAAGTATTGGAAAAACTCTCTATTTTCTTTTGGTCCATAATTATTTCTGCTTTTGCTTACCATACACACCTATACTAAATCCATACGAAATGCCTCCCGAGGTATGGCCACCTACAGGAATACATGATATCGAAGAGCTGAACACCTCATGCCCGTACGTGCTATCTAAAGCAGTCTTGGGGACAGGCTCATACTCCCATGTTTACGAGTGCAAAAACAAATTCACAGGAATCCATTACGCAGCCAAAAGGTATAATAAAAAACTTGTTTATGGCATGGAGCTGCTGCTCCAATCGGAATTCCAGGTGCTCAAAGCTGTGCTGAATGGGCATCGGAACATTTTGCTGATGGTTGATTACTTTGAGACCAACGATTATTTCTACTTGGTGACAGACTTAGCTGCAGGCGGCGAACTCTTTAGCAGGATAACCACAGGAAAAGGTCGATTGTCAGTGAGCGAAACACGGGCAGTGCTTTTGACATTGCTTTCTGCGTTGGCCCACTTGCATGAAAATAAAATTGTGCACCGCGACATTAAAGCAGAGAACATTTTGTTTGCCAGCCGGAGCTCAAAACCATCACTGTTGCTTTTGGCTGATTTTGGCCATGCGTTAACTCTCAAGGACGGAAAAATGGCTTATGATTGCAGTGGTACGTTGAGTTACATCGCCCCAGAAGTTCTTCTGAGGACAGGACACAGTTTTCCGGCGGACATGTGGGCTGTGGGAGTACTCACATATTTCATGCTCTCTGGATACATGCCATTTGATTGTGACTCGGACGAAGAAACGAAGGAACTCATATCCAAAGGCGACTTTGTGTTTGAGCCCGCGGAATACTGGCTGCATGTACCCGAGACTGCTAAGGATTTTATTGGCAGATGCTTTGCATTAGACCCTGCAAAGAGAATCACTGCAGCACAAGCTTTGAAGCATCCGTTCCTCCTTGAAAGCCGCCCGAAGCCGTCTCCATCATTCCAGAAGCTTCAAGATGCGGTCTGGAAACTTCACAAGCAGCAGCTGCAGAAATCCTCCACCAATCTCTCTGCATTACATCGCAGATTCAACTCATCTTCTTCAACTTCTGTTTCCTCCAATCACTCAATTATGGAAACCGACCACACACTTTTAGGCGAGCGGTGTTACAGTCCGGATAAAGTTTCAGCGTTTACTACTCCGGTGACATCAACAACTACGTCGAGGGAACACTCCCAGATCAGTATTCACTCACCTACTGCATTATCACTCTCCCTGTCTGTCTCTGGCCGCACGGGAAAAGCCAACTTTGTAATTTAGAACATAGTACAATTTTACAAATTTGTTCCAGCATAAAACGTGTATTATAGTTGCGTGAGATGTATTTTATTCTGTTCCAGTCGTAAATACCGCAGAACTAACTTTATTTGTATGGAGAGAGACTGGAATACAGGATGTCCTGCAACACAAGACATAATCTTGCAGCACGAGAACATCTACAGAGGTGAACCTCGGATTTGTGCTGCAATTAGTAGCATTAATTGGGATAACATAGCATCATGGCAACTGTAGTTGCAGAATATCGCTGGCTCGGAAACTTATAAAGATGTCAGCACAAAAACTGATCCAATCTTTTGAATCTCTGTATCCAAAGAAAAGAGCATAGGTTAATCGATCGAAATGACAGTCACTGGTAAAACCATCTATGAAAAAATCCACTTCCTATATTGTCGTACTGAAAAAAAAGTCCAAAACATTAGGAGACAAAAGTTTGCAGTCTGCAGCGACGAAGATGCTATACAAACAATTCTCGACAATACACTGTCTGAAATGCAAGACGAAAAGTCTGGTATTTATATACGCACTTTCTCAGATGTTATGGTTATGGAGAAAGACAAGGGCAACTCGATTGTTGGAGTTGTCACCGAATGCTTCCAAGCTAAACCATTTGACTTGTGGTTTGTGCTGACTATTCTCGACAACAGTATCATGGTGTTTGACAAACAAGACTTGAATACACAAATGTCCAACTTGGCTGTCGATGATGCTAAGGAAATGGCCACCAAGATCACAGAGATTTTCGAAACCACTGTTAAAAATAGCGCCAAAGTCGATAGGTGGAGTGAGGGAAGAGACAGTTTTATAAAGAACGTGCAATTTTTTACCTCAAGAAATGCACAAGTGGAGGCTGTTCTCCCAGCATTTCCGTGCAAGTCTCTGAACCCAGAGAAGGTTGCATCAACAACGCCAGATAAAGGGGAAGAGCTTGCCCTCAAAAGAATCATAGAGTTTGTCTCTTATGTGAATGAGATATATCCCCCGGGGATGAAGTTTTTCATTGTCAGCGATGGACATGTGTTCAGCGATTGTATCAATGTTGATGACAAGGTTGTTGATAGTTACACCGAGCAGCTCAAGAAGCTATACCACAGAGTAAAGCCCGAAGGATTCGACGGCATTCACTTCCGTGGATTGAATGACTGCTTTAAGTCTTCTACCAAAAACGAAATTGCGCCTCTATTGAATACCATCACAGTAGACCACTATTTGGATACCCACTTGGACGACGCAACCGAAATCAACCGGAAGATTATGATGCTTGGATGCGACGACAACGCAGAAACATTGAGAGAGGAGATCAAGACACCGCTGCACCCTCGGCTTTATTTGTACAGAGGATTTAACAAGTTCATGTACGAGGACTTGGTGAATACCCCCAAGGCCCAAGCCATGTCACGGAAAAAGTTCAAGAAGATGGTTTCCTCCATAGCCTTTGAGATGATACTCCGCAACGATGCCTATTCCAACTTGGTGGAATTGGTGTTCCCTTTCCACTTGCGTCTCTCGATCCACGCCCATCACAATGCAGGACCAAAGTATGGTATTAGATTGTTGGACACAAGTATCTGTTGCTCGTATGACCACAATCCCGACGAGGAGGACCGTTTGCTTCACATTCCTACACCATGGCACAATGCAGTTTTCAAACTTGGTGACCGCGAAAAGATGATTGTCTCGAACTCCAAACTTGCTGAGATGCTTGAAAAGGACGAAAAATATGTGGGTGGATGGCACGAGAAAGAGCGCTGCTTTGTTTATGCCCCTAGCGTTCAGCCAAATCTTTAATGTTGACTAGTCGTTGCTACCAATGTATGTTTGCTTTTCCTATTGCGTAGTGTGCACGATTGATGAAAATCGCACAACTGATTGATAACCTTGCTATAGCTCACGCGAAGAATCACACAGTAGCTTCATTCAACAAGTTTCTTTCTAAAAAATGTCTTGGGATCAAGTTTCGTTCACCCTTCCGGCTCATTCAAAAGGTTGTTACCTCATCACAGACGAGGTCATCCGCAATGTTCCTCAGATTAAAGATTACAAAGTTGGCCTCTTGCACTTGTTCCTCCAGCACACTTCAGCTGGTTTGTCCCTCAACGAAAATTGCGATCCTGATGTCAGAGAAGATATGGGTACATCATTAGATCGTGTGGTTCCTGAAGGTGACTTTTACATCCATGCGGATGAAGGTCCTGATGACATGCCAGGCCATGTTAAGAGCTCGTTGATCGGAGTCAGCGTAACAATTCCTATCCGCAATGGTCGCTTAGCCACTGGTACATGGCAAGGCGTATACTTGTGTGAATTCCGCAGGTATATGCACAGAAGAAATATCGTGGCTACGATCCAGGGAGAAAAGAAGTAACATAGGACGAATAAATCTCATTTATCTTCTTCGTATCTCAGGATACTGTAGGCACGTAAAGTTTCAAACTTTTCTTCTTCCAATTTTTGCAAGGCATTTTCTAATTCTGTCCGCCTCTTCCATACCTGGTCTGTTAAAAGGCCAAACCAACCGTTATGGCGCAAACACTTTCGCCGATCCTGTAAACACATAGATCCGTTATAGCTTATGTTGTCTTGATTGTTGTACGCATGCACGATCTCATCAATCTCGTCCTTGAATGTCTCATAGATATTATCACTCTGTATCATCTTTTCGTACTCTTCTTTTGTAAGAAGATCATCAAGACGTTTATCGAAACAACATAAATCAACCTTTTTGGTTTTCGAGCCCTTTTTCTTCTTTTTCTTTGCTGACTCCTCTTCCACGGGTTCTACGGTGTTCTGGAGTCTCTCGTTAATGATACGAATCTTCTCTTTGATGATCGGAAGGAACAGCTCGCGAGCGGTAACCAAACTGTGTTCGGATTGAACTTTATCCACTTTAGATGCATTTTCAACAAGTTCATTTCGTATATGCAATGGAAGCTTTTCCATATCAAGCGGCAGGACTTCTGGGAGCTCAGGAAATTCCACACCCATCTTAATTAAATCATCGTACGTGTTGATATATGTAAGCACGAATTTGATGTGTTGTGGCGTCAACACTTCTGACCCTTGAAGTTTGCCTTGGAGATATCTTCTTCCACATTCCTCAGAACAGTACTTGGATTTTTCCGCCTTTCTTATAGGCTGGAAGCATCCAGGCATACGGCATTTTCGATTCCAAAGCATGGACCCCACACCCTTCCACTGGCAAAATTTGCAATAAAACTTATCAATGAGATGCTTGTACTGTGAATTAATCTTCATACACTTAAAATGGAACCACTCTTCACATCCATCGCAACCCACCATAAGTTCACCACCATGATCCGGCTTGCGGCATATACAATACACTTCCTCTGAGTTAAGATTGTACTTGGGAGCCGCTTTGAACCTTTTGTACTGTTTTGCTATATCTTCGTTGGATTCCACATCTTCATCTTTTGCACGCTTAGTCTCCACCGCGAGAGATGGCGACTTTGATTTTCTTTTCCGGACTAAATCATGCTCCGTTTCTGGCGTCAGTGTGGTCTCTAGAGGTGTTTTCTCTCTAATTTCGGCCATACTGGGTCTGTCTTAAGTTGTTCAAGTATTGTATTTATCAATGGAATATACACACTCTTACATCTTTCCTCACTAATGCAGTCTGTACAGTAATCAAATCTACAAAATCTGTGATACAATTTCAGCTGATCACTGAAATTTATACTAAAACAAAGTCCATACCTACTAATGGAACGGAAAGAGCCAGAACAAGTAACAGTAGTGAGAGGCAATCAAAATGAAGAATTCAGTTTTCTCTTATACGAATTTCTTACTCGCGATGTAGTTAGAGAGCATGGAATACACATTTTATGCTTTTTTTTTTTTTTTTTTTTTGGACTCTTATAGTCCTCTCTTGCTGGTTTGGGCGGGTACTGGGCAGTATAAATTAGCATAAAATTGAAGAGTACGTGTTCATATTGTAATATGGTTTATGACCAGTCAATGGTGTAGCTTTTCCTGGAGCATGCGTAATAAAATGCCTTCATGAAATACTAGATAATTTTCTTTTACTATACATTATTTCCAAACTGTCTTCAGATTGACCTTCAGTTTTATCTACTCTTTGGTTTCAGCTTCGTCAGAGTTGTCGTCCTCCTTCTGGTCGTCTTCTTCCACCAAGGTTTTTGGCTTGAAGACCTCCAATAACGTGTCATCTCCTACACTAGCATAAAGGTTGGAGATAGTAGGATGCACAGAAAAGTCGTTAATTCTGTTTGTGTGTCCTCCGTGGACAAACTTCAAGCAGGGGTCTTCCATGTGACGTGTTTTCCTCTTAGAATCCGAAGACTCTGATGTGGGATAAGTGTATTCTTCGCCCAAGTAATTCAAGTCCCATGTGATGACTCTTTTGTCTAAGCCCCACGAATGCAACAAGTTAGGTTCATTGTCAGCGTCCCAAGTTAATCCCACTACTGAGTCGTTGTGGCCAAATAGGAGACGAATTGGCTCATTGACATTTCTAGCATCATATAACTTGACCACATTATCTTTCCCCGCCGTAGCAAAAAGTGAGGAAACTGAAGGATGAAAAGAGATGGCATTCGCAACGTGATTGTTAGTAATCTTAATGACAGGCGATTGGTTAATGGCACGAATGTCGTGGATCTGTGTTGAAAAATCATCAGATACGGAACCAAAGAGATACTTTGACGGCCGACTGAAGCTAATATCATTTATCACCGCAGAATGAGTAAGAATTTTCTCCTTCGGAGCCTCTGGTTTGACAACATCCCACAAGGCAAGTTTGGAGTCATTGGCTCCAGACAAAAACTCAGTAGACGAGACCCAGTCCAAACCATAACCTTCACTGTCATGGAATTTGAAGTCCACTGATGGCTTTTCTGGAGAGCTGAACAAGTGCACAGTCCCCTGATTGTCAAATGTAAGAATACTTTCTCCATCTGGAGAAACCTGTAACTTGTTCACTTCACCTGGGTGGTTCCACGAGTGTACCACTTTGAACAGACTTTCTGAGCCATTCATAGGTATAGGGATACTTGAACTCACGGCAAACTCATCAAAATCTGGAGCAAATGTGCTAGGAAGGTCTAGACTAACCACTTGGACAAGGTCTTGTTCTCGACCAGAGGTGTTAGTTCCAATGGCCAAGTTCACAGATATGGTATTCTTATCTTCGGAAACAGTGTATTTCGGCAAAAACTGCACGGCCATGAGCGGCCATTTCATTGCATGGGTATGTATTGTGTCATAAAGCAATGGCACGGTTTTTTTCCATATTTTAAATTCTTCGTTGATCACCTGTTCACGGAGCTGATGCTCAGAGACAATCTGACGCTCAGCAGCTACCAAAGGGTCTGCAAGCGACATTTCTTTCTCTGCAAAAGGTATCGAAGTGCAGTGAGAATATTCAAATGTTGTAAAGTGTGTACTCGCGTTATAGATGTGCGGAAACCAAGACACATGATAAGATTACAGTTAGAAAGGCGGAGATAGAGAAATCAGTAACGGGAGATGGATAGAATCAGGGAAAGATTTGAATCTGTAAGTTAACGACAATTAGTAAATATGGAAATGAGAAGACTACAGTATATTTCGATTTCGCTTACAATATCCAACATTGATCAACAATGCATAACGACTAATTGGGAGCCGTGACTATCTGAAACCAAGGCCATTCGTGCAATGCAACAGTTGCAATGATACATGATCATTCATTTTATTTGAATTGATATATTACATTGAAAACATTTGATGGACGGTAACCCACAAATAGAAGAGACGGCATCAGATGACTCCGCCTCCTAAGTCATCAGCCTCGCCTTCTGGATTATCAAATGCTCGGCTAAATGTGTAGACGGTGCCATAAATCAAAAATCCACCAAACAAAGTTAATATCACAGCCGTTCTGGTCAAAATTAGCGAGTGATGGAGAAGAATTGGCAAATAGACACCAGTAACAAAGAGTGCAGCTGAGACAAACATGCCAAACTCTTTGATAACCAGGGTTCTTGAAGTTGTACTGGGATCAAAATTAAAGTCGTAGTCACTCAGATTGAATGCACTTTGTGTAACCACCACTGGCAAATATGCCACAGCAAATATGATCCCATCCACTATTGGAAACCAATTGCCATATATTCCAGCAAGTATAACCAAAAGGAATCCCATAGATAGCACAATGGAGAGACCAATGATCTTGTCAAGAGGATTTTTGCTAAAGTGAATTCCCAAACTCATGATTTGAGAGTGTAGTCCCTCCTATCTCTCTCCGCCTTCATTCGGGAAAGGTAGGACAGCACGTGACCCCGTACACTTACAGGGTGGTACAATGGGAATTCTGGATAAATCTGTAGAGACCAAATAATGAAATGAAGCACACCGAAACATTTTGGGCCGGCAAGAAGTGTCTGAATGTTATCGGGGTAATTATCGATATTGCTTTGTTTGCCTTCTTTCTCGTTCTCTGAGTAGACACAATACTCTGGAGTGTACAATAACTACTCAGTAATCGTTTTCTTTTATCAATGGCTTTCGAGGAACTTTTCTGTCCCCAAGTGAAACAGCCTTTGCCTAACCTTTTAGCGCCTGCTGGCTTTGGTGCTGATCATGTGAAAAGCAAGAAAGTGGCTGCTGTGAAGAAACCATCACAAAATGAGTTGGACAGTCTAAAAGTGAAAATGGCTTGGGAAGTAGCCACAAGTCCAGCCAAAAGTATTCCCATGAACTTAATCATGAGCTATATGACGGGAAATTCGATGCAAATAATCCCCGTAACAATGGCTTTGATGTTAATCTGGAACCCATTGAATGCTATAGTTAGGGAAACCAACTCCTCCTTTAGCTCTTTACGAAATGACCGAAACTCATCTGAAATTCTTTTGCCTAAGATTGTGTTTGTTCTTTGTCAGTTGATGAATATGGCTATAGGTTTGTGGAAATTGAATCAAATGGGGTTAATTCCCAACAAGGAAGCTGACTGGCTCTCTTGGAAACCCGTCACACACATTATTGAACGTGTATGGTTAAGTTGAAGACTCGAGTGAAAAGATTGTATAAGATTAAAAGTCTATATAAGATAATGTACAATGCATCAATTATTTTTTGCTCTCGGCTACTCGCGAAACACTAGTACCAGGACCCATATCCTTTTCAAAGATTTGCTGTAAGTTGAATTTCTCAAATTTAAGATAATCCGACACAACACTCATTCCTATGTTGTTTTTGTAACATTCAACCAATATCAACTTATCGTACTGTTTTAAGTCGACTTTGTGCCCGTGTTCATGCCCGACGGCAGTAGCGACAGTCTTAATAATGTCGTCTTTCTCTAGGGTATTAAAATTCCTTCTTGTAACTTGGATGGCAAACTTAACTGGTTCTTGTTCCTCTTTATGGAAATGAGGTTTCAAAACCTTTGCTGCAAGTTTCTTGAGCTCATCCATCGATGCTGATACAGAGTATGTCACTGGAGTCAATTTCTGGGTAAATCTGGTGTTTTTCTCCTTGGACTCGTATGCTTCTTGACAAATGCGATGAATGAAATCAGCAGGATGGATAGGTTTCTTCATCTTGATAAACACGAGGCACTCACACCCCAAATCCATAGGCTGGAGCGGGCTGTTTGAACTCTTACCATTTTGTGATTCTTTTAGGTCCTCCACTTCTTTCTTAATCTGCTCCTCAACAGACAACTTTTTATCTTCATCCTCTGGTGTTTCCTCGTCTGCAATTTCGTCTTTCCAATCAGGGTACCACGTATCGAGCTTCTCCGAAAATAGTTGCATCAACTCTTTTCTGCATCCTTGCTCTTTTCCTCTGTTACACGTAGCATAGACACCGCACGTATTAGGATCAATGAAACCACTGACTTTATATTTTTTATTCCGGTTACCTCCCGAAGATTCGTTTTTCCTTTTGGCCATATCTAATATGTGGTGAAGAACTATCTGGGATATTTTTCAGTCGCATCTTCATCACTGTTTTAGATACACAACAACCATAAGCTTGCCTATCTTTTATGACCTAAAATGTCCCAATGGTGGGACCTTCCCGAAGAAATCGTCGAGGCGATATTGAAGCATGTGTCATTTCGAGACTACGTATCCATCACACAAACGAGCCGGAAGGTAAAAGAAACAATAGACAACCGCCGTTTTTATGAAGTGGTATTGGCATCAAACTTCGCTCAGAGAATAGATAATTTTGAATGGTCCTTTAGTGAAACTGATAAAATTCTCTCGAAAGAACAATTATGGAAGTTATGCTGTGAAATTGAGACTTTTCTTGACTGGGTTCAAGAGTCTAATGTCGGAGACCTTATCTCATCACAAGATAAAGAAATATGTCTCCGGAGAAAGATCCACAAACTCACTGCAAAAGACGAGTATATGATACCAATCATGATTGTTTATGATTCTACAGTTGCAGACTTTATGGAATGTGTAAGAGAAGGAAACACAATGCAACCCCAGTCGCGTGTTTCTTGGGCCCAGCTCTTGATGCATCTACAAAATTTTCGAAAAGCTGTTGCATATTTCCAAGAGGCGAAAACAAATAGCACTACTATCATTGAAAGGACATTTTTCGAAGTCTCTCGAGCAGATTTCAACTTTCCCCTACTAGTGAGGAATCGCTCTAAACAATTGTATCGCATGCGCAAGCAAATCAGCGCACAATTGCCGATTTCGAAAGGAACTTTGGGATTTCCAGATTGGTCATCCTTTATTAAGTTTCTTCATCACATAATTCAACAAATCATGCGCTTGCTTCCAAAGCCCAAGAAACAACATCCCGCATTGAATATACTCCGGGCATACAATGGAGATGGAGTCGGCAGTAAAGAGATGATTGCAGCAATGGTTGCTAAAATATTAACAGAAGCTGTCTTTGGGAAAGTGAGAATTAAAGTAGGTAATTATTTCCCAGATCTTACAGTGAGAGCTTCTGCAGTTGTTGTTTGGGTAGGTTCTATTGAAGTTAGGTTGGCAAGTCGTCCAAGCGAAATCCAAATTATTGCTCGCAGAGTAAACCCCGTTCTGCTTCGAAATCCCTTGGCACCATTAACACCCCGTCGTGTACTAGACCTTATGGTCTTACCTGACCAGTCTCCTACAGTTTCACTTTTGCAGAACTTTCATTTTCCTTGGAGTCCCTCGGCCACGCGATGGAAATTCTTCATTCAAGTTTTCAAAGCTGCGATTTCAAATGAATCTATCTTTTCTACGATCAAGGATGCAGATGATATGCTTTCATACTTCTACTCCTCTAGCCTTTCCGAAAATGATAGGAGAACAATTACTACAGTCACTTCAATACTTCGAAATCATTTAGCAGTTGAAAATTCTAACAAAGAAGACACTTGCGTTAAAAATATAAGTGAGAAATTTGGGAATGGCTTACTTGTTATCAACAGAAACATGGAATATATTGGTTCTATAATTCTGTTTGACCGTGAAAGTGGATCATACTGTGTGTGTCCCCACGATTTTACGCGGATTTGTTTCGCCCAAGAGGCCAGTATTTATCCTGTGGACACATCTGATTTGGAACAAACAAAAAAACTTTTATGCTGGCTTTTCCAGAGTGAAGGGTTTGTTTTCATCGGAGCCTGCCTATATCCTTACATGCTTCACGAAGACAAGAACATACGTATGGTTTCTAGCTCCCACAACTAACCGGCATGTACTGAGAACCAGGTCACGTGATATACTACTCATTGACTCAAACGACTTCATACTTCAGACTGAGATAGTCCATTACTCCTTCACCAATGCTTCAAAGATCCCTATATTTATCGGCAATTAAGGATACTGTCTTCAAAAGGCAACTACCACCATCTATGCGGAGATTCAAACATAGCGTTATTGGCATTGATCTTGGTACCACCAATTCCGCAGTTGCGGTAGTCGAAGGCAAGGATGCAAGGATTCTCGAAAATGAAGAAGGCGGGAGAACAACCCCTTCTGTCGTGGCATTCACAAGAGACTCACAAACCTTGGTAGGGCTTCCTGCAAAGAGACAAGCTCTTATTAATCCACGGAACACCTTCTTTGCCACAAAGAGGTTAATCGGTCGAAAGTTCGAAGACGAAGAGGTGCAAAAAGATATCAACAATGTGCCCTATTCAATTGTTCGGCATGAAAGTGGAGATGCATATGTCCAAACATCAGACGGTGTTCGGTATTCACCCTCTCAGGTGGGAAGTTTCATATTGAATAAGATGAAGCAAGTTGCTGACACTCATCTTCCTTCCGAAGCCAAACATGCGGTAGTCACCGTTCCAGCGTACTTCAATGATTCACAGCGACAAGCCACCAAGAATGCTGGGAAACTAGCTGGCCTAGATGTGTTGCGTGTCATCAATGAACCGACAGCAGCAGCATTGGCCTATGGCATTAACGAGAAACAGAATGATGGTGTGGTGGCTGTCTTCGATTTTGGTGGTGGGACCTTTGATGTATCCATTTTGGATATCGAGGACCGTGTTTTCGAAGTCAGAGCGACGAATGGGAACACACATTTAGGTGGCGAAGATTTTGACATATTGCTCTTGGATTATATCCTCGATGACTTCAAACGTAAAACAGGAATTGACCTTTCCGAAAATAGGATGGCGGTTCAGCGGGTGCGTGAAGCAGCTGAGAAATGCAAGATTGAACTCTCCCATGTCAAGGAGTCGGAAATTAACATTCCTTTTATTTATGAAGACAAGCATATTCAAATGCGGTTGACAGAAGATGAATTAGACAATATGTCTCTACATTTGATTAACAAGACGATTGATCCAGTGAAGAGATGTATTCGTGATGCCGAATTGACTGTTAAAGACATCGATGAAGTTATACTTGTTGGAGGAATGACCAGAATGCCGAAGATCCGTAAAGTTGTTGAGGACCTTTTTAAGAAGACTCCAAACACCAGTGTGAACCCAGATGAGGCTGTTGCGTTGGGTGCAGCCATCCAAGGAGCAGTTTTATCTGGTCAAATAAAGGACGTTGTTCTCTTGGACGTGACTCCGTTGACTTTGGGAATTGAAACGTACGGGGGAATTTTCAGTCCGCTTATCCCTAGAAACACCGCAGTTCCTGTGAGGAAGGAACAGGTCTTCTCCACTGCTGTAGATGGTCAAACCGGCGTTGAAATTCGGGTGTTTCAAGGTGAGCGTCCTATGGTGAAGGACAACAAACTCATTGGCAATTTTAAGTTGGCAAATATCCCATATGGACCGAAAGGAACTCCACAAATTGCTGTGTCGTTTGATATTGATGCTGATGGTATCATAAATGTTTCTGCTACTGATAAGACACCATATGATAAGGACTCTCCGCACTATAACAAACCGAACTCGGTTTCAATTCAAGTATCTGGACAAACTGGTTTGTCGGAACTGGAGGTCCAGGACATTTTAAAGCAGAGTGCAGCAAATGCCAAGAAGGATGCAGAGTATAAGAAGCATGTTGAAAACGCCACCAGAGTGGACATTCTTTGTACTGATGCTGAGAATGCCTTGGCTCAATTTGGAGAGTTGATGGAAGAAGAAGAAAAGAAGCAGATTAAGGACGTCTTGTCAGACTTGCGGAGCAAAGTCATCGATGTGAGAGAGAGAGAAATCTTACACGATGTTGGCCTGATGACTGAGCAAGTCAATCACTTACAAAGTATCTGTATGGCCGCTATCCAAAAGGTTGCTTTGAAACAGAAACAATTGCAAGACACGAAGTAATCGCCAGTGTATACTACATGTAAATAGGTAATTCCCAAAGCTAATATATCTTCTATGGAGCAACACTAGTCAGTATCCATTCTATCCGAAGCAGTATTTTCTTCATTTGCACCGGAAGCTGTTCCTGTAGCATCAGCATTTTCAGCCTCAGCGGCCTCGTCATCTCCTGCGTTACCAGCATCGCCTGCTTCGTCAACATCTCGGGCGTTAGAAGTGGAATCAAGCTTGTCCAACCAGACTTGTACATCTTCGTCATCATAAACAACGAAATCTTGGTCTTTTCCAACAACGCTGACAGATGTGTTTTTCATAGTCAACTCCATATCCTGCGATAAGGTATCTCTCAATGCATTCAATCCATGAACGACAAGATCTTCAATTTCAGTGCACTGCCTGATGGTTTCTAAATTACGCTCCAAGTAGGTTCTGGCAGCCTGAGATCTAGCTCCAATGGCTGCACCATAGTACTCTAATACCGATCCAGATGGCTGAAATTCATATAAGTGAGCGCCTGTTTCATCCCATCCACCGACCAATAAGCCGACACCATAGGGCCTAGAGCCATACAGCTGAGTGTTTTCTTGAGCCTTGTCCGCAATTGACAACGCAGCTTTAGATGTTAACAAAGGTCTGTTGAAAACAAGTTTGGAGTTCATGGCAAGCTTACGCAAGTAATTAGATAAAACACGGGCATCAGGAGCCAATCCTGCTAAAGCGATACCCATATGATCGTCAACCTTGATGATCTTCTTTTGATAACTGCCAAGTTCTTCGGCGTTTCTCTTTAATGCCACCAAGACAACATGGTTTGCCGAAGCAATACCAACAGTGGCAGATCCTTGTTTGATAGCCTCTAAAGCATACTCGACTTGAAAAAGGCGCCCGGTCGGCGAGTATGTGACAGAGTCGTTGTCGTAATTATTTCTGAACATGAATCGGCTTGTGAGAGACTAGTGGGTGATTAATACCTTCTTGCCACTTCTGGTGTGAGACTACTCAGATGCATGCAGGATTTTAGAAAGATACCAACGTCACTACTAAAAGCATTCAAGAGAGTCTGGTAAACATACAATGCTGTCACATATCTCACCATTAGCTCCCTTAATATATGTGGGTGCATAATGTGAAGATGTATAGCATCTGCTGATGTGATGCTTCTGAATGTCACGCGTAGCACCCATCAACCCTTTTGAAGCGGTAATCTTGTATCGAAACCAATTGAATGCTACGCTGAAGTGACTTGTAAATGGTTTATCAGAATATGATGTGTATTTATAACGGTGAAGAAGAACCAGTTTCTGGTAAATATGAAGGGAGTATGAATACACCCGTACACCAATAGATAAAACCCTCTCACCCAAACCCTCAAGGCATTCTCTAGATCTTATTCAATGCTATTTCTTCAACGCCAACTCCCCATTATCTATAGAGTATCACGCAGGTCGGGACGGAATTACTCTGTTAAATTTTCAGAGAATTTCGACGGACACGTGCAAGCTACGAAGCCACGGCTAGCGGATTTTAGATATCCTCTCTTCCACACCTTCTTATTGGCGTCGAGCGTTTATATGGGATTAAACGCCTTGTGGTATTCATTGGAGTACGAACAGGTAGAAAATAGTTTGATAAAACAAGCAAACATGCTCGAAGATGAACTACAGAGAACGCTTGAAGAAGTAAAACTGCAACACATCAAGTCAGCCGACAAGTGGTACAGCAAGTTAAAATTTTGGAGCTAATCACTGATCAGAGATCCTGAACTTCCACTTACTTAGAAGAGAACTTTCTCTGTCTAAAATAGAAGAGTTAGCATTAGTCAGCTCAGCTATGCTTTGGTTGTCTGCATCATCCCTAGGAACCTGCATTTTTTTAATAAGTTTCATGGCATCTTCATACTTCAAGCGATCAAACCTGCGCATTCTGAATGAAGGATTTTTGATAAACTCGTCGTAGTTTTCCAAAAGTAATAAATCAATGCTTTGTCTTAAAGTCTCAAATGTCGATTGTAAAGCAACAGAGCCTTGTTCTGGGTCGTTCGATTCGCTCTGCGCTAAATTGGCCATAGATTTTTCAAGATGGGTGATATCCAAATTTAGATTACTAATAGCAATGCGATTGTAATGAGGGGCATCTTCCAATATGTTCAAGAAATATTCAGCGATGAAGTCAAAACTTCTGAATAAACCCAATGTGCGGAAGGACGACGGTAAGTTAGTAAAGATGGAGTTGAACAAATTCTCTAAAAAGAGAGAGAAGTCGAGAATGAAAAAGTTCGGATCAGTGTTGGACGTTTGAGGCATCCAATCATCGTACTCAACCATGTCCAACAACTCTTTTAGTTTGACATCTACCATCTTGAAAATTGCATCCTCTGAGAATTTCCTTATACTCGTGAAAAGCTCTATAGCCTTCAATTTGAATACGGAATGTGTGTCGATATTGATAATTCCAATCCCATTTGTAGCTCTCAATCTCTCATCTAAAAGCTTACCAATTTCATACAAACTGAAGAGGTAATATTCCAAATTGGTATAGCTTTGTGCCACGATTTCCTTGTTATTCGAATTCTTGCTAATGAACTCTTTAATGTCGTTGCAAATACCTATTCCCGGCTCATTCCCCAAAACTTTCTCAAAAATATCGTTCACAATAATATGGTTAAGATCAGATAATTCGTGGCTGTAATGACGGGAGGTAAATTCTAGAACATCTTTTAAAAGTGTCCTTATTCCTAAACAATAGTGGACGTAGTCTTCGCTGAATGGAAATGATATTGGCATCGAATGGACATTGCGAGGAGCAAAATTTGCATCCTTCTTGTACCAGCAAATCTTCATCACATTATCGTAGTCATGACGGTCTGTCACAACCAAAGGCATGTAATGATCAGACTGAATAGAGTCAATGAACTCTATTCTAAAATGTTGAATCAAAATAGGTCCAAAGTAATCTCTGAAAATATCAATCATAATCGTGTAGAGATCAGAGATTTTGTACTGGCTGTTCTCCATGACTTGCAAGAAATTCCCTAACAAATCCTTGAAATCTGCTAATATTCCTAAGTCATTGACTCCCCATTTGTGGCTTTGCAAAAAATTGATAAGCACAGGTTTGAGCTTTACTGAATAGGATTCCCACAAATCATCTGCTGTACTGTTGGATCTTAACTCGAATTTCGTTTGCTTGTTGAGCTGTTTGTCAACGACGAAGAAGGCAGCAATTTTTTGCAAGTAAGCAGCCAAGCTTTCTAGATTTTGAAAAGAAACAGAAGGATCATGAGATGATAACTGTCTTCCTTTAACATTGGCAGACAATGTAATGGGATAAATGATTCTCTGGTATTTCTTCATCCATTCTTTGTGATAAATGGAAGCTAATGAGCCAATATCATTTAGTGATTGGTACACAAGAATGCAGTCGTAGATAGGTGCGAGAGGGATCTGAAGTTCCTTTGAGTCAAAAACATTCAAATATAGCGACGGATCACGCATAGAAACTTCCACTGGAGAATTGAGGTGGTGAGGTAATAAGGCGGGAATTTTGGCATTGTTTCGAAGCTTTTCCCAATTTTCTTGTAGTTCTGCGAGGTTAGCGAAAATGCATTCGCCAATAACATCAACTTTCCGCTCAATGTGTGTAGATAACCATTTGCTTAAACTATCGAAGGACTCTTCTTTGATCATGGCAGTTAAGTGCGGGATAGAATCATATATCTTCACGGCAAAAGTAAAATCTTTCACTTTGGGCAAATGAATGGAGGAGAGTTCATCAATTAACTTCAATGCACTAAAATATTTGTGCTGTTTGATCCAATCAAGAATCTTATTCGAAATCTCTAACACCTGAATGCACAAATTGAGTACCACGGATGTCTCTTCAATCTTCTGGGATGTCTCCTTGCATTTGATGAGAGCTTTCTTCTTAGATATAAGTTCGAACACGGATTTATTGAGTATTTTGTTCACTTGACTTAAGTTTACACTCAACTCTTGTGACTCAGTGGATACGGTATCGATAGTATCAATACAGGTGTTGATGTCATGTGCTGAGTTCAACGATATGTCATTCAATTCGTCATCTTTGGCCTTCACTATGTTATTCAATTTGACAATAAAATCCGATAACGCATTTGCCCTCAATGCATCGGTAATGATAGGAACTAAGCTGTCAAGGTAGTCTTCAGAATGTAAAGATGTTTGAAAAACATCAGCATCTCTTATAAACAAATTCTCAAGCTGGATTGCATCTATATCATCCGAATTCGGCTTAACCATTGTCATGGCTCTATCTTTCAGGCCGTTCATTTGCGATCCCGTAGATGCCATGGAGGAAGTTGTTGATCTATGTTCACGTTTATGACTTGAAGTTTTGCGTGCAGTACAAGACGACAGCAGTTAAGAACTATCATGGGCTACACAACTATAACTTTAAGCAAATATTCTTAAAGCAATCTTATAGAAGTACAAGTCAATTACTTTGAGCAATACCTGATCCATATTGTTCATGTGTCGTTTGTAATCTATAGCAGCTCAAGTATGTTGGATACAGTACCTTAACTCTCTTTCACCACACCGTTATTCATGGATAGAAATAATGTTCTAGTACTAGGTCCCCCTAAGTCGGGAAAAATCCGTTTTGCCCAGTTTATCTCAGGTGATTATGAGACAGAAACCATATCCGATGATTCACACAGTGGGTTAATGTATAAGTGCAACCTAAAGACGAAATACTTCTCTGTGGATGTCAATCTACTAATAGAGGAATTCCCTGAAAGCCGGAAAGAACCAGAAGAGAAATGGATAAGTTCCCTTCAAACGTGGTTTGGGGAATTTGAAAGCGATACGATGGCAGATCTCCGGGAAGTCATCGAAGGAGTGGTTTTCACTGTGTGCGTTAATGAGTGGGATGACAACGTTATTAAACAGCAATTGGATATACTAAGTAATATGAAAGATCTCCTCAAAGATAATGATCCATTTTTCATTGTCATGGGCGTGTCTGAACATGATATAGAACAAGACACGATGGCAGACCTCGAAGATTTAGTTTTACTTAATGGGTTTGAATTTGTGTACTTTAATGATAGCGGCATGAATGAGTTCAGGGACAAAATGGGAAAGGACCGTTTACTCGAAGTTCTAGAAACACATGAGTGGACACAGAAGCATTTAACACATGTGTCAAATGAAGACTACATGGCATACAAGAAAGAGAAAATGACACTGATGACTCAAGGTTTACTACAGGAAGACGATTGCAATATTCCAACATTGGATGTCTTGCTTCAAAAGTTACAGATAGAAAAGCTGAAGGTTGAAGAAATGAAGGAAAATGAGAGAAAAGGCTACGTCGATGGCTTGGTGGATGAGTTTCTTGAATATTTTTGATATACCTTATCAGAGCTTGGGTTGCGTCAGTGGATTGGCGTATTCAATAGTGTACCCAGGCTCAAAATAGCATTCTTGGCAATCTTCGTCTGCAACCCCATTTTCATGAATGAATACTGCAAAATCAAGATACAGAATAGCTTCATTTATCACCACCATGGGGGCATGCCATGTTCCTACTCCATATGTCACAGACTGGTTTCCCTTGCAAACAAAGGCTTTTAAAGTAGATGGATCAGGCAAGTTTTGGGCTGTTGAATTATCTGTGGTTGCAACAATTACTATGTATGCTGCTTCGTTTGGGCAATGACCCATCGGAATAAATGTCTGAGTAGAAAATGGATGTCTCTCTAAAACCTTGGCTTTGTACTGTTTGCTGAACCCAGATCCTGAGATAAGATGCTTAGGAGCAGAGCATCGAAAAATATTCCAGTTGGCGGTTGCCTGCTTTCTGCTAGGACACAGAGCATAATTGTTGGTAATTGGAGCTACCTTGTGCATTTTAACTGCCGTCCCATAGTTTGCAGACGATGACTGGACGTTTTTGATCTGGTCATCGGCAGATATAACTCCCCCATACGGCTTAAAGTTTTCTGGAGTCAATTTTTCTGCCACGATCTTGCCATATAGCGTTGTATCAAATGTGTGAAGAGGCATGGAGTACAAGTTCTCAGGAAGTTAGAATAATTGGTTGAGCTTATCGGGTATTCCCGAGGTGTGCATGTATGCTATCTATCACACCTTTAAAGATTAACAAAGAAACATTATTGCACTGGCCGGATATGACGACACTTCTTCTTTGAGTTATAGTAAACATCTCTATAGTAAATTTTCAGAGTTTTATGGATTAAAATTCTGGCTTTTATTTCATATCCGATGCATTTGGTAACGTCCAAGAGCGACTATTAAAATGTGGGTTTGGGAAAAGTACCAATATTTGTCCAAGAAAACTTCATGGTATTGATACAGCTTTTATGCACCAGACAACGTATATTGTTTGAATATATCGACATGTAGCCTTCTTCCCCACATGTCATGTTTAACTTTCGATCACACCAGTACATCTCTCGCCATCATCAAATCTTGTGATTTGCTCCACATACCACGGTTACAAAATTAAATCTAATCACCATGCCACAAAATTTGAAACTTGCGTTGGCAAAGGAGAAGCAGTCCTCACCTAATCTTGATAATGATGACTCTACTACAGTTGCTGCGGATGACGAGCCTTCGTATATGATGTATATGCCGCAAGATAGAAGCTTTCATCACGATTCGCTAACAGTCTTCGAAGAAAATGCCGGCTCTTCTTCTCAAGCTTTGAACACCAACCATGGACCTAGCTCGAGCATGAGCAAACTGGCATTTGATGCTTCATTGAGACAGTTGTATTATAACGAGAACAGAGTTGCGTTGGACAGAGCAATCACTCAGACGATAGAAATGCTTTACGAATTATCTGAAGAGAATAGACAACGGCCGGTATTCTTTCCGACAGATAGTGCTGAATCGGATAATGTCTTATTGAACTCTCCAAGGGCACATTTAGCGTTAGTGAGAAGAAATACAGATCTTGAATCTAAGAGCGTGGGGAAGTCGGCTATCGGACAAATAAAGGATGATGAAACTGAATTAGGAGAAGACCCCCTAGATGGAGCAGCATTCAAGGTCCTCAAAATTAATTTGAAGATGGGACACAACGACCATAAAGTGATGTCAACACTCGACAAGAAGACAATATCTACATTGCTAGAACAAAAACTATCACTGCAAGTCAAGTACTTGTTGAACTTGAAGGAGCGTATTGATGACACATCCTCTAAAGTTTTCGTAACCGGAGATTTGAATGCTGGTAAATCGACCTTCTGTAATGCTTTATTAAGACGTCAAGTTTTGCCAGAAGATCAACAACCCTGCACTTCTGTCTTTTGTGAAGTTATTGATGCAAGCAAAGAAAACAATGGAATTGAAGAAGTACATGCTGTCCCAATTGGTTCTGAGTACGACAAAAGAAATGAAACCACATATGAAAAGCATGCATTGAATAAGCTCGAAGATCTTGTTTACGAGTGTGATAATTACAGTCTTTTGAAAGTTTATGTTTTGGATTCTAGGGCTGCTGAAGAAAGTTTACTTGGTAATGGTGTCATCGATATCAAATTGATCGATGCTCCTGGCTTAAACATGGACTCGTATCAAACAACCCAAGTGTTCTCTCGGCAAGAAGAAATCGACTTGGTGGTGTTTGTTGTGAACTCCGAAAACCATTTTACTTTATCGGCGAAAGAATTCATTGCTGCCGCTGCCGCTGAAAAGAGATATGTTTTTATTGTTGTGAACAAGTTTGATAATATCCGAGACAAGAATAAGTGTATGGCTCGCATCTTGGATCAAGTAAAGAACCTCTCTCCTGACACTTTCAAAGACGCCAAAGATTTTGTTCATTTTGTGAGTTCTTCAGATGTCTTAGACAATTTTGAAGGTGGGAACGGAGGACCAGATGACGGAGACGGCCCAGGAGATGATAAGCCACCGTTTGACGATCCTAATTTTGACCACCTCGAAGCTTCGTTAAGAAAGTTTATCCTTGATAAAAGATCTATCTCAAAGTTGTTGCCCGCAAAGAGTTACTTGTTAAATATTTTGAGCGACTTAAAAATCTTGTCAGAAATCAACCAATCGATCTACTTGAAGGAGACGGAAGCTAAGAAAAAAGTTTTAAAGGAAACTATTGCTCCAAAATTCAATTACATGGTTCAGGAATCGCTTAACGTCAATGATCGCATTAACAAGTTAGTCGAAAGAACATCGTCTGAAGCATACGAAGCGACAAGAAAAGAAATCATAGGAACTGTCGAAACTTTTGGTAATTCGCAATTCGTGCCGTACAGAGGATTGCAATATGCTCATGAATATGCTAAAGAGACACAGAGACGAATGATTGACACGATTGTTTCATCTGTTTTGAAAAGTGAACAGAACGCAAGAATTCTCACGCAGAGTACGGTGGAGGAAATTATCAGGTACGGTAAGACTACTCTCGGCGATGAATTTCTTGGAGACAAGGTATTCAATGCTGATCTCATGTTTACCAGAAGAAAAGATTCTATTAAAAAGAAGCTTGACGATCTGATCGAAGTGTCGGATTTCTTCGACCCATCTTTCGAATCTGTTTTATCATGGTTGGGTATTCCTTCTGATCATATAATGTCAACCAAGGATCAATTGATAACTTATTCTCCAACTTTCCTAATGTCGTCAATTCCAACTTCTGTGGAAACCTTGAAGAAACTGTTGCCTACTCAACTAACTCTACACACGTTGTATTCATCTACTAAATTGCTCACTACCGGTGCCTTGGTTCGGAAGGCTTATTCTTTATCATATCTTTTGAAGCCATCTGTCGTTAAGAAGGCGATTGTTCCAATTGCGCTTGGTGTGAGTGGGTTCGCAATTTTCTATCTCATTAGCGACATTCCTAACGCATTCCCCAGAAAGCAGGCTAGAAAATTGAGAAAGCAAGTGTACGACTTGGACTATGCCCATGTTAATGCTGATCGCATTTCAAAGGAATGTCGTCTGGTATTGAATTACCCAGCACGACAAGTCATGAACAATTTCCAAACAAGCATTGACAAGAGAAATATCGAAAAAGAGAATCTTGAGAGGGAAATAAACGATGCTGAGTTAAGCAGAGGATATTTCCTGGACATGTTGAGCAAAATCCAAAGACAGCATGATGCTGTGGAAGCAATCGATCTCGAAGGAGCGAATATTGTCGATTGACTGACTCTTTTGCTTTGAGTGACACTACCCATTTGTACATATTATTGAAGGTGTTATAGTTCTTTGTTTAATGTGTATCGTAATTCATTAATTTGAATTTTTATGTTCAATGTACATCAATGAACTTGTGATAGTGAGAGCGACAACGCATAAGATACCGCTCGCCTCGAAAGCACCCTTGTAACATTCGTTACCGATGGTGCATTTTCCCGTCTCGTCTGCCCGCAGATCAAAGATGAAACCGAAATATTTTTCCAAGGTAAACAAAACAACGAGCGGTCCCGAACAAATTAGACCCCAAGCTGTTGTAAAATTTTTGGTACCAAAAGAATCAGCAATAATGGATGGGTAAGTCCCATTCAAGAGTCCATACCCCGTTCCCATCAAAACGGAGACAACTGTAACGGTGGTCATATTGTTGGTATTGATGAGCAAATATTGACCCAAACCTAATATGCAAATTGTTACAATGATGACCCACAGTCTTTGTGCCTTCAATCGTTTGTGAATAAAGTCAGACAGTAGTCCTGCAACGACGCGCCCAGCGAATGATGAAATAGATATCACGGAGACCTGTATCGCCTGGAATGCTTGAGGAGACCCTTTTAGATCATGTCGGTAAAATTGTGCAGTGATGACAAATCCTACAGTATAGATGTACATTTGACCAATTCCACTGCAGAGGGAAACAATGACATAATGTGTGAGGTAAGCCCTGTTCGTAAGGAATGATCTGATCGCAGCCATTGCTCCTACTTGTTCACTTGAGACTGAAATCTGTGAACTTTGCAGTATCCCACTCTCCATGTTAGTGGCTTTAGGAGTCATAACCGGTTCCCTTAGAGTGACATTGAGTATTCCTGAAGCTTGGGAAGGCGTGGGATTGAGTCCCTGTGCTTGGTCTCTACCAGGTTTAAGTATCGGAGCAGCAACAGCAAATGTAGACAGCAGCTCAGTAGAAGACCGTGAAAGACGTCTGCCGATGCCCCAAAATGATAATGATCCGTGCAAAGAATTGCTCCTTCTCAACAGTTGCCTATCTGGCTCTCCATCTATAATCAGATAACCTTCTTCGTCATATCTAGGGATTTCATCATAGACATGAACAAACCACGCTCCAGCAAAAGCAATAGAGCCACAGAATATTGCCAAAAAGAGAAGGAGTTTCTCCGTGTTGTCTTGGAAGAATTTGGCTGCTATGAAAGAGAATAATGTTGCGGCTAACCCGTACGCTCCCACAGGCAAAGCCCCAGCTGCTCCACGATGATTCGGAAAATTGGATTGTGCGGCCTTTAAGCCTGCAAAGAAACTCTTCACGGAACCATACCCTATGAATGTCATTGCTAGGCACACCAAAAAAAGGCTGTGTATGCGGTATTTGTAAATTCTGTTCAATGCGAAGTAACCACAAAATATTGATAGTGAACCTAGAGCAATAGATTTTTGTGCTCCGTATCGATCAATGAACAATCCCGCAGGTAACCCACCAAGACCACTTCCGATGGTTACAGCCAATGAAATTGTAGCAGCGTCAGAGGTGGACAAGTTTATGTGTTTGACTAGTTGAGGGGAGTACACTCCATATAGATAAGGGGTGCCTGCAACTAAAGAGACGAAAAGAGAACCAATGAGTGCAACAACCCGACCTGTGGCATGATCGAAATTCAGGATCATGGTTTCTTGATAATGGAGAAAAGGGAATGCGAGCAAGATGCGATGTGTCGATCCATCACGTTTTGTGTTATCTTATCAGAGTACCTGCACATCCCATTGTAAACACAGATGCCAAATGAGGGCGCTTCAAATTGTAACCGTAACATGTAGTTGCTGATTTCTATATTGAAAGCAGACAGCACTGCCCATGCTATGCAAGGGAAGAAGACAAAACTATTGAATCTCATCAGAAACCTTTTAAGTAAAAACTTTCAATTGAAAGTCCTAAATCTTCCTATGTAGTATTTCAGAGACTCTCATTAACAAAAAAAAAATTATATTTTCGATCTTCTTACCGTTCTAAAACTCAACCTGTTAGTAATCATATCAATGTTTTCGGAGTACTTCTATTTTTGTTTTCAACATTCGTTGAGTTTTAGGGTGTGTGTAAAGCGGCACTATTTTCTTCCACAATAGGCGAGAAGACGGAAAAGTTCTGAATTGATCATTTTGCTCTGTAAATTAAAAAACATACTATACAACAAAAATATACCCGCCAATAAGTAAAGTACATACATCTTCGAATACATATTGTACTACACCATATTCTGAAATATTGTGTACAATTTTACTCTCATGGCAGGACTGCTCTAGTTTTCTCCTCTATTGTATGCCGGCCAACAAGCTTCCAAAGTGAAAATTACAAGTTAACTGCTTGGAACAAAGTATGGGAAGGCTCAACAACACAGACTTTCTCTCCAAGATTAGCAATGTTTTGGAAGTGAATGACGGAAAATCGTCGGTTTATTTAACACAGAAAAGGTTGGTCCAATCATTGGAACCATCCTCTCCTTCTACTTTGGATGACTTGTCTTCCAATGTTGTGGAACATCCAAGAGAATTCCCTTCGAACCACCAGAGGTATCCCATCCTTATTAGGTTTACTAATGGTGATAAAAAAAATAAATGGTCTACTGTGGTAGAACACGAAAACTTGGATACCTTCTGGACAGAGTACACTCAGATTCTTAAGAGTGGATTTGTGGGCTTAAGAAAGAAAGAGAAGAAAAAAGCTAAAAAGGGCAAGGTTTCAAAAGCCTGATCTACGTACGGAGAGAAAGAAGAAATGAAACCAAAGAAAGAAACACGATAGGTTTGTTTATGTACTATAATTCAATATACTTAAAATCTTGCTATTTCGCTTCCATCATTAAAAGCCCACTAGGGTAAATATAATCTAGTGACTCTATTTTGGTTTTTGGATCCTCATCATTGAGGATCAGCTTGGGGGGCACAGTAGAAGTCAATTTGAAATCAAAATCCATAATGACATCATCAAAAATATTTTGACCTTGATCCACAATCTGAGAACCTGTGCTTGCATCATCAAGCATTCCTCGTTTTTTCAATTCAACGAGGACAAAAATGTCACGAACGGGGGAATCTTTTGGAAATAGAGCTGTCATCCGTGGTCCTTGGGATAATTTAATGGCAATCTTGGCTTTATCTGTTGGATCAGTATTCTGCAATAAGTCTAGAAAATAAGGCTTTCTCCACTCAAGATATTTGCTGAAAAGGAGTTTCTGTTCTTTCTCTAGTTTCTTTTGGCGATCCCTTGCAAGTGCCCTCTGAAAGTCCATATCTTGCTTCCTGCGCATTGATTCTGATATGTACTTTTCCCTAAGGCTCGTACGAATAGCTGCCAAATCCTTTTCGTACTTCATCATCCTTTTGATGAATTTATTAGAAATAATCGACTCTGGACTTTGATCATCTCTCAAACCCCCTTGAATCTTTGAAATGAGTGAAATACGTGGAGCACTCTTAACTGGCCCATCTGGTGTCATAACCGTAGACCTGGCCAAGCAGATGAGCCCCAAAGCTGGGAATTTTGTGATATTCAAGCTGTTGGCTAATTGGTAAGCCTCAGGATTCGCTAAATCACCACCCCAAATGATATTCTGATCAGGACTTGTAGTGAATATGGAGATAAACTTGGGATTAGTTATTATCTTCAGGAACAAGGAAGATGCTTCTTCATTTTCGTTATTCGTCAAGTAAATGAATAGAAACTTGGCACGATGGGTGGCCATATACAAAGCCTGAGTATAGCTGCCTTGGAAAAAGGGAGGCAAATTGAGAGTATTAGAATCGGAATGGTATTGTGCAAACTGTTGCAGAGGCAGAAGATTCTCCTCGAGTTGCTGCACAAACTGTTCCACACGTCGAATTGGATCATTTATGAGAGCATTATTGAATGAAGTGCCATTCCGGCTTGACAGGTGATCCCGAGGCTCGAAAAAATACAACATTCGAAGATATTGCTTGATTAATTTTAAAAGGAGGAGGAAAATTGCGGAAGCTGGTTGTACGAGTAATACTTTGACATAGGTTGATATCGTCTCTCTAGACAGTTGGCTCGCCTCCAAATCGGATGAAGGAAACAGGCCAGGAACATTCAGAGTCTGCTCTGCATTCTGGTTTGTCCGACGGATTATGGAATTAGTCAAGCCACCCCACCAGCTCATGTCAATGAAAGTAGTTCGAGCAAGGTGAAGCTTAAGTGGGATATTCAAATGATAAACCCGTACACCCAAAATAGTTTATGCAACGTTTTAAAACAGCAAAAGTAATGCAATAAATAAGCCTGTGTGGCGTAATGGTTAGCGCATTTGACTTCTAATCAAAAGATTCCGGGTTCGAGTCCCGGCATGGGTTCATTTAGCGGTTTTAGCTCAGTTGGGAGAGCGTCAGACTGAAGATCTGAAGGTCCTGTGTTCGATCCACAGAAATCGCAATTATTTTTTCTACTTCGTTTTATTTGAAGCGGTAAATGAATATGTGTTCGTGTAATTCGTAAGACTGTTTATATGACCGGTGAACTTCACTAATCTCTCAATGAGATACTAATTGATCCATATTCATCCTACAACGTTCAGCGTATCCCAATGGTAAACCAAAAACAGGATTCACTGGAAGCGTGTAACATGCGTCATCAACTTCTTCGCTCTTGAAGGAAAAACCATCTAGCTTTTGCGCCGTGTAGCAATGTTCAGCAATGCTAAGTCCACAGATGGAGTAGTTTGTATGGTAAAAATCCGGGTGCTTCCCAGGTTTATCCTTTAACCCACCTCTTTCATCCTGGCAACAATTATGAATATAACACCGAAGAGCCTGACGGTTGAATAAAGTCTTTTCTTTTGTGATGCACTCGACCAATGCAAATACCGCACCTATCCAGAAACTGTAACAGGAATCAACCAACTTATTTGTGCGCCCAGAAAAGCCTCCTTCCAACTGAAACTGTCTCCCGGACAACCACCGGAGCAAGTTTGGAAGATCTAATAGTTCTGCCCCCCCTGGAAGTAGAAACAAACTGGCCACAGCACAGAATGTGTAACCACCGTGCGCTTCAGCATCCGGTACGCCAGAAAATCCACCTTCAAAAGTTTGGCAAGAAAGTATCCAGTTTAACGTACCAGACAATAGACCTTGCACATTTATACGAAGTAATGACACTGCAACCAAGACACAGTAGGTCGACCTCGTATCTCGTTCGCCATTGGCATGCATGGCAAAAGATCCATCCGAGTGTTTGAGCAGCGCAAACCATTGGCCCAAATTATCTCTAATCCGATGCAACGTCTCATAGTCTTCGATGAGGGTGAGCACTAAAAGTGCAGCATAAGTCAGTGCCACATGCCCTATTTGACCTTTGGATCCGCCAGCAATTCCACCCAAGCCATCTTCAAGGATGAGCGAGTTGATTTTCTTCGATGCTCTTTCCCTAAGCTCAGCACTGATGGGGTTTCCACTCAAAACAACATGCGCATTTAGTAGCCAATACACTATCCATGCTTGGCTTGAGTCTAACATATAGAAAAACTCAGGCAAAGGTTCGGAAAGGGATCTTTCCAAGAAACGCAAATGTGTGTCAACGTTAAGAGGTGTATTGGTAACCTGACCACATTGAAGCAACTCTTCGTAAATTGTCCGAATCGTAGATTCTACTTGCACCTGATCCGATGTCGTTTCACATAAATAGATGTCTTGCGCTACCAGCAGATCCCCTAGCATAGTTGACATGGTTTCCAGAATGTCTGGATGTGTGATGCTTTCGAAGCTGGAATGTGAGCTTCGTTTTTTATGTCCAAATATCAGCATTAAATACGCCGCTTTCTTCAATTCCTTCTCCATGGAGAATAGGTGTCAGGCAGTTTCCGCTTTGGGCCGCGACAAACCTCATCGAAGTACACCGTCCATTATGCACTCTGGCATTGAGGCCCAGTGTTCTTAACACGAGAACTTCGACATGTGAGCCCTGGTTCTACTTGATGCAATTAGGATTACACAACCTTCTTTGGACAGGATATGATGTCATAGTACCTCCATCCTTGAATGGTTCATTTTTTTTTTTTTTTTTTTTTGTAAGCGACTTTCGTTGCGCCGATAGGGTATAATCGCTTAGAGTATATGGGTTGCAAGTAATGCAATGCGTCTAGCACGACACATTTCAGGAAGATGAATTGGCGAAACAAAACTCTACCAAGTTATCTGTTTTAACGCTCTATACTGAGCGCTGTGAAAGTATTTCTGGTTTGCTTTTCATGACTCCGTTTGAACTCTTGCTCCTTATTACTTGCGACGGGGTTTTGCTGATGATGCATCACGTATGATTGTTTTTTGCGAACTATACATCATGCAAATAATTTATCACCAAAATCAACCTCAATGGATGTGACTAAAAGACTAGGGACAGGCAAAATGCGAACTGGTTAAATTTTTTCGTACCTATTTACATCAAACCAACTTCTCAACTACGTAGTTCAATATGCTCTCATAGCAGTAGATAAACTGCTCAAGATTTTGTACCATGGATATTCTTTGCTGTCTTTGGAACTGAATCGATTTGTAAACCAAATCAATATCACCCCATGGATCCAAGGCACCATCCAGATGATTTTCGAAGCAGTCAATCACCATATCCAACGTAATGTAACAACCAGTTCTACCACATCCGGCAGAGCAATGCACTAACAAATCCCAAGCCTGTGGAATTTTCAGCGATGGTGGCTTTTGCTCTGATAAGGATTTGACTTTATCATTCTTGATCTGCATCATATTGAACACGGTATGGAAATTGTCAGGAGTACCAAAGTCAGGCCAGTCTGAATATGCAAAATGATATACCGTTTTCTTGGTGGTTTGGTGCTTGGTCATTTCGATTTCGCGGAAGGTGAAACCATCATATTTCTGCTTATGCCGAATCTCCACCGCAAGATCCCCCTTAGAGAAGTACAGGTCACTGTCATAGTATGTACGCGGAGAAATGAGCAGCGGATTGTTTAAACACACAATTCCTTTGACCCCATTGTACCAAACAGTATTCCAGAAATCCTCATTCGTAGCTTCCAATGGATTTTGCGTGGCGATGTATTTTGTGCGAGAGAGCTTCTCATAATGTATGTAGTTTGCATTAAAATAATCATCAGCGTTCTCCTTTTTAGCTGAACACGGAGAAGAAACCAAGCAAACACGAGAATGCTCATACGGCCAGATATTGTTGTATCTGTTCTTGTCGCCATATTCGATTCCTTTGGGTATAGTGTACGTAATTTCATCGCAATAAGGACATAATGTCAGCGGGGTGCAATATCCCTCCGGAGAGTCATGCACGTGAGACGGAGACTTTTGCATAGTTGAGAGTGATTGCTTATCATAATTGTTGATCGCCATGCTCAAGCGCAACTGCTCTGATTTCTCAAGCTTATTAAATTTTTCGCTCAATTTATTAATGATGCTCTTATTGTAGTCTTCACTTCCGTAGCCATCAGCAAGAAACATGAGCCACTTGGGAAGTTTATGCATTTTTTCCGCAAATTTTGACGGTAGGCGCAACTCGTGATTATAGTTTGTGGACGTATCAAGCCGAGGAAGGTTTTTCTTGATGGACATTAGCATCTTTTGGTTTGAGGCAGTTGCTGAAGGGAGGGAAAAGCCGGAAAGAAATGTTGCATCAGAAGGTAGCAGAAGCAGTTCGGTTCCATTTTGCATCAACTCAGAGTTTGACATTACTGCTGAATTTGGTGTTTGGGGAGATATTGGGGATCTCATAGGTGTAGTTGCCTTTGTGTCAACAAAGCGCGAGTCAACCAGTTGCAAGCCGCCGTTCAAAAATGCAACACTAAAGCAGTCATACTTAAGGAACTTGTTAAGAGTTTGTAACAAAGACGTGGATAATTGGCCTTTTGTGCTTGATGCGTCATATACTAAAATCTTCGTTGGAATAAATTTCAAGAGTCGGTTCTTCGTTTCGGGAGGTAAGGCAGAGGAATTGATGACATGGGCCATGTCATAGCTCGAACGCTTGAGGAGTGTGGAAGGGATGCAAATATTGCGAGCAGTTTTGAGGCGAGAAGCGGAGTATAAATTGAAGGGACGAACATCGATCACAAGAACATCAGAGCTTCCAGAGGTGTAAACCGAAAGATCATCCACATTCGTAGCGTCAACAGTTAAAACATTATCGGGGAGCGTAGTGGGATGTGATTTGCAGCTTGGAGATAAGGCAATGCCCATTCCTATTGGAGACTTCACAGGGTATGTTGGAAAAGCAGACGAAGTGTTAAGCGAAAGTCCGTGTGCCGTAGTAGAGGAGGATGGAGGGGAACGCACGGGGACACCGTCTGCGACTATCGAAGGAATTTGATTCATTTCCTTAGCAGAGATGGCGACAGATGGAAAATGAAGGAGTTAAGATAAGAATTTGCGGAAAGTGAGATATATAAACCTCGCAAGTTTGAGACGCACAAGCCCGCTTGGCTCCCCAGCATGCCTATGCGCGACGCCTAAAACAGAAGGAATTGTCACGACAAAAGTGACAGTGCTTCTGTGCATGGTCGCGATTCAGCTGTTTCTATTTCGGGATGCAAAAAAACAGCAAGCGGAGAGAATAGTCCAGGGGAGGCAGGCTGCTAGGCTTGTCGCATAAAACATAGGATAGCATAGATATGGAAATGAGGGATTGGGGTATAATGGAGGCAAAGTTGCCGCAGGATATATTTAGCCCAGTTCAAGAATAGATATTTTGAGGAAGATCAGTGACGCCATCAATGTGCCGGTCTAGAAGATCTTGCTCCAGGTTCGCGCGAGTCTAGACCATTTCTCATTCTGTTTGTTTCTTCATCCCTATTCTATCCCACAATATAAACCTTCACACATTTAAATTTTGCATCCAGCCATTTTTCGTACCCACTTGATTGCGAACTCTAGCAATGAATCTCAATGCTATAACTGCGGCTCTAAATCTAGCACTAGGTTTCATGTAACGTTTTCCGAACATGGCATACGGATCTACATCCTCCTCAATCAATCTTCCTTCAAGTAATTCTGTCGTCGTCCCATCCGTCATTTTAAGACCATTGATAAGCTCAGTGGTGGAGTCGTCCTCCTGTGCGCGGGCACAGAATGCAGAATCTCCTCTTGTACTTTGTAACTTGGTAATCACATTGTTTTGAAAACGATTGATTTCAAGGCAAGCTTCAAGCTTCAGTTTTAAATCCAAACATTGGTGGCGACTGATAGCAAGTGCTGTTTTGTATTTCTGCTGAAGCTCGCCAAATCGGGCTTGTCGCTGTGCATTCTCTTGCGAAAGTTGCAAGTTAAGTGCCTGTAGATGAGAATTCTCATTTGAGGTAGCAACCAATCGAGCTCTCAAAGAGGCTATATCCTTACTACCGCTTTTTTCTGTTTCCATACTTTTGCTTTCCACATTTAGAACTTGCAGCCGTAAATTAAGTTTCTGCCGCATGATGCTATTTTGGTCAGCGAGCACGTTGTTTTGCATCTGAAGGCGTCGAACCTGTGCTTGGAGGTGTTCGATGTTGGTGTTCTGCTTATGAATTTTGGTCAATAGTAATTCTTTGTCTTTTTTTACATTTCCTGGACTCATAGTTACCTTAGCTTTTGATTTGGGATCTCTAGTCTCTTCAGTATCATCGATATCACTGTCACTTTCCGTATTCTCCTCATCAGAGATCCGTAACAGACCGTCTTCGCGTCCCATTGGCCCACGTTCAATCGATAACCGATCTTCAGACGCGTTTTCGTTGCTCGAAACTTCATGTGATTTAGCCTTTACTGGACTGTAGTGTGTCGTTATTGTTTTGTCCACTTTCTGTTTCAATTCGTTGAAATAGTTTGAGCTACCGTCTCGTATCTTCGTATTGGTCGTGGATTCCATGAGCGCACGGATACTATTCTTGAGAGCATCGTTCAGTAACTTCGCCCGTGAAAGTATTTCATCTTGCATTATTCAACCCCTATCCCTTGTCTTTTTTATGAGTGAAGACCAAAGACTGTTGTAACATACACACGAATGCAAGACGTAAACATACTCGCGGTGTGCGCACATTTTACACCATAATTCAGACTCTTCATTTTCTACCATGGCGAGACGTTCGAGACTTGTAAGAAAACAATCACTTTTCGAAAAGATCAGATATTATCCGTTTGATTTGTTTCTTCAGATTAACGAGTCCCGCTTGTCCATAGACTGGGACGATTATGTTCCTCAAACTATTCCCTTGGGCACTGGCCTCACTGTTCTCTTTGCATTGTTTTGCAAGATCCACAACTACTACATCACCTCAATCGAGAGAAGAGAAAATGCGGTTTTCAACACAAACCAAATTGTTTACCAGCGCGCCGTGAATAGAGCAATCTATGGGCTTGAGTCGGACTCTTATTCTCCTCAGAAGTTCACCACGAAGGCGGCGGGCCGCCATCTTGCGTTCGGATTCCAATTTATTTGCTCGGTAATCTTCTTAATTTCTGCTTTGAATGCTGTTTATGTCATGTACTTCCCTTACAGAGACTATAACTTTGCTCAGTCTGTCAGCGGATCGTCCCAAACCAAGAGGCTCGCATGTATCTAAAAGAAGCATATCAAATGGCCAACGAGGGTGGCATAATTTCGCGATTGCTTGCTTATTTCGAAGAAAACACATATATTGAGTCGGAGTCCGAAGCTGAAGGAGATACAACATATGAAGTCAAAGTGGAGGAGAAAGACGTTTGGGTACTTAGTGTTTGGGACCCGTCTCTGTTTCAGTTACATCTACTTGCAACATTTTCACCCGTGTCACTTATTCTGATTTGGTTGACCTCCGTGTGTGGCCCTATGGAAAATCGTATTGTCACTTATCTTGTTCAATTCCCTTGCCTATTGGCTTACCACGAAATTTTTGCAATTGATTTCGGACAAACAGATCATTTATCAAGAAACATTCAACGAATACAATAAAAAGTATGTGATCCCCAAAACATCCATCTTGAAGAAAAATGCTATTATTGACGCTACTCGTGGTCCAATGGCTGCTTCGAATAGTATTGTTCATGATGACTTGTACGGACATTTGCAGAACGACTACACCTTCTACACGCACGATATCAAAGGGAACCGAATTAAGAGTGTTCGTGCCGATAACCTTGAATCTTCAAGATCTGCATCACCTGCGAGGCATGGTAGAAGATATCCTGAGTATCTTTCTCCTGTCCCTACTAGAATGAACAAAAGATACGATTCAGGCACGAGTTATGATAGAAATTTTATTGATGACACTAACTCAACGCATGCTAGTTTAATCACGCTGTCAACCCCTTTCTTGCGAAGAAGTGGAAACGATTCTTGGAGAAGCGATACATACAATAGAGGTAACCATAGTTTCAGCCGAGCGAATGACACATTTGGCAGAATCCTTGAAACTCCGAGGGGTTATGACGCTTTTGCGCGTCCAGGTTCACGGCCCCAATCACCCGAGAAGTCGCCTTCTAGACAGGGTTATAATAACAGTTTGAGCTACAGCCAGCGTACTCAACTTTCACCTAGTCGATCTCACACCAGTAGACCAGCGTCTCCTCAGAGAAGTCCTTCACCTTCCAAAAGACCGTGGCATTGACTCTTAACATTCTATTTTATACTAATATACACTTGAGCGCTATGCCCTTACAAATCATGAAATCCAAAAAGGTAACTCGAAATCGTACCCCAGACTCCTAGCTTTGCTCTCTTGTTATCCTGTGAATCCTTTGATGACACTCCATTCATAGACGCAGATTTCAAAAACATCTCAGATCCATCTTTGATCTCAAGTCTTTTGATGTATGACCCTTGAATGTCATTCGCATCTCCAAGAACACTCTCGTCAACCTTGGTTGACTCAGGCCTTTTGGTTGTTTTAAGCCCACCACCAACATCTTCGGAAACGCTTAATTTGCGCTTTTGTAGTTTCTCTATAGCATCTTTGGTATAAGGGACAACACCTATTAAAACCCCATTAAAAACAGAACCAGACTCTTGCAAGGCATCGATTGCGGAGGATGGATTGTCGTAAGTAATCTTAACCCATGATTTTCCACTGAAAATGGGAGGAGGAGGAGTTGGGTGATTTGATTCATGATGAGAGATATCAGAGACAGGAAATGCACCTGTTGTTGCTATAGAATCTAAGACATTTGAAGATGCCATCTTAGAACCTTTCGTAGCTTCGAAATCCTCCAATATTGTACCAAACTCAGAGAAGTATGCGATGACTTGGTTGGCCATGCTTTCTGGATAGCCGAAAACGAGAATAGCAGATTCATTATTCTTCAAAGAATTGAGTTTTGTCTTCTTCTCTTCTTCTGTCAATGCGGCTTGTACGTCCTCCTTTCTAGCGAAGGCATTATTGAAATTTCTAGGATCCTTATGGATGAAGGACTCGGTATGCTGTGCCGGCTTTGAGAGGGAGATAAATGCCTCATCATTCAAGTCATAGAGCGACCTTGGAGGAGGAAGATCTTCAGCATTATTATACAAGGGGATATCGTCATTATCCAAGATCGATGCCGAATCCGGTTGGTCACTCAAGAGAAGAGCCAGAGTATCACCTTGACTAACTGAGGAACTCTTAGTTCTATTACCAAAAGTAATCACATTGAAATCTGTGGCATTAAATAAGCCAGACTTGTCCGCTGTAGAGATTGACGACGATGTTTTCGAATCCTTTTTATTGGCGACAGTCGATAGTTGAAATCCCAATTTCTTCTTCGGAACTAAGTGGTTTGGAATAACTCTCTTCGTAGATGATTGGAACCAAGAGGGCTCTTTCGATTCCAGGGCGTGATGTCCCACACCTTCCTGCGTTGAAAACAAATATGACATTGCCAGTAACCTTCACAATCGAGAGTGTGTTGAAGGTAAATATCGAGGTCGTGCGCGCATCTACTAATATGTAGAAGACTTTCAACACCATGTTTTGAAAAGAGAATATGTATAAAGATATTTACCTAAGGTTAAAATCATACAGGGTCGAAGAGAAGAATCTACTGACTATTTTGATATCAGTTTTGCTGTAGACTTGAAGCTGTTTCACTCATAAATCATTATTCTGACAAAAAGAAGAGACTAGACAGCCCAACCTTGCCTCTGTATCTGAATAGTTTACATAGCACTTTACAACTACGTAAGCCGACAATTTTTTTTTTTCAATGTCATTGTATTCTTTCTTCAACAAATTTATCAATGAGTTCTATGGGCCATCGCCTTGGGTGCAGGCGAGGTTGGTTTTCAGTGAGCACTGAGAGATTAGGTAAAACATCTCACGAGGCCGCTCCTTCTATACAATGATCTTGTCGCCCGCCGAACGGTCGTATTTATACGAATCCCTTAACAAGAAGCAACCAATAAGACCGGATGGTCGTAAAAAGTTTCAGTGTCGGCCGTTAGAAGCTACCACTGCGTTTCTACCGTCATCGAACGGCTCTGCGAGAATACGAATGGCAGATGGAAGCGAATGCATTGTCAGTGTCAAGTCCAAAGTTGTTTTATTGGCAAAGGAGTCGAACTTGATAGAGTGCGACATTGATGTAACGGGATTCAGAGATGATTCGAACTTTGTTTCGAACTTGAAGTTCAGCTTGACCAACTTGTTCGTGAAAAACTTCCCAACAAAGAATTTGCATCTTACAACGAAATATGCTTTCAAGCTTTTCATAGACTGCATTGTCGTCAGCCATCTGTGCTACCCGCTTACATTGGCCACTTTCACATCATATTTGGCGCTCAAGACTACGAGGTTGCCTTTACTAGTTTCCGAAGTGGATGATGCCGACATCGAAGAGCAGCCCACTTTTTCAGATGATTGGGATCAAGCCCAATACTTGGCTGAAGTCTTCAATATGGAATATTTCCTGCCGCCTCTATTCATTACTTTGGGAGTAGTCGGTAACAACTTGATTATGGAACCATCGGCAGAGGAGGAGCAAGTACTTGAAAATGGCTTGCTCATCGGCTGGCACAATAACAAAGTCATCACACCTGTGACAAACCAGTACTTGGCTTCGGGGTCGAATAATACAAGCTTCAAAGGTCTTCAATCGTCTGTTCTTGCCAAAGCTTTGCAAATGGTGTCTGAGTACTGTCCCAAAATTGTCAAGGCTTTAGATGACTTGGTAGACCAGAGTCAAGGAGAGGATACTACGATATTTTAGCGATGATAAAATGTACGTCAAAAAATCTCGACTTAAGTAAATGAAAGAAAATCTTTCTATATATTAGTAATGGTTTTGTAACATCATCATGACTTCTGAAATGCTGACTATTCCGCGACGTCATTAGCAATTCTGGGATGCATAGGCATGAACAATCACAGCTGTTGCTGTTTGAATGTTCATTGATCTCACAATTCCAACTTGCTTTATCTCCACGCAGAGGTCTAACTCTGCCAATAACTCTCCGGGAATACCCTCCTTCTCTCTTCCCAACAAAATCAAAGACTTCTTGGGAAACTGTAAATCTTTGTTCAATACCACAGACTTATCAGTTTGTTCAAGTCCAATTAAGGTATATCCATCAGCTTTCTTTTGATGAAGATACTCAACAATCTGATGCGGTTTGACTTCTATCATAGGCATCCAATAATCTGCCGTAACTGCCACGGTCTTGAATTGGGCATTGTTTTTGATTTTGAGATCATGCAATGTCATCAAACCTGCTCCTAGAACATCACAAAGACGACATATTCCACCCAAATTGGGAGCCTTATCAACTAGTGAAGCAACCACAATCAAATCGCTTCGCAGGATCTCTGTGCCTCTATCGGATTCGTCAACATCCATGACCGTGTTCCAAGCTCCACTTTTGGTTTGCAATGGTGACAGAGCAATGACACTAGACTCTTGAAGTGATGCAGATCTAGTTTGTGCAAATTTAAGTTCACCGACCCACAAATGCAGCTTATTCTCACCAATGTGATGGTTTAACTGCTTCTGTTGCGCCGAAGTTAAGTAACAGTGGAATTCTTCACTCGTTATAAACTCAACATCGCGATCATTCAACCGCATCAACAAGCCTCCAGAAATGTTAACCAAATCGTAGTCTTCAATGATGTTCCAAAGGAGAGCATCACCACTTCTATATTGGCCATAGGCTTCTTGGGCAAGAGCAGTTTTGTGCATATTGGCTAAGATTGACAAGATGTTTTTATCAACGTTTAACTGCTTCCTTTGAACCTCTTCATACATAGATATGGCCAATGACATAGAAAAATGTCTAGTAACTGCTTTATTTGTTGATGCGGCAGGGATAACATAAGCTGCCAACTTAGTCAAATACTTTTCTTCATCAACCTGACTCATAGATTTCACCATGAGATATAAAATTCGTTCGTAAACAGTAACCAACGTCGGATTAACCTCATGATTGACAAAGGCAGATGTCAACTTTTCGAAAATAACTTCAGAGTTCTTTGGCCGACGAAGCAAATGTAAAGCTATAGCCCACTCAAAATAAACTCTCACGAGTGGGCTAGGATCATTTTCTATAAAATGAACAAAGTGATGAAAGTAGTTTTCAAATGAATAATCCACATCAACAACATCAATGACTGAAATGACAACTTTTGCTAACTGGCTTCTCGTATACTCTTCCAATCCATCTGTCGCTTTGATGATATTGAAAAAGTGGTAGTTGTCGGACGGATCGAAAACAAAATCAAGTACAGCCTTAGCACATTCTGCAGATTTAATGGAATTCAAGATTGCAAATACTCGTACTTTGGAAGACACTTCATCATCCCCATAGACTTCTTTATAAATTCCTGGTTCCTTTTTTGAGCTGATTTGTTCATCATAGACCTTGCCAATGATACCCTCCAACTTGAAAGCATTACTTTGCAATTGCCGGTGAATAGCTGATTGTACCAATAAACCCGGAAGAAAAGGCAATTCTTCAAACTCGCGAGGATTCGAAATTTGGAAGTTGATCATCTGCTCTGTAAGACGTGTGAACAAACCTCTTCTGCCCTGTGAGTTAAATAGCATAGTTTCACAAAACGCAGCAATTAGATCATTTATAACAGAATCATGGATAGCATACCGCAATAGAACTGGATGACAAAAGACACGAATTAACGCAAAATGTACATCCTTTTCAGTCAATTTGAATTTATCTGCATCCAACTCTGCCACCGATTCTGCTAAACCTATGAGAGAAATTTTTGATTCCTCCACTTCAACGACATTGTTCTCAAACGCCTCTAGCATAATGTGGCAAATAGAATGTAAGGTAGTTGGATGGGTCATTCCGAAATTGAGAACACTCAATAGGCGTGAAAAGTCAGTGCTCAGCATCAGAATTGTGCTAACGAATGCTGCGAGAAGCCGGTGGTACTCTCCAATTGCGTCCTCTTTGATCTTGTAAAAGTTACTAACGGATAAGGCACAACTGGATGAATTGATAAATAGGACACTTCTTAAACGTATCAATTCCGTGAGGTCAATCGAAGTAGGAAGTCCAAATATAGTTACACACTTGCTCAAGAATCTTAGTTTAGATGTCACAAGCACAAGTTCACCATAATCTTCAGACTCAACTTCCTCAGCAACAGATTGATAAAACATTGCCATTTGTTCAGAGGAGATTTTTGAGTCTTTAGCACTAAAATTTGCAATAAATAGGTCATCATACAGCTCTAAAGGAACATCTCCACTCAAAGCTCTATCAAGCAACGATGAAAGTCGGGTTTTGAAAGGAACAGACAACAGCCAGAGGTTTAAACCACTCGCAAGCAATTTTGAGATATAACTGTCAGATTTTTCTAGGATAAAAGGCTCTAACCTCTTGAAATCCGACAACGAGAGATGGTATACAATGTTCAAGATAACAATCTGCTCTGTATCGGGTATTGCATTAGAAAAAAGGGCATCCACGATTTTTTGGACAGTGAAGTCATTACTCACAACAAAATCAGCAACTTGGTCGATGTTCTCACGGAAAATCTTGAAACCATTGAAATTGGTGAACTTTGTAAGAATCGAAGCAAAGTTGGTAAAGTCATCAATTTGAAAATGAAGCAATAGTAACAAGTTGAGCGTCTGAATTGTTTGTCGAAACAAATCTCCTTCTGAGTAATTATCAAATAGTTTCACAATTACTGAATCATGAATGCCAAATTTTAGTACTTTCTTGTTCTTAATACCTCTGATGAGGCCTAGTGTTGCATAAACTCGCACAGCATCAAAGCTTTCCTTACTCCTTTCTAATACACCAAGGATAGCTGAACAAACGTGTTCAAACTCTAGTTCAGTTCTCAAGTTCTTTAATATGTTGGATAAGAAAATGCTGAACTTCTCCCCATATTCGCAAACAACTCCTCTGCTTGTCGGTGTCTTACGACGGGCTGCAAAGTGACGAGAAAGCATCATGTAAGGTAAGTATGTCTTTGTCAAAAATGGTAAGCCATATTGAAGCAAGTACAAATATTGCTCTGGTATGGAAAGCAAAATTTGCATAGAGAACTTTCGGACAGAATCCATGGACGCTTGGAAACCTGTTGCCAAAAGACAGAAACCCCAGGATGGGTGTATCAAAGAATCTGGATGAATTATACCTATAATATCGTTCACAGCCGCTTGAGTTTGATGCAAAGATGTATCAATTCCCAAAATTTCATAAAGAGTTGTGTATCTACTCCATTCTCTGAGTAGTTTATCTTCGAGTTTCATATCCCAAACAATTAAGGGCGTTGTGAATGAAGTACAAATTGATTTGAGAGAGAGCTGGAGAATGGATAAGCAAAACTTCCTAATCTCGTGAGATTTATCAGCCAAACCTGTTTGCAAAACTTCCCAGTAAAACTCCTGCGTGAGGTAATTTGATTGAAAAAAGTCGTTTTTCTTTACCTCGCAATTGACATTACTCAATGTCCTTAGCCATAAAATGTAAGCATTCGAAATGTGAAACTTTGATGTTCCTGAATCAATAAGCTTAAAGATCAATGACCACAAATAATCGCAGAGGTCCTCATCTTTCATGCTTTGAATAACCAACCTTTCTATTCTCCATCTAACCAATTTCGAGCACGATGTTGCAACAGATTCGTCTGTGTGACCCAAGAAGAGACAAAGAAGTTTGTCAAGTTCAATTGGTGCTGAAACTTGTAAATCAGATTTGGAGAACAACAATGATAAAAAGGCGAACAAGTTCAATATCGTTGTTTTGCGAAACTCGCCATCAACAAACTCCTCACCATATACTTCGACCATCAGTTGGAATGATGAAATGTAATCCAATTTGGTTCCCATGGACTTTTTCAATTCTAGAAGGGTACATTGAAGGAAATCTTCGCAAAGCTTATCCAGCAGTCTCAAGAGAAGAATTGCTCTCTCAAAATTCGCATGGTCCCCATTTAATGACACTGATTTTGCATAAGCAAGGATTTTTGGATGAATGGTGCCAAAGGTGCTTACATCCAACTCACTAACGAGCTCCGCTAAAAATGATACATCGTCATGATTTTCATCCAACTTTTCAGCTAACAGCAATACGACCTGCCGCTTTTGCTCTTCAGTGAAGTATTGCCGGATCAATGAGATTGATGTAGACATGATCCAGACTACTTCCTCGCATGTAACTACTTCAAGATGAGGGAGTGCACCAAAGACTTAACTTTTTTCGTTGGCGCAGGTTCAGTATTTTATTATTTTAGATTCGATCGTTGAGCACCTTAAGATACTGACTTGAACTCTTACCAAGACTGCCAAGAATTAGTAATTTTAACAATAATTGTAATTTTTCATTCAAGCAAAATCCTAATTTTCTGAAATAATCCATTATTCGGCATATGGTATTTCAATTGAGTCTGTTGCAGACTGATTCGATACAGACTTTTAACATCATAAGCTTGAAAGAACAAAGCAATCAGCTTTTAGTTTTCGAGCTAGTGTAGACCTCGTAATCTAGCCAATGTGAACAGGTCATAATGATTCGGAATTTACGATACGCGCTCTGATATGCACGGAAAGCACTTCCGTTTTGGGCCGCCCTGATTATGACTAACTATATAAAACCTGGGGTACGGACAAGACTTCCCAAACCACAGAAAACAGTCAAACGTTTTGGATAACATTATGATATTCTTGCTTCTACTTTTCTCGATCGTATTGATCGCAATATCGTCGTTATATTTTGACTTCAGGGGCAACACTAAAATAACTAAATCGCTGTCCATAGCAAACACAAAAGGCAACCCATTGCTGAATATAAAGCCGGTTTCGCCAATGTTTGATTGGAAGAAACAGGCTCCCTTGAAGTCCTATCCATTCAAAGACAAGAAATATAAATTGACGATGGCGATCCGCAACTTGGATGCGCAATCATGGCTACTATTAGAGAGTACATATCTCGATCGAATTGAAGAGAAAACAAAGCTCCTGACCAATAACCACCCCGCATATCCAAAGGAAAAAGATTTAGAAAGAAGTACTGTATTCTCATCTCAGGACTCAGACCCAGCAATACGAGAGTTCTATGACATCGTGATAAAATACATGTGCGACAAGTATCCCATGTATTTTGTAGTCCAGCGTGGAGATACAGTCTATAATAGCATTACCCACGAATATATTCCACGGAATGCAAAGAATGTGCCCATTCGGAAGTTGCTTCATTACTTAATCAGAACCATCGAAGAAGATTTTATTATCATGATGCCTGATAACAATAAACTTCAGGAGGGAAATTGTTCCGAATATTTTTTCAAGGGTGGTGTATTTGCTTTCGCTAATGGGTTTGACCCGGCAAATAAATTCAATAAGCCCTTAACTGCAATCCACGAGCCAGTTCCTGGGTACGAGGAAAAACTTAAAGTTTCAATGAACAAATTCTTCAGCAGAATACAGCCTGGTGAGTTCGTATCACGGTCAAATTTCTCCGTTCAAACCCATCCAAAGTTATATGTGGATGACTCGAATAAGGGCTATCATTTCGAGTCACAACAAACAGAACCATTGGAGTTCGACAATCTTGACTTTACCACCGACATGTATTACCGAAGCGAACGTCAAGTACTTACCCGATTACCAAAAACCAACGCGGTTGTTTTCACAATCAGAACATACTTACACCCGTTCACTCAATTTCACGAAGTAGACGCCGAAGTTCCAAAGAGATTCAAAGGTGCTCTTGATGGTATTCCAGAAGATATTGCATCATATAAAAATCAGAGTTATTGGGGTCCTGCTGCTCGCAGATTTCTTCAAGAATTATAAATCAAGGGATTGTAACTCTTCTTTAATCTCTTCCCATATTTCAATGTTCTTGCGTGCCCAACCAATGAAAATGGAATTGTAGTTCAAAAGTATACTGAAAATAGTCTTGAGCTCTTCATTTTGAAAACTGTGGAATGTTCGATCAAGTTCATCAGTGATGTATGCGAGATCTCCAAGCATCATAGACTGACATTCCTCCAAAAGAGCTAGCTTTGCCTGCAAGCTGCTCATTCTTTGTTTGCGAGTCTGTTCAGGATTTTGGTCCATGATATCTGAAACGTATTTGGTTATCTTTTTGATCGAGCCCATACTCGTGAGCATTTTCAATTTCGACGAATGTTTGTTTTCAGGCTGTGATTCCGTATTTGACTTCATCGCATTCGAAGCCAGTTGTGCTTGGGCGTTTGAGCCCATATCAAGTCTGGCCAACTCAACAAACTCCTTGCGCTTGTCTTTTATTTCCTCGTCCAAGAGTTCCTTCTGCTTTTGTTTCCGATCGTGAAATCTCTTCACAGACAGGTAGATCGCTGAATATTGAACCATTTCACCAAGTGGTTCAGAGAATTTGGTCTCTAGTTCAGCAATAAGTGAATTATTCGTAGAATAAGATCTGTCAAAGGCAACTCCAATTTTATCCAATACAATATCGACTTTGTTGTCATCTTCATCCAGAGACTTACTTGCATTGAGCTTTGTAGAGTCGGCAACAGTCAACGAGAACGAGTTTAATGCTGTCCCAAGTTCCACATAGTCATTAGACATGCCAATAAAATTTTCCACAATCTTCTTATTTATATCATCCAAATTCGAGGTTTTCACCGCAAGCTTGGTTTCTTTTTCACCATTAGATATCCCATTGGCCAGAATATTGTTCGGAGGATCAGACTTCAGCGATTCCAGTGAAGCTGAAACGGATGATGTGGATCCCAAAAGTTTTGTCGTCTTTTTTGCAATTTGTCGTTTACTCAAAAAAGGAATCCCAAGAGCATGGTTAGATGAAGGTAGAGGCAAATTCGAATAAATTGGATCAGTCTTTAAACCATTTTCTGGATTCAGCTGGTAGACGGATTTTGGTAATTGGCTGTTAATGAGAACAATTTCATCAGACCAGTTAGCAGAGGGATCTAAGAACTTTGCGAAGAACTCTAGGCTTCTTATCTGGGGTATTTGTAAACAACGATTCAAGAAGTTTGCAAAAAGACGCTTTCGGTGTTCAATGAGACGATTTTTGTTTAAATGATTCGAGTTGATGTAAGAATATGTTGTTGCTCCTGGTCCATTAGAGCCCAGCTGTTCACTAGAAACATTGTTACCAGTACTGTTGGTGGTAGTATTGTTAGCGCTCATGTTCGATCCCACGAGACCATTGAGAACGTTTAACGTGGAATAATTTTTTGGAGGAATGGGAGGAATAATAATCAATGGGAAAATGCGAGTCAAAACATCTCGAAGGCTTTCAAAATCTGAATAACGTCTTCTCGTTAAGATCTCTTCTTTCGGAAAATCTTGACTAAGTAATTTGATAGTGTAGACGACATACTTTTTCAGAGCGTTGTTCATACCTTCGTTTGATTTTCCAGCTTCGCTTATTTCGATGTGGGATTTATATCTCGGGTTTAAAAATCTTGTCACTCTGCTTTCATAGTTAGGGTGTACTGTGTTATACTGCTCACGTTCAGTTTGGTATAATAGCATGGATTCACTATCCTCGTGATCAGGTTCCTTTGCTAAATTCACTTCAAAGTCGTTAGAAACGACAGCTCTATCAGTTAGATTCAGAGATGGTGCTTCCGAATCGGATTCAGCTGGTTCATTGTTTGCAGCCTCAACATCTCTGTGTTCATTCGAATTTTGGTGGCTCTGTATGAGACTGGCTAGTCCTGAACTGTGGGGAAAAGGATTATTGTCTTCATCGCCAAACACGGATGTATCTTGATTATTATGTTCCGCCATTACCCAATCAGTGATCCACAAACTTCTCTTGAATTGATTTGTGACTTATGATCGAGCTTGAAGGAAGTTTTAGAGACAGGAAGATTTAAGGGTCTTCTGAGAATCGAAATGAAGGCAATTACATGTTTCACACCTGTGCACCAGTTTTTATCGCAAAACTATTACATCGTATTCACCATCATCGTAATAATTACAATATGACAAGATCATGAAACTGTGCATTTCGAACCATCTGCATTATCATCTTTTCGTCTTTCTAAACTGTTGATACTCTCGCCCACATTGTAAGTCTATGACTATATAGGTTCTATGGATGACTGCAAAAAATATAGGAGTTGAAAAAACCTTAGTGATGGTGCTTGCAGGCATTCTCAGAAGAAAATATGTGTAATGAAAATTATTCTGCTCTTTAAATGAATATTAAAGCAACGAAATGAACTCATCTTCTCTTCAGCTACTTCTAGTTTTGATCCATACACGACTTTTCGAAAGTACTAGCGCAGATGTTTATTGATGTTGGTAGCTCACGATCATTAGCGATGAACGACACAACAATAGTTTCAAACCCATTGTTGGTTTCTGAGACTGAGCAATTTTCCAAAATATTGGAGAACTACCAATTAAGTGGTGGGCTGGTCGACCCGTTTGAAGTCGTTCAGAACTTCACTTCTGCGGCCGCTCAAAGAGCTCTCGCAGTAGGCCAATATTTGGGAGACTCTGCTCAGGAACATTCATATTCTCAAGATGATTTTGAAAGATGGGACATGGAAGCGAAATTATGGCATTTGGGTACATATTCTTTATTCCTTCCGGCTTTCGGATCTTCCCCAGTCGGCCAAACCTGGAGAATTTTGCTCAGCATCAACATTGAGAGACTATTACTTAGACCAGCATCCACAAACCAAGGAGTTGCTCTTGATTGCACAGTGGTTACAATACAACTCTCAAGATGTTAGTGTCGAGTCGAAGAAGGTTCAAAATTCCAAATGGGCACATACCAAAATAGCTATAGAGAATGAAGCCCTCAACCAGTTAACATCAAAAAATCAACCGATACATTATGTTGATGAGTTAGATGTCGACGCTCCATTACGTTCTCATAAGCATATTTCTCCAAAAGACAGGGAATCGGATGATGAGTATTTTGGAAAAATTTATCGTTTACTTGTTAGCGGAGACATCCAAGCAGCCATTGATTTTGCGAGCGAAACCGGCAACTATACTATGGCGTTAATATTGATCGGGGCTGCACAAGATTATATTGATCCAGTCATGGACAATGCTCTTGTTGATGCTATGGACGAAGATGCTATTGATGAACCCAGTGGTATTAGACACAAATTTATGTGGTTTCAGACAGTCAACAAATTGGCTCAAGAACAGAATATAGGCCCAAAAGAGCGCCTTATATACACATTTTTGTGCGGAGGTTCACTAACAGAGAATATCAAAGAAGCTGGCTCCAACTGGGAAGAGTGTTTGTTGCTCTATATCAACCAAATCTTTACTCATCATGTTCGTTTATTATTTGAATCTATTTTACCTGAGTCTGAAGAAGAACACCTTCTGTCAGTGGCTTTTCTCACCCCTCAGAACAACAGTATCAATGACGTTTTGAACACCTTACTGAAATCACAAGCAACGGAGAAAGAGAGTCAAAATCCACTTCGTGTTATTATGGGAAGCGTCATGATTAATCAATTAAACTTATTTTTGGCAAATACAGTTGCTGCCAACAAGAGAGAAATTTTTGAAGATGCACAGATACTACGAGTTTTAGCCCATTTGGCTGTCATTAATGTGATGTTGAACATGAATGATAACTCAAAAACAACGACAAAAATTATAACACGGTACATTTCAACATTGTCGAGGTATGACCTTGTTCCTGTTTATTTGGCTTTCATTCCAGATGAGAAAGATTTACGGGAATGTTACTCCATCTTTTTGTCTCAAATCACTGATTCCGCCGAACGTGCACGTCAGCTTGAAATGTGCAAAAAACTTGGTGTCATGTCATCGTCGGAAGTTGAATCGGATGCAAGCTCTGTGACTGAAGACATGGGAGGTGATTATGAAAATAAAATCAATAACGTGTTGAAGCGCACTGTTGAGCGAGTTATGATAGAAACGGAACCTTTCTATAAATCGCCTGAACCACTTACTGAAGTCTCACTAACAGTTCATCCAAAGGATATTACCATGTATACTTCCGTTGGATGGTTCTATGAAAATAAGATGTATGAAGATGCCATTTCGGCTTCTATAACAGTGGTGCGCCGATTCCTTTTGACTGGTCGTTTGGCATCTATCATGGCTTTTGCAGAAGAACGAAGTTTCAAACAATTAATCAAAGATTACGATTTTGAACTTCAGATGAAATCAATCAGCGAAAACAACACACTGTCGCGTATTACGGATGCGGACAAGGACGAGTTGCTACAATACATACCATTGGTGGAGTGTTTGAATCTCATGCAACAATGGCGAAGTTTTACAGGAGGATGGACTACCGTCCCGGAAAAAGTATGGAAATCAGCAGATGTGAGCAAGTCAATAGAAAAAACGTTGACATCGGTTCGCCAGTTTATCTCTAATTGGTTCAAACAACAAATTGCTAGCTGCGATGATCCTGAACGTGTTGAAATGTTCAAGCAATTTAGATATACCTATGTTCCATACTTTGTTATCGAGCTATTGCAAGTGTTGAAGGAGGCGAGATTTAATGACTGGCATTACATAAAGTCTGCATTTTCGATTGTCAATGAAGTTGCCAATGACAAGAATAATGATTTTTTAAACTGCTTCATAGCCTGTGGAAAGTTAGAAGAGTTTGTTACTTTAGCTGGGAAACTCGCCGCTGTCGCTAGCGAAAGAGGCATAAAGGGTATATTTTCTTAACTTGAGATCCAAATATGCTGTTACTTTACATTCTATTCAGAAATATATCGATACCACATGCTAATTCAAAGACGCAGCCTTTTCATACAACAAATCAACCACATTGGATAAGTTTTTGAACAATTCTAACGAAGCTTCGTAAGAAGAATCAGTTCTAGGTTCATCATAGATGATTAACCAACCGTTACCTTGATCCAAAACACCGTAGAATACCTTATCTAGGATCATTTGCGACAATTTACCTTCAACTTGCTGCAAGTTCAAGCCGATAATTTTCGAGATATGGGACAACTCCACAACACTATAAGACTCGATGATTTTTAATAAATTCTGCTCCAACAAGTTATCATACAACGCGTTAAAGTGGTTCTTGATAATAGGGTCAGACTTTAGTTCATCAGCATAAGAAATCAAAGCATCTTCAAACTCTTTTAAAGAACGATGAGAGTACGCAGTTGCAATAGCTTTCATTGCATCAATGTCCCTTGATTGATACTTGGTAACATTCTTATTGTTTAAAATCACGTTGACATCATCAATCAAGTTCAACATGATCTTAGATAACAAAACATACTTTAAAACAGTGATTGCACGTGTGTCTCCTTGCGCATTGAAACCTTCAAATGATTCGTAGAAGTAAGAAAATGAAGTCTTGTAATCCCTGTCCTCAGCGTTCAAAATTCCACTTTGGCAGTCAAGTTCAGCTTGCAATATTGTTGGGCAGTAGATGGAATTTGCTGAAGTTCTTGCACTTGTCAATGCAGCTCTAGATTTTGGAATGTTGCGCAAAGCATGGTATATTTGAGATTCCACCAACTGTACTTCAACAAGAGACGACTTGTCGTCCAATTTCTTGTACTCTCTTAATAGATCTGTGATAATTTTCAACCCTTCTTGGTATGCCCCAGTTTCGTACAACTTGGAAGATAATCTCAATTGCAACTGTTGCCTCAAAAATGATAACTTGTTATCAATAGCCCAGGTAATCGATTCCCTGATGGCTTTGATTTGCAAGTCAACGATACCGGGGATTGCATCGAAGTCCTCGACCAATGTTTTAACAATCTTAGCAGTCTTGGATTTAGCAAACACTCCAAGGACGGACCGGGAGTTCGCCAATAATTGACACAATTTTTCACCTGACTTCTGTTCTTGATAAAGCTTGCCCAATTCGATTATGGCAGTTTCCTGGTCCTGCAAGAACTTAGCTTTAATTTTTTGATCGTCTTCTGGAAACTTGGCATTGATAATAGAGTAATATTCGGATTCGGCGTCCACATATTTCTTTTGAGACCCAGCAACTCTGGCTTTCTCCAAGACTTCCGTAAATTGGGACATGCCTATGATCGCTGTTATAACATTTGCCTTCAGAAGCTCGACATGAAGTACCTGAGTATTGGTCAGTACACGACTACAAATTCAAACACCTTTTGTTGACTTGGACGGTAATTTTGTTCAAGTAACATCGCCGGCAGTGATGATGAGAGGAAAGGTAATTACTGATGCCACTAATGCCACTAAAACATATCTTTAACCTCTCGTTAGACGTACGACATATATATCCACATACATCATAGTGCAACAATGGTTGAATATGTAGTCTGTGTTTATAAATTGAAATTGGAAACTTACAGAACTTATGTTGCGTTCATTATTCTTTATGTTTTCCATGTCGTTAATTATATCAATGCTAATGTAAGGGTGTCATCCGGTTCACTTTTACTACGTTTCGCGCAGTTTGAATATTTTCAAGTAAACGATGTTAAGATTGATTTTGCGTCAGGGAACGGCAAAGCCAATTCTGGGGTTCTGTCGGAAGAAGCTATTGGTGCCAACTTTCCTCGCCTTCAACTGTAACCGCCAATATTCGAAAACTCCATTTCCTTTGGATTACGAGAAGGTCCAAAAGGAACGAGAATTGGAGAAGTTACCAAAGTACAAGAGATGGGCTATTTACTTTCAAACCAATGAGTTCAAAAGGAGAATGACCAAGTACTATCTTGGTATGTTTACAGTGATGGTTGTTGCATTCTACTACTATATGAGAGATCGTTACTATGAGGACAAGCAAATGAAACACATCAAGGCCAAATACAGTGAGGATCCATCAAGTCTTAGCGAATACGAATACATGAAAATGAAGGCTCTCAGTGGTGAGAAATTGAAACCAAAAGAGGAGAAGAAGTTTCGCCTCTATCAGATGATGAGAAAGGAGTTTCGTCGTAAGCATATTCTTGAGTATGATACTATGTTCGAACCTACTCCAGCTGACTTAGAAGAATGGTACAGTAAACAAGCCCGCAAACCTGTGAAGATCTCTGTTGACAAGGAGGAAGAGAATAATGAATCTGTTTCTGACGTTGTTATTTCTAACTCTACTAACCCTAACATCCAGCCTCCTCAAGACACTACTAAGTTCTATGATGATATGGCAGAGAAATATGATAGTCAAATCAAGTGGGAAGAAGCAGGAATGTTTATGGGACGCCGCAGAAAGTGGTTGATGAGTCAGGCTGAAGGAAATGTTTTGGAAGTTGCTTGCGGAACCGGTAGAAATATACCGTATTTTATTCCCGACCAGATAGAGTCCATTACATTCTTAGACTCCTCAGAAAAGATGGTGGAGGAAACTCAGAAGAATTTCCGCAAAAGATTCCCTAAATTCAAAAACGCTGCTTTCGCTGTGGGTAAGGCTGAATCATTGGTTGATATCTCTTCTGAAAATTTCAAGTACGATACTGTCATTGAAGCTTTTGGATTGTGCGCCCACGAGGATCCAGTTGCAGCCTTGAAGAACATGGCAAAGTTATTGAGACCCGGAGGAAGAATTGTTTTGTTGGAGCATGGCCGTTCTACGTGGGATTTCGTTAATAAACATTTGGATTTCCGCTCGGAGAAAAGAATGAAGACGTGGGCATGTCGTTGGAACTTGGATATCGGTGAACTTATTGATGACGCTGGATTAGATATTACTTACGAGAAGCGTGTTCACCTTGGATCAACGTGGATGTTAGTGTGCAAGCGTCCAGAAGACCCTATTCGTCTAGATGAAAAGCCGTTTATCAAGAAATTATTTGGTTCAGACGTTACTCAAATTAAGAAAGAGTAAAGAAAGCGTCGAGCATGCTGGAAATTTATTCCTTGCTAGGACTACGGACATTGGAAGCGCTCCATTTCCATTTATTGTATATAGAGTAATCCAGTTACAAGTACATTCCCTGTTCCAGTTCTCTTGGAAACCCACGTATTTTGAGCTCTGACTCTAAAGTTGTAAGCCGTTTTTGCTGATTTTCAATTACCACTTTGTTTTCTTCAATAGTCTCTTCGAATAGTTTCAAGTCGCCCGCATCCGTTGTACTTTCTATTTCCTTCGAAAGTTCATCATTTGTTTCTTGTAGTTTTTTAAGTGATAACTGTAGTTGGCTTAGCACTGAAAGTAACTGTTCGTCGGAGAGATCTTTTAATGCATTTTTGAAATCACATAATGTGATGGGCAGAGATGACATTGTGGAGTAGAGTACTTCTGAGATTGAGTCTTCATTAATGCGCGCAAAGAAGCGTGAATTTTCAGTAATAGTCAAATGTTTCTTCAAGCACGTACAATTTTCCGATTATGGCGGGTTTCGACGAATCAAACCTTTATGTTCCGCAGACTCAACTCGACAAACAGAATTACTGTGGATCTGCTATGTGAGCCTTTACATCCGCTTCTTCAGACCCGAGTGGAAACGATGACTAAAGAGTTTCTGGTCTTGGAAAAGCAAATGAGTCTGAACGAATTTGACCAAGATACCGTGGTTAAGTTTTCCAGCATTTCTTCTGTTTTGGATAAGTACCATACCTACCAACAGGACATGGAAAACTTGAGTTCGTTACTTGAAATTATCAATGAGGACTTGGATGCAGAGCTTGTGGAAGAAGCAAATGAAGAACTCAAGGAAGTAGTTCCAAGAGTTGTGAAAGCAAGTCTGTCCCTTAAAAAGCGGCTATTGCCACCAATAGTCCACAGTAACAAGCCGGCTATTTTGGAACTTCGACCTGGTGTCGGAGGTTCCGAAGCTGCCTTGTTTACCCAGGACTTACTTAACATGTACATTAACTTTGCAAATTACATGAGTTGGCCTTACAAGATTCTCAGTGAGAGCCATAGCAGCAACGGTTTTCTCAATGAAGCCATCATCAGCATTGACGCACCGGGTGCTTATAACGTATTACGCCATGAAAGTGGTGTTCATCGTGTTCAAAGAATTCCAGCGACGGAAAGCAAAGGTAGAATTCATACTTCTACCGCTGCGGTTGTTGTATTGCCAAAGATGTCTGATGGTACTGAGCAATCTTTGAAAGAAGATGAAAGACTGTTTGCTCCAGGAGAAATTAGAATCGATACCATGCGGTCAGGTGGTAAGGGTGGACAACATGTGAATACAACAGATTCAGCTGTTCGAATTGTTCATATCCCTACTGGAATCATGGTGGTACAACAAGATGAGCGCTCTCAGCCAAAAAATAAAGCAAAGGCATTTTCCATCTTACGTTCCCGCTTGGCGCAAATGGAACGTGAAAAGGAGATAGCAGAGCAAAAAAAGCTTCGTTCAGATCAAGTCACCACTACGGACCGTTCCGATAAGATTCGCACATACAATTACCCCCAGAATCGAGTCACAGATCACAGATGTAACTATTCGGTGCATGACTTACCTGGATTCATGGCAGGACCTAAACTAGAAGAAATGATTGAAAAGATGGACGAACATGAATTTGAGGAACGTTTGCAAATGCTCATTGCTGAGTCCAAAGTTTAAAAACATGTATATAGAGGTAAACACCAATTCGAAGAGATTATTGGAATATAAGGTAACCAGTACGAAATCGCTGTAAAATATGAGCTTTTGCGTCATGTATAAGTAAAACACCTATGCTTAAGAGTGCGATGAACCTGTACCGAGACGTGAAGTCAGCTATCATCCACATTCAAGATCGCCATGCAAACCAAACGACGTCAAGATACAGAAGATAAATCACGAAAAAGGTCTCGCTCAGAGCTTCTGCAGACACTTTATGTTAATAACTTGAACGATAAAATAAATCGCACTTTACTAAAGCACAACATATACATTCTATTCTCGACCTATGGTGAAGTCTGGGATATCAACATGAAATTGCGCGGGCAAGCCCATGTCATCATGGATAGCAAAGAAACTGCTTCAGTCTGTTTGAAGGCTTTACTGGGTATACCCATGTTTGGGAAACATCTTCGTATTGACTTCTCCAAGAACAAGTCAAAACTGGTTGAACAAGCAGAAAAGTTGTTGGCAGAAGAGTGAGCGACTGTCACACAACTAGCATCATGGCATATTCATGTCAAAAGCTTTGCTTATCAGCACATATATATGTATATTAGATGTATTATATCACGACGTTAATCTAATCTAAGAAGCATAGCATCATCTAAACTGTTCATCACACAGTCAGGCACCCCCAATTTGCCGAGACTTGTGCCTCCGATGCTAACTTTTCCACCAGATACTCGTTGAACATATTTCAACATTGTGTTAACACTGTCTAAAAATCCCACGTTATATTGTGGGATGCAGTTTTCGTGGAGATTATAAGAAATTAGAATATCGTTGTCACCAAGTGCAATGTCCTTAGAGTGAAGATCAGCCTCATTTCTCACAACGACGTTGTGCTTTTCGAGATCTACTTCTAAAATGTCACAAAGTATCTCTTTTACAATCTTCACATTAATTCCACTCGAAGGGATTCTTCCGGAATTATAGTAATGTCCTCCCATCATCAACGTAATCTTATGGTAAGGTAAGTTCTCTATACTTTTCCCTCCAAAAAACTTTTGGGCATCCCTTTCTGTATCAGAGTCGTATATCACGCCCAAGAGCGCTTGGTGATTGGTATTTCGTTTTGGGACGAGAAACCCGAAGCCCTCATGCTTTGGTGGTACTAGCCTGACAGTTTTGCTGTATACATTGGCTAGGAATATTGTTGTATACTCGAACAGCTCGATTGCTGTCTTTGCATCTGCATCGGTGACGTCGGTGATTTTTCCAAAACCCTTTGCATCGGCCGTATACCGCACATAATCAAAAACGGTTCTAGAGCCTTGAACATCAATTTCACAGCTGTCGATCTTCAACTTATCTATCTGAGTGTTGTAGAAAATATCAACATTCTTCTGTTGTATCAAGTAGTTTGCTAATGCTAAAGGCAAAACCTGCAAACCACTGTGGAGTCTCAAAATAGGGTATTGTTTTAGAGATTTCGACAAGTTAGAGAGGTCAGCTCCGGGAGAAATGTCCCTCTCATACTCCAAAAGTGCTTCATTTATTCCCTCTTTTTCTTTTTTATTTTTCCCAGTCATCTTCAGCCAGATTGCCTTTATTATAGACCCATATTCTCGTTCGTACTCCAATAACGATGGTAGTGTTGCTTTGGCACTCAATCTTGAAACATCTCCGCTATAAATGCCATGCATTATTGCGCTGAGAACATTATCGGCTAGAGCTGGAGAGCCAAAGCGTCTTTCGATGAACGACCGGACAGATTCATCTTTATCAGAGGTTGTCTTCTTGCGGAACGGTTCACCTAAAATACCGCGAGCTAAACCCAGAGGAATACCACTTGAAATGAATTTCACGAACAGAGGAAAGGAGTTTGGTACTTGAACAAGCTTGTTCGTAGGATCAAGAAGCCATTTCCGGTTGGCTAAGGAAGAAGATTTCATAACTTCGACTTCGTTTTGCAAACCCAATTGTTTCATCATATCAACTATGAGCAAGGTACCATCACTGACCCCTCGAAGTGTCCTGGGTCCCTTCTCAAGTAACACTTTGTGGCCGTTGTCATAAAGAGCTTCAGTCTTGATCCATCCTCCGGGTTGTGCTCCAGATTCAAAGATGGATATGTGCAAGTCAGGCCGTAATTTCAGAAGAAAGTAGCTGTATGATAATCCGGAAATGCCGGCACCAATTACCGCTACTTTGCCATTTTTCGGTACAAGTGACATACTTTTTCCATTGGATTACCTATACGACTCTGATGATACGATAACATATGGTGCACGGATTTTGTGGGGTGATGTACTCTCGTCCTATTACACAGGGATGAGTCGTGAATTAAGCTAAACATGATACATGTCCACTGGGCGCGTATCCCGGTTGAGTGTGTCTGTCAGAGCCTTTGCAAGATCGTGATCTGTGCACTGTGCGGTTGAAATAGCTACGCTGTCCACACTCTCATTTGTAAGTAATGGTATCCTCTGGCCAAAATTAGTATCGTGTGTTATTATGCTCTCAGCCTCGTTCGCAGACGAGTTGCCTGAGTGCTCACAAGCATCGTCCGTAGACATATCACCGGCTCCGCTCTCCCGGTCTGCGATCATTCCCAGATCCTGCCCGCCACTGTCGTTCGTTTCTGTGTCCAAATCAGGCTTTACGTGCATGTGAATACTGGAGTAAGTCAGTACAGTATCATCTCCCAGTCCCAGATTGATTGATGGTGGGCCATAAATGTTGGGTGTATACAGCCCATCAGGATTGCTTGACAGGGACGTTTTGCTATTAGTTGAACGTGAATCTTCGGAAAGGGGGTCGGATCTCGTAGTGGGAACAGGTGCAAATGAACTCTGTAATGAAGCCTTGATCAGACTCTTCCGAATGTTTGTATTAGCATTCGGTGTATCAATTACTAAATCGTCAATACTCAACGACGATCCAATATCTGATGGGTTGATAGGCGTGGGTAATGAATCGTAGGCGGGTGCAGGATCTAATGGCAAAAGGGAATTCACTCTACTGAGAGCGTTATCTCCAAGCGAAACAGACCTCATCATAGGAGAAGCAGGCGTTGAAGTTGCTTCTTCGAAGGAAGGTAATTGCTCAAAGTTGTCATCTCCCAATTGTCGTATGCTCACACCATTCCTATTAAATGAAGGCATTCGGAAGTTAACTTCTCTGGATGTTGGAGGCGAAAAACCAGCCTCAATATCATCATACTTAGGCAATTGGGTAGAATCCTCGCTGCACCTCGCACTAAGAAGAATAAGTGGAGTATCAATAACAACCTCGTAGTGATGCATCCTATTATTATCATTCTGATCCGGTTTGGATATACGGAAACACACTTGGAGCCGGTGCGTGACCTGAATATGACGAAAATTCGAGTCTGGAGCAAGGGCCCTCGATGCGCTTGTATAACCTAAAGCGTAGCTATCATTTCTTTGGCTGCCCTCCGGTACCATTTCTGTTGATTGAAGCGTTAAAACGTCCTCGTCGAGATCTCCTGAAATTCCATTCATGTGACTGATTTGAGTTTCTAAAGAGCCAATTATAGGTGATGATGGGCACATGGTACTCAGTACGGAGCCTGCCCTTGATCGACTGAAAGAATTCCTTTGAGATGAAAATGACTTTCTGCCTTCGAGGTCCGTTGGCTCCTCATAAGAAGGTGATTTAAATTCCTTATCGCCCTTTGTAGTCAAGAATGGCAATGCGACGTTGATGTCAAGCGGAGATGCGATCATAACCAGATCTGCAGATTCTCTTTTGGACAACGGATCATGGTCCCCATCATCTTCTGCTTCGTAGCATGAGTAAAGAAGATTGTTTTCCGGACATTTAATAACCACCTCTTTGAAAGGTTCAACTTGATGGTTACTAAGATTTTTTTGTTTGGTTTTCAACTCACATAGTGGTACAACACGTTCTTTGTTTTTCCTATTATTTCTGCAATTGAATGGATCTTCACTATCGTAATCATATTCTTTGGACATATCTCTAGACACGTAGGTGATCCGCTCCAAAATATTAAATTTTATCCTTTTGATTATAACATCCTTCACTAATGGAATAAGTTTGAGATTCACTGTGTGTTCTGATCCTAATGCAATATATTTCCTTGGAAATGTTATGACATAGTGCAATGCATCATTCCATGTCCTGTTGACATATATTGGTTTATCCGCAGTTGAATTTGCCAACGATGGAGGCGTCCGTACCATGGGTAAGTTGTATGATGCGATAACATTACTGCGGCGAATAAGTTTATCGGAGACTCTTGATACACTGATGTTAAGAATGTGCGCTAGCATGCCGTTGATGGAGGTGACCGACGCCGGTATATGTGAAGGAAAAAGAACAGGCAAAAGAAACACATAGAGGCCTGCCTTGTGTGTTTCAAAGGAGGAACTGGATGAAGAGTCGTGTGAAGGTTCACTGAAAGATAGTAAGCTCCTTTTTTTCGTATTAATAGGGTCAGTACCTTCCGCGAGCTCGTGAACATTGGCAAGTTTATACTTCCGAGTGCGTCGTTTCAAGTCGTTTGGAGATACATGAGAGAAGCGAGTATCATTAGAGTTAGAGGTGTTGATGTAGTAATCAGCATCCTGTAACGATAGATTCCACTCAAGAGCTCCGATCTTGAACTTTTCCTTCACATTGAAGCGGTTGTGGCCCTCTCCAGTTGGCCATAAAAGCAGAACGTCTGACAGTAAATCCACCTTCACATTCTTTACACAGATATCCTTCATTAGTTCGACAATAATACCAAATACGTGAGGCACAGGGGTATGCGCATCGATTTTAGTGCATAAGTAGTTTGGTGAGTTGAAAGGACGCAAATTTGTGTGATCCAAAACCAGCAGAGACTCGTTTGCTGGTGCATCTGAATCCGTTTCATCAGTTCCGTTCAACGACTCTGGAATGTTATCCCCAGTGAAAGAAATATCGGTATCTTCTTCGATATCATTTCCACCATTTTCAGCATCTTCGTACGTAAAGGAAGCGGAAGAAGCGGGAGCCAAGTACAAACAGTCGTTGGAGTTGGAAACATGAATTTTAATCAGCTTTGATGTCGGTCCGGTAGATCCCAAACCACTTGTGGATTTCAAGGCTATCGGCTGTTGGAGACCCAAGTCGTGCAAAATAGTTAGAAGCTTTTTCAGAACCACTCCAGCAGTTTCCTGTCGAATAAGCTCCTTCGCTTGCTTTTTTGATACACTGCGTGAGCGTGATCTTGTGCTGGTATTGCTCATGGAGAGAGACGAAGCCCGAAGCCGATTATAGGCCGAATCAGGTTCCGAGACTATGATACTGGGATTGGATAACGAGTTCCGGTGTTCTGATGATGGTGCAAAGTCAAAAACGGACAGATCGGACATTCGGCGCCCAACCTTATGTTTTAATCTTTCCAAGGAAAAGCCTGTCATGGTGCACGTCAGATGAAGAGTGGTGCGAGAAGGGCAACTGCTGCAACTGATAGGCGGAGTTTAGATTGTCGGTGGTGGTGGAGTGCGATTATGTGGATGCAGGGATCTAATGCCAAGTGATAAAACACTACGGCGAAAACAAGAGGAGAAAAGGATATTGCAATTAAACTGGGCCTGTGAAAGGAAAAGAGCTACTTGAGAAGAGTTCGATTTTTTAAAGAGCGGGGAATAATTGCATTTTGTCGCAACCTACTTAAATCCCATGTCATGGCAAATAACTTATCGTCCACTCTTATCTTGGCGGACATCATTTCTATTGGTTAGAATTACTGGGATATGTTGCTTCTGTATACCTCTGTAAGAAGTTTTCTCTATTTCTATAGGAGAATAACTGTTGTCAGCTTATACAACTGAGCGCGTTCAGTAGAAACGAAAAAAACTGTGTATACATGGATGTTAATCAAGACTGACCAGTGAATTCGCAGTGAAACTAGAAAATGTCAGTGTTCTATCCTTTTCTTGTCTTTTTCTTTTTTTTTTTTTTTTTTTTTTTCCTTTTCATACGCTTGATCAGTAAATTCGACGTCCAGCAGTACCCAAAGTTAAAGGGTGAATATATTCCATTCTACAAGATGGGATATCACATACACACCAGCCTTACTTTTGTCCATAAGATTCCTGTGCTATATATGCCATAATCTGCCAAGAATGTTTTAGGGCCACCAAATATTCAAAGGCGATGGGTAACAAATAATACCAGTAGCGCCTGTCTGGGAAAGATCTGTAGAGCTCTCCAACAGTGTAATTAACACGATGAATAAATACTTTCATCATATCAAGTTCAGATCAGTTTAATGGTTCGCATCATGAATCCTAGCCAGATGTTGGAAATTGATACTCAGAGCAGGCGGTAAAAGTTTTAAAGATAATGGCCAGCGCATCACCCGCAATTTCTTTAATGGAGGAGAGTTTGTTAATGGTAATAGTACATGTCCTGTGGGTCTACTTTTGCTCAGCAAAATTTGTATCCACGTATTCTCCTTCATGCAATAACACAGTCAAAAGCGATGGTAACACTTCCACTTGCATGGGCTCCACAGGGAAACTTTCACCATCCACAGAAATATAATTCTTATTGGGGTCCACAAGCGGAATTAAGCGGTATGCAGCAATCTTGGCATGGTGAACCTCTGGGGCATGCACGTGAGCACCCGAGTCTACAGCCATGAGCAAACGGGCCATTTTCAAGAACAGCGAGTCAGTTGTGGTAATGACCAAGTCCATTAGTCCATCACGGGGTAAAGCTGCAGGGAAGAATTGTGCATCGCTCAGCATGTAAGGCATTTTTCCCACGTAAAATATGCTCAAGTTTGCAGCGGGGACTTTTTCCCAATCTTCAGGTACGGGATCTGAGAGAGGAGGGGCTTGCGGTTCGGGCACAGAGTCACCATTCCTGCTCGAATCCACGGCATACTGTTCCGCTTCGCTGCTTTCCTCTTCTCCATTGGATTTGCGAACCCGTTCAAAATGGCGCGCCACTTCTGAGCCACGGGCAGCGTACTTGACATACAATTCACACGGGTACTTTTTCTTACTGATCAAGCGCTGAGCCACACCAAGTTCGAAGCGAACAGGCCCCATCCACCGCAAGTGCTCGGTTCCGATGTCCAGATCGGCTATCACACCATATGCCTGAGACAAAAATGACAAGCGTGTGCGTGTGCCTTGGGTCACAGACATGACATCAATTTTGCTCCGACGCGCCTTGAGCATACTGAGGGCTGCCTTCGTCGCATCGTTACTGCCGTGTGTGCTCAACAGAAGCGCATTGCCCGATCCGCACGGAAGCTGCGTCACGGCCACCTTGTCAAAGGCAGTGGCACGGTCCTCGCGCTCCCAAAAACCGTTTATGATTTCGTGAGGCACGCCGTCACCCAGGCAGCATACAACCATGTCATAGCGCGCAATGTCTAGCTCGCGCCCAATGTCCACTGCGTGGCGCGCATACTGCGTCTCCATGTATGTGACGGTGGCTCGTGCTGCACGCAATACAGGTAAAATGTGTTGCCGATACCGCTCCCCAGCACGGCCCTGGCCCCCAAAGTTATTCACAACCACAAGGATATTAGGCGCTGGCTTACTATGTGGATATGCGAGTGCCATCACGTCCATTCCTTCAGGGACTATCACGTCGGTGGATTCAATCTGGATTTTGTGTCCACGTCTAGCTGCATACGTGATATGCCGTGTAGCTCCGTCACCTGTGCTCCACAAGATATCGCGAAAGGGTATATGTGTGGTAGAGTCATGAAGAAAACTGAGACATCCGCTTGTCGGGTTGCGAATATGAAATCCTCGTTCGTTTGCCACTGCAGCCGATGGTAAGAGCTGTTCTGTCGACATTTGGTCACGAGACATAATGTCGATATTAAGAGGTACTAGAAAGTGTACGACAAGGTGCCTCAGAGATAGAAAAACAGATTGTTGGTGCGAACGGAATAATACTTTTTGAAAATGATGATGGATGTACGCGTGGTCTGAGGTGCAGGTTCCACGCGACAGCCACGAGATAGACCTTATCGTGTTTATGCATTGCGCCGGCTCGCCTATCGATGTCACTACAATAATACCTTAAAAAGTAGCACATGGCACATATGCCACTGAAATGGCCCTTCAATTTTGTTATTGTCTATCCTCATAACTTTTCTGCTTCTTTTCAGTTTTCTTTTTTTTTTTTTTGAGGTGCATGAAGTTATTTATACTTACCTTTCAAACTAGCAATAAGCATGCATAATTAGTTTGAAAGCTTTTGTTTTCTGAACCTTGTTGAGGCTGGTTTGGAAAGTGTAAACAACCAAGAATCATCAAAATTCTTCTTAATACCATCAGTTTTGAATAATAAAACATATAAAAAGCGTACTTCAATTGTTGGTTGTCCGTCCAATTCCTCTTCAAGTACGTTTTGGAGGTGCAGGTCGTCAGGGTAGAAGCGCTACACTGCAGCTAACTCAGTAAAGTTATCTCGGCATGATCCTGCATTCTCACCAGATCCAAACTTCCCCATAGTAAGGAAGCAAAGAAATTGATAGCGCTTTCTATTGTGTTCCCAAACCTAATAGCAGGAAAGTGCCTTATGTTTTGAAGCATATAAAATTTGGTATAATCGATCAGCACGAGTTTGTTCGAACTTGACATCTATCGAACTTGGAATGAAACTCCCAATCTACTCTAACGAACTATTGCTGTATGTATTTATCTACTCGTCAACTTCATCCTGTAAGTCCTCACCACTCAAAGTGAATGGCTCGGGCATAGGCGCTTCAGTGATATTTAACTGCCGAACAGTCTTGATAATTTCCACACTTTCACCTGGTTTCGTATCCTCAAGGACAATGATTCCACCAGCCCCGCGTACTTTACGAACTGGTGAAAATCTGTCGTTCTTAATAAACGATACGTAGTTTGCTTCCGCAGGCACAACTCGTGATAAGTTGTTGATTTTAAATGGTGTCTTCATGTAGCGAATTGCAACAGGTTCGTAAGAATCGTTCTCTTCACTTTCAGAGGACTCACTCTTTGATTCACTCTTGGGTGCATTCTTAGATTCTTGGACACTCTCTTTCAGCAGGTCTTTCTTCATTGCTTCGTTCTTCTTGTTTTCCTTGGGCTCCTCATCAACATCCATCGCATCGCCTCCCTTTTCTTCCTTTTGTGCCAAGTTCTTCTTTGCTCTAGCCTTAGCCTTGGCGGTAGTAGAAAGGACAGCCTTCGTCAACTTATCTGGTTGTTTTTCCTTGGTTTCTTCCACCTCTGGAGGGTATTGGAAATACTCAGGTTTGCTGTGCACATTCAACTCGAATTGCGGCACTTTCAAGTCTTCCTTAACACCAATAATTGCCGTTGGTGCAAATGAAAGAGACAAAAAGTGGGCAAATGGGTACCAGAACCAAGATTGAACAAACACCGCGAGACCAACAATAGCCTTGACGTTCAACGTGTTTGTGTTGTTGTTCTCCAAACTGATAGTTACATTACGGCCACCAGCATCGATGATACCTTGAGCCAATGTAGCACCAAACTTAGCTAATGCATCTTCATGCTTATTCTTGATGGTCTCAGCATATAACTTTGTGAACTCTTTTACTTTCGGGAATACGACGTCATTCTGCTCGATCAAAATCATAGCGGATGCTTGTAAAGCACCTTGTCTGACAAAATCAACAGGGTCTTTGGTCAATGGCTTCAAAACTTCGAGGGCTGCAGGCAAAGCACGACCTGCGCATGAAATACCCAAAGCCATAGCAGTACCATAACGAACATGAGCGTTATGAGATTGTGCCAAGAGTTCCACGATTTGAGGAGCAGCTGTGTAGTCACGGATTAACAAGAACCCTAAACCAATAACAGAGGCTCTTCTAACGTCATCCGAAGGATCAGAAACAGCGTAGTGCAACAATTTCTTGATTGCGTTGTTGTTACCAGTACCAGCATACGCCAATGCAATAGTAAACGCTCCGCCATATCTTAAAATCGCATGCTCGTTAGCAAAGAATTTTTCGATGATTGGCAATGCCTTATCTTCTTGACCATAGTTGACGAGCGCAATACCCAAAGCCAACCCACGGATAATGTGCTCGTGTTGCGTCTCCTGAGCATATGTGAACATGTCGTTCGTGGCTTCAGAACTTCCTGAGCCCAACATAACTAAACCCATAGCCAAACCAGCAGCTTGACCCGAAACAGCAGAGTCAGAGTAGAGAACAACTTTCAAAGTCTCATAAAGACTTTCGCTGTTAGAGGCCATTCCTGCGACACCACTACCGAGACACGCTCCGTGCAACATAACATCTGTATCAGCTCCACCAGCCGCATTTCCATGCTCATCAATAAACAGCTTCAAGTAGTCGATGGTTTCTCTCCCGTGGCCAGCAAAAATCAATCCAAGTGCGAACAACGATCCACCCTTCGTGTAGGCAGAACCATTAGCACTTGGTAAGTAAGGTTTCAATATGTTACGTCCTTGAGACAAGTTGCCCTTATGGATGACACCCAAAGCAGCAGTAGCAGAAAATTTTGACCAATTTGATGCCTTTCCTAACCATTCTAAGTTCTTTCTAAAGAAGGAGTCGTCAGTAGTACCCATGTGCATAAACGCATTTGCAAAAGTGACTGCTGAGTGGAAAATGGAGTTTCTGCCCTCTAACAAATTCTTTGTCTTGTTTAATATGGAAATATCGATATTCTTGTTCTTGTACAAGAAAGTGATGTCCAAATCACAAGTTGGAATACCAGTCAAGATATGTAGTAAGCGAGCCTGAATAGGTTCTTCAGCACCAAAAGACTCGTCTGCTGCCAAGGTAGCAGATACACGACCGATAAGTTCCTGTGATGCTGAACTCACCAAATCAAAAGCCCCCTGGTAGGCGATCAAATGTTTTTTTTCGTTTATAAGCTGTTTAAACACTTGTACAGCTAACAGCGGTTCATTCAACTGCACAATGATCTTGAAGATCGTGAAAAAGTCCTGATTTTCCTTCAACGATAATAACAAATCAATCAAGGCATTCAAAACATCTGATCTAAAAACAGCATTTGAAATCACAGTATTAGAACACAGTAACACGTAATTAATCAAGGCTAAACCTGATTCTTCATCTTTGCTAGATTCCTCCGAGATTATCTTGTTGACAATGTCCAAGCGGAAACTGTCCAAAGCTATTCCCAAAGCAAGCTTGAGATCTCCCGCTGCGGTGCACTTTGCCACCATCTTCTCGAAAATCCTAACAAGTTGTGGATTGATGGGTTCTCTTGATTTGTCAATGTAAAGCTTGCGTGACTCGGTGCTGTAAATGTTGATGCATTGCGAGACGATGGTTTCAATGTACTGACTCTTCTCTTCGATGTCGAAATCGGCTTCGGCTCGGAGCCCATACTTTACCAGCGCCTCAAAATCACCTAGGTTATAGTACACCTTCGACATTACCAAAGCAGCCAAAGTTCTCTTTTCAAACAGAGAATCTTCATAGAGATCTTCTAAGTCGTCCAAATTGTTGGCAATTTCAGCCCAGAGTTGGTCGACCACATCATTCAATGAAGACAAGGCATATGACTTTAACGTGTTGTCATGCTCAGAAAGCAAGGCAATGTAAGGAGCAGCCGATACCAATGCCATTAGATTCTGCTTTTGAAGGTTGTAATCGAAGCACCAGTGTGTAATACTCGCCACCTAGCAATTCGCACGACATCTAATATGCAGGCATTTATCGACCCTGGAGGGGAGGGAAGTACTTTGTTACCCTTTTCGTTTTTTTTTTTTTTTATCGGAGGTCTTTACAATTAGTGATGATGTAGATATCACCCGATTAATAAATTTAGTTTGAGTTTGATAAGTCATAAATAACACTGATCTATTTCTGCGGGATGATGTAAATTGTGTGCACTCGAACGCATCCCACTGGGGTTACAAATGGTCTTTGTTTATCGATAGGATTGGGAAATAGAATCAAAACATAGCAATCGATAGAGGAAATTTGAAAGAGAATATTGAGCCTGTACCATTAGATTCTAGGTAGTTCCATCTTATTGGAGAATCGTGATGTTCAGTGGAGTGGTTAACTCTGGCAATGACAAATAGTACAGTTTACAATGATAATAAAACTGGAAACTATGAGCCATAATGTGGATCATGAAGCAGTTAAGCACAGTATGCCAAATGGCTGGTTTAGATTTCGACTGCCCACTATAAAGTTGCACTATGAGTCTCATTCATTAATGTATATAAATGTATTCTGTTTTTGATTTTGAGGAAATTAAACTATCTAGTACAACAAACGGGTAGCAATCTTGTATGGAGTTTGCTCCAATTGTTCGTACAAAGACTTAATATCAGAGTGATCCACATCAGAAATGTCCGCCATCAAGTACGCAACGTCACCTCTCGAGTCAGTAAATTGTTTTTCAATGTTGTGGTTAGACAAAATGTTGTTAACAGTCTTCAAAACACCAGGAACATTCTGGTGAATGTACAAAACTCTAACAATGTTTTCTTGGTCCAAGTCCAAATCTCTCAATGCCACCTCTGGGAAGTTAACAGCACCAACAGAGTTACCTTCGTTAACGTATTTCGTCAAGGCAGTAGCAACTTCAACACCAATAGCAGATTGTGCTTCTTCAGTAGATCCACCAATGTGAGGTGTCAAAATCACATTTCTCAACGAGCATAATTCCGAAGCAAAATCGTTAAGGCTGTCAGAAAACAATCCTTCACCATTCTTTGCTGGCTCATGGGGATACACATCCAAAGCAGCACCTGCAATTTTGCCAGCTTTCATAGCCTCGATCAAAGCTGGAATATCGACCACAGTACCTCTAGAGGCATTGATCACGTAAGCACCATCCTTCATGGCAGCAAATTGAGGGATACTCAATAAGTTCTTGGTTTCTGGTGTAGCAGGAACGTGTAAAGTGACAAAGTCGGCTTTGTTCAACAATTCATCCAATGTGTCAACTTGCTTCGAGTTACCCAAAGCCATGATCATGGTGACATCGTAGTAAATAACATTCATACCCATCGACTCGGCTAAGACAGATAACTGAGAACCAATGTGACCATAACCAACAATACCTAATGTCTTACCTCTAATTTCCCAACATTTAGCACTGACTTTGTTCCATGTACCTGTGTGCATCTCAATAGATCTGTCTCCCAATTGTCTTGCCAAAGTGATGATCTCCGCAATTACCAACTCGGCCACAGATCTAGAGTTAGAAAATGGCGAGTTGAAAACAGAAATACCAGACTTAGCAGCGAATTCCAAGTCAACTTGATTGGTGCCAATACAGAAGCATCCAATGGCGACTAAATTCCTTGCATGTCTCAAGATATTTTCAGTCAACTTTGTCTTCGATCTGATACCAATGACATGGACTTCCTTAATTTTTTCAATCAATTCCTCCTCTGGCAAAGAAGTTTTGTAGAACTCAACTTGGTAACCTTGGTTTCTGAAAATTTTCATAGCTGTTTCATTCACGTTTTCCAACAACAAAATCTTGATATCACCAGTTGAGAATGGCTTCAATGCTTTTGTTGGTTTGTGCTGCGCAGCATATTGGCTCAAGTATGAATGTGTTGGAGAAGTCGACACGGCGTTTGGAGAACCAGAAATATTCAAAGCCTTTTGAAAGGTGGAAGCAATATCTTGAGGGATTGACATATCTTATGTAACGTTCTCGTGAATAGAAATTGTGTATTTGATTTAGTTCAATGACACTTATTGACAAGGGGAACGTAAAAAAGAAAAAAATCTAAGACTAAAGTTCTAGTGCACTGAAGCTAACGGCTGAGGTGTGAGTAATAATGTAATAAAGGAGATTTCACGTGACTTCAACAAATTTTTCCATTCATTAACCTCATGGTCACAGATGTCAGGTGACAGTCCCAGACGCCAGATCACTCTAGTGTGGTGGAAACCGTGGCCTTAAAGAGTCGAGTAAGCCAAATTGATGAACGAATAGAACTTGTGAGCTCAATTGTGGGGTCCAGTGTTTTTGCATGGTGATGGTGGAACAATTTGACTCGGATTGACTCGGATAAACTTTCAGCTGACTCTGGTGCACATTGACTGCATATATATAATTTTTTCCGATGGTGGCACCTTCTTTCATATCGGCCATGAAACCCAGACGCGACTTACAAAATTAAATAAAAGATGTCTATCCTCCAGAAGTGAATATTAATACATTCCGTAAAACTTGTGGAATACATTTACAACAGAAAAATAACGTTTGAAGATCGCCTGGTTAGCTCAATCGGTAGAGCATTTGACTCTTAATCATATAAGGTCAATCAAAAGGTTGCGGGTTCGAGCCCCGCATCGGGCTTTTCTTTTTTCATTTTTTCTTCATTATTTCAGTGTTGGTTAGTAGTTATTGATACGAGCCATGTATGCAGGGCAGGCTAATACTCACTGCAACCTGCGTTCCCCGTTGATCTCATTGATCCCTATTGGTGTCCTACCATATATTGTTCAGACCGATCTCTGACGTCCATCATTCGTGTATCGCTATACTTGAAACGAGATATAACGAATGTCTCCAGAACCCAACTCCCCTCGATACCATTTTTCTCAAGCAGGAAAGACTTTGGATCATGTTGATGCCCACGTCCAAGTCATTTGCAGGATTCGACCTCTAAGTCCACAAGAAGAAGAGAGCGGGGATACAAGTGTAGTTAATGTTCTGGATGACCACACAGTGTCCGTGAACAATAAAGGTAATGAGCAACGCTTTCAATTCGATAGAGCTTGCGGACCTGAGACCACACAGCAGGCATTTTACGACATTGTCACGGAAGAAATGCTACGAAACTTTTTTCTTGGTTTCAATGGAACAATATTGGCTTATGGGCAGACTGGTGCTGGAAAATCTCATACTATGTTTGGTTCAAGCTCGGATCAGGGGATCATTCCTCGTATATCCCATAGCATTTTTTCTCACATTACAGAAGGTCCATCCGATGTGGAATATACTGTCAGCATTTCCTTGATGGAAATCTACAAAGAGCAAATCAAGGACTTATTAAAACCCGGTAACAAAGGGAAAGAATGTACTGTCCATGAAGATAAGGTTAATGGGGTGTTTGTTAAAGGCCTATCTCATGCATTTGTCTCCTCTGCAAATGAAATGAATGAGGTGGTTCATCAAGGTAGCAAAAGACGGACCGTGTCATCGACATTAATGAATGTCGAATCATCAAGATCCCATTCGCTTATTCAAATTGTGTTGAGTCAGAAGAACATAGATAAAGGGTCCATAACAAAAAGCACATTATTTCTAGTTGACTTGGCTGGTTCCGAAAAGGTTGACAAAACAGGTGCATTAGGGCTATCATTAGAAGAAGCAAAAAAGATCAACCTTTCTTTATCTGTGTTGAGTCTTGTGATAAATAGTCTCAGCGATTCAAAACTGACGCACGTTCCTTATCGTGACTCGAAGCTCACAAGAATTTTGCAGGAATCCTTAGGAGGAAACTCACGAACTACTCTTATCACTAATTGTTCTCCCGCACTGTCATGCGTACTGGAAACCATTTCAACATTAAGATTCGGAAACCGAGCAAAGAAGATCAAAAACTCTCTTCATGTTAATACAGAACTAAGTGTGGACCAACTCAAAAGCGAGAGTGGCTTTCCTCGAAAGATTGAATAAAGGCTTGGAGGCAGAACTCAAACAAAATTCTGCCAACTCAACACTTTTGAGTCCTAGTTGCACGAACCGTATTCGCTTGCCGCATGAAAAACTACTGCTATTCAAAGAGGAACTCGAGAGAAAAGATACGCGTATATCTGAGCTTGAGAAGGAAGTCCTTGAACTCAAAATGAGCCAACTTAAGGAGCTGCATAGCGAGGATCTGAAACTTTTCAAGCTTGAATCGGCACTTCGCAAACTAAGTGACAAGCTCAGCGATATTGAGTTGATCAATGACAGTTTGCGGAAACATTTACTCATTAGCGAGAAGATTATTGAATCGCGCGAGTCTAAAATTAACAAACTCCGTGTACTTTTGGAAGAGCAGCAAGCCCAGGTAAAGAAAGAAAGCATTCAATTCGAAAGTAAACTCGATGCATTGCGGAATAAGCTCGAAACGAAATGGATGATGGAATCGGGCTCCGGTCCTGATGATGCCTCTTTCGAAGCCAATACTTCTAATACTTTAGGAAGTTTCTTTGGGAACTCAGGAATTGCAGAGCAGATACTAGACAATTCATCAGTTCACAGTGATCCGAGAGAACCGGGGGAAGATTTTAATACGCTGATTGACTCTCCGTTAGGTGGTAAAAGCTCAATTTCGCCTGGATCGCCCAAACTAGGCCTCAATCTTCGTATAGTTAAACCACTCCGAGGGGGTCATCCTGAAGAAAATTCCACAGATAGATATGGATCACCTTAATTGAGAATGATGAGTGCAAGCATTTTTGGTCATGATTTATGTTTAGTCATGTAACGATCTCTAATAAATATTCTTTAATTCGACATGAATGGTGCCACTTACAGTCTATAATATAGATGTGTATAGGCAATACTATAGATGATTTTCTGTATGCTCTTTTGCCACTTTCACTTTCTCTCGTACGAGATTTGAAGAAGGGTGCCTCTTGGACAGAAGTTGCGCGAACTCCATACTTTCTCCGCATTATACTTCAAACCCCCTTGCCTCATTTACTTCTCTCATTGGCTCGAAAACTGCTAGCTTTAGGTACCAAGAGACAAGCCTAACTTAACACGTGGTGTTTACATCGCAGATCCCATGCATTTGATTTTGTCGCTGCAGGGCAAAGGAACCCTTCAAGGTATGTCCGCATATGCTTCATATGCTCACTAGTGACTAACAATAGTGCTTCAAATCAAGAAGAGTGGTGTTCGGATAGCTGTTAAAATTGCAAATGAGTTTAGCTTGGGTCCTCGAAGCAGCGCTGCTCAGAAGATTTTCAGCTTTTCTATCTTGAACAATGCCTTTTTCGTTGTGGCTCGGAGTGGTCTTGTGCAACTTTATGAAAAGCAAAAGACAGCTCTGAAAACTCTCGCATACAAACTAACGAAAGAGTGGAAGAATTCTACAGCATCTTCCAAAGACCGCATTGTCTCGGTGGGGAGCTTCCGAAACCAATATATGTTCACTTGCTCCAATGAAGGCAAATTTGTGATCCGTGATCTCATAAATGATGATGCTGATGATAGTGTCAAAACATATTTGCTAGATGGACCTATCTCATGCGCAGAAGTTGCAGTTATGGATGATAATATGCGCATTCTCATCGCTGCGGGAGGGCGAGACAATGAGCTCAAGCTCTATGATGTGGATTTTGGCTGCTCCCTGTCGTGCAACTTAAACCGGCTTTATTCGGTTGAAATTCCAAACCATAACATAAATAGCATGGTCCGTTTTGCCAATGATTTGGCAGAAATGCGCCCCCTTCGAAGAAGCCTGTTTCAGTATTTCACCACGTTTTCGGAGTGGAAAAGATTAGTTCCAGTTTTCGTTATGTCATCCACTGAAGATCATTCTTTGCTGCTGATGCCCATATTCAATTGGATACTGAGCGTTGCTTTCGTTGAACATTTCGGTAAACGCATGGTTTGCGCTGGTACGCAATATGGCGACTTGATTATCTATGAAGCAGAGCAACCTTACACTCATGAAACAGAAACCGCATTCTTCCATCTATCCCAATTTCCCATCAACGTACTACACGTTTTCTGTAGTGGTCGGTATTTGCTATATTCTGACACCATGTCCAAGATCGGTGTGCTTGACATGGACTCATTAAAAGTGGTGAATTTTTATGACTGTTTGAAAATTGGTCCCAGTATGTCATGCCGTATTTTTACTTCCCTGAGCCCTATGGCTCGAGTTTCTTGCAATTCCGAAGTCTCAAGATTTAGTCCCATTTACGTACTTGCAACAACGCTCGATGGAAATATTGTGGTGTACAAACTACATAACAATAACGAAAAAGAACTCAAACTTATAGTACAAGAAGCAGGAATCATTCCAGACCTAGAAATTCTTGACGTGGATTCATACACGGCTTTGGACTCCGTGTTCGCGTCACCAGAAGATCTGAAATGCGTCCTGAATAAAAGGCGAAGAAAAGGGAAGATGCAAAGTGGTATCTCTGAAGAGTCTTCTGAGTTTGGATAAAGATCGATGGAGACTATGCGTTAATGCAATGATGTGATTGTCTCAAGGTGACATTCTCAGTTGGCGATCGTATTTTCACTGGGAGCAAAAGAGTAGAAACTTGCTGTTTCAATATCGTCCTCATCACTTCCCTCGCTGATCTCTTTCCAAGATGCAGCTGTTAATATAGTGAAACCAATTATAACAAAAGCGTCGCCCAACAATTGAGTGGCACTCAAGCTATTTCCAAATAGAATCCATTCCACGAGACCAATGAGAAAGATTGTCAACAACGAGCTTACTGAAGATAAAACTGGTGATGTGAGCGCCATCAAGGACAAAAAGGACCCACTAAATAGCAAATTGGAAATGATGGAACCTGAAACATAACCAAGGATTTTACCAGTATTTGAGCCATAGTCAAACAAATTAAAATGATGAATATGCAACACTTCTGCTAAAATGACTAATGTAAGAATCAAAATCAAGGTGAACATTCCCAATAAACCCATCACGAAATTAGCGAAGGTCAGCTGGCGCCGAGGAGTTATCAACAGCGCAAGGTGCGCTGGCACACATGCATATCTCTTGTATAGAACCTCATAATATCCATAAAGCACAGCACCGATGGAAATGAGAAGATTTCCCCACAACCTATAGGGATATTGGTCGTTTGAAGAAGGTGAGTCGGAGCCGGAATAAGCCACCACGAAAACACCAAATACGGCAATAGCCACGGAGCTCATTTTAAGCCACGTGAATTTCTCGTGAAGAATAGGGATTGCAAATGCATATGCGGTAAATGCGGAGCAATTGTAGATAGCTGTCACATCCGAAGCATATGTCATGGACATGGCCGCATACCATGTAAGTCCAGCAACATTGAGCACGACAGAAATGAATGCAGTCTTCACAAAAATGTACTTGAACGCAGGGGTAGAAATAAGGGCACGGATACACGCTCTGATGGAACTATTGGCAGGAAGATGTTGGTTCTGGTCCACTAAAGTATTGAGGTTACTGGTGGAGCGGTCATCGTTGACATTGGCCTCATAGATGAGAATCAGCGTGTGATAGACATTGTGTATCTGCTTTATGATGCTTTTTTTGAAATATTTGTACATGTTGACCCGTTGTTGTGGTTGCTCGAGATTGGGCAGCTCATTTTCAAGCAAAACTGTGTTTGAACCCAAACTTTCATAGTGAGTGGAGCCGCTCTTTACACGCTGAGCCACACGCAAGAATGCAACGGAGATGGTTTGAATCGGCCATAAGAGCCACCATGAACCATGTGTGACCAATAATAAGATTATAGGCTCTTTGAATCCCAACGTGTATGCTTGACTAGTAAACTCTGTTTGACAAATAAATGACGCGAGCGACAAAAGGAATAGAAGCGTCACGAAAATGATCTTCACTTTAGAAGCCCCATTAGACGTTGTATGGGGATTAAGTTCTGTGATGGCCATGATGTGGAGTAGTTGGTACTGGGCGCTGTTGCTCCTGCACCATTAGACGAACGTGCGAGTGAAGGTAGTGGGACTTTCTGTACATGATCTGTTCAACCTATTGTTTTGTACTTTATTTCGAGGTCATGACAGGCTTTTTACCCTATACAAAAAGAAAAATAAGCTAATCCTAAGCTAAGGTGATAATACCCACGCAATTTTTGTGCCACATTTTGTGTATCAGTTTCTATACCTTCTTCTTCATCGTTTGCTCTTGCTCGCATCTAGTCGCTGTCACTTTCGTAATCAGAATCCAGTGACAGCTCTTCACTCAAGAGATATCGTCTTGGCTCAACTTCTCCCTTTTCTGCGAGTGTCTGTCGGGGTGTGATGTACGGCATAATTATGTCCACTACTCGGTCGTCTTCGGCTAGACGGTCGATCCACTCGTCCATGTACGTCAATTTGAAGTGTACCGGTAAATGGTTGACAAATTCAGGCAGCTTAAGCTGTATTCGGAGCTTGCGATGGTCTTGGATGTACTTGTCATATAGTGTGTAGAACTCTTTGGGCTTCCAGACTAGACGACAATATAAAAGCGTCAACGCGGTCAAGTACTTGAACTCATTATAGCCATTCTGCAGAAGATACATTTCAATGATTTCATCCAGTGGTTCGAGCTCAAGAAGTCGGAGAAGACAACATAAGAAGGGGGATGGTCTGCCACCAGAATCCATTCCTCCAAGATACTTCACTTGCTGCACAATAACATCAAGAATATTCAGTTCGTTGGTTAGGAAAAGATGCTGCTTATAAAAGAGAGAGTCTTGAATTCGGTTGCGTACAATGCTCTCAATCAAATGGGCCTTGTTAAGTACTTTGGATCTTTCCATAGTGGCGCTCCATTTCTGCGAGAGTCGCGCACTATATATCTACAAGTCAGTCTCCAATGCGACTAAAATAATTGCACTACTCGTTGTAATTCGTTTACGTTAGTCACTCAATTCTGATTAATAATTCCAATCTAATTCTGAACCATCAGTGCCTGTTTCTTTTATGCATTTATTAAATTGAAATAAGTTAGACATGGAGCTCTACTCTTCATCCTCGTCAGAAATGCTTATCTTGTCCAAATCTGCTAACAAGCCCGTCAAACTCTTAGAAGCTGCTTCAAAGTAGTCTCTTTGTACCGTCACAAAAACTTTCAACAAATCAATGTTTTTTGAGGGTCTAACCAATCTTCTCATTTCCACAACTGCAACTTCGATAGAGCTAACCAAGTCATCCTCTTTTGCAATAAGCTCTTCATTTTCTTCGTCTTCGCCAGTTTGCGATCTCAAGAGATCAAAGTCCAGACGTGCACCATAAACCCGCTTTCTCAATTCAGTCACCTTTATAAACTGCTCATTCAAGATTTGCACCAACGCATGGTTCAATTCAGACATAATCTTCTTATCTTGGTCCAACCGGGCTGTAGCAATTTGCACGTAAGCAGACGAAATTTGAAGTAATGCGAAGGACAATGGCTCGCATGTCTCATTAAAGTCGCTACTCGCCTTTGTGGCGATCTCTGAGAGTTTCCCGTACAACGTTTTAGGAAGTTCTAATGTGACAACCTCTGTCTCTACTGTTTCCAGCTCCTTGGTACCCAAAAGGATGTTCTCCATCTCTTGCGGTGTAGACACGTTCTTCAATTGATTGAACTTTGAAGAAAGAAGCAGTCCCACATGGGCATCCTTGATTTTGTTAAGCGCAGAGTTACCTGGAGGGTAATCATAACTTAACGTACCGAAAGTGCTGTTTGTGTACTGGATCAAGTCGGTGTACAATTTCAACAACAAGTCGCAGTTCTTTTCTAAAATCAAATAGTCCTCGGGCAAATCACTCACTTCAATATTCGTATCGGAGTGTGTGGAAGCCAATTGTTGGACCTGTTGTAGTTGAGCAGAAATAAGACTTTGCGTTTTCGAAGTCAAGGGTTGGATTGATTCTTTAAGATGTTCTGAGTATTCTGAGACTGCCTTTCCCAGGCTTTGGAAAGACTTGGAAATGGACTCCATGTCCACCTTAGCCAAAGACTCTTGGAGAGACTGGAGATTGAAAGAAGGGAACTTGAACGACATGTGGGTAAAAGAAAAGAGTAAATTGTTAGTATACGTCAAACTAAACCTGCAGGTTCTTCACCCCAATGTTTGTCGCCTTCTCGTTTGGGATTTCTTAAAATAGAGTTAATCTTACGTTGCATCTATGAAGATACTAATACTATGAGCAGATATCAGTCATCACAATTGAATGAATGAATAAGCATTGCATTTTCCAGGGTTTGAATCTACTTCCTAGTTCTGATACTTTCAGGATCTATCTACGAGAACTAGATGTATGAAACCGGACGTCAATCAACCAAACTTTGTTTTATGCTTACTCTAAAATTAGAAGAGAGCACTAAGACTAAGTCAGTTTTCCACCTTGAAGCGGCTTATCGACTTGGTATGTCAATTTCTGATTATGTTAGTACGTGCTTTTAAACGTAACCTTATCAGCTATTTTCTACTATCTTAGACAACGTCGTCATCCCGAAGGGTCAGTTGTCCCTATCTAGTTGTTCATCACAAGGTTTTGACACATATACATACGGTTTATGTTTTGATGAGAAGAAATGCAGAGCGAATGCGCCTTTTATATTGCAAATTTTCGGAGGTACGGGTGCGCACTCTGTTAGGGCTGAAGTGTTTTCACGACACATATTACAAGATGGTTAATACAGATGGGAAGACTGAATACGAAATAAACGGGCTTGTATTCACATTTATTCTGTTTATCATATTTATTTCTATCGTGTAGGTTTCATATCTTGTTCGAAGTATAGACTGCTAGTTGTTGTAAATTAATGCTAGTATGTTTCTCGTATCGCAGTTTCCACACAGAGCAAAAAGCCGGGTTAAAAGCATTATACCGAGGATAGCTCCGCTTATTGAGAACACTTCAGGGATTTTATAATGTGCTTTGGCTCAATGCTTGTTTGGGGCATGGTGATTCGCGTTGAGCTGGCCAATGGAAGCGTTCGCTTCTTCATTGGTCTTACTTTTCTTTCTCAGAGATCCGTATGCTCATGAACCTGGGTATGCATTCGAAACAAAAACGTTTTTAATGCGGGCAAATTTCACTTCGATTGCTACTTTCCATCCATTGTACTTCATAAATGTAAAATCAGCTCAATTTCTGTTGAGCAACTTCGATGGCGCAACATCGAAAAGAACTCTTACAATGCTATCACCTTGCATAGCTCTCACTAATTTTTAACCCAGACGATTATCCTTGTATGATCTGAAATTTGACGTGTATTGTGTACTCTCAAATTACTCTGTAATCCAAGACATACTTGTCACTTAGTGTGCACCTAACTACGCGAGTCCATAATCAACCACCATGTTCCATCTTGTGCTGTCGCTATACACGCAGTATAGCCGGCGGGAACAGTACAATGTTCTCATTCTTGGGCTTGACAACGCGGGGAAAACAACATTTTTGGAACATATCAAGCTTCTCTATCCGGCGAGTCATGAGAAGGAAAAACAGCAGCTGGCCGAGGAACAAGATACCGTACGCATCTTGAAAGGGAAAAGAATCCTCCCCACGGTAGGGCAGAATACTACAACTGTGCGGTTTCGCCCAGATGAAAGTAGCTCGCTTACTGCTTCGGCCCAATTCCGCAATATCAACCTCAAGTTCTGGGACTTGGGTGGCCAGCTCTCTCTTCGCAGTATGTGGTCACGTTATTATCGCTCGTGCCACGGCATCATTTTCCTTATAGACCTGACGGACACTGAGCGCTTCCAGGAGTGCTATGAAACGCTTATGAGCATAGCGCATGATTCCTCGTGGGCTGCAGATGGTTCGGAGAGCGTTAACGTGCCCATTTTGATGCTTGCCAATAAGCAGGACTTGCCGCTGGCGGTGGATCTCGTGGCGTTGAAAACAGGAGTGTTCATTGAGGTGGTGAGCCAGCTTGAAGCTACCGATCTGAAGTTATTGCCGGTTCTGGTATTAGAAAACCAAGGCTTGCGCGAGAGTCTCGAGTGGCTTGTCACTCGCTTAGTCTACAACAAGGCCAATCGTGCTCCCGAGTACAAGTAATCGACCAAATGAACATTTATGGGCGTCCCCTCGCAAATATAACATACACTGTACAGTAGCTTGCATTTTGATGAGGCTAGTCGCGTATTCTGATTTAGAATACACCCGTTGAAGTGCAAGACTTGATTACAAGCTTTCATTCTCCCAAATCGTAGGTGTTTCGCGTGAATAGCGTTGGAGGTCTTAGGCAATTTCGTCCCTGCGTGCTGTGAGTTTCTTCTGTGCATGTCGGCTAGATGTGCCTTGCTTCTATTGTATTACACGCATGTCGGTTATAAGTGTTCTGTTTTTGCAAACTATTCCGATTAAAGAAAGAAAGTGCTGCAGCTGCAGTGTGTTCGTCCCTGATGGTTCCTTGTAGGAGTAGTTTTCTGTGATAAATTTGATCTGCGGAAGTTAGCGAGGTGCAGTGGCTGGCAAGAGTACAAGCTTTGTATAATGGCCAGGGGAACAACATGGGCATATTGTCCTCTGAAACATATAGTGAAATCTTGGTGTTTCCTGCCTGAGGTAGTATTGCGAAGGGCAGAGAAGTAATCATATCGAATTCATACAATGATCGTCAACGTCGCATAGCAATTGCAATCAAGGCTTAGGAATTGTGATGCAACTATAATTGTTGTGGAATTCATCGATGAGGTACGTCATGGATTCTCCGCATGTGCGGCTTGCGAAACCACCAGCCACACTTGCATTACAGTATTGCCTACAGCCCTATGCAAGGGTGTAAGTTTTTCATTTTGTCCTTGCTTGCCTACCGATGCACAGCTTCTCTTGGTTCGACGCCTACATGTCACGGAATTTCAGCGAAACGTGATCGCAAATGATAAAGTAGCAACCTCGCCTTCCCGCACTCCTTTGAAGCAGGCACATCAAGCAGCAATCGACCTTGTCTAAGCTTCTAGCGCCTAACATGCGCGTTGTGTGCAGAAAACATGGAGACCAAGGTTTGCTCCACCGCAAGTATATAATATGGATAACCACTCCCTTAAACGTCAGCAATGACGGAAGGAATTATTGACAAGATCAAAAACAAGTTGGGCAAGCACGAATCGGTGGAGGAAGAGGCATACGAGGCGGGCCAAGCCCAAGCGCACAAGGAAAGAGTTGGCTCGGGTCACTCTAAAACGGCCGAGGCCGGAACTATTGGGGCTGATACCACGGGAGCGTATACAACAGATGCTAACCACGGAGTTAAGAATCAGCTGGGTCACAAAAGCACAGGAGCGGGTCACACTGGCGCAGGACTTGGACATGGAGTAACCTCAGGTACAACCACTGGTACAACCACTGGCGCAACCACTGGCGCAACCACTGGCGCGACTACTACAGCAGGTGTAGGCGGAGCCTCCGGATATGGCGCTGGTACTTCCCATTCTGGCTCTGGTCATGCTGGCACTGGCCATTTTGACTCTTCTGGCAAGGGGTACGCTGACACTACTAGATCAGACAATCCTGATGCCTTTCATGAGACGAACGCCACAAGCTCCGAGCCGCACCGCGAAGCTCAATTCGCGTCGTCCAAAGGTCGCGTTGTATCTCTGCCCCCTCGCGTCCCACGTAAGCCCTTGGATCAGGGTTATGGTGGAGATTATACGAAACCAGACTTGCCCGGTGAGTCTGATGATGGCCGTCGCGGTCATGCGTTGCAGAACGATAGCCCTATGAATGCAAACGATACGAAGCCGGCAGAAGGCACTGGGTACTTTTACACTCCGGAGGATGGGCAAGGTTTGAAGGTGACTGCAGGCGATTACTCTGGCTACGATCCTCGTACTGGCAAGGTTGAAGGTGCAGGGACAAAAGACGGGTCAGGTGCTGGCCACACTAACCATACGTCTGGCTCTGGTCACAATGATCGTGCTGAAATTATGGCAGCAGCAACGGCAGCTGGAGTTGCTGCAGGCTCAAAGTCTAGTTCTAAAGCCAAGGATGATGCTACAGTGAAGTCTCTTTACCATGAACCTCTAGAGGGGACTGGATCTACCAATCACACGTCGAAGACGACAAATGCCTCAGATACTCGCAACATTGAATCTGCTGCGTACGAATCTGGCAAGTTGCATGCAGACGGTGCTGATGTGATTGCAGAAGCCTACAAGGAAGGTGTTAGTGCAGGTCGTATTTCGAAGCCTGACACAAACAAAACGACCTTGGCAACATCGGAAGGGCGTACTGGTAATCGTCATGGAGCAAGTACGGGCACTAGCGTCAGTCCTAGCAGGGGCACTAGCGTCAGCACGAGCAGTGGCACAAGTCATGGAACGTCTCATGTTAGGGGCTCCCATTCCGGCCAAGCAAGCCACGCGTCTACCAATATTCCTGGTGCTATCGTTACTGGCGCCGCTGGTGCTACTTCAGGTAAAGCAGATGCTAGTTCCAGGTCAAAAGACCCTAGTACACGTGCGGGTATCGATTCCGGTTCACAAACTATCATCCTGGAAGCGTATGAAGAGGGAGTGAAGGCGGGAAAGAATGCATATGGAGGCTCTACCTCGCATCTGTCCACCTCCCACCCCACTTCTTCCGATCGTAATTTAGCCGGAACAACTGCCGCGGCAGCTGCAGCCACGGCATCATCTCACAAGTCAGATCCTAATCTGCGGACACTTGACCCAAAGGCTGATAACCATCTGTCTACTAGAACTACAGGGTCACATCCTTCAAGTACAGCAGGAACGAAGTCGTCTACGTTGAGAAACGATGAATCATCCATTGATGCTACTCATATTGGCAAGGACCGCGCCGCGATAAGCAACGTGGATGCCGGTGCAAAGGCTCCATCCAGCACCGCTGCCCATGCACCTGTCTACACCGACACTGACAAGAATCACACAACAACAAGTAACAGCTACGTCGGCACAGCAGAGGCGGCTCTTACTTCTGCTGGTGCTGCAGTTGCCGGAATTCTTGGTTATGGATCAAGTAATGAAAAGCTGACAAAGGATCATTCGTCAGATGCCAATGCCGCAGGTAGGGCGAAAACAACTGGAGAATTGGGTAAAGAATCTGCATCTCAAACGTCGGGAAATGCAACTCGGACTACATCTGAGCCCTCTCATTTCTCAGGTGGATTATCTCATAGTGAGCCACTGACTCGTGAAAAGCACGTTTCCTCAGCGTCACACCCTGCTGGTAGTACTTCTGCCATTCGCACCACCTCGTCTTCTGACCATGCGTCTTCTGCTGATAAGACCTATGTTGAAAAAGATCATCCTAGATCTACCGCAGACGAGAATGCTTCCAGTACTAAACTGGATCAATCTTCTCTGGGTATTGGAGGCATTTTAGGTAATGCAGCCGCTGCTGTGGGTCTTGGGTCATCTAATAAGACGTCTACTGAAAGAACTTCTGGTTCCGATGACTCGGATATCTCTGCAGCCGACAGGAAGAAAGCGTCTGAAGATCGTGCAACCGCGCACAACAAGAAACATGGCATTACTGATGACCGGTCATTGATTGAAATCGCTGAAGATGATGACCCCTCTATCAAGAAGTTGGATGCTCATAAGGGACCAAGTGTTTTGGACAATGCTGATAACGACCCTAACGGGAGGCATCGCACGCTTGTCTAAAAACATTCCTACTGACCGTTCAGTAAGCGACTCTAACGTGACTGCGTCCGATGATAATCAAGGTGTGCATAATTTTGACAAAGAACGTCATAATGAACACATAAATGACGAATCATCTGACAAGGAAGATCGCTACATTGAACATACGTCGAAACATGTGGCTCCACATTTTCGGAGGTCTGGCGTTCCTACTCTGTCTCTCCACAGCCGTACGGGGGTCCATGCTGGAGCGGATAAGTATCAGCATGATCTGACAGCGTATGGCAACACTGGGCAACTCAATCAACCAGCGCCCCGCGAGCATAGCAAAGACAGCACTATTGCCAGTTCCAGTGGATATCCTGATAGATCCTCTGGGGACATCGGTTCAAAGAAATTTACACCGATTTCTGTGGTGGGAACTGCCAGTCAAAGCGAGGCTCGTTCTTTGGCGGAACTGGCAGTTTCTACGTTGCATAAAAAAGGAGAGCTGTTGCACGCTTTAGGAGAAATAAAAGTTGACGCCCGGACGGGAGAAGTTACAGATGAAGGCGAGGTCGTGGCCAGTCTCAAACAATCTAACCCAAGCGGTGCTGTTGTGGAAGGTTCTGTTCTAAAAATGCCATTGGATGTACAAAATACGGAGAAGAACGAAAATCTCAGCCGTCATAAGAGTGAACCGGCTACTCAGCAACCAAGACAAGATTATAAAATGCCTGGGTCTTTCGAATAGGACAACGTATGAAAAGCAAAAAAAATGTATGAATCACCAAATTGATGCAAGTACGTAGAACATATGTAGGGTTGTACTTATTCGTGATGTAAGTATTATAAGTCTTCGCAGGAGGCTAACACAGAATAATCACCTTTCGAAACGATGAAAAAATTGCGACAAACAAATATGGCTTTACATGAAGCATTTTTACTCGTAATACCTTCGAGATATCCGCTGACTATCAAAAAAAAAAAAATTAAAAACAGAGGATGATGAAAAATACTGAAGACGCAATTTAATATCAACCAGAATTCTGGTCTTGGTTCTCATGCACACACCCATACATCTCGCAAGTACTTGACGTGGTTTTACTGAAGGCTAGAAGAAAGCAACTTCTCAACATGGCTGAAGCAGAAGAAACACAGCAATTCCTTCGAATTTCGGTCTACACACCGTTGATCTATGTTGCTGTTATGGCAACAGCATTCGTGGCCTTTTCTGTCTTTTATAGGCGCCACAGGCTCCGCAAATTGATCGAAGTGGAACCTCTTTTCGGTCGGAACTACTCGTTGGAGTTATATATCTTGCTTAAGGACAAATTCTACAACAAACTGTTACCCAAAGAGGGCCGTCCACCGGAAAAGGTCGTGAAGGCCGCATTGTTGAGACGTGCTGTGGAGGCAATCAGAAGATCGCTAAAGTTGAAAGAAAACGAGCCAGTTTTCAACAAGTTGTACCAAGAGGGGCTCATTGGAGATGAGCTTTTCAAACAGTTCGGTCTCCAGAGCAAGATCCAACAGTTAGAGTTGAAAGAAATTGTTGAGGAATGTCAGCAGTTCAGCAAAGAGTGGCCAGCCACATTTTTCCCTGTAGCTCAAGAAATCTGCTACAATGAAGCCTTGAGAAGACGCCTTCATGCAATGGACGATCGTTCCAAGAGCTTGTCCGAGTTATGGAACTACTATGTTGACCAGCTGGAGCCAAAGAAATAGTTTCAACACAAGCATATCAAGTTCGCAATATGTAGGCATTATATTGTTACTTTCAAATTTCTTCTTTCTTCTTTCTTCTCACCTTACCTTTTTATTCCTCTCATTTAGTTTCTTTCTTCCTTCTAATTTTTCTTTTTTTTGTTTTCCAACGGTCTTGCTCAAATCCATGTAGTTTTGACCTGCATGCGTGAATCACATATAATCTTGTTGTAGTTTGGAGTAACATACTAGACAAATGAACCACGCAAAGTTGCATAAGCCATTTTCACTGCATGGGAAACATTCTCCCCGGCTGACCCAGCCTGTTTCACCGCAGAAAATCAAGTCAATGATCCCACCCACCACTCAATCTCCCAAAAAACCATCAGGACCACCTCCGAATGTTGACCCACGAAAGTTTATAGTCGACCAAATCATTCGGGACTGTTACTCCAAACAAATCCTTAGAGACGGACGTCAGGTACTTGAAATTCGCTATAATACTCATTTGGGCATTCGAGAATACTCCCAATTCCCTCAAGCTCCTCCTCCTCCAGATGTGCCTCCGAGTCAAGTGGGTCTGATCAAAAATAGAATTCTTGTTCTTTGTACTAAGCTGTCGGGGCGTATTTTGTTGCAAAAAGGTAAGTACAATGACGTTAAGCATATATACCAGGTTGGTCGACTGTGGGATCTAGATGAATTGCGTTGTATTACTCGAGTATCGCATGACTCTCTCATTTTGCTGTTGAATAAAGACTACTACTGGAAGTCTGCCGAAGGTCCAGAACGCTTCATCAAGTTTGTCCACCACTTGGCATCCATATACTCAAAATTCACTGGTGGTTATCCCGAATTGAAAGGCTTTACGTTGCAGGAATTGGGGCTTCCTCCCTTGGCGAATACATCATCCAACCAGCAATCGAGCTCGCGTCCTGTGGTTCCTCCGCAATCAGCTAGTGTATCTCGCCTGCAAATTGACCTGTCTCGTCAACGCGTGGCCGATAATGCACCAGTGCTGTCGCACGCTGCTACCGATGGTAAAAACAACCGTGTAGCTAATCACTACAAAGAAATGGACTTCACGTCAAATGGGAAGCTCCCAATGAAGCCCATGTTAGTCATGGACGTTGACCGGCCTTCATCGAATGCCCCAAGAAGCATGCTTGACCCTGTTCCACCTAAGTTGGAGGCTCCAAAAAATGTGCTACCGCAATCTCTGAGTGTAGCTCAGTCCTCAGCCGCCTCATTGAATGACTCTCACAGTTTTGTCTTTGGAGTGGAGGACAAGGTTCAAGATGGGAAGGTTGTACCAACTATCACCGAATATGCAAATGCAACAGGAAGGACGCTGCCCTTACGCAATTACAGTCCTGAACGTCACCTGGAAGGGACTCGAAAAGTATCGGAGCCTCTTGAATCAGCAGCTGCATACAGCCTACAACTTCAGGCTGCACTTGATAAAAAGGAGGATGCGCTTCCACGCAATGATTCCACACTTCAGGAAAATTCGCTCCCAAAAAATGAACAATTTCCGAAGGACCATCCTCTTCCAAAAGATAGCTTGAACAGAGTATCTGACGCCTTTGAGGACGCAATCCAATATGACGAGCACTCGTTGTCATCCAAATCTGATCAGATTGACCCGACTAAAGTTCATATTGATAACGAACCATTCCCAGAGCAAGTAACTCCAACTGAGGCCGAATCCATTATAGATAACTCCATTCGCGAGATTCAGAGTTACATGGATACGGAATTTGCACCCTCGAAAACCATTCTGAGAACATCCACAAATCAACCAGTTCCTGGCGATATTTCGCAAACACAGCCTGATCCTGCGCTAGAAACTCCCGAAATGAAGAGTGTTACTTCAGTCGATAAATTTATAAATTTGGACTCTCTGAGTTTCGGGGCAGGTTTTGAAACACCCGTTACTGATGAAGAACCTCCAGTATCGGAAGTGAAGTTTGATAAAGACCCTGAAGTCGATGAAATGTTGGACGAGATAGGATGGAATGTCACTGAAGGAAGTGATCAGTTTATTAAGAAGCTTTCGACAGAATTGAATAATACAAAACGAAAAAATATTGCTGAGCTCATCAATCTCGATTTTGGAAAAGATTCTTTTGCAAATGAGATTCGGGTATCAGATGGTGAAGTTCATAATTTATTTGGCATTTTCAAGAAGATGGAAGTTCAGTTCAGTATGATTGATTCAGAAATCAACGATATTGAGAATAATTCTAGGGGTTTGCAAGTAAAAGCTGTGAACAAGAAGCTTTTATTCAATGAATTGAGCGAAATATTGAACAAGGTGAGAGTTAGTACTAGAGACCTTGATCTAGTTGCTCATTTTATTGACTTCAAAGACATAGACTCGATTCCAAAACTTGAGAGCAAACTTCTAGTTTTATATGGCGCACTTAAAACTTTTGGGGGCGCTTCTGAAGATGACTTTAGTAACATGGAAGCATTGAAACAATTCAAAATCAGGTATGAAGCAACTGCCCTGTCTTTCATGCAACATTTTAGCGACTTTATTCGCACAGAGTTTAAAAAGACTGTTGTGCAGTTGAAAAGTGATGTTTCACTACTGTACTCTAGGAGTCTTTTTTCAAGTTTGAAGCATTATTTGATCTATGTTGGAATTACAAACTTTGTGAGATGTGTCTCATATCGGGACTTAGAAGCTTTAGGTAATGATGTACGCTCCTTCCTTGTGACATACTTGACATCGGTGTTGAATTCTCTACTCAAAAGCATTCATCAAACTTCTTCTATCCCGAAGCGTTTATCCGAAAGTTTGGAATTTGGAACAAGCTCCCGGAAGAGCAAGATCAGCAGGTTTGGCTCTTCCAGATTGAGCAAAAGGGCAAGTTCTAACGAAGAAGCCAACCATGCCAATCTCAAGACATTGGAAGGCACAAAAGAAAAGGCTTCTGGGGAAATAACGGATTATAAGACAGTCATGAGTTTGGTGGCCGAGACAAGAGATTTAATGTTGAAAGTTCAATTCTTTTTGGGCCTGTTCTTCCATCTTTCGTCGCCTGATGACTTTGATGAAGCTTTGAAGAATACATCGTTCGAGGAAAGATTGAAGGAACTTCAGGATCCTGACTTGGATGAAGTCAATTACAAGAGCAATTCTAATGAGCTTCTTAAATTTATGACTGCTGTTTTTGGAGACTATGTCAATGGCTTCATCAGTAAAGTTACACCTTCAGAGCTAATTATCCCTCAGTTATTGGTTGAACTACACGCATTCTTGATTGAAGCTACCAACAAAGATCAGGATTTCATTGCTTTTAGCTTTATTGGCAAGCTTATTGAGAGATACAAGCGTTCATGGAACAAGCTTATCTCTCGGCAGGTGCATTTGTTGAACAAGTCTGACATTCGGTCCAAAGGCGAAGTTTTGCCTGTCGTACGCAATATCAACCAGATTGTTCTAAGCACAGAAACGACTCTAGAAGAATCCTTTTCGTACAAAGATAGTCAAGATGCACAATTGGAAGTGGAGCATTTCATCAACAATTCCTACAGCGAACTCACAGCAGCTGCGGTTGATCTCTTCAGCAGAGAAGATCCTTTATTGAAGACCAACGCACACGACGAAAAAGAACGTGCGCATCGGAATGTGGCGATACTACAAAATGTCTTTACGGTTATTCAGCAGCTTGATGATCTTAACTCTGCACGCGTGGATCCCATGAAACATGAAATGAACACAGTATTCAAACGCGTGGAAAAGGAGTATTTTAACCATATTCTACACCGCTACTTTAACAAGATGACAGAGTTTTGTCCATACACACGGAGACTTTACAACAAGAAAGAAAACTGATAAGATTCTCATCAAAACTCTCGCATCTACACACACAAGCAAGGATGTGCTAACCAAAAATTATTGAGATGCATCGTAAATTGGAGAGACATGTTGTGATATCGAATACCGTTTTCGAACAAGAATTTACTTCCGGCGTTTGTGGGACGGATTTGGAATCAGAATTGACTCAGCTTTATCCAGACGTTCGATAAGATCATAAAGAAGGGGAAGACCGCGACACGGCAGTTGATACGTTTCGGTTTCAGAAGTCCGCAGATACTTCCTGTCCGCTGCAAGCTCCTAACTTAAATCTAGTAACATATAGCAGCGACTTAAATACAAGGCAATACATCGTTTTTATTCTTAAGGAATCGTATGCATCTTAGCAGACACATTGTCAACAGAAATAATGGGTGCAAAATTGGGCCACCCGAAGGTGTCGTCCCGGCACCAAAAAAGGGCCACCAATAGGCGTGCACCATTTTCCACATCCAAGCACCCAAAGTGGCCTCATACATTTGTGCGCGGGAAAAAATATATCCATAGAAGGCGCTCAGAAAAAAAAAAATACTTACCATTGGAAACTCACAACATGCTTCGCCAATCCATTGTCAGAGCAGTCCGTTTTAACTCTACCGTGGCCAAAGCTGCCCCAAAGCCTTTGTCGAACGCATACGTCAACAAGTTGGAAACCAGATGGGAGTCCTTGCCAAAACAAGACCAAACTGCCTTGATAGAGGAATTGAAGGCTAGAATGGAGTTGCCATGGCAAGAATTGACCCCTGCCGAAAAGAAAGCCGCATACTACATTTCCTTCGGTGAATGGGGTCCAAGAAAGCCTTTGTACGCTCCTGGCGACAAGTCTAAGATTTTCTGGGGTACCGTCGCTGGTTTGGTTGCAGGTGTTGGTTTGTTCGCTGCCATCAGAGCCATGGCTCCAGCTCCACCAGTCTCTATGAACAGGGAATGGCAAGAGAAGTCGGACGAGTACTTGAAGTCCAAGAATGCCAACCCTTTTACTGGCTACTCTCAAATCCAGTAAACAGTGGGACAATTTTCGATTCCACAGATATTCAAACGATTTTCCCCTTAGCATTGCTTATCAACGGCAGTTTTTCTTTAAAGTTGAAGTGATAATCACAATAGACGACGCCTTGTTGCCCATTTTGTAGTTCACGAGTTTAGCTCATCTCTCTCTGTTTCCCCTCTTCTTCATAGAGCTTGTCTCCGGACTTATTCTAGATTGTGCAAATATCTGCTGTGCTTCAAAACTATTTTCTACTTAATACTCTTTAGCTTCACTTTGTTTGGCTATAATATCTTCCCTAGTTTGTTTAGGCTACTGTTAGGTTCCGAATACAATTGGTAGTGTATATTCAAGTATGAACTTCTTGGTTCCTGGCTTCCTGCTACAACCGGAAGCCAGGCTTCTTATAGACTTAGTAACTAGGGGTTATCTCATACGACAAAGCTTATCTGGAGGTTACCATAACCGGGGTCTGGACTACCCCCAGGTTCCCCTGTATGGGCGGCCTAACAGCTACCTTGTCTATGGCAATAATCGTTAATTAGCGATGTGTGATTCATCCAATATTACCTACGAGCACACTTCAGGCTCTTACCGTAATGCTTGCGCAAGCGTTTATTAATGCTAGTGATGGCCCTAAGAAGGGTTTATGCAAAAAAGTTGTCTTATTCTCCTACTCATCATCATTCGGTCCAAACTCGCCTTCAAAAATAGTGGCTCCTGCTTTTCTTCTGTTCTCAATTTCGACGCATTCCTCCATTTCAAGAATCTGGAGCGCAGTTGGTCTTTCAAACGGATTTGGTTTGAGCATAGTGCTCACTAATTTGTCAAGGTTGTGACCATTGGCCACGAGAAACTCTGGTGCACCTTTCGGAATAAGATCCCTAATGTTCTCTATCAATCTCGAACCATGTTGAATAGAAAGCGATCCAGATGAACCTCCTGTTTTCGTGTTCACTGGTGGTTGGAGCGGCGTAGAGTTGAAATTTGATATGACTGATGAACCGGCAGAGCTCAAATGATGCAGGCTCATGGGCTGAGCATTGATTGAATTCAATGATGACGTGTAAGAAGTCAAGGAGGAAAAATTATTGTGATTCAAGAAATCGCTTATGTTGTCACTAGACAACATACCAGCATCACTCAAATCGCCACTTCGAAGCTTCCTCCATGGCGATCCATTTCCTGGCAATACTATGTTTGTTGCGATCTCCAATATTATCAATCCCACGCTAAAGATATCCGCAAATGGTGTGTAAATCTTGTCATTTAGCAACTCAGGTGCAATGTAATTCCGATCACCTTCAATGTCAAAATCCTTCTCAAGTATTGGAAGTTTTGTACATAAACCAAAGTCCCCAATTTTCAAACCTCCCTCAAAGGTAATGAAGATGTTCGCCGGTTTTAAATCAAGATGCAAAAAGTTCTTCAGATGAATAAATTTTAGACCAGATGAGATCTCAATAAGTATTTTCCACACCCTAAATTCATCAATCTTGTAATTTTTGTTTTCTTGAAGAAACTCATATAGGGTTCCTCCCTCGCAGAATTCTGTCATGATATAATAGTGGTTGTTGAAGCTCCAAGCTTCGATGAAGAATACTAAGTTTTCTTTGCCGTCTTCAACTTCTGTATCATCAGTAATTGAAGTGAGCAGTCTTAAAGCTTCCACTTCACGCAATATGGATTTCCTTTCATGACTGCCTATGACAGGCTTCCTGGTTCTCTTTATCGCAAACTTCTCGTTTTGAAAATTACATTCAAAGGCAATAGAGAACTGGCCACTTCCCACATACCGTATGCTGTTTGGTCCAAACTTTTCTAGTAAATGCTCATCGGTGTGCTTCTTCTTTTCTCGTGCCTCTATACTTAGAACTGGGTCAAGGTCATGGCGAAAGCTGGAGGTAGACAACGTGATGGTGTGATCATTGGATGCCTCACGCACAGCACTAGGAAGGTTAATTGTCACTTGGGAAGATGCGACAGAATCTGGTGGCATGTGCAGAATTGGAGTGCAAGGTTCATTCAGACTAGGGGCTCGGAGAGCCTGCGTGAGTTGGGGGTTCTTTTGCACAAGCAAATTTAGTTGCTTTCCCCTGCTGCTCAGCTTAGTTGGGGTCTCAAGAACGACATCATCAAACTCAAGGTCAGATTGGCCGTCCAAATCAAGTTCAATGGCCTTCTCAGCTTTCACTGTAGATGCTATTTTGAAGAATGATGAATTTGATTCATTGAGTTGAGAAAAGGAAGCATTTCTCCCCACTTCAATAGAATGGTCATGATTTGAGTAGCTGTCGTCAAAGTCTAAAGTCCGATTCATGTCTTTACCCATCAAGATAAGCGGGTTCTTTTTCATGGGTGTTTCCGGCGGTAGTTTCTTCAGGGGTTGAGGAACCGAATTCTTTTTCAATAATCCTGTTGATTCAAAGGCCGTTTGAAGTGGTTTGACAAACTTGTATGATGATTTTGATGAAGATCTTGAAGTTGTTTTCAGAGGAACTTGAAGCTTGTTTTCCTTCTCTTCATCATGTTTTAGTTTTTTCAGGCCTGCGCTAGTACTCCTATTCATAGGCTCGGCATCCACGTCAGTCTTTTCAGTATCATGATATATGGAGAAGTTAGAACCGGAAGAAACAGATGATTTCTTATGGGACTTCAGTGGAGACTCATCAGTATTGTACGGATCAAAGTTATACCCACTCAATGGTGAAGACGAGTTCTTGAACTTTGAATTTGGGCTTTTGAAAAACTTTTTTAAGTTAAATTCTCTTCGTCCAGGAGATGAAGACAAGTTGCTCGACAGCTTTAAAGGTGACATGATGCGAAGTTTGTTTGCGTTTTTAAACATTTTGTAACTGCTTTGATCTGAATGCGTTTTTGAAATGACTGAGTCAAAAGTGCTCTTATGTTTGCTGGCAGAGCTTGGTGATGGAGATTGGCTCACTAACTTATGTGGTCTCTTGAACTTATTGAGTGGAGTAGACTTGTCTATGAGCGGCAGTGAAGACGGGATATTCTCGTGTGTCGCCAGCGACAGTTGTGGGTCATCTTTGAAGTTTGAGTCAATGGATAGATTGAAAAACTTGGAGGAACGTTTCAAAAGAGGTTTCTTCCCAGTAAAGGGCACATTTGATGGGCGAGGGAGAATAGGACTCAGCGTCGAGGCCTCTGTGTCTGTCGCAAACGAACCATCACCTTCTCTTTCGTCTTGCACACGAGTCGTAGTTGCGTCACTATCATCCAAAGTGTCGTCTATAGTATCAAAACAATGTAAGCCCTGCTTTACATTGAAAGGTGGGCTCTTATTGAGTTTTTTTGGCTTGAATTCCTCATCATCGATGTCATCTAGAATTAAAGAGTTGAAGGAGCGGGAAAATACATTGTTGGCAAAGTCGTCAAGTTCGGACTGATGATTGCGATGTACCCCCGACGGCAACTTTGAGGGAGTTGTTCTTGGATGGCATGTTTCTGTAGGGGTTTTGAGTTCTGTATCATCACTAGAAGTTCTAGCAGCCTTATTAGATGAACCTTGCGGGTGTCTCTTCATGTTGAGAATTGTGGGATTCTGCGGTAGTGGCGGAGAAAGACAGATGCAAGAAAAGAAGTACAACAGACAAACTTCACAAGGAATATGACTTCAAAAGCTAACGTGGTGGAAAAAATGCGTCTTTTCCCGTCCGTTTCACTTTTGTTTTGTTCCGAAACGACTGTCTAGTCCCCCACGGTTAAAGATGGACTATATTTCGGTGTAGATGTTGTTGTTTTTTGGGGCGCGCAACGTAAACAACAGGGGGTAAACAAACGCGAGGGAACACCGCGCTGTTTTTGTTACTTTACTCTACTTCCCGGTGCTTCTACTAGAGGATAATAATACGTGAGGCAATGAATTATGTCGTTACAGAGTATCACAACAATCATTCAAAGCCTAACTCATTATCTAACAAAGACGCTGTGGTTCGCGTCTAATTGTTAAACATGTAGTTGTTTCCTGTACGCAGTGCCCAAATATATTCAATGTTTTGTGCAAGAGATTCTCAACAAGATGGCTCTCTTGGCCGATTTCGTTGATGGCCTCATATACCGAAGGTTAGAAAAACGGATATTGCATTAATTACAATAGAACCTTTATCTGGCTCGGGGAGACACAACTCACGTACGCAGACCTAGAATAGAGTTATCTTGGGCTCTCACGTAATGATCGCTCTCAACGTCAGAGTGTAAACAATACCAGGAAAAAAGATGTTGAGCACCACCATGCGTGGATTTCCATAACCTATTCAAAGAGTAGAAAATCGAAAAAAGTCTTTACGGGTGCAACATCAGCTGGCATTCTGTTACCACCACATGCATATGCTTTCTATGCATTTATTCAACTCGTCTTCCTTTTTGTTCTCAATACGTATTTTACATGTACTTTTCTGTAGTCAAAGGTAAATACAGCGTTTTGAGCACGGACTGTAGAATCCGATGATCGGTCTTTGCTTATTCAAACCCTTATACATCTCCTTTGATGCGAACTCAAATTAATGTATCATAGAAATGCTATGTTTTGGGTCGGTTCTATTCGCAACTCTCCATCACTCATTAGTTCCATACAGATTCCTTATTTCTCTAAACCTTCTTACATGAGAGCAATATATGACCATTTTCATGAGTAAATCATGGTGCGTCAAGTTGATAATGTGATGGGATTTTGGTCATAGAGTAAGCGTTTCCTACGAGTGTTCGAATCATGCTCCCAGTTGTGACGCAGACTCGTCATGTTTTATGTTGAGAAGACTTCGATAATTAAGCGCTGTGCATCATCCGACTTTTTGACCACATTTGACGAACAGTATGCGTGGAGATATACGAATAGTTCGACTCACTTTGGTCTGAATAAAAGGAAGCAAAGAAATAAGAAATGTTGTTAAATCTGGCTCTTTTCTGAGATGACCTAGAAAGCTTGTATAAGAATCCTGGAGTTATCGGTGAAAAGTCTTGGTGAAGCGCGCTGACATTTATGAATGCGCTGATTGGCTGAAGACCTGTCACTTTTCATTAGAGCTTAGTTATCTCTAAGCGGGACGGGCGGACTTCCAGTGCGCGTATCCTGTATGCCAGCTCTACCTTCATCTCGGCCAATCTGTACGAAGGAGCTTATTACAGAGTCACAACCAGGTGTGCGAGTTTTTCCATTGCCCTACGGTGCTTGCTTTCCGCTCTTTATTGTCTACCATCCTTGGTAATGCCATATTACACTCTAGATCAGCATGCCTTCCACTCCTGATTCATTGCTATCCAAGGTGCAAACGCCATTGGCCACCGACTCATCTGCTACTCCTGCCAAGAGCCCAAAGAAGGAAGACCAGCACGAAAAACTTTCACTATCACCGCTGCTTAAAGTTGAACAAAATCATACTGGTAAGGATACTGAGCAGGGCGACATCGAAAGCCGCAATGAGAAAAACAATCTGAATGGAACTCAGGGTCCTGTCCAGGGTCAAAGTCTTGATAAAAGTGAGAACAACCACCAAGAGCAAGTACATGACCAAAACAAGAATTCAACACAGAGTCATAAGGTCGATGAGAACCTAAAAGAACAGACACAACAAAAACCAGATTCCAGAAGTGTGTCTCCAAAGGCCAGCCAACAATGTTCAAACTGTGGCACTACTAAGACACCGCTTTGGCGCCGTGCCCCCGATGGGACTCTCATTTGCAATGCGTGTGGCCTATATTTACGATCGAATAATCATCATCGGCCTGTCAACTTGAAGCGTCTGCCTAATACTGTACCTATTCATAAGGAACAGGAAGGTTCGTGTAAAGGTGACGGCCGCTGTAACGGCACAGGCGGTGCAGTTGCTTGTAAGGGTTGTCCGGCTTTCAATAATAGGGTCGTGATTAAAAATGAAGATAAATCACGACCCAAATCTTCGTCACCAAAAGAAGGCGAAAGTCCCAAAGAAGATGAAAACTTGGCCATAGCTTGTTTCAATTGCTCCAGTACCATAACCCCGCTTTGGCGCCGTGATGACGCCGGAAACACAATTTGCAATGCATGCGGTCTATATTACCGGCTTCATGGTAGCCACCGCCCAATCAAGATGAAGCGCAATACCATCAAACGACGCAAGCGTAACCTCAATGTGCGTAGCGACACTGAAGCCAAATCAGAAGGTAAGTCTTCACCACTGCCGTCCTCCCTGGTACTGACCAGCCTGCTTCCAGCTACGTCATGCTTTCCTCCTTATTCTGGATCTGGCCGTGTACCGAACGGCCCTGGACCACTACCTGGGCCTCCACCGCGGCTTTTCCAACCAATGTACTACGTCCAGCCAACAGCTCAATTTGCGCCACATGTCGGTCAGCAAACTGTTCAGTTTAATCAGCACCCTCAACGGAATGTGCTTCCTGGACAAAATTCGCCATCTCTTCAGAACGAGCTACCGATTCCAACACAGCTTCCGCCAGTGCAGCCATATGTTCCCCACGTACAGCAGTCGCCGGAAGCTTACACATCATCCGCGCGAGGAACTGCAATCAAATTGCCGTCTATAAATGTAACGCCTATCAAAGAAACTGACGGCTCGCTGGACGGTCGACACTTGGCTGTGGACTTCACAAAATACTTTGGATCCAGCGAAAAGAAGCATCCCATGTCCATAGGCGGGCTCTTGAATGAGAAATGATAAATACATGCATTTACAGATATTTAATTAAAAAGTACTTGGCTTCAATTTATAGTTGAAACAGATAACATCACCTCTGCTCTCGGTACATCGCGCGCACATCTTGCTTGTGCTTATCGATGGTGTTTGATCACGTGTACTTGTACAATGGACAAACTGATCTAACATATACTACTTTCAGCATGGCTGTGGACGACTCAATCACTCGAAAGGTGAAGGATATCACCGCTGGCTTCGTGGGAGGCGCTACCCAAGTTCTTATCGGCCAGCCCGCAGACTTGGTCAAGATCCGGCTCCAAACAAGCACCACACCTACCACCTCGAGCCAGGTTATACGTAATGTCCTTATCAACGAGGGCCCATTAGCTTTTTACAAAGGTACTTTGGCCCCATTGATTGGTGTGGGTGCGTGTGTATCCTTGCAATTTTACGGTTTCCATGAAACCAAGAGACAATTGCTAAAATACAGTGGCCAGTCCACGTTGCTGTTGTGGCCCCAGACTTATATCGCTGGTGCTGTTGCAGGGATTGTCAATACTCCGGTCACCGCTCCTGTGGAGCAGTTACGTATCCTAAGCCAGTCCAGCACAAAGTCTTCCTCTCTTGTGGAAACGATTCGACACATATATCTGACTCGAGGCATGTTGGGCCTTTACCGAGGATTTAGTATTACATTGTTGCGTGAGACCCAGGCATATGGTGTCTGGTTTCTCACGTATGAGGCCTTGATCGATTACATACAAAAGAAAAGAGGTTACTCTCGCAGAGAGGAGATTCCCACTCCGGAGCTTTTGTTTTCCGGTGCAGTTGCGGGCAATGCGTTGTGGCTCAGCAGCTATCCATTAGATGTGATCAAAAGTAACATTCAGAGCGATGGTTTTGGGGCCGCGTCAAAATATAATGGCCAAATTGGTGCTGCTACTAAAGCTATTTGGCTTGCAAGTGGTGCCCGAGGTTTTTGGAAAGGTATAGTTCCATGCCTCTTGAGAGCAGTTCCATGCAGTGCCGGAACTTTTGCTGCTGTGGAAACAGCTCTTAGAGTCATGGGAGAATGATCCTGTTTATGTATTCCTATTGATTAGAGGTAGTATTGTTCAAGAAGGTTTTAACGAATGTAGTTATTACGTTAGCTTCTTGGTTTGTTTATTTTTTTTTTTAATACAATGTGTCATATAATCCTTATCTGTCGCTCCTATTCACAATTTGTCCACGATTTGCCAGTCTTTAGATATTAGTTCTATGTGTCGTTGATTTGTTTATATTTTTTTTTTATTATTTTCTATTATTCATCAGTCTTTCTTTCTTATAATCTTAAGCAAAAAGAAGTTTGTCAACGAATATTAGACATACCACTAAGTATTTCATGCTTCTGTAGCTGAAAGGTGTACAGTTTTTGTGCGTAGGAATCTGGTTTGCACCCAATATTGTGCGCCGTCATGTACCGCAACCAATACTCAATATTGCCATCAATTACACCTACTCCAGCGTTTCATGTTTCTGCTCATAAAATCCCCATCCGTTCAGCCTGTCGCACATCAGGTGTTTCTTCATTCTCTGCGTCTGCTTTTCTCATGGTTTAACAAGTATAACAAAAAGCTGATTTATCCTCCAAACCCCAACCAAATCACTACCAAGAACAGATTGTATCCCACCTACATTGAGCATTCAACCGAGCTTGGAACTTTGCTCTTGGGCCACGAGCCCTTGTTGTTGAATTTTACATTGCAAGGAGATCCCGAGTGCAATAAGGTCACAGGAGCGTTGTTCGACATTCTTAGTGACAAGAGTAAATATCCGCTCGATGTTTCTAAATCTGTTAGCCTTGCCAACATCACATGTGACTCAAGTGGTGGAAGAGAACTCCAGCAAACATATGCCGTGAGTAAAATTCCCACGGTAGTTTTGTTAAAGAAGCAAATGTTGGTGGACCGCTTTATTCCTTCCTCTCCACTGAAAGTCAGCGAAGAATTGACCGAGTGGATTAAGTCTATTTACTAAAATTATCGTCTTATGTATATTGTATTTACAAGTCTGCAGTTGCTTTTCTCCGTACCTCATTCATCCCACCCATCTTTCCATCTTTGTTTCCATAGGTTGCAGTCAAAACGAGGCTTGCCCAACTTCTTGTTAACATCATTGTGTGCCTCGCAGAGCCACTTACCAAAAACATCCTGAGATTCTGTTTGTGGTTCCTTCTTTTCCATGTATCGCTCGAAATCCTCGCCACAATACCAACAGGGATAAAAGTTACCAAATAATTTAAGGAACTGCTTAAGATCTGACTGTTGCTTGCTACTTGGGTTCTCAGGGTAAGTAGCAGCAATTGAATGAAGGAGGCTCCATGATGATCTTCCAAGTTTCTCCACATCTGGTGGATAATCTTTCTTGTAACCTCCTGGAAGCCTCTTTTCTTCTCTTTCGCTAGGGGCAGCAGCTGGAGGTATGGGAGTGGCGGATACAGCTCCAGGTTCAGTGCTCTTGCTTTTGCTCTTGGTCCTCCCACTTACCATTTGAAAGTCTAGAAGCGTGTTGCAAGCTCGACATCTATGCTGTTAGTAAAAATGTGAAGAGTGCTCATTGGGAGTTACGTACGGTTTGCCATCTTTATCGTAAACAATCTTACGACCGGAGGCACCTATTACAGGCCTTTCAGCTTCTGAATCTATGTTCTTGACTTCTTGTGTCATAGGAGTTAAAATGAGCTTAGTAACACTGGAGACTGCATTATGAAAGCGGCGCTCGCCTTCAAGAAACAAATGCAATATAGCGCATATGTCGGGCTACCACACAATATTACGATATAAAAGACTGAATGACATAGGGTATATATGCATTTGAAAGGTCTTTTCCGCTTGTCCAATCTGCACATTAAGGTGCACCCGACTAAGTGAACAAGCCTTACCTACACTTATGTGAATATGCAAAAGCCAGGGATGTAAAAATTAAGCTTGAACAGCAGCTTTCAATGTGCGAATGTATTCTTGACGTTGTCTGATGAGCTCATCACATAAATCGCCAATCTCTTGTGTTTTGATGGCCAGACGGGACTCATAGAACTCGGATAAATCGTACTTCAAGCCGTGTTCCTGCTCGTAATCCCAAGCTTGCTGGATCATCTCAAGTTTGTCAATGTCCTTGACGTAGCGAGCTTCTAAACAACGAATCTCCTCGTAATCAAGCCACAATTCTTTCATCTCTTGGGCGAAACGACTGTTGTATCCCTCGACCAACAGCTCCAAGTACTCGATAGTTTCAAACTCACGTCTGTGCTTCTCTTCTTTGGTAACTCCTCCAAAAGGTGTGATATCGCCCACAAGAGCTTCTGCAATATCATGTACTAAAGCGATTTTGACACACTTGTCGATATTCACCTTTGTTGACGGCACTGCCATTGCGATAATAGACATACGATACATGTGGTCTGCGATGGACTCCGTTTCTATGAGAGGAATGCCTCTGTCGATCCAACCGGTTCTCGGCTGGGTCTTCAATAACCGTACAATCTGCATAAACGCCAACATGCAATTAATTGGGCTCTTCTTGGTTAAGAGTTCTTTTACTTTGGAAGGCACCGCAGCCTCTGGGCGCCAAAGGGAGTCTGACATTTTTCTTGCAAGTAAGGGACAGAACAACAGTCTTCGTAACATTTACACAAATCGATGGAGAAGAAAATAAACAAGTGTACTGCACAGTGAACGACTTACAGCTGTAGGCTTACAATAAAACAGATACTTGACAAGATGTACGTAGGGTTTATTTTTACTATTAAGACAGGTGCTTAGTCTGAGAACGTTTAAGCAATCAATTCAACAACACCACCAACAGCTCTGATCTTCTCTTCAGCCAACTTGGAGACAAATCTGGCCTTGACGATGACAGGAACGTTTGGCAATTGACCCTTACCCAAAACCTTGCCGTAACCGTGAGCCAAGGTGTCAATGACTGGGGCAGCAGAAGAAGAAGCAGACTTGAGGTACTCTTCTCTCTTCTCTTCTTCAACCAAAGACCACAACTTTTCCAAGTTGATTTGTGGCTTCCAGAAGTGGTTTCTTTGCTTGTGGAAGTATCTCATACCAACCTTACCGAAGTAACCTGGGTGGTACTTGTCCATGTTGGTTCTGTGGTGGTGTTGACCACCGGCCTTACCACGACCACCTGGGTGCTTTCTGTGCTTTCCGACTCTACCCTTACCGGCTAAACTTGTTAGTACATAATGATCGAAGAAGACACAATTTTCGAGGCGGAGGAATAGGAATATGATTGAATAACATAATCTTGCAAACAAGGACGATTGCTGGAAAACTTTTCATATATCCACTTATATACCGCAATCAGGAATGGAACGCATTGGATTTTGGCGTATACATACCGGAAACATTTCCTCTGTGCTTTCTGGTCTTGGTTAATCTGGTTGGCATTGTTGATGTTAGAACAGATGTAGAAGTAAGAAAGTGAGAAAGCTCTATGAAATTTTTTTTTCCTCGCGGTGCGGCATCCTGGGCCTGACCAGATTGGGAACATATAGGTGCAGTCCAAACTTCTCGGTACACAGTCGCGCGAGCGAGGGCAAAGCCCTAGAATGAAACACGTGATTATAAATTATATTGCAGGTGAGTTCAACAACCGTTTCATGCATCTAGAAACATAGTTGTATGTGCCGCTAATTTCAGTGTCATAATACAAGTTGAAGAAAAGGTAGAACCTAAAACAATCGAATACTCATGCTCTAAAAAGGAAATCATGACCTACCCCAGACCTCTTCATAGGTGTTCCGGCCCTTTGTTTCAGGAATGTAGTTCTTGATGAAGAGATAAGACAATGCACACATGGCAGTAAAAATGTAATAAACTCCTCCACCAATCCATGAGTTCTTTAAAATGGGAAACAAAAACCCTACAATGAACGTTGCTAACCAGTTCATTGTGACACCCCAACTTTGCGCCAGCGCTTTAGCCTTTGGTTGTGTGACCTCCCCAACCAATAAAAATGGGATCGGACCCAATCCGATTGCAAAGAACGTAATGTACACGAATGTGCCAATTATAGATAATACTGCGTTCGTGTAAATAATCCCCAATCCCAAAATTGTCGACAGCAATCCCATGAATGTTACTGATGTTAAAAGTAATGGTTTTCTGCCCAACTTATCTACCAATGGTGCTGATGCAAATGTCACCACGGCATTGACCACAGAAATCATGCAATTAATGAGTACGGATTCGTTGGGGAAAATAGAGATCAACACAGAAACTCCATAGAATATAATCGAGTTAATTCCGCAAAACTGCTGAAGCACTAAAATTCCCGTGGCCACAATCTTTGAATTGGTATACTCCGAGGAAGTGAGATATTTTTTTAGTGAAACTTTTCCATCTTGATGAGAGGGAGATGGATCTGCCACATCCTCCTCTTGGAGCAAGCTGTCCTGTTCTGGAGTAGCGTTTGACGTATTTGACAGAGAATCGCTCTTCCAGCTATTCACTTCTAATCGTGCGCTAGCATAATCACCACCACGAAGCCTGTGAAGAGTCGTGAATGCTTTAGCGCTGAACCCACTGTTAAGGAGCCATAATGGCGACTCTTCGACGTAAAGGAGAACCAAGACAAAGTTTACAGCCGCGATCACGGCACCCATGAACAAAAGTAAACGCCAGTCATTGTCGTTACCCCACCACAATGCTAGAATCTGAGTAAGCAAAATTCCAATGTTAACTGACACTTGGTTCATAGAGCCCAAAAATCCTTTGTATGGGGCAGGCGCAATCTCGTTGATAACTAATGAAGTCACAACTAGTGCAGACCCAGCGCCAATGCCAGCAATAAAACGGCCAGAAAGTAAAACGTAGTAAGAATTGCTAACCCCATTCAAGGCTGAGCCCACGAAAAACACCACATTATGTAATAAAGCCGTTTTTTTTCTGCCAATCGAATCAGCAACTGTGCCCACGTAGAAAGATCCAACGAGCCCTCCGATACTGAAAATAGATGTAACTAGGCCGACTTGCTCATTGGATAAGGGAGTACATCTGGGAAATCCTCTGGATCCGAAAAAAGACTGTTCGTATGGCTCTGCGCCTGGAACAGACTTTCTACACGAAAGAATCGCTTCGGGCGAATTCAATTCGGCCATATGATAGCCAAATTGGAGCGAGCCAATGCATACAAATGCAACAGTGGCAATAAGATTTGCGGTCAAATTTTCCGCTTTTGGCATTGCGTTTCAATATTGACGGCGGTTCAGATTGACTAAGAATATGGATTCCTTATTATATGGATTCCTTATTACGTCACGTGTAAAGGAGGTGCGTTTAGAGTCTCACTGTTTATTTAGTGTTCGGACTTTAAGATTCAAAAAACATTACTATTATTTACTAGACCTGCTTTTCTTCTAGGATATTATCGTGTCGTCATTATTAAACTATGGGCAAGAAGTTGCCTATGATCATCATTGGAATGCCAAACACATCTCTTTTTAGCGTCCAAATGCAACCTGCGCGAATCTTGACATCTTTTTCTGGGGTGAGTAATGTACACTCAGTCATGGTGGCACCAAGAAAATCACCAAAGGCGATTCGAGAGAAGAGCTCGAAATATTCAACCACAGATTTGTCGTCTAGAAGCTCTACTATAAACATTGGCTTTTGTCCCATAAGTTGTTCTTGAGTCCAGCCTGTAAGCACCGTAAATTCGCGGCCAACGTATGCAATCTCGCCTGTTCTTCTCCACACAATTGTTGGTGTCCCACTCACCTTGATAAAGTTGTCGTACGTGAGCAAAGTCCGCTGAAAACACTGTTCCATGAAAATTAAGTCGGCTTCACGTAACGAATTTGTGCATGCAATAAAGGAAGGCCGATACACAGCCATTGATTTAGCCATTTTCACAAGCATTTCACGTGGAAATCGATTTCGTAGATAAGCAATTAACTTGTGGAATCCAGGAGTGTAAGAGAATGGTTTGCTTATCCGAGCATAGATTTCCTCTGGTTCTCGGAACGGTAGGTTCTCATCATGATCATCAGAATTTTCGAGAGACATACTGATGGCGAAGGAAACCATCAGCTGAGAATTACGAGCATAGTATGCTGCGGGATCGCTCGCGCTCAATTTTTCAAGGTACTTCATCACCTCTGGGAAGCATGGGCTGTAATCTGTTCGTCTTGAACCTAAGAAATATTGATTAATCGTAGGATCACAAGGAGGAGCCTCAGAACCGTTATAAGACCGGTTATTCCCATTGTGGGCTTCTGTTTGCATTCTTGTAGTCGAATTGCCCGCATAGTAGGTTGATGCAAGAGAAGAGGGAGAGTTCACTTTATGGTCAATGACGTGCGGGGAAAGTGCCGGAGATAAGTTCATTGAGTTTGGTGTACCTTCTGTAGATGTGGCCAGAGGATTTGGATTGAGATTCATGAAGTTATCCTGAAGTATGCTTGACAAAGTAGAGTATTCCAAGTCTGCGGCAGACGAGAGGAAGTTGGTACGTTTCCTTTGAATCCCATTTCTTTTATTACCGTAGTTAGCATCATGTCCTGGATCTAATTCTGCAGAAACAGTATTCTCGTCTCTTACTTGGCCATTATTCTGCGGAGGTAAAATGGGTACTGCCACTGGATACTGGTGATCGCCAGTGCTTTGTTTGTTGATACTCAGGGTTTGATGGCGGTCACTCGCCAAGTCCAGAGGATTCGTTATACCATTTTCTCGAGGATAAAATCGATTTGGCATGTCGTAAGTTTCCCCAGAATATCCTTCAGGCTGCTCGGCTTTTACTAATCCAGGAACAGTAGGAGCCTTAGTTAGGTCGGTAGACCGATGAGCAATGTAATTAGGAAGCGAGTTACTTTGCTGAAACAAAGTTGCCTGAAAATACTGCCCGTTTGATAATGGCTGGTGTCTATTCGATCCAAGGACAGCGTTACTAGGGCCACCTTCCTCTCCATTGAGATGTGGCTGTATTAGAGATGGAGGTACGTCTGACAAATACTTTTTTCGTTTCCGAGGAGCATCCTCACAAGTATCCTGTAATCCACGTTGGATACATCGGCGACAAGGCCTGGACGTGTCACACGTCATATGTGCCTTATGGCAGTGGTTGCATGCACGAGAGGTTTTCTTTCGTTTCTGAAGCGTTAGTGTACGAGTAAATTTAGCATATCGGCCTTTCGAAGTTTAGGCAGATTAAATATTTTAGGGATCTCAAGGGATTCTAGAGTACATACGGCTTTGACCGGAGGAGTTTCTGAGCTCATTACAACATTAATCCGTTATGACTCCCAGAAACGAGACTGTTGGTACTGTGAGGTGTGGTGTAAGAGGCACGGGTGCACATGTATTTTTATCTCTTGCATGCAACAACGGGGCCCTTGATTACAGACGCATGGCGCAACAATTACGTATTCAGTAGTATATTTCTGGGAAATGAGAAGAAAAGCGGTATTCAGCCGGCCTATACCTATTAGACTGACTAATATCCTAATAATTGTAAACAAATAATGGAAACCACGGTATAGTCTTCTCTGACTCACCCTTCCAAAGAATAGCCTAGGTTCACGCCTTCATTCTCTTTAGCTAAAGCGACAAGCTTTTCTTTCAAGAGCTGCATATTCTTCGTTATTGGCTTGAAGTCTGGTAGCCACTCAGCAACTCCAAATTGGAGAACCCCTCTAGCTCTTGTTTGACCATGGTCCTTGTGGCCATAAGACCCGTGCAACGTCAAGCGAAGATTCTTCGATGAGTATGAAGCTCGATGTAAAATGTTGCTATTATAGAATACCACATCTCCTGGATGAAGTTCAACCACCATTTCACCAGTAATGTGTTTTGTGCAATCTTCATCTGTGGTCTTTTCCCTCTCTTCTTCAGTCCGAACTCTTTTATGAGAACCGGGAACAACAATAAGACAATGGTCTTCAGTCAACGCCAAATTAAATTGAGTTCCACTAAATGGATCTTGAAGAAGCTGCGCTGCCTCCTCTTCCTCAGAGACTTCTGGTCGGATATGATCTCTATGCCACTGAAGATCAAAATCTGTCAATGGGTTGATCAACATATTAAATAGTTCCATTGACAAGCTATCGATTGATGTTTGAAGTATGTTGCTTGCTATTTCCAAAAGACGATCGTCTGAATACAATTCCTGAAAAGGAAGTGACATGTCTTTGAGTTCAGGATGGAGAAGGGCAGTCACACCCCATATATCGGGACTGAAATTCTTTGGCCATGGAGGAAATTGTTTACCTCTGGTCCTCACATACGGCCAATGGCCATCACGAGCATATTGCACAACTTTCTGTGATGCTTTTATATAATGGTCAATTTCCTGAGAGGAAAGAAACCCTCTCACGATAGTAAAGCCTTGCTCGGCAACTTGGTCGTGATATGTATAAGACTTCGTCATTTACTGGCTTTTGTTTTTGATCAAGTACATTGCTTATATAGTAGTACAGGGGAATCTTATCTCTTCTCGATACGGAAATGCGACCCCACAATTCACACAATGCAACGTTACAACGGGAGACAGACAATCGATTACAAATCAGATTACAAATTGCGATACTTTGCTATCACTCGTATAAATTTATACTCTATTCCATTGATTTGCTTCAGAACATTATGAGTCTTAGATGGGGAATTCTAGGTGCTGGAAAAATCTCCGGCCAGTTCGTTCATGATTTACTTGTTAGTATCGAAGAAGGTGAGAAGACGCATATAATTACCAGTGTCGGAAGCAGAGACGAGAAGAAAGGGCATGAATTTGTTGAGAAGCACGGAATCACGGCAGAGGCAAACCTTGGCTACCTGCCCAAAGTCCAAGACTATGAAGGTCTATACACAAACCCAGATGTGGATGTTGTCTATATCGGAACACCACACAACTTTCACAGGGAACAGGTATTGAGCGTGCTTGAGCATGGGAAGCATGTTGTCTGCGAGAAACCGTTTACTGTCACCAGTGACGAAGCGAGAGAAATATTCGAAGCCGCAAAACTGAAGAACTTACTAGTTATGGAGGCCATGTGGACCCGTTTCTTCCCTGCTGTTTCCATGATGAAGAAGCATATTTTTGAGGACAAAGTCTTAGGAGATGTTTATCGACTTGTAGCTGATCTCTCGCTGAACTTTGATATCAAAAATATGCCCCCTTCTTCCAGAATCCGCAACATCAATTTGGCAGGTGGAACTACTTTAGACATGGGTATTTATCCATTGACATATGCGCGTATATTGTTGGACCAAGGAACTGGCAAGAACGCAATGCCCTTTGAACATAAAGCGTTCCTCACGCTCGATCCCACAGATGGTGTTGACCACTTGTCCACCATATTATTGAAGTACAAGGACGGCAAGCATGCGATACTCACGAGCTCTAATCTTGTAGATGGACCATCGCCATTCCTAAGATTAGAGGGGTCCGAAGGAGTCTTAACCATGTATGCTGATAACCCAGCCAAGGCCCGCCATTTCAAAATTGAATTCAAAGATGGAAGAGATCCGATTGAATTCGAGGAGAAGAACAACTACATTGGATTCATTCATGAGGCAAATGCAGCTTTCAAGGCTATTCAAGAAGGAAAAACGCAAGTGTCAGAGATTCCGTGGGATGAGACTCTATTAGTGATGGAAACGATGGACAAGGTGAGACATGATAATGGTTTGTACTACCCTGGAGAAGAGAGGACGAAAAATTGATTAGTTCTACGCCTGCATTTCTAGTCAAAAGAAGTACTTAGTATATAAGTAATTTGATAACCAACGTGTTTTATCAGTGCGCTGTACGACTGATTCATAATGGGGTATACCCAGGCCGAATAAGCATGATTACAGTGGAATAAAAAAGAAGCCCACACAAGATCTTGAAAGGCTACTTTCTCCATGATCAGGTAAAAAATGACTACGGTAGCAGAATAAATCTCATCACGTGACGAGATTTCCAAAATTTTTAACCTAGCGGAGAAAAGTCTCTCCAATGTACATCCCGTCATATCGGTTTCTTTCTACCATGGCATCGATTCTTTCTAAATTTTCTAAGGTTCCGATTGAAGATATTTCTAAGGCTTCTGCCTCCTTATTTCCAGAATTGTCTACTGAGTCCAAGGCTTTGTCTTCTCAGTTTGAAACTTTGTCAAGCAGACTTAATGAACCAGAAACTTTGGAAACTTTAAATAACAACTTAAGAACCAAAACTTTTGTTTCTGGCAATGTTCCTGCTAAGGTTGATTTGGATTTATTCTCCAAAGTTTTGCCTGTTGCCTCCCAGTGGAAGACTGCTGAAGAATACGCTAAGTTCAGACACATTTTGAGATGGGTTGACTTGGTGCAAAACACCTTGGTTGAAATTCCTGAAGCCCAAAAGTTAAACATTAACTTGGATACCGAAGTCCCTAGAGAGATTAAGGAAAAGAAGAAGCCGGCTGAAAAAGCTGCTCCTGCCGACAACGCTGCTAAGAGTTCTGCTGAAAAGACTCCAAAGGTTCCAGCGGAGGGCAAAGTTACTAAAGGTGAAAAAGGTGCTGAAATATCCGAAGAAGAGAAGAAACTCAGAGCAGAAGCTGCTAAGGCTAAAAAAGCTGCAAAGGCTAAGGCTAAGGCTGAACAACAGGCCAAGCAACAAGCTGCTGCAGTTCCTCCTAACCCTGGTATGATTGACTTTAGAGTTGGTTTCATCCAGAAAGCTGTCAAGCATCCTGATGCTGACTCTTTGTATATGTCTACTATTGACATGGGCGACCCTGAAGGCCCCAGAACCGTTTGCTCTGGTTTGGTTAAATACATCCCATTGGAAGATATGCAAGAGAGATATGTTGTGGTGGTCGCTAACTTGAAACCTGTTTCTATGAGAGGAGTTAAGTCATGCGCAATGGTTTTATGTGCTTCGAAGGATGATACTGTGGAATTCGTCAACCCACCGGCTGGATCTAAGCCTGGTGACAAGATTTTCTTTGAGGGCTACAATGCTGTTCCAGAGAAGCAATTGAACCCAAAGAAGAAGATTTGGGAAGCAGTGCAACCTGGTTTTAGCACGAATGAGAACTTTGAAGTGACTTACACTGTTGAAGGTAAGCCACCGGCCAAGTTGGTGAACGAAAAGGGCGAACTTTGCAAAAACTCCACCATTGTTAAAGCTGACGTTAAGTAATTGGTTTACGCGATAATAGATGCATATCACAGAAAATAGTTGTGCGTACCTGTAATAATGTAGGGGGGCTCATCAAATGTTATGTCAAGTATTCTTAATAAATCACCATCTCATACTTGCAACATGATTGGAGATGCGCAGGTGTTAATTTGCTGTGCCAATCTGCACACCACTACTCAAGTTTTGAAACCACTGCAAATGAGGCTTCTAGACAAGACAATCGCCCTTGAAAAGGATAAAAGCGGTTCTCTTTCTCTTGTTCCGCAAGATAAAGAAGACTTATGGCAGCTTTATAACCTTGTGCAAAAAGGTGACGTTGTTGAACTTTCAACTGTTCGAAATGTCAAAAAGACTGAAGGTGGGAAAGCTGAACGTGTTCACGTTCGGTTGAAGTTGGCTGTCGAAAACGTTGAATATACTCCAAGTGACGAGGTGATGAGGATAAGAGGAAAAACAACGGAGCAGAGCGAATATGTCCCCAACCAGAGTTATCATACAGCAGAGGTACAACTAAACAAGCCACTTAAACTCAACAAACCCGAATGGGATGAGATTAGCTATGGAATCGTCCTCGCAGCATCTTCTGTTGAGAAGAAAGCTGAGGTCGGTGCTGTGGTTTTGCAAGAAGGTGTGGCACACTTATGCTTGCTAACAGATACGATGACAGTTCTTCGAAATAAAATTGAAAAGGCAATCCCTAGGAAAAGTAGGGGTGATGCAGGTGGAAGTGCTCATGATAAGGCAATGGCGAAGTTTCTTGATATGGTTCAGTCTACTGTGAGCCGCAACTTTGACTTGGAGAAGTTGAAAGTTGTAATTCTAGCATCTCCAGGTTTCACAGCAGGCGCATTGCAAAAAGCAATTTTCGATGCCGCAATAAAAGAAGACAATAAGCTTATATTGAAAAACCGCTCCAAGTTCCTCGTGGTTCATTCTTCTACTGGTTACCTTCAAGGTTTGGAAGAAGTGTTGAAAGATCCTACTGTTCAGAAGAATTTGAACGATACCAAGTTTGCCCGTGAAGCAGCAGTGTTCGAAGAATTTCAAAAAGTCTTGAACGAGGATGATGATAGAGCTTGGTATGGACCCAAGGAGGTTGCGAAAGCAGTTGAAATGGGTGCTGTGAAGTATTTATTGCTCACCGATTCACTTTTCCGAAGCGATGACATCTCTGAGAGGAAGCATTATATCAGCTTGAGTGACGAGGTAAAGAACCAAGGTGGGGAAGTCTTCATTTTTTCAACTTTGCACGATTCGGGTGAACAGCTTGACCAGTTAACTGGAGCTGCTGTCTTACTCAAATACCCAATGGATTTGTACGAATCGGACGAGGAATGAGCTTATTTCATTGATATTCATTCTAAATACAGTGGCTACTAAGGTTCACCTGCCGCTTCTTCCCCCATACAAGTATATACAAATAAATTACCTAAAGAACAAAATTCAGAGTCTTTATGTCATCGAAGGCTTTTTTGTACCACAAATCGCCGCCTCTTGAGAAAATCATCATATCCTGGCTCAATCCTAATACTAAGGCTAAGAAAGAACCCTTTTTCACGTGGTTGAATTTTTGGACTTTCGTCATATGGCGAATTGATCCATGCGTATACGCCACTATCGCGCCGGCGGCTGTCGTATTTAAGAAGTCGATCGTATTCCTTGTATAGTCGATAAGATACTCCAAAGCGAAGAAACTAGAGACACCCAATGAATATTTCAAACCTAATCTCGCGGCGTCTTTACATCCGCTAATAATCATCACGTAGTTCTTCTTTTTATGATAAAAGTACCATCCTCCCACAGTTGTCGGAAGGCGGTGTGCATTCTCTGTCAAATACCGAAGAGAGGACAACTTGACCCCCTCGTAGAACCCCAGTCCCGCACCAATAAGTCCTCCAATGGAGGCAGCCATCCTTATGCGATCGTAAGGCTTGAGATGGAAACGCTCATTGCGTAGAGAATCAACATTCGTGTCTGTTGTATCCATTTCATATACTGGAGAGCGAAAGTGTGTTCGTCTAGAACGGACTTGGTTTGACCACAAGAATGTTAGTGACTTGAAAAGGTATATTCCAAACTTGATTTTCGCACCCAGGTAATGCACACCCGTTGTACATCTTCGTACCAAAAGCACGAAGAAAAAATTAGCGATAGGTAAACAATCAACTCAATATTTGAGCTATGGGATCGAAAAGGTAAATCTTACCTACAGACTATTAAGGTGACATCTGCTACATTAAAGTTTTAGACGGTTTAGGCAAAGACGGGTATAAATAACAATGTGACACATATATATCATTGATCCAAAATCGACTTGACGAACTCTACATAGTCGACATTTCCATCCGACGTGACATTTACCCCCTTTAACAATTCATCGACTTCAGCATCTGTCAACTTTTCCCCAATCGAAGTCAAAATGTATCTTAACTCACCAACACCAATGTAACCTGTTTGTTCCTTGTCGAAGACTTGAAATCCTTTAATGTAGTCCTCAGGAAGTCCCAATGGCTTGAATCCGTCTGGTCTGTTGATAATCTCCTGATAAGTGTCAAAGTCGAATTCACTCAGTTTAACCTTGTCTTGCAATTCCTGGATCTCAGCCAAAGTTGGGTTTTGGCCAACGGCCCTCAATAAGTCTCCCAAATGCTCAATTGGGATCTTTCCAGTTCCTTTCTTGTCGAAAAGAGCAAAGGCATCTCTATAGGTTTTTGTATTGGAGGACTAAAGGAAGTTGTTAGTAGCAGACTTGGTTTTCGGGCAGAACGACACGTCACCAACATTCAAGTTTATTCAAGTTTCACTGTATTTTCTCAGCACATCCTTGAATAAATGTCATGTTAATGAACCGTAGACATACCATAATTTGATAGAAAAGTGCAATAGTGTCTAATGTTGATTGATGTTCGAGATCATGTAAACAAATGCACGTGATCCAACATTCTCCAATGGTTCAACTTGCCTTTTCATTATAGACAATTTTCCAAGTTCATCCTCTTAGATACTAAAAACGAATAACTTAAACATCCAACAATGTTGCTTCGTTCGTTTGAGAAATCGTCCGTACTTTTTTCCTCTTCTGTATGATTCATCACTCGTGATATATTTGAACTGCCTAGCGCGCTCAACAGTAAGTTGGAACTAGAACTACTAGCCTCCAATATGGAGACAGTGCAAACACATCATGATGGAACGAAAAGACGCAAAATTTCTACTGGTTCACATACGTTCAAAAAGGGAAATATAACCCTCCTCCGGATTTGGAACTTCACCACTTACTCTTATGGCGAATTCAAGCTTTCGCCCACACTCAACATGATCATAGGCCCAAATGGAACGGGAAAGTCAACGTTTGTCGCGGCTGTTTGTTTGGGATTAGGAGGGAGAGTGGATTTGATCAAGCGGAAGAATATGGATTCCATGATTAAGTCTGGTGAGAAAGAGTGTCGTATTGAAATCACTTTGAAAGACGAGGAAGGTTCACCCGATGTGGTGATTGAAAGGATATCTCACTTGAAACTGGTGAGGTCTACTTGGAGAATAAATGGAGAGAGTACTGACGTCATGTCAGTAAGACAAACAGTGAGAAGTCTCAATATTCAGTTGGATAACTTGTGTCACTTTTTGCCCCAGGAACGTGTTGCAGAATTTGCTTCTCTCGCACCCGAAAAACTCCTTTTGGAGACAGAGAGGACAATAGGAGATAGTTCATTGCTTCAGCAGCATCAACTTTTAATCGAACTAGATGAGAAATGGGTAGAAGTATCTAAAAAGGCTGAATCACTCGAAGAAACAGTGAAGGATCTTGAGGCAGATGTGGAAAAGTTCGAACAAGAAGCTCAAAAGTACCAGGAGTATGAAGTGAAGCTGAAAGAGATCCACAGTCATCGAAAACTTTTACCTTACGCCAAGCTCCAAGATGTTAAAGAGCAAATGAAGCACTTGAAAGAGGTCAGAGACCGAGCAAAACAAGAGCTTCAGGAGTTTTCTACCAATAGCAAACCGCTTGCCACTCATAAGAAAGTGGCGGAGAATAGTATGAAAAAAATTGATGCATCTTTAAAAGCTCTAAAAGAAACCATTGCTAGTTTGACTAAAAACACTGAGGATGTTTCTGCAAAAGCTACGAAATGTCTAGAGGAAATCGAGGAAATGAAAAATGAGATTGAATCTCTCCAATCGCGTACAGAGAACCAAAAGAGAGAACTTCAAAAAGCCATACACGAAAAGGAGGAAATGTCGAGGAAGGTAAACAAGTTGGATGTTGTTGACGAAGACGAAATTTCGTCATTGTCTGCAAGAAGGGAAGCCAAGCATGAAGAGAAATCAAAAGTAGAGGAAACCTATGATGCCATTAAATTTGAAATGAACTCCGAAAAGCGTCAACTTGAAGCATGCGAGCTGTCCTATAGAGAGGTACTCCGGAAGTTTCAAAAATAATGATCGCTTAGAGATTTTGAACACGAGAGGTACAAGATATAGAATCGGAACTTATGGAGCATGCTTATAAAGCACATACTTTTTCTCCGAAAAGGAGAAAGAGAAACATGATCTTCAGTACCATGAGGCTCCTGTCGTTTGCTGCCGTGTCACGCACCAAAGATACGCGAAGTATTTCGAAAAGATTGTTGATAATAATACTTTATTTTCCCTATTCTTCTCTAATGAGCAGGATTACAGGAAAGTATCGTCGGTTTTGCCCAAAGACATCAACGTACCCATGAGAGTAGTTGCGAATAGTACAGTGCGGCCGCCTATGTCTGTGGAGAACCTCAAAAAGCTAGGTTTTGATGGCTACTTGTCTGATTTTATCACGGGTCCTGATGCAGTTATCCAAGGTCTCAATAACCGTTCATCATTACATTGTATTCCAGTGGCTCTGTCGCCTATAGATCAAAATACAGTGAAGAAATTGCTTCAACCTGGAAGTGATGGAAAAGTACCTTTTCTACGGTTCGTGGTTGAGAACAGTTTATTTATGGTTGGCCGCTCGCGATATGGTTCTAAACAGGTATTCTACCAGACGGAGCATATCGGTGAGGCGCACCTTATGGGTTCCGAAGGTTTGACAGAGGAGGTTAAACAGGAGATTCAAAGAAGACTCCAGGATTTAAAACTCAAGATCGAACGTTTCAAAGATTCTATATCTAAGTTGGAGAAGAAAAAGCAAGATTATCAACAAGATCTTACAAGTTTAGATGACGAGCTTAAAGAATTAGATCAGGAATTTAGAAGTCTACGAAAGAAAAGAGAAGCAAGACTTAAGTTCGAGGAGAACATCAAGCATATTGAATCAAGGGTTCATCAATTATCACAAAACACGAAAAAGGACTTCACTCAGAAGATTGCTGAAGCTGAAACAAATTTAATGACAAAATATGTAAACTACTCTGATTTTATGGAAGAGATTGTTCGACTCAATGAAGAGTTAGTTGGCTGTACTATAGAAGTCAAGAAGAAAGAACTTTTACGACAACAACAGGAGAATCGTCACTTGGTATTTCAGTCTCTTCTTCTGGAACTTGAGGAGAAGAAGAAAGAGCTCACAGAGAAGTATCTTGAAGCCAAGAGCAAATATGACGAATATAAAAAGGGTGATGCTGCTGATGAAATTCGAAACCAGACTTTAACGACTGAAGAGAGAGAGGCTGTGAAGCATTTAGCAGAGGTATATTTAGCAGAGGGAAGGCTTTCAGAAAGCTATGTATTAATGCGGATAGAACAACTTGAAGACGATTTGTCTGTTTTGTCACACCTGGACAGAGGTTCCTTGGAGCTTTTGAAGTCTAAGAAAGCAGATCTTGAAATCGCAGAAAAGCAGGTTCCTCAATTAATGAAGCAAAAAACGGACCTAAAGATGAGGATGGATAACATTTGCAGTTCGTGGGAAAGAGATCTTACAGCTATGGTCTCTAAAATATCACTGGCTTTCCAAAAGAATTTCATAACTGTTGCAAGTGATGGACAGGTTGAATTGGTTAAGAGTGAACGCTTCAAAGACTGGAAATTGGAAATTCTAGTTAAGTTTAGAGAAAATTCTGAGCTTAAAGTTCTCGATCACCAATCTCAATCAGGAGGCGAAAGAGCCGTTTCTACCATCTTTTTCATCATGGCGCTTCAAGGGTTGACAAACGCCCCAATCCGTATTGTGGATGAGATTAATCAAGGAATGGATCCCAAAAATGAGAAAATGGCACACAAATATTTGGTACATACTGCCTGTAAAACGGGTTCGTCTCAATATTTTTTGGTCACTCCAAAGTTGTTAACGGGATTGTTCTATCATCCAAAAATGGCTATTCATTGTATTTTTACTGGGCCTCTCCTCAAAAAGAATAGTGGACCATCTGAAGGTCCTGGATTTTTAAATCTACAAAGAAATAACTATGTACAAAGTTAATACTATCTATTTACATTCATCATTTTGACTAAGATATGAAATTGCCTTGTCAAGCCTTTCTGTGTATGTATCATAGCCGATCAATTCAATCAACGCAGGAATGGTCAAACCGGACACACCCCCGGATAATGCAAATCTTGTTGCTTCAAACACTTGCTTTTTTGAAATGTCTGCAATGGCATTAAGAACTTTATCTGTAGGGAAAGGATGTGATTCTGTTGCGTTCTCTCTAATGCACTGAAGTATGCTCTTGATGTTTGAATCACCACGTTTCGCGATCTTTTCGTACTTTACATCTTCAAAAATGTACGAGTGAACTGATTGCAAGTCATAAACTGTAGTCAAGCTGGGTCCAACCGCGATAAGCGATTTCCTGAAATAGTCTTTTGAAATTGTTGGATACAAGTTTTGAAAATAGGAGTAGTACTCATCAACAATTTCATTCAATGCATCTGGATTAGCAATCTTGGTGGTCAAATGATGCTTGTTAAAAAAATATAACTTGGAATCGTTAACCTTCGCATTGCCTTTTGTCAAGTTGTCCAAAGAAAACTGCTTTACAAGTTCAGGTAATGTCATTATTTCGCTGGTCGTTTTGAACTTTTCTGGCCGTGGAGGGGACCATCCGAACAATGCACAGAAATTAACCAATGCCTCAGGGAGAATACCTTTCTCACGCATACTTAAAATCCCAATATCACCCTGTCTTTTTGACAACTTTTTGTCTTCTAAAGACGTCAAAAGAGGTATATGGATAAACTGAGGTGGTGTCCAGCCGAAAGCCTGGTACAACGCCACATGTTTCGGAGTTGACGTGATCCATTCTTCACCTCGTATTACATGCGTAATTTTCATCAAATGATCATCAACGATGTTGGCAAAGTGGTAAGTAGGCAATCCATCCAGTTTAAGAATGACAAAATCATCGTACCGCCGGTCGTTCAAATTATACTGAGGCTGGAGATTTAGAGTCCCATGAAGCAAATCTGAGAACAGATCATAACTGCTTGGTGAACGAAACCTAACTGTATACGGAAGATCTTCTGCACTTGTTTCTGGGTTGTGTAAACATCGACGATCATATGTCACAGTGGTAGGTGGTTTTAATTGCATTGCAGTCTCTCTTAAATGAGCTAAACGTTCCTTTGAACAGTAGCATTTGTATGCGTGGCCAGTAGATATCAATTGGTCGGCGAACTTTCTATAAATGTCTGCACGATCGCTTTGACGGTAAGGTCCATAATTTCCACCAACTACAGGAGATTCATCAGGTTTGAGTCCCGTCCACTCCAAAGATTCATAAATATTCTGCTCTGCACCAGGGACAAGTCTATTTTGGTCTGTGTCCTCGAGCCTCAAAATAAAAGTTCCGTTGGTACTCTTTGCTAAAAGATAGTTGTACAAGGCCGTTCGTAATGACCCTAGATGAAGGTAGCCAGTAGGAGACGGCGCAAACCTAGTCCGAGCAGGAGTTTTTGGATGTACTGACTTTTTGTATAGCGAGGGCTTTGTGAGCTTCCCCTTGAGGCCCAACTTTGCCAATTGCCGTAGACTCTGACGCATTGGAGTTTTCTTGACAATTGATAGCTTCGCATAAATGAATATACATCCGTACACCTCCACATTTTTGGAAACGAAGGCAAGTCTGATGAAAGAAGAAACCTAGAAGCATAGAGAATGAATATTCCAGAACTAAGATGGTTTTCATATTCATCAATTCGTAGGATCATAGCGAATTTATCAAATGGCATTTTCGCCTTCAGTCATGTGAGTCATCCTATGTCTCGTGGAATGTTCATAATAGGTACATGATCATTTTTCCACAATGTCATGTCAAAAAGGAATTATATTTCTTCCTATTGGGTTCTGAATATCTACTTCGTATCGTACTTTCCTTCTAGTGAGCGTTGATTCTCTTTTCACCAAGATTGTGTGTCCACCATGCACACCTGTAATTGCCGCAAAATTTTTCACCAACAAACAAAAGGTATTCAAAGGGCATTCTCTTAAAGGTCGACTGAACATGGCCTCCCAATCTTATGGACGACAAAACCTAGCCTCGCCTAATGAAATCCAACAGCGCCTTAACCAGAAAAGACAAATGCAACAGTTTTATCTCCACAAGCTGTTTGACCTACTGCTGGACGCCGAGTTTCTTCCCTTGATCCCATCCGATCCAGTGGTCGCCGCTATACAAATGCAGGAGACTTACGCCATGAACAACGCTACAAACAACTTATCGCGTTACCAACCTCAGAACGGAAGTCCAGCCATGCAAAGACAAGACATGGCCTTTTACGGAGCATCACAAAAGGCCAGAAGACATAGCGGACAGTTTTTGCACCAGCACCTTTTCGGTGGGAAACGCCCCGACTATGCGCAATACCGATCAAACTAAATCACTATTAATGAGACACCTATTTGTGTCCATGCGAGCACTCGCCACAATAGCCCACGAACCAACCATAATGCTTTCAGAATACCTCTCGCTGTTTACATTGCTTTTACTGATTTCGATAAGGAATTACATCGTCATTCGCATCCTATTGGATATCCCTAGCCGGACAAATAGCTGCATGAGCTGTATCGATCGAGAAGCTCTTAGATTAGTTGGTGCTTTCAACAATAACTTTGCTTCAAAAAATTTATGTTCTCACGAATTAATCATCGCCTTCATTTTGTACATAGTGAGGAAGACCCACACGGTCGCTTTATAGAATAATGCACGGATATCATGGAAGATTCTGCGAAGAGTAGTAGTGTGCATGAAACCAGTGGCAAGGTTCCCCATGTTTTCGCATCTTTCCATATATATAGAGACCCTTATCCGAATGCGCATCTCACCACCTTTGGTTTAATCAACATGTGTGGAAAGAACGGAAAGAAAGATGAATTGGAAGTGAAGCCATCCACTGAATTGTCACCATTTGATGACGACATAAACCAGATTTTTGACAGAGTCGGTAACTTCACGAACCAACTAGCAGACTTCACCAAGAAAGTTGTGGGTCAAACACACAACTTTGCAAAGAATTACGATTTCCCTTCATGGATGAGCGAGTCAAAGGGAGAGACAGAATCCTTCATGAACAGACCTTATCAAGAAAGAGATCCCGATTTGTTTTTCGGCAAACATCCTTTTGAAACGTTTGATCCCTTCAATTTCTTTTCTGATTTCAAAAGACGTACCCCTTTTGGAATCCGTTCCCATGGCCAACCCTCAGTAAGAGAATATAATGACTGCCTTCGAAAAGATGGTGAATCATTGTGGGATTCTAATGGTTACTGGAGATGTCTTTTCCCCAACAAGGAGGTTCCTGTTGCTTTGTTAGACTACAAGAAGGCCCATTTGAGCAATGAAATCTTAACTAAAGAAGATTTTACTGACGCAGCAAAGGAATCATCGGGCAAGAACGTTGTTGATTTGGGACCCAAGGGCGTCTTTTTCAAACAGTTCAACGACTACTTGAATTGGAAGAACTCTGAGTACGAAAGTGTTCGCAAACGGAGAGAAGAAGCCATAAAGAAGGCCAATGAAGAGAGAGAACACTGGAAACAATTACACGACTCTCAGTCACAGTCTATGACCACTCTGGGTAATGATTCTCTGAAGAAAGCTGTGGTATCTCTTTCAGTGCAGACGTCTATGGATACAGACACCGACAAGAATGAAACAGTATTAAGAGAGGTTAGAACTCAAGTATTTGACGATGGCACCTTTACAACAACTAACATCACGAAATCCAAACCTATCGGATCGAAGGAGTGGACCACCGTCAAAGAAGATACTCATGAAGATTCCAAAAAGGGTTGGTTTTGGAACAAATGAGGTAATCGTATTTCATCAAATCTCGAGGAGAAGTATGGTCTCTTAATAACTCCTTGAGTAACCTTGTTTCAATGTTTGCGTCATTTATAAATCAATAAACTTCAATTTAGGATGAATTAACACTTGTCACACTAGGCAAAGAGAAATTAAACAATACAGTTCTTTTCTTTTCTTTCTATGTAGCTACTGGCTAATCGGAAAATCGATTCCCAACACCGCTAGGTATACTGCAACTTGCTTGTGGATCTTAATATGTTTTGTTTTTCGCCTTGCGTTGTTTTTCGCCTTGTCTCCGACGTGGTAATCTCCTTAACAAACCTAAATTATGCAAGTGGTGCACAGGTGTAATTCTCGCTCCTCCACTATCAAAAACGAAGATAGACACAGCTGTTCACACAAACAATGAATCCCTTGAATAAAATCATCTTTCTATCAGCATTTCTTGCATTTGGATTCCTTTTGATATTGCTTTCATGCGCTCTTTACAATAACTGGCAGCCCCTTTGGGTCATTGTGATTTTCCTAATGGCACCGTTACCGAATATACTTCTGTCTTCCATAGCAAGCCACAGAGACGATTTTTTGACTTTCAGCAATGACCATGGAAACACTCCAACACCGGTGGAGGAGGTAGCAAAGTTCTTAACTGGTCTCTTGATCGTCAGTGGGATTTCCTTACCCATCACATTGTACCACACAAATTTGGTGGGTTTAGGTTCAATGGTAATGAGTATCTTGGGTGGTTTAATTGTGTATCTGGACATTGTTGTCTTTATATGGTTTTTCAGCGAGAGTGAAGAAGAAAATAACGATTTCAACTTCTAAACATCGCATGTGCATTACATACAATCTAGACTAGCTATATTAGAAAGGTATCTATTAAATACATTCTGCTGCTGCGCTTCAGGATCCAGCCCTAGTTGAGCACAACCAAAAGCAAGATCAAAATAATCGTTAAAATAACGATAGTCACCAAACTCCCGTTTTCTCTCATTCTACGCCTGAAGCGGCGTATGTTATTAGTGGCCCTTGTAAGTCTATTGGAGGCCGAATCCACTCCTCTTTCAAGATCATTGAGTATCACAAGATGCTCGTCAAGTTCGTCATTGATTGTAAGACCCATCGAGTGTTGAATGCGAATCAGGTCATGAAGCCTATCCAAGGACTCATCTTGCGCTAAAAGTTGTTGTTGATGTTGTGCAAAATGCTCCTCATTCGTTGTATTCACTGACAGAATCGTTAATCGGTCATCCTCTCCTTCCTCAGCTTCGTCTCTATAAGGTTTAAAGTTTGCAGAAGTACCCATAAGCTGGTTGCGAAGTTGAGTCGAGTCGTCCGCACTGCCGGAACTTCCGGAGTCACCCTCACCGCCTTCTTTGAAGCGGACTGACTTTTTATTTGTGAGCTCGCCTGCGTGGTTGATTGTGCCACTAAACTTGTATTCGTCAATCTCAACATATGGGTCCTTTTCTAATCTCTCAAGAAGGTCTTTGTAACGGTCAACTACTTCCGAGAATTTGGACGCATAATTCTCTGCAGATCCTGAAATGTCTGACTCTAGAAAAAGCAAGTTGGATTTCAACTTTGCTAGCAAGTTAATCAAGTCTAAGTTGTCGGATTGAGAAGGAGTTAGCTGTAAAACTTCCACGAGACGAGAACGCTCATCTATTAGATTAGAGAGCTGCTCGATGTATGAGCCGATCCTGTTTAGCTGTTTTTGGATGTCTTTAGACGAAACAGACATATTGCAAGATATATAAACTAGACAAGCTTGTCACAACGAAAGAGGAGGGGTGATATGTACGTATATAGAAAATTATGTGCACGTGACCTATCTCTGTGTTCATCAAATTGATGTAAATACCAGCATACAAACATGTGAAGGCAGCTCCCTAGCATTGAGGTCTATCTATCTCTTAGCCTACCGCTCTGTGGAAATAAGTTGTCCTTGGGTACCACAAATGTATTTAGCGGCACGCAATCTGATAATGATCGAAGCGCCTCTTTTAGACACTCTTCGATCTGCGCGTTTTCCTGAAGCGCCATATCGTGCAAGCAGTCCAAAACGACCTCAAACTGGGGGGCGCGAGCTAGTATGGAATTGCATGTTTTTTGGAGCGAGTCAGATGTATTTTTTGATTGCATTGTTTTCAGAAAACCAATTTCTGTGTCTGCTGTAATTGATGTAGCGGTTGTGGAGCATTGGCTTGATCGGAGAGACTGAGCGTCGGATTCATAGGCGGAGTCATACAAATCTAGTATCGGTAGACTATTCTGCGGGGAAAACTCTGTAGAATGATTGGACAGCATACGATGATAGTAAAAATGGCAAGAACGAAGATGTGGAAGTGCAAAGTGATACGGAAACCGGAAGAGCAAAATTGCAAGCAAGTGAAAACAATTGGAAGAGACGGTAGTTATATGTAAGTGCTACTAGTATTGCCGAAGAAGCCTAATGTAGCGAAACGAGACGCGTGCCGCGACTAACCTGCACCATTCCAACTAACTAACATGGGGAGCATCTCCTGTGTCCCTATCTACAGGAAAGGAAGAAACTCTTGTAGGTAATACACGAACTCTTGCAGTCCAAACTTCGGCGGAAACGGCAGGGTAGGGCGTCGGGTAAGCGAAATGCTCTCAATCTACAAAGCCGTGGCTGTTTACATAGTTTGGGAAATAGTGGTATTATGATCACGTCTATGCACAAATTAGAGTAGACACACTTTCTTCCGGACACACTTCCTTCCGGTTTCTCCAGAGCAGTTCAGGAAGTACAACTGTGTGCATGTGTGTGTGTGTATGTGTGTGTTTGATGTCTGACGTGACTCGAACTTTCCAAACGTATCAGCTTCAGCACTTAAGGTGGCTGGTTCAATCCGCTTTACCTTGCAAAAAATGAAGGATCTTCAGCGTCACTTTACAAAAGCTTAATTACGAGAAATGTGAAGTCAGAGTACACTTTCGGCGTGCGGTTTTGCGCGACGGGGAAATAATAATCGCGAACGAGGGTGCCTATAGTTACTGCAACGTTTGTTTCTATGCAGTGGCGACATAGCCATGCATCAGAAGTTCCATATTCGTACTAATTCAATCGGTCTTTCATCCACTTGTTTCCAACATGAAGGATAGAATTCAGCATTACAATTTATCTAACAGATATGCTTTACAGCGTTTTAGTGCAGAATATAAATTAAGATCAAGAATTGAAAACACTCGTAAAAAATCAGTTAGTGTACGACAGGCGTACCTCTAGCACTCTTCCGTCAAACATTTGTTGCTCTTTAGAAGCATATTGTCTCATGGCAGCTTCGTCAGCAGATCCAACAGTCTCCAAAACGACTTCGTTGATCTCCTCAATTTCGTCTGAAACTTGAGGCAAGATCAAGTTCAAGAACAAACCAATAAAGCCAGTGAGGGCAAATCCTGTTTCCATCACCAACACAATAGCGTTAAAGAAACCTTGCAAAGACTTGTTGTTTCCAGTATAGGTGAATACGTGGTCGAACCAAGTTGGAACCAAAGTAGAACCTAAACCAGGCAAGAGGGAAGCAGTTAACAAGAAACGGTCTCTTCTGGTGAATTCGGTGGTGGAAACAATTTTGATACCGGAAACAGCAACAGATGTAAACAAGAAAGAGGTCATACCACCCAAAACTGGCTTTGGAATAGATACAATGGCACCAGCAAACTTGCCAAAAACACCCATGACAATTAAGAAAAAGGCACACCAGTATCCAACTCTTCTGTTTGCGCACTTTGTAATGGAAATCACACCGTTGTTTTGAGCAAAAGTGGACATTGGGGTCACAGTCATCAATCCAGATAATATACCATTAACACCATCACAAAGGATACCTCCTTGGATTCTAGATTCGAACAATTCACCTTCAACTTCCAATCTGGAGACATCGCAAGTAGCAGTAATATCACCAGTAGCTTCCATAACCAAGGTAATATAGACCGCCAAAAATGGAAGCACAATAGGGCCATATACCTTTAGTTTGAATGTGTGTACCCAAGGGAAGGTGATTACAGGGGCTTGGTCAATGTTGTCGTGGCTAAAGTATCCGCATGCAGCTGCAACAATACATCCAACCAATAATCCCACAATAACAGCACACGACTTCATAATGGGTGCACCGAAACGTTCACAGATGATGATTGTGCAATAGACAAGGAATCCTAGACCGATCAATCTTGCGGATCCCCATGGTAATTTCTTGTTTGTGCAATTTCCGCTTGAAATACATCCTGAGCCACCAACCCAGTCCTGGAAACCTGACTCAATCAAGTGAACACCAATCAAAAGCACGACTGGACCAGTAACGATTGCAGGGAAGACTCTCTGAAGAATTGCTGGGGGAGAAAAAGAAATCAAAATGTTTAGTAAGGCACAGACAATACCAGTTCCCAAAATGTGGCCGTACCCATCAGGACAAGGTTGCTCTACCCCATTAACTGTCTTACAGATTCCATTTTTGTACATCATGGGGAAAGCACTTGTAACAATGGTAATTGTCGAAAACGAAGTACCGACAACTGAGAGCAACCCAGTACCAATGTAGTAGGGGGTGCCATAAATATGAAAACGAGTAATCTGGATACAAGACAAAATACCAGAAACAATCAAGGATGACGAAACCAAGTACTCAGAGACTTTAACTGATAAGTTTGCCAGACTTGAGATCATAAGTGGAGGAGTCACGACACCAGCTAACATGGCCAACGCATGCTGGAATCCCAAAAGAAACCCAAGAAACAAAGGCATGTCCGAGTTCAAACCGAAAAAAGGTTGAGTCTTTGCAGTTTTCTTGGTGAACGGAAGTTCAGGAATGAAAAGGTACCCATAATCATAGTCACCGAGGAAACCTTCACGGGTAGTCCACTTATGTAACACTCTCTTTCCGTATAGTGATAGGGATTTTTTTTCGAGCATGTTGATGTGTTTGAATAGATAACTTCGAGTGCTTTGCTCTAAAAAAAAAAATGCACAATAACACTTGCTGCCAATGAGTAATTTATATTAATCGCAGATGCTAGATAGCTTGCACCGAAGAACTTCTCTATCTTATGCAGGTTGAATTTTCAAAGCCAATCGATCGGCGTCGTGCGATCAGTCAAATTATGCGGAAATCGCCGACGTCTTGGCTAGAGATAATGAAATACTTTCCTAGATCTGGCACTTTTCTCCTTTAGATAGGATGTATCAAACGGGACACTTAAATCACACATATATGTCTTCTTGATGAAGAGACGTATACGCTAATACTATGGTGCAAAAAACGGTGTTCGAGAATCAGCATGCGAGGCGATGATTCGGCGATTTTTTAGTGCGTTTGTTCGCGATAAGATAAACGGTTCGGGCCATTCCGAGTTTTTTCGTACGATGCGCGGAATTGAGCCTTTTCTTTATCTGCCATCATATCTTTTCTTTTCTTTCGGAGAAGGATGTTAGACAATCTCATTAAAAAAATTTTAGACAGGCTAAATCTGAGGGAATATGTGGAGATGTCCGCTTTTTTTTATTTTTGGACTAAGCTGCTGCATTATTCCGCAAGTAAACAACTATTCAACCTAATGAGCACGATTGGCGTTCACCAAGAATTTCACTTGGTCACTAAATTCACGGTATGCAAGGCTACGTTCATTACTGGACTAAATGATTACTAAAATGCTCGTCTATCTATGACTCCTGAGCGGAAAGGTCGTGCAGACGACTATCGTTCTGGGGTGCGGCCAAGGATACCGTTTGTATACATGCCAGTGCTTCGGTGCAGCTTCTGTCATGAGCTCAACTACCATCTACATTGACAGACACTTACGAGATCTTCACAAACTATGTTCGCATCTCATAACTCCCCATTATCGTTGTCTTAGATGGGTCTTAAATACAAGATGAAATTCAAGGGCGAAAGTCGTCTCTTCGACTGACCGTAAATCTCCACAGTGGACTCAAATGGTCCACTAAGGATAAGAGCTTATCTAATTGTATTCCACAAGTAAGTTCTCGATTATAAAGAGGATGGTGAATAGCAGTCCTCAACTGCACCAAGTGATAAATTGTCCCCACAAACGCATGATATGACACGTAATTACTATCACATTTTTGTCTCATGTAGGAATGGAAATGGAATGTATTTAGAAGTGGCCCTCTGTACATGTCCCTGTGAGTTAACTTTTGAAGTCTAAGCTTTGTTTGTATTTATCTCAGGGAAGACCTGAACCTTGGTATTTAGGTTTCTCTTTTGCGTAACAGAAGCAATGAGGCTCTTCACTAGGAAGCTCTGCACGTCTTTAGGTTTGAAGTAGATTTGGGTTGCTTTCGAGAGTGCACTTGTTTCACTCAAAGGGGCTCGTCGTCAGCTTACGAATGTCTAAACAAAATGTAATGAGTCCGCCCAATTGGGCAACTAATAGATACTTCGCCAAAAACGCATACATGAAGTTTATGCGGAGGTTTCTGTATTTTAATGGTAGTGTTGAACTGTTTTAGCAAGGGCCACAGATGAATTATGACCTTCAATCTCACGCGACTCTTAACCACAACCACAATTCATTACAAATGTTGCGCACAAGAAGCTCATTTCTTTTTTTATTTCTTTTTTCTCGGTCTTTATCCGCCTGCAAGTGCGATTCTCGTAATCTTCTTTTTCTCTAACATGCTCATTCTCATAACTCTAAACAAAAATACGTTGTCTTGATCTCTTTACAATACGCGTCGAAAAGCCCTTGTAAATCAGATTGCTTGGGGTATTTGGTCGTTTCCCGACATTGCCGAGGAACATAATTCCAAGACTATAAACAGCCATATAAATTTGTATGCCGGTTTCGGGTGCCAGTTATTTTATCCGCACGAAGTAGGGTACCGAATGTTGCTACCGATAACAAACGAAATGCACATCTACAATAAAAGGAAATTCAACACAATGGTTCCTAAGGGTTAATAGAACTTATGGGTCACATGGTATTGTAGGATCTCTTATTTTGCATTTGTAGGTGCTTTTTTATTGTTAGAAAACCATCAAGGGAAAGGCACATACCTGGAGATCCTTCATTTAAGCATTACAATTCTTGGCATGCTTGGTAAGCTATTTTTGCATCAAACCTCACAAACCATGGCCCACAATAATAACCTCTCTAAAGATATCATCTTGTTGAACCCTTCGAATTTCCCAATTTGTATCATCTCATACACCTCATTCGCAAACTCATCACCAAAAGTTTTAGAGACAGAACAAATTATTTTGGTCATGGTTTTCCGCATACAATGCTAGCTGTAATGCACGTCGACAAATTATGCATGCATGTTGTCATAAGGAAATTTTCAATCCTCTTACTTATGTATTTGATCTACTGCATTTACTCTTTATCTTGGTCAGCACCTTCCTTAGTTCTTTTTATAAGCCGAAATTTGTGAATAATTTAATTTTCGAACAGTTTTCACCTGGTATTGGCGCCATTCCCTATATCCACCCGTGTTGTTTTCAACATGTTCATCACCATAAGAAAAAAATACCTTCAAGTTGGGACAGTTGCTTTGCTCTTGCTAATTGTTTCCATGTGGACATTAGCATCTTCCACCCGGCTGAGCGCTATGTCGAATAACCTAGATGCCCTATCACTATCTATCTGGTCGCACAGTACATCGAAGTATACAGATCGAAAGTCAGCATTTAATAGAAAGGTCACAAAGTTGTTCCAATGGAGAAAACAATACGACAAAGAAGGAAAATTTTCAAGGGCAGATACTACCATAACTCCAGACCAGACCCAACTTATTATTCCTGAGTATTATAAAGAGCCTGATCATAATAGAACTGATGTACAACCTTTTGACCCACGATTTACGCTAGGAATGTATTACAACTACATCAGGAGAAACTCTAAGAAACAGAAATCCATTGAAGCCCCCTTTCACTGGGCAGACTGGGTTGACTTGAGCATTTTGAACAGCCATTTCTTCGAAACCGATCAAAACAAACGGCAATGCCTGATTCTAGATAACCGGGTGTACGAAAATGAACGTGCTAAACCTGATGTGAAGGAACGCCATGCTCTTGATCCGGCCTTATTCTGTGTAGAAGATAAGGATTTACCTGAAGACTTTGACGACGGGAACCGCTTAAGAATGGGCTTCAACGTCATGAAGTATTTCGGTCAAATGGAAGAGAAAAAGGTGCACATGGCAGGTAAAGCATACCTTTATGCTGCGGCTCCATTACCAGCATCAGTTGTCTTTTTGACCCAAGATGGCTCTTACACAATAATTCCAACGAAAAGACAAAAACTTTTGCATAATGGTCTCGTCGAAGACTTTATGAGTGATTCGAAATCCAATGAGCTTAACACTCTCAAAGAGTTTAATCGTCTTAAGAAGCAAGTACCCGTTTCTAGTGGTGTCAATGTCGATAACTATGAGATTGCCTTAAAGCCTGAAGATTTTACTTTTGATGCCAAGCTGATTTTGAAAGACCTTGAAGAGAGAAAGGCCACATTGAACTTTCGTGAATCCAGTTATCTCGAGTCATTGAAGTACTCAATTGCAGTGGAAAAGAATCCTCCTAAATACTTTAGTGAGGCTAAAATTATTGGACATGCCATGGGCGACCATTATGATTGGAGGTTCTTCAATGGTTTGCATCATGATGACAAGGTTGCGACGTTACACAGAATGGTCCGAGTTTGGCTTTCATTCTGTAGGAAGCATGATATTACGACTTGGTTGGCTCATGGCTCTCTTTTAGCGTGGTACTGGAATGGCATTGCTTTCCCGTGGGATGATGATATTGATGTTCAAGTTCCAATTATGAGTTTGCATAAATTGAGCATGAATTTCAATCAATCTCTCATCGTTGAGGATGCCTCATATGGTTTCGGTCGTTACTTTTTGGATTGTGGAACATTCATCTCCCTGAGAACGCACGGCAATGGCAACAATAACATCGATGCTAGATTTATTGATATTGATACAGGTTTTTATATCGATATCACTGGTTTGGCGTTAACTGATGAAGGTTCCCCTGAAAGATATGACTCTCTTCTTCCTCGGGACTTCAGGAAGACACATACTCCCGGAGAGGTCAACAAGATGCTACAAGTCTACAACTGCAGGAACAAGCATTTCTCCAGTTTCGATGAACTTTCACCATTAGTCAAGTCTTATGTGGAGGGCGAGGTTGCTTATATTCCTAGACGATACTCGTCCATTCTCACTGCAGAGTACCTGAAGAAAAGTTTGGTGGAAAAATGTTTCAAAAATCGTTTTTTCGTACCACAATTAAGATTATGGGTACATGAGAACGACTTGAGGTTTTTCCTTCGCCACAGAGAAGAATGGAATTCTTTTTACCGTGTAAATGCAACAGATGTGAAGAAACCACATACGGATGGAGGTTTGGCATTCCTGGAGTTGGAGCAAATCTTAAGATTTGAAGATCAAGATCTTTTAGATCTTTTGGCATATGACGAATTACTTATAGATTATGTTGCCACAAGGGACTTAACTTCGGTGCATGAGAATGAAATTATGAGGCATTTATTCGGCAAATCAACCAAAAGCATCATCGATGGCGCTCCTCATTTCAAGCCATTGAAGTTCGAGCCATTCTTAGAAAAATTGAACCAAACACTGGAAACTTTTGAGATGAAAGTCGCCAAAACGCAAGAAATGTACCGAAAGTACATGGATTCGACTAATAATAACTAATCCAATAATGGCTGGCTTGAAGCCTTAATAACCTCATATATGTACGATAGCAACTTTTTATAACTTCATTCAATACAGTTTACGTAATAGAATCTGTTTAACTGTTGAAACCTTGTATTAACACATAAAAGAAAGAAGAGGTATCACTAAAAAGAAAGACAAGCAACGGGTTAATGGTACAAAATATAATATAATGGGGAAATCATTTCTCGTCAATCTTTCTCCGCAATTGCTCTATTTCACGGTAGGCTCTCTCCAATTCTGCCTTCAACTTTTCATTTGAAGCATTCAACTCACTGACTGCCTGTTCAGTCAATAATTTCTCCAAAGTCCATTTCTCAATATTGTTGTTCTCATTCTCCTTTAGTCTTCTGATGAATTCGATGGCACGTTGTAATATCTGTGCCTTGTTCGATTCTGCTGTAGGAATCAACGCAGCGAGCTCCTTGATGCCTTGATTTATCGATTCTCTTCTTCTTCTCTCCACTTCTTTGTGGTTTTCTCTTCTCACCCGATGCCATTCCTCCGACCCATGCGTGGGTTTAGATGAATTGGAAGGAGGCAAAGTCGTGGGTTGTAACATAGTAGTATCTGGTCTATGGTGCTGTTGAGCAGCTGCAGCTGCAGCTGCAGCGTGTACCAGTGATCCATAATGGTGGTTTTCATAAGCTAACCGTTGTTGCAATTGTTGCTGCTGTTGTTGTTGTTGGTGATGATGGTGGTGGTGGTGTGGTTGCTGCTGGTGATTTAAGGCTGCGGCAGCGGCATTGGCGGTGTCTGCATCAGACACAAGAGAAGCTGCGGCAGCGACGGCATCTTCTTCCTCTTTGGAAGCATTGTTATCCTGAGCTCCCGAGGAGGCATAGGAAGATTGATCGCCTAGTAACTCCGAGTCAATTGCAATGTCGTCTTTTTTGTTGTCATCAAGCTTGACCTTTTTGGACTCGACATAAGGCGAAGTGGAATCTCTCTTGTTTGACATGTTCACGTGTTCAGGTTAAAGAAAATGAAAATAATAACAACTGAGTATTATTCCGTTCTTAAGAAAAAAATTTTGACAGGAAAACAACAACAAAGTTTACAACGTGAATTATGATGGTTGAAATACTCTTCTTAATGTGTGTGTTGTGGTGGAGGCTTATCTCTGGACTTGATTTTTTGCAGACTAAGCTTTATCAGAACGTGATTATCTCAACGTGATTAGAAGGATTGGGGGTAGCAAGTCACGAGCTATTCTTCACATGGATTTCAGGTGATGATGCTCACATGTGGTTACCCGGATGCGCGAGCCTTCAAAGGGGCATTCGGAAAAAACCGCAGTAAAACTGGCCACCGACGAAAAATAAAAAGCAATTCTGTGCGCTTTAACATGCAGGCCGTCCCCTCTCACTTTTCTAGTATAAGGAGTCTTCCCAGTATTGGGTGGGGGAATTCGTGAAACGAAGTAGGTTGATATTTACAAGGTATCTCATTAAAAGAGACTTTGCCAGATATTCAATATTGATTCCTATTCTCAAAAGTCGTGACCGTTGGTGGCAAAGCGATGTTATTTCCCTGGATATTCCGGTCCGGGCTATTGTCGTGTAAGCGCATAATCACTAGGCATACATGCGCCTATGTGAACCACGCAATCTGGACTCGCACCATTGGGGTACTGTGTAGATTGCTTTTTCAACCCAGAAATCCAACAACGATGTCCGGAAACGCATGATCAACCCGAAAGCTCGGAATTCCTGGTTCTTTAAACGCATAATCACTGGTGGGCTAATTTTATTGGCCCAATGTTGCACGTAGGGTGTGGATGACGAGACCTGTAAGCGCATACTTTGGAACATGCAAGTTACACGCATTGGCATATTCTGGTACGTTATGCGCTTACGCTCGCCGATCATACCACCAACGGACTTGTGTGCCTCTATGTGAAATGTACGAATGCGTTATAAAAACCCCCCGTGGCCACTGGAACATCTCTTTTTTTTTTTCTTCTTATCATCACATAATCCAATCACACTTCATTTACAATGGCTGAAATTACTTTAGGTAGATATCTTTTCGAAAGATTGAACCAACTTTCCGTTCAAACCATCTTCGGTTTGCCAGGTGACTTCAACTTGTCCCTTTTGGACAAGATCTACGAAGTTGACGGCATGAGATGGGCTGGTAACGCTAACGAATTGAACGCTGCCTACGCTGCTGACGGTTACTCCAGAGTTAAGGGATTGGCCTGTCTTGTCACAACCTTCGGTGTTGGTGAGTTGTCTGCCTTGAACGGTGTCGGTGGTGCTTACGCCGAACACGTTGGTATGTTGCACGTTGTTGGTGTCCCATCCATTTCTTCTCAGGCTAAGCAATTGTTGTTGCACCACACTTTGGGTAACGGTGACTTCACTGTTTTCCACAGAATGTCCAACAACATTTCTCAGACCAGTGCTTTCCTCTCGGACATTGACTCTGCTCCAAAGGAGATTGACAGATGTATCAGAGAAGCATATGTCAACCAAAGACCTGTCTACGTTGGATTGCCAGCTAACTTGGTTGACTTGAATGTTCCAGCCTCTTTGTTGGACACCCCAATTGACTTGTCCTTGAAGGCCAATGACCCAGATGCTCAAGCCGAGGTTATTGAGACTGTTTTGGACTTAATTGACCAAGCTCAAAACCCAGTCATTTTGGTTGATGCTTGTGCTTCCAGACACTCTTGTAAGCCAGAGGTTGCTTCTTTGATTGACGCTACCCAATACCCTGTCTTTACCACACCAATGGGTAAGTCTTCTGTTAACGAAGCCCACCCAAGATTCGGTGGTGTTTACGTCGGTTCTTTGTCCGAGCCAGATGTTAAGGAGGCTGTTGAGTCGGCTGACTTGATCTTGTCTGTTGGTGCTTTGTTGTCCGACTTCAACACTGGTTCTTTCTCTTACTCTTACAAGACCAAGAACATTGTTGAGTTCCACTCTGACTACACCAAGATCAGACAAGCCACATTCCCAGGTGTCCAAATGAAAGAGGCTTTGAACGCTTTGTTGAAGGACATTGGTCCTCACGTCACTAAGTACACTCCAGCTCCAGTTCCACAAAGAAGAATTGTTCCAGGTTTGCCTGACAACTCTCCAATCTCCCAAGAATGGTTGTGGGCTAGAGTTTCTGACTGGTTCAGAGAGGGCGACATCATTATTACCGAAACTGGTACTTCCGCTTTCGGTATTGTCCAATCCAAGTTCCCAAGCAACTGTATTGGTATTTCTCAAGTCTTGTGGGGCTCTATTGGTTTCACCGTTGGTGCCACTTTGGGTGCTGTCATGGCTGCTCAAGAAGTTGACCCAAAGAAGAGAGTCATCTTGTTCGTTGGTGATGGTTCTTTGCAATTGACCGTCCAAGAAATTTCTACCATGGTTAAGTGGGAGAACACTCCATACTTGTTTGTCTTGAACAACGATGGTTACACCATTGAAAGATTGATTCACGGTGAGACTGCTTCTTACAACGACATTCAGCCATGGGACAACTTGGCCTTGTTGCCACTCTTCAAGGCTAAGGACTACGAAGCTGTTCGTGTTTCCACTGTTGGTGAAGTCAACTCTTTGTTCAACGATGCCGCATTCAACGAGAACTCCAGAATCAGAATGGTTGAAGTTATGTTGCCAAAGATGGACGCTCCTCAAAACTTGGTCAAGCAAGCAGAATTCTCTGCACAAACCAACGCTGAGAACTAATCTGTTTCTCTCAATTGTCATGTATGATTCGATACGCTTAATATAAAATACATATTTGTTTGATAGATTTCAAAGTTGTAGTATGCTTTCCTTTAGACATGCGCCTGATATCAGATTTATGTATAGGCATATTTATTTCGATTGATAACAAATTGCACGTTGACTTAGAGGATGTCGCACTTTATGCTGAATCTTCAATTTATTTTTAAGACTTTACCCTCTGGCCGCTAATTGATCTTATTCAACCGATAAAGTATGTCCCCAATTGGAGGCCCAGTGATGATCTTAACAAAAATTTTAGAGCTAAAATACTCGGCACAAGAAGCGGGAAAGAGAAATGTACGTATTATTGAATCTCTGTATAGTCAAAAACCTTAGCAATTAAGCTCCTTCTCATTTATGGTCGGAACCTAAGACTCACTGAGCAGTACGTAAAATTCGTGGATACCGCACAACTTTTTCAAAAGTCTGAAAAACACAATATAAAAACACAAGTAACAGTAAAGGTTATTCAACATTAACTCTCATGTAAATTGAACAATTTTCTATCACACAAATAGCCTATATAAAAAAAGAATGATTGATGTTACATCTCTTTGCCTTCACGAGGTGACTGCCATAGTTTGAGCATCATATGAGGAAGAAAATATTATTAGATAAAAAGGATTGTGAAGATCGTTTATCTAGCTATTTTCCCTTATTAGCGATTCAGAGTACTTTACTTGACTTTACGAATAGAGAAGTCAAACTTCTGACCTTCATTGACGAATGCGATCGGACTATGTTGTGCCGCATTGGCAAAGTCCGAAGTCGGTCATGCGTTAAGAGAGCAAAGAAATCAACCATCGATGAATATATTACACAGAAATTGTTTACAATAGGCTTTAGCACTTGTTAATCATGAATTCGCCAAATTAGTTTATCTAAAGTCAAAATAGTTCTCTTTACAGCTCAGCATTGTGGAGACAAATCTCATGGATTGATGTGTCTAAGAACTTTTTCGGATAATCCACAAGGGGTCGAACTTGAACAATTCGTGTTTTCTTTAATCCATGCCAGCCCATTCGTATTGATGCAAATGCTACGAAATAGCATTTTGTTCGGTTAGGATCGGCATGGTGTGCAGGAGTCGGAACGGTGATCTTTAGTTAGTGGTTAAAGAGCCATTGCGCAATGCGCACACAACTTTAGATTCCTTTCGATCTTATCCCGGATTTTGCATCAACGAATGCTTTCTAGAACACTACGGTTGACGAATAATGGAATTCGCCCATGCATTCGCCAGTTGAGCTCGCTGAACTTCTTTCCTACACGCTCTGGCACCAGCTTATATTTGAAGCCCAAATTTGCGGCATACTCTCATAAGCCACACCTTCAACAGAGTGGTATACGGTTTTACACCAGTAAAAACGCAGCTGCTGGTAAGGAGAAGAATAATGATGGGGAAATTGAGAAAAAGGACTCATCCTCTTATCTATTCGGGAGACAAATCTCGACGTCGCAAATAAAAATGCTTTCATCCCTTCTAGCCACTATCTGGCCAAAAAACAAGCCCAGCTTCAAGGTCAGAGTCGTTGTAGCTTTGCTGTTGTTGATTGGGTCAAAGTTATTGAATGTTCAAGTGCCATTTTTCTTCAAAAGCATAATTGATGAAATGAATGTGGATTGGCTAAGTGACGTTGGAAATATAGGAACTGTCATGGGTGCGATGATCTTAGCCTACGGTGGCGCTCGCTTTGGTGCTGTGCTTTTTGGTGAACTAAGGAATGCTGTTTTTGCACTGGTGTCACAGCTGGCAATCAAACGTGTTGCCAATAATACATTCAAACACTTGCTTGATATGGATCTTCAATTCCATTTACTGCGACAAACAGGCGGCCTTACAAGAGCGATCGATCGAGGAACTAAAGGTATCAGCTATGTACTTAGCGCAATGGTATTTCACATTATTCCAATCACTTTTGAAATCACCATGGTATGTGGTATATTGACATATAATTATGGTGCCTCCTTTGCCGCAGTCACACTTTTGACAATGGCCACATATTCCATCTTTACTATAAAAACAACTGCATGGAGAACAGGGTTCCGTCGTCAAGCAAACAATGCCGATAACCAAGCGGCTTCTGTTGCGCTTGATTCCTTAATAAATTATGAAGCAGTGAAATATTTCAACAATGAACTGCATCAATGCTACAAATATGACCAAGCCCTCACTAAGTACCAAAATGCGTCCATCAAAGTTGCTACCTCTCTTGCATTTTTAAATGCTGGACAAAACCTTATTTTCACTCTGGCCTTGACCGCAATGATGTACATGGGTTGTCAAGGAGTTGCAACCGGAGCTTTGAGTGTTGGGGATTTAGTTTTGATTAACCAATTGGTTTTCCAGTTGCTGGTACCTCTCAATTTCTTAGGATCTGTTTATCGTGAACTCAAACAATCATTGCTCGACATGGAGAACTTATTCCAGCTTCAAAATTACGATATCAAAGTAAAGGAAGTTCCAAATGCTCCCGAATTGATTCTTAACCCTATTGCTCCAGGAGAGATCAAGTTCGAGAACGTCAGCTTTGGATATCATCCAGACAGACTAATCCTCAAGAACGTATCTTTCACTATTCCATCAGGACAGAAGCTGGCGATTGTGGGCCCATCGGGCCTGGGAAAGTCAACCATCTTGAAGCTTGTTTTCCGTTTCTACGATGTGACGTCGGGTCGTATCTTGATTGATGGACAAGATATCTCTAAAGTCAGCCTCGAATCATTGAGAAAAGCAGTTAGTGTTGTACCCCAAGAAACGCCTCTTTTCAATGACACGATTTTGGAGAACATCCGCTATGGAAGATTGAGTGCATCCAACAAAGAAATAATGGATGCAATCGAACAGGTGAAACTCAAGAAGCTTATCGAAGAGCTTCCACTTGGCGTGGACACCATTGTTGGCGAGAGAGGTCTAATGATATCCGGAGGAGAAAAACAGAGATTAGCCATTGCACGTTTACTTTTGAAGCATTCACCTATTACCTTTTTCGATGAAGCTACAAGCGCACTTGATACGCATACAGAGCAATCCTTGCTACGTACTTTGCGTACGGTGTTCAAAGACTCCCATTCGACCAATGTTCTGATAGCTCATCGACTTCGCACAATTGCGGACAGTGACAAGATTATTGTGTTGAAGAAGGGTACAGTGCACGAAGAAGGAACGCATCAAGAATTACTCAGCAAGCCAGACTCGCTTTACAATGAATTATGGAATATTCAAGAAAATTTGAATATTGAGGAGGAGTTACTTTTGTCAGATAAGGAGGAAACAAAGCCGAGCGCAAATAGTAGCCTGTTTTAGAAATAATGTATATACAGGTCCAGTGTAACCCCTCAATTATATTTTCATTTTTACTTTGAACTGAAAGAGTAAATGTGTCGCCCCGATCAGTGTAACATTTGTTGTATGTACTTGTTCCTCTTGTATTGAAGCATATGCTAACTCCTAGCGAAAACAGCATGGGTCGGCTGCGGCCTCCATATTGAGCGTGCTATGAATAGCGTTCCGAAGAGTGATTGGTGTACCTGTTTACTGTCTGATGGAGTGAAGGAGGAATTTCCACCCAAATGCGGAACAGGAAGAAAAGCCGATAGCTAAAAGCGTAATATCAAGTATTGATTGTCCAATACAAGATGCTGGAGCTTGTATCGTTTCTTAACCTTAGCAGGTGGCCAATAAATTTATCCCATTGAATAAGCGATAACGTAGGTCATTAAACTTCTCCCATGATCCCAACGCATTCGCAAAATAGAGCATATACTGCTGAAGAATCAGATCATCACCCAACAATAGAGTTTTACGTAGCTTTTCTGAACTATACTTTTTGCGCCTCTTACTCATGTGGCGGTTGAGACTGATGCGCACAGGCGAACAATGCTTTTAGATGACTCAGTACAAAGACACAGTACAATAGGCTCTCGAGAAGCCCCCGCTTCTACATGAACCATGAGCCTTTAGACCTCAAGCAGTCCCAGCAGCTCCTGGAGATATTTATCATATTTGCTTTGCGATTGGCTGAATTCTACTCGGCTCTCGGAAGTGAAAAAATACCACATGGTTAGATGCACGGGGATATTTTTTCGTATTTTGCGAAGCGGAAAGGATACACAAGCTGCTTAATCTGTGTCTTCTCCAAACCGCATTAGTAATAATATGCACGCGGGTATGCATGCGCCACAAGATAAGCTTCTCCTAAAGAGCCACAAGAGAGCCGTATGAATCTTCCCGCATATATGTAAACCAATATTTCCCAGTTGAATTATATCGCTGACAGGTCTGTCATTGTTTCGCACTTACCATGAGTGTGGCAAGATACATGCCCAAAAACTACTCGGGAAATCGGTTCGGGACATCGCCAAGACGCAGTGTGGCTTCCACTGTTTCTGATGGGCCAAGCTCAGTAAAATTGAATGAAACACAAGAAAATTTGCAAGAGCTCGAGAGATCTGACCAAATTGCTTTTTCAATTCTTCAATCGGTGCACAAAAGAGATGGAATGAAAATGGCCTGGGAGCTTTGATTCACTTTCTGGAAAACGCATCGATAAGTTTCTATACCTTTTATTTCAATTCTCGTCCCTTATTATCTTTTTTCTTCATTTCGTCGAGACGTTTGTACTATATACATTTGATAATGAGATCAATTCTATTTACATTGAAAACTGTGCGACTACATCCTCGTAGTATGAAGCAATTGCCCTCCTCTCTGCATTCTCTTCCTCCACTGCTTCCCAGCGCTCTGAAAGCTGATGTGGGGGGAGTTCCTTGCTTTTTTGCGCAACAAACTTTTCTGCATCTTCGTGTTTATATTGCATAACTTCCCCCAAAACTAGCCTCGTGATGTTGCCAACAGTTACTCCAATCTGCTTGGACCAGTCTGATCCTTTCCGCAATGAACGCTTGACCCATTGATCATAATTCACCTTGTACCACCCCCAAATAATGTCCTTTATCACTGTTTCGTAATGATACTTGAATCCAATCAAAGCGAACTCGATTAATTTGGAGTCAATGTTATTGTTAACAAAGTGCAATGTTTTAGAGAGTAACTCTGGTTTAGTGGTGAATGAAAGAGAAGAAACAGCGGCAGTCTGAAGATCTTGGATGCTACCATTGGAGTGCTTCAAGTAAGAGACATTCGAGTTCTTCACAAGGTTAAGAATTTGCTTATATTCGTTCATATTAGCATTCATCATGGTAACATTGAACATACTTGTGAACAATTCCTTAGGAATGAACTTATTAGAGACCCCTGAATTGAAAAAACTCTTGAATATCTTTTTGCAAACCAGCTGACTCTCTTTACTAGCACTTGCAAGCTGAAGGACCATGTTTCTAACCTGGTACTCCAGAACATCGTATTCGTTTCCTGAGTCCAAAACCAAATCCCATCCTCCCAATTTATTGAAAAGCTTCAAGCTGAACTTATCCAACCACCTTTTAAACTCAATGTATCTTGAGAAATGAACAAATGTCGTGTTTACTACCTCCAAATAGTCCAATGCACATCTCAATACATTAAAATCATCTTCCCACTCTTCACAAGCAAGTGCGTCACAAATATTGAGGAGAGTCATTAACTGGTTAGAACCAAAAAGTTCCGCATCAATACTTGGCTCAGGTTGGCCCAATATTTTACCATAGTCATTGATGATTCCGAATAAATCAAGAGAGGGCAACATATTGGAAGCCACGTTCTTCAAAACAATTGGCACAAACTTCGGATCATAAACAGTCCTGTAATAAAACAGTTTATTCGCATTGACGCTGATTAAAGAGGATGGCACAATATCCACTTCCATTGATCTGTCAGAAAGAATTAGATTGACTAGTTTTACCTCCTTAGTTTCAGTCAAAATTTTTAGTGACAACGGCACATGAAACGGTGGATTTTCAAGACCCACGTTATTGACATCGTCATTGAAGAAAAATCGATTTTGTTCAAATTTAATTTTATCACCACTGATTTTAACTTTCACTAATGGATAGCCTTCATATTGAGTCCATGTTTGAACAAAGGTTAAAAGATCGACCGAGAGATACAGATTCAATTGTTGCCATAACTCAAAGGGCTTGATAGTTTGGTGCTTGCACCCTTCTAAAACGTTCTTCAACGCCAGGAAAAAACCTTTGAAAGACTCCTCATTGCGTTCGAATTTGAAAAGGCTTGCTATCATATTCACTAATATCATACCCTTTTCATAAGCATCTCTCTCAAATATGGAATTTGTCCGAGAATCCTTATTGAGTCTCAATTTCATCATGTGCTCATGAAGACTAGGAATACGGTTCTGAAGAAGACAATCTTTGTCCATGAAGGATTCCATCAGAATTACTCTGTCAATCTCGTAATCTGCGAAGTCTGAATTTTCAATCTTTGCCAAGGATAAAAGGTAATTTCCAACCCATGTAGCAAAAGCTTCGATCAACCACATATATTTCCAATCATCCAAAGTCACCAAGTTACCGATCCATTGATGGGTCAATTGATGGGCAATGAGTTGCCGTACTTGGAATTTTCCGCTGTCATCAGCATTGTTTGCATCCATCAATACACTGTTTCTGAAAATGGTAACCATACCCCAATTTTCCATAACTCCGTCGCTCAAAAATGGAAGGGTTACGATATCAAACTTTTCTAAAGGATACTGAACGCCAAGCGTGTCAACAAATTTGGGAAGAAGAGCTTCAGCTACCTTAAGAGCATAATTGATCAAAGGACCATCGCCTTTGGTAACAAATGCTCGTATAGGAATTGAGCTGTCCAAACATTCGACACATTCAAGGTCACCAATAACAAACCCAAAGATGGAAGGAGAGATTGGAGGAGTGGGTTTGAATTCAAAGACGGAGTTCTCTGTCATATCAACAATAGTAGTCCTTTCGAGTAGCGCATTTGAGACAGCTTTAAACAGCGATTTCGTGGTGATGGTGAGTTTGATTGGCACTTTGATCACAAGTTCATCAATAACAGGGAAGATAGTACGACATCCAAATGGCTGACAATGGGTAGCTATGACAAAGTTATCTGACTTACCTTCAATACTGTCTGAGTAGTTTGTCTTGAACACGCCGTAAGTGTCATCATTAAAGGTTTTGATACTGTTGATACAACCCATGAATGAGATTGTGACAGTTGGCGATGCTTTTTCAGTGATTTGAGACATTACAACTTCTGAAGTGGAGAGGGAAATCATCATGCGATCACGTAATGTGACAATTTTCAATGGAATTGAGCCAACATCACTCATTTGCAAAGTTGCTTTCATGACAACGAGTTTGTGAGCATGAAGGATCATGGAAAATGTTGATGAATCTTCGACACATTGATCGTTTTTAGTCAATGGAATCACCACCGACCCCGAAAAATTCGGTTTGGAGTGATCCACCGAAACTTTCAAGTCATATGATTTGGGGAGAAATGCATTCACTAGTACAAGAGAACTAGCGATTCCTGCTTCAGAAGACATGTACGATTTCAAACGATTGATACAAGTTGAAAATTTTAGTGAGGTTTCAGATTGTACAAACGCGCACGTGATTCAAATTTAGGTGTAAGAGGAACCGCTTCGAGCATTGAGAAATATTGGAAGCAAAAATCGATGGAAGAGAAATGAAAACATTAAAGGGAAAAATTATAGCAGAATATGCGGGACAACCAGTCACGGTCAAAGAGGATCTAGCCGGCTAGAACATTTATCGAAGTATGCGCGTACTGTTATAAGCTCACCGCACAGCCACAACATTGTTAGGTATCAACTCCTCAAGTGGCTAGCTCTTTTTTTAATAACCGACCACTATTCATCCCAGTAGATATTTAAAAGAAGCAAAGAGCAATGCGTGGAAGTAAAAAATGCAAAAAGCACAGGGAAAAATATAAAAAAAAAAGGAAAAATACGCAGGAAGGAAACAACGAAAGGAAGAGAAACCAAAACAAACATCCTGTTCGGTTGGGCAGAGAAGGTGCGGCTGAATACCAGTTGAAGCATCTGCAGGTCTTAGCCATTTGAGGGCAACGGAAGATACGGTGTGGCTGCCTGAGATGAGCCTCAACCACGCAACAGGTCTATCTTCTATTCACTTCCATACACTTATGGAGTTCCTGGTGGACAGCTACCTGACTGGAAAGACTACCACAAGAGTGACTAAGGCAATGTCGAATTCGATCTAATTCTGCGAAGGGGCTGTGCGTGCAGGAATGCATTAACCATAATCATACAACTGTCCTGTACTTTGAAGGTTTTATGGCATGACTTGTCCAATACCTTGAGACGAAAATGATACACGGAAGCAATAATAACGACTGAAACATAGAAGCATGCGTGTAAACGGAGAATGTTCCAGCTTTTAATCTTCAGCAGCGTCGCGTAGTTGTCACGGGCGAGTTTGAGGCACTGCAGTTCGCAGACAGGGTCTTTTTCTCCCTTGGGTACGCATCTATTGTTCACAGACGATTCTGGCCAAGGGCGCACAGCGACACAAGAAAAGGGCGGCCTTTGCATTGTAGACAATGAGATCCGCGGCAAGGAAGTATGAAGACCGCATTTAACGACATACCCTTTATGGAGGCTGAACATTACGCACGACATATATAGGCGGGAGCCGATAACATGTTAGGACGAAATTAGCCGTGGATCCTGCATTGGTTGCTAGGGTATAAATAGGTGCCGTGTAGTCATCGCCACCCCTGGTGGGTTATTGTTTTTCAGTGTATATTCTATCACCAACCACTAAACGTTTTACAAATTCCACAATGGGTATCAAAGACAAGTTGAAGAGAACCTCCAAGTACTTCGTGAACGAGCCTAAGGAAAACGGCAGCGAGCCAAAGGAGGTTGACAGCAAGCAGACGGAGCCAACTACTGAAGCCGCGCCAGTTGACGCCGCTGAACCAGCCACAGAAACTGTGGAAGGTGACGCCACAAAAGCGACCGAGTCCGACGCCCTCCCTCTCCCTGAAGTGGGTGTGACTGATGAACACGACCTTGGTGATGCTGTTGATGCCGCTGCCAAGACAGAAGCTTCTCCTGAGGAGACTGCTCCTGAAGCTGTGCCAGCCACGGAGGCTGAGACTGGAGAAGGTGCTGTGGAGGCTGAAGCTGCCCAACCTGCAACCGAAGAAGCAGAGGCTGACAAGGCAGAGAAGGCAGCTGACGATGTGCAAAAGGCCCCAAGCTCCAAAGAAAAGAAGAATGACTTCCTCAAGAAGTTGTTGCAGAAGTTCAGAAGACCTGCCAAGTCCACTTAAGATATCCTATCTCCCCTGTCCGATCACCGAGCTACTAATGCGTAATCCTCTCCGCACATATTTGTTTGTTGTAATATAATGCTTTAGGTGTTTTCTTCTGTAGAGTTTCGTTCGCCTTTATTGACTTTGTCGGTTCATCACTTTCGCCTTTACTTAAGACAAAAAGAGACGCAATCTAAGCGCGGTTATTCTATCTTCAGACTACCAAACGGTTGCAAAAAGATTCAACGTGTTCAACGTGTTTCCAAGGACAAAATTATGAGGTTACCTACACGGCTTTACTCTTTGGTCTCCTGTACAATTTGTTCATCGACGAGTTGCCCAGAAAATGATCCGCTCTTCTCCGCATTCTCCATTTCGCGACCTGACATAACATTATAGCCACCCTATACAGCCGATGTCATCTGACCAAGGCGCCTAACCCCCAATCACGCGATAGGACAGGTTGCATCTAAAACAACTTGGGAACAAACAAGAAATTCCTTCACGTGACAAGAGCTCCTGCTCTTATCACCGCATGGACAATTTACTTTGAAAACAAAAAGAAAAAGTCTAAGAAATGTAAAAGAATGAAAAGAAGACTTTGTTTTCATGGTCGCAATGTTTACAGTGTGAGATTACTTTGCTGTTTAATGTCATGCTTAATCAGGTCACCCGCGCCAATACGTAGGTCGTGCGAAACTCACAAATTGCCCGTCGCTTTGTGATCTCCGTTCATCACCTCAAAATTTCCTCCTTCCAGCTTCTCGCGTTAACTCTGTGCCCCACAACATTCAGCAGAAGGCACAGGTCCCTTGTTTGATCAAACATCTCTATCTGGTTTCACTTTTTCCCCTACCGGTGAACCTATTTTCCCTTCTTCTTTTTCGTGACGGTAAACTACGGTATCTGCTACAAATCAGAACATCCCTAGAATATTCCACACGCACACACACACAAAAAAAGAAAAGGTTTTTGGAATCTAATAGGTGGTTTTCGAATCATATTTACCACCCTACAATACTTACATGAACAACAATCTCGCTTCTCATCAAGCCAGAGTTGAGACGAAAACGATGGATTTGAGGGTAGGGAAGAAATATCGCATTGGCCGGAAAATTGGTTCTGGATCCTTCGGTGACATTTATTTGGGAACAAATATCATATCTGGAGAGGAAGTCGCAATCAAATTAGAGAATGTGAAAGCGAAACACCCACAATTGGAGTACGAAGCCAAGGTTTACAAGGCCTTAAGTGGCGGTGTCGGAATTCCTTTCGTCAGATGGTACGGAACAGAATGCGACTACAACGCCATGGTAATCGACCTTTTGGGTCCATCTTTAGAAGATCTATTCAATTACTGCAACAGGAAGTTCACGTACAAGACTGTGTTACTTTTGGCAGACCAGCTTATTTGCAGAATCGAATACATTCATGCAAGGTGTTTCATTCACAGAGATATCAAACCAGATAATTTTTTAATGGGAATTGGAAGGCGAGGCTCTCAAGTCAATGTCATTGATTTTGGCTTGGCAAAGAAATACAGAGATCCAAGAACCCACTTACATATTCCTTACAGGGAGAACAAGAACTTAACTGGTACTGCAAGATATGCCTCCGTGAATACACACTTGGGAATAGAGCAATCTAGAAGAGATGATTTGGAGAGTTTGGGCTACGTCTTGATATACTTTTGCAGAGGTTCCTTGCCATGGCAAGGATTGAAGGCTGCTACAAAGAGGCAAAAGTATGATAGGATTATGGAAAAGAAGATGACGATTCCTAATGATGTGTTAACGAAAGGGTTGCCTGGCGAGTTCTTAGAATACATGAATTATGTCAAGAATTTGAGGTTTGACGACAAGCCAGACTACCCTTACTTGAGAAAGTTATTCAGAGATTTGTTCAAGAGAGAAAACTACAGGTACGATTATGTGTTTGACTGGACCTTGTATAAGTTTCAGCAGGAAAGGCAGAGGGAGCAGTACAAGATAGGTGATGGCCAAAATGACCCTCACCAAGCTAATCAGCAATATCAAAATCAAAACCAGCCGCAACAACAACAACATCAAATACAACAACAGCAGCAACAACAGCAACAGCCATCACCACAACAACAGGAAAACCCTAATCAACTATCTCAGCAGCATCTGTCTCAAAAGCAACAACAACAGGTATCTAATCCACTAGCTGTTCAGTCATCTCAACAAGTCCCAGCTTCACTCGTGCAACCTTCCCAGCAACAGGGCTTCCACCGCCAGGTTCAAGGTGAAGGAAGTATGCCGTTAAACAGGTTCAATGACGGTCTTTACCAGCAATCATTTGAACAAGGAGATGTACAGAAAGGAAACAAAAATCCAAACCCAACCTGGATTTGATAGTATACACGCTTCACGATCAAGGGCATGGTTTAATATTGGGAATGATCGATGCAAGCTTATTTTGCATTCATTGTATCGCAATCGCAATTCATACTATATGGGAGTAAATTTATAATACATAAAGCGATTATTCAATCAACATTCTCACCTCCTGTAGCAGGAACATCTGTTGTCGTTGTTTCCTTGTTCTCCAATCCATTATTGAAGGCCGCACCTAAAAAGTCAAAAATATGCTTCCCTTCTTTGGTAGCAGCGCCTGATCCTTTAAAAGTATCAAGAAATTCAAAGAATCCATGAAACACGTTCTCTTTCGTTTCCTCAGAGTAGATCTTGTCGTAAATGTTCTTCATCTTAAACTCATTCATTTCCTTCTCATACCTAGAGAAGTCGATTTTATTGTAACCCATATCAGCCAACTTTTCATTGTACGTTTCGTAAACGGGGCATTCCAATAACAATCCCAATGCTGGCGCCTTTGGTATATTTATTTTGGCAGGGCCAAAACAATCGCTAATACGAGTAATTGGACAGCCGGTCCTAACAACCAAAGATGCCATACAAATCATTTTCCGAATTTGGTGCAACATGAAGGACTGACCGATGGATCTTGATGGAAATCCACTCCGTGCCCC